CCAGGTCAATAAAGTACTGCGAGGCAGTGGTACTTTTTTGATTTGGTTCATTTCTGATTAGGTCTGTTTTTTTCTTGATGTTAGGGCTCTTACCAGGTCAATAAAGTACTGCGAGGCAGTGGTACTTTTTTGATTTGGTTCATTTCTGATTAGGTCTGTTTTTTTCTTGATGTTAGGGCTCTTACCAGGTCAATAAAGTACTGCGAGGCAGTGGTACTTTTTGATTTGGTTCATTTCTGATTAGGTCTGTTTTTTTCTTGATGTTAGGGCTCTTACCAGGTCAAGAGAGTACTGCGCAGCAGTGGTACTTTTTGATTTGGTTCATTTCTGATTAGGTCTGTTTTTTTCTTGATGTTAGGGCTCTTACCAGGTCAATAAAGTACTGCGAGGCAGTGGTACTTTTTTGATTTGGTTCATTTCTGATTAGGTCTGTTTTTTTCTTGATGTTAGGGCTCTTACCAGGTCAAGAGAGTACTGCGCAGCAGTGGTACTTTTTTGATTTGGTTCATTTCTGATTAGGTCTGTTTTTTTCTTGATGTTAGGGCTCTTACCAGGTCAATAAAGTACTGCGCAGCAGTGGTACTTTTTTGATTTGGTTCATTTCTGATTAGGTCTGTTTTTTTTTCTTGATGTTAGGGCTCTTACCAGGTCAAGAGAGTACTGCGCAGCAGTGGTACTTTTTTGATTTGGTTCATTTCTGATTAGGTCTGTTTTTTTTTCTTGATGTTAGGGCTCTTACCAGGTCAAGAGAGTACTGCGCAGCAGTGGTACTTTTTTGATTTGGTTCATTTCTGATTAGGTCTGTTTTTTTCTTGATGTTAGGGCTCTTACCAGGTCAAAAGAGTACTGCGAGGCAGTGGTACTTTTTTGATTTGGTTCATTTCTGATTAGGTCTGTTTTTTTCTTGATGTTAGGGCTCTTACCAGGTCAATAAAGTACTGCGAGGCAGTGGTACTTTTTTGATTTGGTTCATTTCTGATTAGGTCTGTTTTTTCTTGATGTTAGGGCTCTTACCAGGTCAAGAGAGTACTGCGCAGCAGTGGTACTTTTTTGATTTGGTTCATTTCTGATTAGGTCTGTTTTTTTCTTGATGTTAGGGCTCTTACCAGGTCAATAAAGTACTGCGAGGCAGTGGTACTTTTTTGATTTGGTTCATTTCTGATTAGGTCTGTTTTTTTTCTTGATGTTAGGGCTCTTACCAGGTCAAGAGAGTACTGCGCAGCAGTGGTACTTTTTTGATTTGGTTCATTTCTGATTAGGTCTGTTTTTTCTTGATGTTAGGGCTCTTACCAGGTCAATAAAGTACTGCGAGGCAGTGGTACTTTTTTGATTTGGTTCATTTCTGATTAGGTCTGTTTTTTTCTTGATGTTAGGGCTCTTACCAGGTCAAGAGAGTACTGCGCAGCAGTGGTACTTTTTTGATTTGGTTCATTTCTGATTAGGTCTGTTTTTTTTCTTGATGTTAGGGCTCTTACCAGGTCAAGAGAGTACTGCGCAGCAGTGGTACTTTTTTGATTTGGTTCATTTCTGATTAGGTCTGTTTTTTTCTTGATGTTAGGGCTCTTACCAGGTCAAGAGAGTACTGCGCAGCAGTGGTACTTTTTTGATTTGGTTCATTTCTGATTAGGTCTGTTTTTTTTCTTGATGTTAGGGCTCTTACCAGGTCAAGAGAGTACTGCGCAGCAGTGGTACTTTTTTGATTTGGTTCATTTCTGATTAGGTCTGTTTTTTTTCTTGATGTTAGGGCTCTTACCAGGTCAAGAGAGTACTGCGCAGCAGTGGTACTTTTTTGATTTGGTTCATTTCTGATTAGGTCTGTTTTTTTCTTGATGTTAGGGCTCTTACCAGGTCAAGAGAGTACTGCGCAGCAGTGGTACTTTTTGATTTGGTTCATTTCTGATTAGGTCTGTTTTTTTTCTTGATGTTAGGGCTCTTACCAGGTCAAGAGAGTACTGCGCAGCAGTGGTACTTTTTTGATTTGGTTCATTTCTGATTAGGTCTGTTTTTTTCTTGATGTTAGGGCTCTTACCAGGTCAAGAGAGTACTGCGCAGCAGTGGTACTTTTTTGATTTGGTTCATTTCTGATTAGGTCTGTTTTTTTTCTTGATGTTAGGGCTCTTACCAGGTCAAGAGAGTACTGCGCAGCAGTGGTACTTTTTTGATTTGGTTCATTTCTGATTAGGTCTGTTTTTTTTCTTGATGTTAGGGCTCTTACCAGGTCAAGAGAGTACTGCGCAGCAGTGGTACTTTTGATTTGGTTCATTTCTGATTAGGTCTGTTTTTTTCTTGATGTTAGGGCTCTTACCAGGTCAAGAGAGTACTGCGCAGCAGTGGTACTTTTTTGATTTGGTTCATTTCTGATTAGGTCTGTTTTTTTTCTTGATGTTAGGGCTCTTACCAGGTCAAGAGAGTACTGCGCAGCAGTGGTACTTTTTTGATTTGGTTCATTTCTGATTAGGTCTGTTTTTTTTCTTGATGTTAGGGCTCTTACCAGGTCAAGAGAGTACTGCGCAGCAGTGGTACTTTTTTGATTTGGTTCATTTCTGATTAGGTCTGTTTTTTTCTTGATGTTAGGGCTCTTACCAGGTCAAGAGAGTACTGCGCAGCACTGGTACTTTTTTGATTTGGTTCATTTCTGATTAGGTCTGTTTTTTTCTTGATGTTAGGGCTCTTACCAGGTCAAGAGAGTACTGCGCAGCAGTGGTACTTTTTTGATTTGGTTCATTTCTGATTAGGTCTGTTTTTTTCTTGATGTTAGGGCTCTTACCAGGTCAAGAGAGTACTGCGCAGCAGTGGTACTTTTTTGATTTGGTTCATTTCTGATTAGGTCTGTTTTTTTCTTGATGTTAGGGCTCTTACCAGGTCAAGAGAGTACTGCGCAGCAGTGGTACTTTTTTGATTTGGTTCATTTCTGATTAGGTCTGTTTTTTTTCTTGATGTTAGGGCTCTTACCAGGTCAAGAGAGTACTGCGCAGCAGTGGTACTTTTTTGATTTGGTTTATTTTATGTCTGTTCTTTTTTCTTGATCTTAGAGATTGACATTAGGCCTGGTTCTCTAGTCTGGTTAAATTAAAGATCCCTTTTCAAAATTAGTCTTTATTTGTTTATCCAAATCCACATCAAATTCAATTGAATTAATTTCAAATTTATTATGTTTCTTCTTCTTTATTCAATGTTGTGTTGCATAAATAAATACATAAATAAAAGATCAGAACATCTTTCTTTCTTTCTTTATTCTTTTCGGACAAAGAATTCCCTGTTTTCACATAAATTAGTGCACCAGATGTCACTCGGTTTTCCTTTTTCCTTGAATGAAATATAAATTTTTATAAATTAAATTTTGATTAAAAATAAATGCGGCCTGAATTCTAAAATTAGAACAAAAATTCACACCAAACATCAGAAATATTCAATTTCATTTCAATTTATTTTATTTTTTATAAACAAAACCTGATATTTTCTGATAAACATTCTAAATATTGCACTCTTTTCGATTCCGAATCGAATCTACAAAAAAAAGAAGAAATTTGACCTCGGCAATTTATTATAGCGTCACGTGTTCAATGAAAAAAGTTGGAAAATTATTTGGAGCAAAAAAAGTGCAAGATAGAGTGATTTTTTGGAGAAAAAAACGAGAGATTTATTGGGGTGATTTTTGGAATTAGACATTGAAAAGCTTGGAATTTTTAAAACATTGGAAGTATTGAAGTTGTTTTTTCAAAACTTATGCCAACTTTCAAATTTCAAAAACATCAAAAAGAATTAAATTTTCAATTTGTTGAAATATTTTTTCAAAAAATTCAAAATTCTAGTTTGAAATTTGCATTTTCCGGAATACCTAATATTTTTCAAGTTTTCCGAAATCTTTCACCTTCGAAACTTTCTAGTTTGTAGTCTGAGTCAGCTCTTTTTTTCTAGCTCTCTCAAATCTCCCATCAAATTTCATCAGCCAATCAATTTTATGTTATTTCTGTTTCTGTTTTCGATCAAAGTTTAAACAATCAAACACAATTTTGTGTGTTTCAGAAAGTTTCGAGCTTTTTCTGATCTTTTGCAGTTGTTTTACAGCAAAAAAAAAACAAAGAAAGAAACAGAAATCTTTCGAAAAATGAAAAATCAGGCCATTTTTCATTTTAAAAATAATTTTTCTTACAACGAGAATCGAAAGTTTCTTTGAGCAGGGAAGCTGTCAAAAAAATCAACTTTTGAACTTTTTTTTTTGAAAATGGATATTAGAGCATTAAAAAATCTCATCAGAGCTCATGTTGTAGACAAAATCTTGGGCTCCAAAATGAAATCTAAAATTAGATTTGAAAATTTCAGATTTCCGTTTAAGCTGTAGGAGAAATGATTCCTTATACCTTTTAAAACCCTCAAATTTTTATTTCCGTCAACAAATCAATTTTGAACATTTTCATTTTTACTTTCAAAGTTTCTTGAAAAACAGATGGCTCCAATAAATTGCTCCAAAAGTTTGTTGTTGTTTGGTTTTGGCAAGCAAAACATATGGAAAACGAAGAAAGTTAAAACTGAATTAGACTCATGGGAAAATGTTTCAATCGGCCGAAAAAACGAGAATTTGAGAAGATTGATGGGGATTTTTTGCGATTTTTGGGAGATTAAAAAGACAGATTTATCAAGCTGGAGAGGTCTTTAAGATGTTTGGAATCTGAAAAAATTGAAAGTTTTCACAATAATTTGAATCCAAATTTTTTTCTCGAGAATTTCAATGATTTGACATTGAAATATTAGATCATTGCTCAGATTAGGCTCAAAATTGTTTACATTAGAAGAAGAAATGTGTTTTTGAAAAGCCCTGATTCCAAAGCTCTTGAAATTGGAGCTATAGAAAAAACCTTAGCAATTGCTCATGTTAACTCATAATACTGATTCTGTTCCGAAATGTTTTGACCAGCTCTCCTATTTTGTCGATTTCAAAGTATACAACATCAAATTAGAAAAGATTTATTCATATGATGAAAAAAATTGGAAAAATTAGTTTAGTTTGGGATGTGTTGTCCGATAAGAGCTTGAACCTTCTCGTTCTTGAAGAAGTTGGTCAAAATTGGGAAGTTCTTTTCGATGGTAGCCTTGGAGTCGTCGCTCAAGTTCTTGTAGTCAGTGATGTATCTGAAAAATATATTATTGATTGGAAAGATCAATTGGAATCTTATGAATTCAATTTCAATTTAATAATCTCGAAAAGAATAGAACTAACCCGGCGGCGAGGTTCTTAAGTGTTTCCAATGATGGTTTCTTTCCAGCCAAATAATCTTGATGCAATTCTCTTCCCTTGGCAACAACCTTCTTGATCAAAGCCTTTGCACTTTCATCGAGTTCAGCGTATTTGGCTTCGAGGAGAGCTTGAAGTTTGGCAACTTTCTCAGCAAGGGATGGTGATTTGGTTTTCAAGGCAGCCAAGAATTCAGTCTCATCTTTGAAGGTTTTGTGTTCAGCGGCCAATTCCTTAATAGCGGCTTTCTCTTCGGCGGTGATTCCGGTCAAATGATCAAGAACTTCCTTTGGGATCAATGATTTGTATTCGGCTGGAATATCTTCGACGCTATTTGGGACTGGAGCGCAGAAAGCGGCGATGGCCAAGGTGGCGAGAACAGCAACACGGAGCATATCTGAAGAGATATTTGGATGGTTGAGAGATTGGAAGATTGGGAGATGATAAAATGTGAAAATGAAAAGTTGGATGTTTCAATCGCTTCGACCTTGCACTTTTATACGTTTTCCTTGAGGTAAGAGACTGTGTAATATTTGGAGACCTTATCTTTAATTTCAGAAAAAGATCGCAACATGTGTTGCCCCCTGAGGCTCCGCCCCAAATGCTCTCCAAAGCATAGGAGGCGGAGCCTTGAGGAGAAATTTCGAATATAAATTGACCGACTCATCTAGACAGTTGTCATCCCAAACACATGCTCTTTTTCTCTTCTCCGTTCGACCTCAAAGAGATAAAACCAACAAATTGTTTCCAGTAATGTTCCGTGCAACAATCTTCGCCTGTTTGGCTCTTGCCGCATTCTGTGCTCCAGTTCCAGATGTTCCAAATAGTGTCGATGACATTCCAACCGAATATAAATCTTTGATTCCAAAAGAGGTTGTTGATCATTTGCAATCGATTACTCCAGAAGAGAGAAAGGCTTTGAAGGAGGTTGCCCAGAGATACAAGGAATTCAAATCGGAACAAGATGTGAGTAGAGAGAATATATCAGTTACAGGGAAAATGCGTGTGGTTACGACGTAAAGATACAAATTCTGAGCCGCGTCGCAAATGCACCCATTGAACTACTTCGTTGTTCTGGCTGTTGACAGGATAGACAGATCCAGAAAAGATCTGAAGTTGTTCCTACGAATTCTTTTGAGTGCGTAGCTGTTGCGACGCGGCTTGAAAATAAGAATTCAGAAAAAATCGCATGAACAACTTCTGACACTTCTATTGGACCTGTCTATCTTATAAGAGCGCAAAATTCCGACTCATATTGTGAAAAATACTGTACTGGAGTGAATACATCCCCATAATTAAAAAAATCTTCAGTTTTTGGACGCGCTCAAGGTCAAATCGCCATCTCTCCACGAAAAAGCCCAAAAATTGCACAACTTGGTCGAAGAAAAAATCAAGAACCTCAACGACGAAGCCAAAGCGTTCGTCAAGAAACTCATCGCCGATGTTCGCAAAATCCACGGAGCCTATTTGAAAGGAGAAAAACCATCATTGGACTCATTGAAGAAATCCGTCAAAACCTACATCGATGAATACAAATCATTGTCCGATGGAGCCAAGGCTTCAATTGCCAAAGAATTCCCAATCTTGACTGGATTGGCTAAGAGTAAGTTGAATAATTAATTAGCTAATTAATTGATTGTTTTTTTGCAGACGAGAAAGTCAAGGCAATCATTGGAAAATACATCAACTAATTTGTAAACTCGTGTATTCGTGTATTTTGCCTCTTCAATTATTACTTACCTTCATTTTGTATTTATCCACCAATAAACTTATTTAATCAGAAATTTTGTTTTCAAAAGGATGTGGCTAATTTTCAGCTCAAGTGGATTACTGTAGCTCAAGTAGAAAATTCTAAAAGCTTCGAAATTTTTAGCAAACAAAGGGTACTGTAGTTTTTGAAGAAAACATATGAATGGTGCATCAACGAGGTACTGTAGTTTCTATTTGAAAAAAAAACAATTTGAAATTCTGGAAAACAACAGATGGTGATCAAAATTTGACCAATTTTTGACCAATAAAAACATTTCTCAAAACGTGGTCGAATTTCATTGAGCTCCAATTCAATTCAACGAGTCTTGGATTACTGTAGCTCCTATTAGAGTTTTGTTACTGTACCTAAATACCTAAATACCTAAATTATATTTAAAAACAGTAATTTCATTTCTGTAGCTCATTTCAAAAAAAAGCATTTTTTTCTACAAAATAAATCCAATTTTAAAAATATCCAAAGAAAAAACAAATTCTAATTTTTTTTTTTTCAAATTTTTGCGTCACGTAAACCTAGATAACCAAAAAAAGAGAAGAATAAAAAGGCGGCGCAAATCAGTTGTTAGTCTATTTTGGATCGGTTTGGTTATCATACAAACTCGACGTCTTCTTTGTATTTATCGTTTCTAATTGAAGTGTTAGCATCACAATAGAATGTGTGTACCAAAGAAGTGAGTTTGCAAGTAAGGAAATATAGGAATTGAGAAAAGTTTTACGAAAGCTGGGATCGTATTTTTAATTCTAGTCTCATACACTTTATTTATTTAAAATTTTCTACGAGCTACAGTAATCCTAGAGAAATCATAAAAAAGGTACAAATGTTTTACAGGAGCAAGAGCGAAAAAGAAGATTTACGAAAACAGAAAGGTGGTGGTGATATTGGTGGAATTGGTCCACCAGCTGGTGGCGACAGTTCTCCAGCTCCCGAAAAACAATCATCAAAATCGACGAAAAAATCGAAAAAAGAGAGCAGTATGAAAGCGTCGAAAGGAATAACTGGTGGAAAAGGAAAAGCATCAGTTGAAAAATGGGTGCAAAGAACATTGGATATGGGAGTGCAGAAATTGGTGGAAGAGTTTCGCGGTTTGGCAAAATGGACACCGGATGGAATGACTGTTGAAGCATTTCAGGCAAATAAGGACAAAAATCGATATCAGGATGTACCGTGTCAAGATAAAGGAAGAGTTGTTTTGAAGTTCCCCGGTTGTTCAGGTTAGCAACAAGACATATATCCAAATTAATTTTTTGAATTTTGTGATTCCCATTTTCCAAAAGTATATTTTTAGCTGATTATATTCATGCAAACTATTTGGGAACTGCAACAAATGCACAACGTTTTATTTGTGCCCAAGGTCCTCTCGAAAATACTCAATTCGCATTCTGGGCAATGACAATTCAAGAAAAAGTTGAATGTATTATTATGCTTTGTAATTGTATTGAAATGACCAAAATCAAATGTCATCAATATTGGCCAGCGATCGAAAAAGAGAAAATGACATTTGGTGAGGCACCCAATGTTATAACTGTCACAAATTTGGGATCGAGAAAAATGTCACCAGAAGATCAGTGTATAAATGTGACTAGTTTGAAATTAGAATGGGCTGATGGCAATAAAACTATTCAACATTTCCAATGGGAAAATTGGCCGGATCGTGGAGTTCCAATGACCAAATTGACAGCTTGTGTGAGTTTCAGATTCAGAAAAATCCAGCAAAAAATCCCCATTTTTCCAGAATCTTTTGTCATTTGTTCGTGGCTCACAATTTCCAATTCTCGTCCATTGTTCTGCTGGAATTGGTCGAACTGGAACAATTGTAGCTTTGGCTTATGTTCAAGAAAAAATGCAAGCTGGAGAAGATTGTATGGCAATGAATGAATTGTTGAAAGAATTGAGAATGCAAAGACCATGGTCGATACAAAATGAATTTGTGAGTTTTTATAAACAATTTTCAAAATTAGTTTAGGTTCAGAATTTTGAGCTTCTAGACATTCTGAAATTCCATAACTCATAAAATAAACATGTTCATTCCCAAAAAAATCAAATTTTTTCTAGCAATATTTGTATTTGCACCGCGTTTTACTCGCATATTTCCTGGAGAAATATAAAGATTTGTTTGCCGGATGTTTGGAGGGAGAAAATGCTGCCAAATTCCAAAAATGGTGCGAGGATTATAAAGCGGTTACTGGTGGAGATTAATTTTTCCAAATTCTTGCTCTTGCTCTCTTGAAATGAAGATTTCTATTAAAAAAAGTTTTGATCAGCATCAGGGTTCATATCTAGATCCTAGCATCTTACCAGTTGCGCCACAGATTATATCTAGTTGTTCGAACTTTCCCAAAAAAAAATTCTTTGTCCATTTTTGGTGTGAAATTTGACACCTACTTAAATTATAAACGATTATTTATTACATTTTTTTGTTTATATAACAAATTTTCACTTTTTTTATTGAAAAATGAAAGTTTTGTTTTTTCTTTGTTCCTTTTTTCTACATTTAATCTTGGCGAATAATGAGACTTTGAAAGTTCGCCTAAATTATTCGGTTTTCAAGTTTTTCAGCAAAGATGGGCATCATGTGGTAAGCAAATTTTTGTTGATTTTTAGAGCTTTTCAATAAAAATCTTTAATTCTAGGTTGATGAGGAGATTCCGAATATAACCATACCGAATATCACAGTTCCATTCTCGACTTCTGTTGGAGATGGAATTGTGAGCACTGATGTTTTGAAAATTGAGAAATTCAAAACACCGGATATTGAATTCGAATTATCCGAAGAGGGAATAAGTTGGCAGAGCAAATATGGAGCTGTGAAATTGAATGGATTATGGGCGGCACAATTTACAGAATTAGTGACTGTGAGAGATAGTGGATGGTTGACTGCAATTGCAAGTGATATTCGGATGAATATATCGGCTTCGGTTTTTGAATTGGATGGGCAACCACAGATTCGAATTGGAAATTGTAGTGTTGAGATTGTGCATTTGCATGTTGAGTTAGTTTTTTTTTGGGGAATTCGATGGATTTCAAACAATACTTGAGGAATTTTTTTCATTTCTGACCTATTTGTTTTTTGAACGAATTTTTATTAAAATATTTATAGATTTAGGATTAAATATAACATTATTAAAAAATATTATTTATTGCCAGCCTAGATTTTTTTTTGAAAATCTGTCAATATTTTTCAATCTTTTATTGACAGATTTTCGAAAAAATTGTGTTTTTCAATGTTGTTTCACAACAAAAAAGGAATTTAAACACACAACTTGGCTTTCCTTGGAATTCAGAGTTGTTTTCACCATTTCTACTTAACTCCATCGTTTTCAGCGTAAAATTTCACCCCGTATACATTTTTTATTGACAGATTTTCGAAAATTTAAAAAAAAAACGAAGAAAATGATGAAATTTCCCTCACAAAAAAAAGAAGAATAGGCTCCGCCATGTGTTCCTCGCTGCAGCGCGCAACCAGTGAAGTGTCGATGAATGACCACATGTAAATAGACGCCTGCTGTTTTCTCTCCATCGCTTCTTCGGCTTATTAGCTAAGATCAAAGTGTAGTATCTGTTCTTATCGTATTAACCTACGGTATACATTCGAATGAATGTAATTAAGGTTATATGATTTTTGGAACCTAGGAAAGACTCGGGGCTTGCTCCGACTTTCCAAGGGTCGTCTCAGCGTTGCACTGCTGCTGAGCTCGGCCCAGTCCCCGAGGGGACAAAAAAAAAAGAAAAATGTAATGAAAAAGAGAGGATTTCTGATGGCCTTTTGTTTCAAACATTCATTCCGAAAAATAACAGACTGATTTTAACCCAAAATAATGTTTTCCAGAATTGGTGGAAGTGTTCTTTCATGGCTTGTCAACCTCTTCCGCTCTCCACTTTCCTCATTACTCAAAGATGTAATTCATTCTCAAGCTTGTGCTGCAACACGTGGAATTCTAATCGATCAAGCCAATCAATTCCTTCATGATCTTCCAACTCATATTGACATCGGAAAGAATTTCTATGTCGATTATTCTCTTCTCAAAAATCCGATTTCAACTCGAAAATACGCGGAATTCGATTTATCTGCTGATATAATTTATGGAGAAACTAGTAAATGTCACGCAATAAATCAAAAAAATTGGACAAAACCTGCTGGAAAGAATACTGGAATGGTTACAACATGGGTTTCGGTTTCAATTCCAAATTGTTTGATCGAATCAGCTCATAATAATAGTTTGGTTAAAATTATAATTTCAAAAGATTTACCAATTGTTCAATCATATCTTCAAACAACTTGTGGAATATTTTCAATTTGCATCGGAAAATTCTTCGAAAAATTGCGAACTTCTTATCCAAATCAATATATCGACTTATTTTTCCATACATATTCTACACCATTTTTCACATTCTCCAAACTCAATGGAGTTATGCTAAATATGAGTTTAGCTGTAGATTTATACATAAATCCAATGCAAAAAACATCGAAGAATATTCTGGCGAGATTGATTGTTGAAACAATTTCAGATGTTGAACCATATTTGGAAAAATCGAGAATATTTGGAAATATTCGAAATTTCACGATTGAAACTCGCGAAGATTTTTCGAATATTGGCGATGTTTCAACGAGGTTTTTATCGACTTTTTCATCGATTTTATCAATGACTGCGAAACAAGCTGTGAGAAGTATTCTTGCACTTGGAATTCCAATTCCTTCTTTTGATAATGTCACATTAGCTGGTGAGTTAGCGAAACTTTTTTGATTGAAAATACGAATTCCACAACATTGAAAACAATACCGAAATCAAAGATTTCCGAAAATCCTTGTTAGCAAATTTATAGAGCTCCAAAGCATTTTGAAAATGCTTTCACATTTTTTCGAACATAACGGTGTTCAGAACATCCTGGAACTCGTGTTCAAAATTTTTCGGAGCTCCATAAACATGCTCACAGGGTCTTTTTTGTCAATTTTCGAATTCGGGTTCGTTCTCATCATTATCTCATCCAATATTTTTTGCAGACACTTCTCGAATTGATATTTTCGATGATTTTGTTCTTCTCAACGTCGACTTGAAATATAATTAATCCATACTCTCTTATTTCTTGTTTGTTCATCCATATAAATAAATTTTGAAAAAAAGAGATTATTAAAGACAAAAAGGAGACTTAGAAAAAAGATGGAGAGAAAAATGAAATAATTTAAAGAAAAATCAAAAACGGGCAAAGGGGAAACTAACATGAGCAATACATATTCGGAGAGAGAGAGAGAGATTACTGTAAAACGAGACCAATTTGTTGGGGTTTCATGTTGGCGCACTTCCAATTGTACAAATAGTATTGTAGATTGCCGTCGCCTTTTCCGAACTTCAAATCTTGGAAAATTTCGTCGTTGTTCATCAAGTCCAATGCGTTGAACACGTCGAATTTTTCCTGAAAAATTGAGGATCTATGACGTGGCAATTAGGAAATTATGTTAATTTTCATTTAAAAAATCAAGAATTCAGTATATTCGGAAAAATTGATTTTATAATTTTTCAGCGTGAACTTTTTTATTTTTCCTAATACGTGAAAACTTGAAATATATTCATTTTTTAACAAAAAATCGAGAACGAACTATTTTTAAGGTGAGAATTTTCAGTTTCTAAAAAATCGAATGTGACGTGGCAATTAGGATGAATTTAAGAATTTTGGGAGATATAAATCAATCAAAACTCACCTTATTAGCCATAATAAGAGCATCATTAATCAACTGTTTCAAAGTCAAAGTTCCAGTCGCATAATAGTACAAATAAGCGGCATTAATTGTTTTATGTGTCGCATGTCCCATAACAGTTGAAGGAAGCGAATAAAAACTGACAAAATCAGTGATTTTTCCAGTTTTTTCAGCAACAACATATGAATAAATAACACCATCTCTTGGAAGTAACATATGCGAGATTTCTTCTTTTGCATGTGTAAATGCAGGAGCCAATGAATATTGCTCGAGGAATTTGTTGAGAAGTTTTGCAACTTTTGGCACATCTTCTTCAGTCATTTTTCGCAAACTTTGACAATTTGGTTCTTCCGGAAGTTTGTATAATTTAATGGTTCTTGCCATTGTTGTTTTTGCCGAAAGATGTGAAAATCGAACTTCGATCAACTTCTTTGGATTCAATGATCGATGATAATATCGGCAAGTTGCCACAGGTTTTGGAATAACAATTCCCGCAGTAAATGCAGCTTGGAAAATTCCTTCCAAATTTACGCGCCGTGTGATTTCTCGAATGAGAACTGGAGCAACGCGCTTGCTTCGAAGTTTTTTGTGAACACAGAGGAAGTTGATTTCGACCATTTTCACCACTTTTTTGTAGACACGAACATTTTGGGGAATGGCGCCGATGAAAGCGAGAAGACGGCCTGATGAATTGGCACGAACTCCCAAATGCCATTGTGAAAGCCATCCGGGAACTTGGAGAGCCCATTTTAAGAATGGAGCAGAGTAGTCGAAGCGGAACATTGAATCGTCATCTTCGACATAGTTTTCGGTGAGAAGAGTGTAGAGTTCCTGAAAATTAGAGACTTTTTTGAGTTTCGAATGAATTTGAAAGATTTTGAAATTTAAAAATGTTTTTTTTCATTTTCTATCTGAAATTGACTTTTTATTGAAAATGGATAAAAAATGCACGTGACCTTTTTACTTTATATTTACCACGTCGTAACTCATTTTTCATTCCTAGATCAAAAACTAGGAGAAATTATTTTCTGTATTTAAAAATCCATATTTCAATTTTCCCTTACATGCAACTCTTTCTCATCGTTCAAATCCACGTTGCACCAAGTGAAACCGGGTGGCAATGAATAAGCTTCAGCTCGTACTTGATCCAAAGGCAAATTTGGCTCAATTGAATCATTAATATTATCAGGAACCAATTCATTCATACTTGGCACCGGTTGTGTGCTCCAAAATTGATAATTCTTGCTCAACGCCTCATCAATATCGCGTGGAGCGCTAACTTGATTTGGTAGATTGTGGACATCAACACCGGCGGCTCGCAATTGCTCAACAATCTAGAAATTTTTAGGATATTTTTGAGAAAAATTAGGATTATGTTACCGCTTGGATATCACTCGCAGATGGGCGACTTCCGCCAGCTCCTTCGTCATCGTGGTGATGTCCACCACATGGTGCACCATCGTGACTATGTCCGTGCGACATTTTTCAAGTCTGAAAACTAGAATTTAGAGATTTTCAGCACACAAAAAAGGTGACAAAAAACAAATGAAAAATCCTATTTCACGCCGCCGTGTTTGCACAAAAAACACCAAATTTGCCGCGCGTTTCTCTAAACCTCTCACATTCCTGTTCTCTCTTCAATCAATCGATATTCGAAAAAATTTCTATGCACTTTTTTTTACGACGCTCTCGCTGATAACATTTTATCTCTATGAAATTTGCAGAAAAATCGAATGACAAATAATTGATTCGTTTTATATAATCTATATATTTTGAATATATTATATTAATAACAACCAAAAATAAAAGAGATGGTGATACGACCGGCGCCAAATCAACAACAACAACAAAAACCGGGGATTATTAAAGATCCGGCGATCGCCGCCTTGTTCAGCTCAAAAGATCCGGAGAATCGTTATCAGGATTTGCGAGAAATTGGACATGGTTCTTTTGGAGCTGTTTATTTTGCATATGATAGAGAGACTGAGGAGACGGTGGCGATTAAGAAGATGAGTTTCAATGGAAAACAGGCGACCGAAAAATGGAATGATATTCTGAAAGAAGTGTCGTTTTTGAATAGTGTTAAACATCGGCATATTGTTGAATATAAGGCTTGTTTTCTGAAAGAAACTGTCTGCTGGGTAAGTTATTTTGAATTGGGGTTTTCTCATGAAATTTACGTTTTCGGATGGGTTTTGACGGTTGATTAGGAAAAAAACTCTGAATACAAGTTATGACGTGACAGACCGGAAAAAAACTAGCATTTTAGTTTGAAAATTAAGCTGCAGAGGGTCGATTACCAAAATATAGAAGTACATTATGAAATCCGAGCAAGTTCAAAAAATTTCGAAATTCTTAAAAGTGATGTCAGTTTTATAAATACTAGAAATATTTATTAAGGAAAAGAAGACTCTAGTTAAACTTTACATTTTTCGCAGCTTGTTATGGAATATTGTATCGGTTCTGCTGCTGATATTGTAGATGTTTTGCGAAAAGGAATGCGAGAAGTTGAAATTGCCGCGATTTGCGCGCAAACTCTTGATGCTCTTCAATATATTCATTCTCTAAAACGAATTCATCGCGATATAAAAGCTGGAAATATTCTGCTCTCCGATCATTCGATTGTAAAATTAGCTGATTTTGGATCTGCTTCTCTAACAGATCCTGCTCAAACATTCATCGGAACTCCATTTTTCATGGCACCTGAAGTTATTTTAGCAATGGATGAAGGAACTTATACAGATCGTGCCGATATTTGGTCACTTGGAATTACTTGTATAGAATTGGCTGAACGAAGACCACCGCTATTCAGTATGAATGCAATGTCAGCCCTTTATCATATTGCTCAAAATGATCCGCCAAAATTGGGACAAGGAGATGCTGAACCACAAGAATGGTCACCTGAATTTATCGAATTTATTGATAAATGTCTTCGAAAAGTGGCAGATGAACGAATATCGGCAGCAGAATGCATAAAACATGCATTTATTCAAAAACCTCGACCACCAGATACTATTCATGAATTGATTCAAAGAACTAAGAATCAGGTTTTGGAACTCGATAATTTCCAATATAAAAAGATGAGAAAATTGATGTATTTGGATGAAAATGAGGGAAATAATTCGGGTGGAAATGGAAATCGAGATGGAGCTGGATCTGATGATTTAGAACATGATTCACAATCTAGAGGTATAGTTTTGGAGGAGGATTTGATTTCAATTCCTCATGTTCACAATATTTTTTCAGCCGGCGATTCTGTGAGCTCACGAAGCGCTTCTCTAACTTCATTCCGATCAATGCAAAGTAGCGGTGGAGCAATTGTATCGACTAATACTTCAGGAGCACCCAGTAGTGGACTTGGAGCAAGTCATTTACATGGTGAGTATTTTTGTAAGTGGTTCGAAGAAAAATGGATGATTTTGAAAATTTTTATCCATTTTTTCCCGCTAAATCTATCGCCCAGCGTATTCGAAATTTTCTGAGAAATCCTAATCAAAGTTTTGATGAGTAACAAAGTCTCGAACTTTGCCACGTCATATTCAAAATTGAGTTTATCAGTTTTTCACAACTGGATTGTGATCAGCGGGTCAAAAACTACTTCTCTAGTTTATTTTTGAAAATTTCCAAAAACCATATATTTTTCCAGGCTCCTCTGGATATGGAAATGGAAGTAGTTCAACAACAAGTTCAGCTCGACGCCGTCCTCCAATTCCACATCAATTAATTCAGCAACCAACTTCAAATTCCAACAATTCTGCAACAAATTCGAGTAAAACAATCAGCGGCGGATCGACAACAACAATAATTGATGAAGAAGATGAAGGTGTTGCGATGACACCAAAAGGAACTAATTTGGAAATGAATAAGGATTTGGAGGCGATTCGGAGTCCGGTTAAAGGTGAGGGATTTTTTGAGGGACCTTATATTTATTATGAGTGAAGAAAGATAGTTTTCACATTACATTTAAATTTAAAAAACATTAATTTCAGAAATACTTCACTTAGCTTTAACGCTGAGTTATGTTATTCTGAAATGTCAAAAAAATTGAAACAATAAGATTTCAGCAATTCAGAAATTATATTCTTGGAAATTTACGTTTCAAAAATTCTTTATTGTTAATTTTCATACCGTTACGCTAATCGCTAATTCTTATTAGACAATCGAGAATTTTACTTTAAAAACTACCTTAAAAATTTTATTGGTTTTTGACTTGAAATGCATTTCTTCAATATTTCCCCAAATTCAATATATTTTGTTGCAGATCTTCATATGCCACCACCACGAGATCTAAAAGAAAAGATCGAAACTCTTCAAAATCACAAATTCGCCACACTTCGCTCACAAAGAATAATAAATCAAGAACAAGAAGAATATTCGAAAGAAAATAATATGTATGAACAAATGAGCAAATATAAACATTTGAGACAATCTCATCACAAAGAACTACAACAATTTGAGGAAAAATGTGGACAGGAAAGAGAAATATTGCGAATTAAAATGGATAAAGAATTGGAACAATTGAATTCGACATATTCGAAAGAGAAACAACGAGTTAGGTTATCTCAGAATGGAGAATTGGATAAGAAAAAACGAGAGATTGAAGAAGGAGAGAAAAAATTGAGGAAAAATCGAGCGGTAAGTGAAATATTGGAGTTTTTGGGGGAAAATATGAACAAAAAGTCATCAAAATTAGGCAAAATCCTGTTTTTCTTGTCAAACATTGATATTTTAGAATTTAATTGAAGGCAGTAACATTTTTGATGATATACAAAGGGAGGAAAAGGTCAAAACACCAAAATTTAATCGTGAAAAATTTGAAGAATTTTCGAAACAGTCAATTTTTTTCACATACTGAAAATAATTGAATGTTTTATTTAAAATTTTAATTTTTTAAATCAGAAGAGTTTCAGAATTTTTAAGACTTAAACTTGATTTTTTGACGATTGTACAACTGGAAAAATTTTGAAGTTGTCCAAAATTTAATATTAATTTTTATATTTTTTTGCACCAATAATTTCTGTGAAACATATTCAATATTTTTTGAAACGGTGAATTATTTTTGAATTTGAAATGAAAAAATTCCCCTATGAAAATTTTTGAAATAGTGTATTTCTTTTACAATTAGTTAAATATTCCCATTTTCTCGTAAAAAATTTTCATATTTTGTTTTTGCAGAACAACATTCAACAACAAATGAAAGTGTACAGTGCAATGCAATTGAAGGAATATAAACACAACAAGGAAGCGCAAAAAACTGTAGGTTTCAGAGTTTTTTTTCAGCTGGGAGATTTGATTATTAGCTGAAGTTTCAGTCTTTTTTCACGAATTTTAAGCCGAAATTCGGCTATGATTTCAGATAGAAATCCCAATTTTACGCATTTTTTGACCTGAACCTGCCTTATTTTCACCCAAAAATCCCTATTTTTTCAGCGTCTTCGAGCAATGAATGTTTCTCGTTCGACTTTCGAATCAACAATGAAAGATGTGAAATTGGAATTAAATCGACGAAAAGAAATGATGGAAAATGAATATGAGGCAAAATTAAGAGAAGAAAATGAAGAGGAATTAATTCGATATCGAAGACAACAATTGAATTTGTTGCATTCGATGGAGGAAAAATTGATGGATGAGGTGAGATATTTTGGGTGAAAAATTTGAAATTTTGGGTGAAAACTAAGATTTTTAGACTGGAAATTTGTAGGTTAAAAAAATTATAGAATTTGTTTTTGGCTGCCTCATATTCATATGCTAATACTGAAAATCTCTTTCGTTTATTTCATGAAATTTTTGAAACGTATTTTTTTTATTGGATTTTTGAAACAATTTTTATATTCTGGAGCTACGAGAGTGTTTTTAGAATTTCGAAAATAAAATCCTACGTGGATTTTTCGTAGTTTTTTTTACATTTTATTTATGTAATACTTAGTTGATTCAAAAAGAGCCTAAAATTTCACAAAAAAAACATTTTATGAAAATCCACGTGTATTCATAAAAACCCTAAAAGTTATGAAATTTTTTGAAAAAATTCACAAAAATATACTGTTTCAAAATTTTGATGAATACATTCTTTAAAATTTTTTCATATAGAGCTTCGTAAATCAATGATTTTACTGAAAAAAAATTAGGAGTTTTTTTAATTGCAGGATCTAAATGTTCAAGACCGTCAAACTGAAACGAAACACGCTCTTTTAATGCGTCAACACGAAATGACAAAAGAGCTCGAAATGGCACATTCAAATGAATTGCAAGCAACTAAAAGGCGACATTTAGAAACACAACATGAAGCTGAATCGAATAGTCAAAATGAATATACAAATCGACAACAAGAAGAATTGAGAAAAAAGCATGCATTGCAATGTAGACAACAACCAAGAGAATTGAAATTGCAAGAACAACAAATACGAAAACAATATCGACAAGTTGTTAAAACACAAACTAGACAATTCAAATTGTATTTGACACAAATGATGCAAATTGTTGGAAAAGAAGAACAGAAAGAAATGTCAGCAAGATTGAAACAGGATCAAATGTCCAAAATTGCGTTGTTAGGAAGTCAATATGAAAGTCAGATTAAGAAAATGGTGCAAGATAAGACGGTAAGGGGTTTGGGATGAAATTGAGGGTGAAACATTTTGAAATCAAGTTTCCAATTTTTACGCTTTTTCTTTTTTAGGTAAAATTGGAAGCTTGGCAAGAAGACGAACAACGAGAATTGAGCGAAAAATTGGAAAAAGAGCTCGAAGAATTGATTGCGTATCAAAAAAGGCAAAAAGAAATGTTGGATGAGCAAATTAAGAAAGTAAGCATGTTTTGTTGGGGGAATTTTAAAGCATTGCTCATATTAGAGGGATATTTTAAAGGAAACAATATAAGCAATTTTCATATAGTTTTCAAATATCGTTCATATTAGTGCATTTTTGAAGCCCAGACTTGAGAAAAATTGCAGATCTGGATTTTCAAATATTTACTAATCTGAGCAATGTTTCTGAGTAGTTTTAAAGCATTGCTCAGATTAAAAAATTTTTTTGAGTTTTATTCAAAACAACGGAAATTTCTCAAATAAAGCATTGTTATGAGCAAACTTTTCCAAACTTTCGAATCACTAAAATGAGCAATAGCAAAATATTGCTCATATTACTAATCACCTAAACATCTTCGATTTTTTTAGGAACGTCAAATTCTCGATGAGCGAATAGCTTCTCGTCGCGCAATGCTCGAACAACGAATACGCGAAGAACGAGACGAGATGTCAAATCTGCGAAGACTGAAAAAGGAACAGATTCGTGAGCGACACGGCGTCGAACGCCAGCGACTCGAGAACTCATTCGCCGCCGCAATTTCATCGCGCACCCCTGCCACACCTTCTCGAACTCATCAACAATCACATATCGGTTCGGCTGGATCAAGTGTGCAGTTGGCGATGTGAGAGCGAAAAAAGTCGCGCGATTTTTTCGCGGTCATGATTATGATGATAACAATACGGTTCAAATCCATGTCAATTTTATATTATTTTAATTAATGTTTTTTCTCTATTTTTTTCACCCCCTAACTTTCCCTCCCGATTTTTTTCTCTGTGATTTCTATTTTTCGCTACTTTTTTCACCACACGTGCAATAATAAGTTTTGTCTTTAATTAGTTTATTATAATTATAATTATGCCAATTATTGAGCATTTATTCAGTTAAGAAACCCGTTCGTTTCAGCTGCAAATTATCATATTTTCAGCCATTTTCCGCCACCATTTTTTGCATATCTTTTATGATTGTTCTCGCAACTTCTTCTGCAATTTCCTCTTCACGAAGTGTCGATTTGTTGAGATATTTTTGAAGTGTTGATTTCAGTCTGGAAATTTTGAGCATTTTCGAAAGAACGTTCTTGGGCTACTCTAATTTTGACGATTCAAATTTTATGGGGTGAAAAAATTTCGATTCAGCAAATGTCAAAAAACTATATTTTTTTCCTATTTTTCGACATTTTTGACATTTTTTTTCATTGAAACATTTTCGCTGCGATATATCTTTCATTTTTGTGTGAAAAAAATAGGGTTTTTTGACATATGCTGAATCGAATTTTTTTGTAAAAAAAACGTTTTTTTTTTAGTTTTTTTTTCAACCTGAATCACCCCATAAAACATTTTTGGGAATGACTAAGGCTAGGGAATTTTTCAAAGCGTTTTCGCATCGAAAATTTCAATAAAATTTTTTTTCACAAATGAGAAAATGATTGACAAAAAATAGTCTAACAAATTCAATTTTTTTAAGTAAAAAAAAAGTTGAAGTCGAAAACTAACCTTGTCGGCGTTTTCATAATTTGTGTATGCGAATCATCATAAAGTGCATGATATTTTCCAATTTCATCAATTTCCGCCAATCGACTACTTCTTGGCGTAGTTTTGGGTGTTTTTTCCGGATCGCTATCCGACGAAAATTCCACATTTTTGCGCGATTTTTTGGGAGTTGAGAAATTGAAGGAATATGAATGAGATTGTGAATCAGCTGAAGAAGAACAAGATGAACTGGATTGTCGAGTTTTTCGAGGCAGTTCGACCTGAAAATAATTTTTGTTCATATGAGAATATAATTGAGAGTTCAAGAAAAAACCTACAGTATTCTCGATGAAATTCCTCAAATCTAATAAATATTGTTGAAAACTTGAAGAACGCACAAAATCGGTCAAATATTTCTGAATAATTATATATATTTTTAATTATCCAATTGAAAACTTAATTAAAAAATAATTAATGAATTGAAAAAACTCACATCTTGAAGTCTGAAATAACAAAAGGCATATGCATTTTTGAAGCAGTTTTTATTTGGTCTTCCAGATTCGTCACAAATCAAACTTTCCATTTCGCTTCGAATTGGAGCTCCGGAATTGATGGGATTTGTTGCTTGCATTGAAAAATATCTGGAAAAATTGCAATTTTTATACGTCGTCAACGCGGAGTATTGTAGTTTTTTTTGTGGGAACCCTATTTTTGTCATTAAAAAATTTAGTTAGGAAATTTTGATTTTTGCCTAAAAGCTACCTGAAATAAAAATTATTTGAAAAATTTACGTTTCAAAAATTTTCAGACTTTTCTATTTCTGAAAAAAACTCAAAATTCATAGTTTTAACAGAAATTTTTTTGTTTCGAAAAAAAATCTAAATTTTCGAGACTAACTTATCATAAAGTGCCATCGCATCTCCCAAAGCTTCATCATCTTCCATTTCCTCGAAATTCGCCTCAAAACTCTCGCAACTCAACAAAAATTGCACCAAATCGTGGTCCTCTTTTTCGTCGCGCAAAAACTCCAAAAATCCCAGCAAAATTGGTTGAATTTTCAAAATTTCCGAAATCGAACAACCTGCTTCGAGAACTTCGAGTTCGTGTTTTTTATAGTAAACACTTTGTCGAAATTCATCGAAATAACGAAATTCGAAGAGTTGACGAACAAATTGTTGAGCCGATTGGAAACAATTGATTTGAAGAGGCGATTTTTGCATTTCCTCTGGAAAAATTGATATTTTTGGAGGATTTTATGAGATGATTCGAGTTTTTGAAAAATTTTGGCTGAAAATCGGAAATTTTGGGCATGTCACGGCAAAAGATAATGATAAAAAATTTCGTCGGCCTACCCGACTTTTCATCCAAAAAATCCCCGAAAATTAACTAACCATCTATGATTGCTTTAATTTTCCTTGGAACCGCCAAAGTACAATTCGACCCTTCATCTATATATTTATCATAAATACTTCGAGCATCTCGAAATGACACTAAAAAAATTACTGTATACTCTACCTATTTATTTCCCCCAAATTTCTTACATTCTTGCGCAGCAGTCACGCCTTCATTAAACGTCGCTTGAAATCCTTGAACATGCATCCAAAATTTGATAAGATTCAGCTTTTCGGAAGCTTCCAAAAATTGTATGAAATATGACAAAGCATGCGAATCAACCAGCAATTTATCCAGCGAATATGCGAGTTCCGGCTTTTTGGGTTGATGATTCACGGTTTCTCCGGTTCCATTGCCTATATCTCCTTCTGAAAAATCGACGAAAATACTTCTGATCACAGTAAAACCTTGACTTACCCCGTTTCTTCCGGAATTTGTTAATAAAACTCGTCATTTTCCATTAAACATCCATTGTCGCGCGGCAACAAATCGATATTTGTGTTATCTAGCTCTCCCTGCCTGCGTCTTCACTCTCTTCGCTTCCTCGTTTCTCCTTGTTGACCGCTTGCAATTGCAAACGAGAATTTTGCGAAAAAGAAAATAAATTTCGCTTTTTTTTATTTCGTTATGTTCCTTTAATTTCCACCGTAAAAATTCACAGAATCGCAAATCGTGTTGAGACCCAAATAATGTTTTTGAAGGATAATCCTTGATTTTTTATTTTCTTTTTTTTTCGAATTTTTTCCACGAAAACCTTGTTTAAACATGTTTTTGCAGATGTCCGAAGTGAAAAAAGTGCAAGTTCATTTGCAAGCCGTCGCCAATGCACCAATCCTCAAACACAAAACATTCAACGTCGACAGCAATCGAGACATCGCCTGGTTCACTCTAACTATTAGAAAAATCATGAATCTTCCTGCTGATCAAAATCTATTTTTCTACATTTCACAAACTTTTGCGCCATCACCAGATCACACTTTTGGCGTGTTACGGGATTGTTATGCGGTGAAAGATTGTGTAAACTTACAATATTCAACGACTCACGCCTGGGGGTAACATTTTGCTGGAAATGTTTTTAAAAAATATGTAAATTTTTGTTGAAAACGTGTATAAATCATTTTGAATACAGGAAACAAATTTCGAAATTTTTTAACCCGATTGCGGTTTTGTAATGTCTATAAAATATATAATTTTAATCAGCTGAAGAAGCATAATTTTAGCGAGGAAAATGTCGCGAAAAATAATAGATCACGACGAAGAAGATCGAGATTCTTCAGAATACGAAGAAATCGATGAAGAAGATGAAGATCAAGAAATATTTAGTCAAGAAAATCAAATAATTTACGAGCAAGAAGAAGAAGAACCACAAATAATTGATGTTGTCGGCATGGAAAACGCTGAAAATGCGGCTGAAATATTCTATGATGATGAAGATATGCAAGATTTAGTTATACATGAGATTTATGGCGGTGAAAATGAGAATGAGAATATGGCGAGCACTTCGCAAGCTTTAGCTTTTCCTGGATCCTCACAGCAACAACAACAAAAGCAAGTTTCGAAGCGAATTTCGAGCAATTTGGTGCAAACTGATCCGATTTGTATTGTTTGTTCGCGATTGGAATCGGAGAAGATTCGACTTTTTCGATGGCCAAAAAATGAGGATTTAAGGGAACAATGGTAGGAATTTTCGTGAATTTTTCAATTTTCATGGCACGACTATTTTTGGTAGACAAACTTTTAACAAACAAAAAAATTCAATTTTTTTTTTCAAATTTTGAGCTATAAAACTTGGTTAAGGAAAAGTACATAAAATTTCTATTTCAAAGTTTTTCAGCTCCAAAACTTGTTTTTCTGGAAAATCAAACTTTTAACAAAACCTAACGCATTTTCTCTATTTTTCCATTCAAATCTTACTTTTTTCAGGATTCATTTCTTCCGTCTCCCACAAAACCTGCTCCAAATCAATCCCGAACCCTATATCTGCAGTTTCCATTTCACAGCCGACACATTTCTAATGGTTGAAGATCGAATTTTCTGGAAAGCTTCAGCTCTGCCAAAATATCACCTAAGAAGGCCATGTTTAACAGATTCATTTCCATGGGAAAATCCGGATAAAAATGGAAATGGAACCAACGCGAAAAAATCGATATTGCCTCTTCCAAAAACCACACCAGAATATCGGATTCGTTATCGATTGCCTTATAATAAAAATCGATCGAAAAATTCGCATCCTGTGGCTATTTTAACACCAATTTGCCCGTCTCAAAGTCATTTGTTTTATGAATTTCATTTTAATCGAAATGGATTGAATGGAACAAAGTTTTATGCTTGTTTGAGTTGTCGGAAAGCAAAAAGTGAAAGTTCGTTGGCTTTTTTGAATAAAATAAGTGCTGTAAATTCAGAAAAAAACATGATTTTTATCTTGAAATTACAAAAACTGAATAAATTTATCCATTCAGAATCTCTTAAATTCCAGCCATCTAAATTCTAACATGACCCCAACACACTATAAAAATATCTTTCAAAATTTGCAGCCGGAATCCGTGACGTGATTCGCACGATTCATATCCAGAATGCCAAAATCTTCACACCCGGCGATCCATTTTTGGGACATCATTTCGCTTGTCGGCCACATAGTGTTTACGACTACAACAATTCACAAACATCGCAAAATTTGGCACCAAATCGTAACGTCGTTTTTTTGGAAGAGGAAGAAGATGACGAGGCATATTTGACGGCACAAATTAATGGTGAACCATTGGTGCATGTGACAACAAACAACACGATGGCACCAATTTTGGTGGACCCACCACAACCGGTTACAAATTCAAACGAGAGAAGAATCGAAGATGAATACGATATTCCCCCAATTTTGGAGCCGGAACCAGATCCAGTGCCTGAAGTGAAAATTCCCCAACCAAAAGCAAAATGTGTGCTAAAATCGAAAATTGCCACGAAAAAATCGCTGAGATTGAAATGTCATCTTTGCATAACTCGACGACCTTTTTCGACGACACGCGATTTTGTCAATCATTTGCAGAAACATTTAACATGAGCAATTCGGGTAATAATAAATTTTATTTTGGAATTTGATTTTTTTCAATGTTTTTCAATTGGAAAATTTATAGAAATAATTACAATTTTCGAGTTGTGCCTGAATACCACGTGGAAAATCACTTTTTCAAATCAAATTTTTCTCGACAAAAGGTTCAAAAAGTTTTTTTTTGTTCAAGAAATTAATAAATAAAAAATAAAATTAACGAAAAAAAAAAGAAATCAATCGATACAATTATTCCTTTCCATACATTATTTGATGATCCAAATCTTCGATCATTTTTTTCTGGATTGTCTGTAATTCATTTATTAATTAGTCGATTAATTAATTAAAAATAGGATAATTTCCTGAAACACCCCTTCAAAACCTCTATTAAGCTAAAAACCCACATTAATCTTATCCATCAATACACGAATTTTAACCACCCAATTTTTCGAAATTTCCGCCATTTTCGCTTTCAACACATTCTGATCTTCGAAATTTTCGTCGATTATTTGATCCCAAATCGAGCAGAATTCATCAATCATTTTTTGAGCTTCGAAAGTTGTTTGAAGAAATACCGAAAGTTGTGGCTCGATCTGCAATATTCAGTTAGGAATACAATTTGAATGAAAAGAAAAATGACAAAAATTACCTTATCATTTTCCTCTAAAAACACCAAATTCGCCACCTTTTTCACAAATTTCAAATGTTCTTCAATCAAATCATCAACATCCACACATTTTTCATCGATTGCGGCTAAAAGTCGACGGAACTCGAGATGAACCTATGAAATTAATTTAGTTTTGAAACAAATTTTCGGGATTTTTTGAATAAGTTAACAACAAACAAATCAACACAAAAATTAGGGCAAAACGTTTCTCATAATTTTTTTGAAACATTGAACTTTCATCTCAGCATTTGCAGATGTAGCTAAATCATATTTTGAGGGTTTTCGTAGCTGAACCGTAGAAAGAACTTGAATCTCCAGCTAAATCGAAGCAAAAATTTAGCTCAGTGTTTCTGACCGATTTCTCAGCTAAAACACACACACGTTTTAGCTACGATTTTTTGGCGCGCAAACATGTTTTCTTCGTTTTGTTTTGTTTTTCGACGATTTTCGTGACTTAAAGCCTAGAAAAGTGCTGGTAACATATTATATCGTCTACGCGTCAGTGTTTTATCGATGGAGAACGAGTAAGTTCATCTAAAAGTTACGTTTTACGTTGAATCTTTGCAGAAAAACAGTCAGTTTGTTGCGTTTCTCGAAAAAGTGGAAAGTGATGGTGAAATCTTCAATAAATGAGGTAATTCCAACAAAATTTTCAATATTCCACAGTGTTTCTCAATTTACAGATGCCAATAACAAGAAAAAAGCCGGATGTCATGGATCTCGACCAATTTGGCTTCTAATAGGTTTTTGGGAAGTTAAACCGCCAGATGGAGTCGCAAAAAGCACAAACACCACATCGTCATGTTTTGCAAGCCTACCGCCCTATTGGGAAATTTTAGTTGCTACTTTTCTATCTAATATTCGGCCGGTCCAGGATCCAGAAGCTATCAAACAACTGCGAGAAAATTAAGTGTTTCTGGTGAATAACTGACTATAATTTCATATTCTTATGTTATTGTATGTTTCAATACGAATAAATGTTTTATATTTGCAAGTTTTCTAACTAAGCCAAATACAGAAATAAACTCGCATAAGCAGTATTTCGCAATAAACAGGAAAACAGTTTTCGTAGCTAAAACATGCGTGTGTGTTTCGTAGCTAAAACAGACTTCGGTGTGTGTTTGTAGCTAAACCGCACACTATTCGTAAATAAAACGCAAGTGTCAAGGGCTGCGATCGGTTGAGCTATGAATTAGCTACATCTGCAACTGCTGAGCACAGAATACATATCGAATTTTCTCAAAATTATATTTTTTAAAACAATAATTTTTGTATCACAATTTTTTTTCATCAAAAAATATTTTTTTCCTACTTAGTTTCGAAGGTTCTAATTTCAAACAGTCTCTTCCCAAAACTCACTTTAATTCCGATAACATTTCGAACTTTCAACAATGTCGAATTGATAATAAATGCAATATTTCCTAACATTCTCAACAAACTTCGCGCATTTTCGCGTAATGAATAATTTTTCTCTAGAAATCGGCACATTTCGGGCAATTTTGAAGCGGTTTCTTGTGACGAGAGACGAGCCAAATCGATTGACCAGATTACGTGGAATATTGCTTCATAGCTAGAAAAAATGCGGGATTTTTATAGGAACATATTATCGAGTATTTCTCGTGGCGGTACCCAGATTTGAAACATTCTGGTTAATTCAGAATACTGTAGGAGACCTAACAAGATTATGTTGAAAGCTACAGTTTTGAGAGGTTTTTCGGGCAAGAAATTTTGAGAAAAGGTTATATTTTTTCAACAAAAAATCCCTGCCACGTGGAACATTTTAAAAATAAACATTTGTTGAAAAATAGCGAGTTTTTGTGAAAAAAAATCACGAATAAAGTGTTTTGGCGCCAAATTCCCCATTTTTCTCATAATATTCAAGTGAGTACTCGAAAAATTCAGAATTTTCTAGCCAACATTGATGCAAAATAAAACTCACAAATCATCACAGGCCGAAAAAACAGGTTTGACTAAATTCATAACTGGTTCATATTTGGGACAGAGTGGTTGAATAAACTGCATACGAGATGAGACATTTGGCGTATTTCCAAGCTGAAAAACAATGGAATTAGCAAAATAGCTAAATATTTGTCTAAAATTAACTTTAGGAGAAAAATTTGAACTAGAAAAATTTTATACCGAATTCGAAAAATTAGTAAACTTTTTTAGATTTTAAAATCAATTTTAGGAAGATTCTTCATCAAAGTTAAGGTCTGAAAAAGATTTGGAATTATTTACGAAAAAAAACATAGAAAAAATTTCGGGAAACCCGGAAATTGTAGGTTTCAAAAAATGTATGGAAATTTTAGAATGTTCTAAGCTCTAATGTGTATTCCAATTAATTGTAGATGTTGATAAATTTTCGAAATATCTAAATTCCGAAGTATAGCCCGCATTCTTTTTTTCAATCTTCATTATTTCTAATATCATTTTTGCGGATAGTTTCAATTTCCATGCTTCAAACCCCTTTCAAAAATAATTACAAACCGATGTCATGGCATCCAATTTGAATTGCAACTTCTTCTTTTTTCGATCTTTTTCCTCTTCAAACATAATTCTTGTTGATGATTCGATGGCTGCTGCTAAAGCAATTGAAACTTTTTGACGGGATAATGAAGTTGTGCCAACTCGAAGACCCATTGAAGCTTCTCTGAAAATATTTAAAATTATGGGAGAAAATAGGATGGGAGAAAACACAGCGAAAATTTATAATCATAATTTTTTGAAACAGTGAAATTTTTTTAATTCGTTGATTTTTTTATTTTAAAAATTAGAAACAGTAGATTTTTTGTGAATTTTCACATAAAAAGTATTTTGAGGTTTTTAAGGTTCAAAAAAATTTGAAAACAATTTTCTTTCAAGTTTTTTGCTAGTTTTAGCTAGGATATCTGAACATTTCCTAATTGTGCTGCCAAATTTTCCCACCAAATTTCACATTTTTATAAAAACTCACTTCATAACTGAATAAAGTGTGGCAGTGAATTTTGGATTATTCAAGAAGAAAATCGATGTTGCCATATTCAAATGATCCTTCAATCTTCCAGTTGACATAACAGTTCTCATTACAATTCCACAAACAACATCGCGAAGAATTCGAAGAAGTCCAGATAGTTCTGCAAATAATTAATTGATTATTCGATTAATTGGTTATCTATTGTTATTTTTGAAATAATGAATATTTCGAAACAGTGAAAAAATTTAATTTGAAAAAATCCACTAATCCTTCCAAATTGGATTATTGCGGCGATAATTTCAATTTTTAAAATTTTGGAACCAAAAATTTTAACCCCCTTTTCCTTACCTCTTTTCTGTATAATTTTCCAGTTCAATTGTCTTGTAACACAATTCGTTGCCTGTTCAATTGCCAACAAATCTTCATCTGAACTTGAATCAATTTTTGACAATGATTTTCCGATTTCGAGCAACATTTTCATATCTGAATTTGTCAGAAAAATTGGAACTTTTCTAATTTTCATCACATTTTCCGTATTTTCTTTGTAAATAACCCATTTTTCAGTGGGAATTTCACCCGTTTTCATCCATTCAATCATTTGTTGACAAAATACACCCATTGTGTATTCGATTAATTTTTCGGCGACAAAAAGACGATTTGGTTCGAAACTATATCGGCAATGAATTATGAAGATTGCTTCGAGAATATCAATTTGTTCCAATTTTCTGGAAAAAAAATAAATGAAACAAATTTTTATTGAGAGTTGTGGAGTACTGTACGATTATGAGATAAATTATTAGTAAAAAAGGTACTGTAGCTCTGAAACTCAAATTTTACGAAATCTCTAGATTTTTGCAGTTCGAAAAATTCAGATTACTGTAGATTAGGCCTGTGGTTTAAAAGAATTTTAAAAATTTCACTAACGCAAAACAGGCTAAATTTTTTTCATTTTGTGTAAAAATCCAGATTGCCTAACTCACCTCAATGAAAAACATTTCATCATCAAAATCAATCTAACATTCCACAAATCAATAATCGGTAAAATTCCCGAAAATCTCAATTTCTTTCGATTTCTTCGTAATCCATCAATATCAGCCGTATATTCACCCAAAAGATGTCGAATTCCAGCCAAAAGTGCAATTGAAATTGGCTCATTTGAAGGTGCAGAAGAAGATGATGATGAATACAGTAATGGGTCTCGATGCGATAAATGCTGATAAATATTTGCAGTTTCGAGAAAACGGTAAGCGATTCCAACGTGTGTCTGAAAAAGTGGACTTTTTTTGAATTACAAAACTTTTTGTTTCCCGTTTTTCTAGATAAAAAGAGACCTACCGTAGTTAATGAAGCTGTTGAGCAAATTGTCATTTTTCTGGCTCCATCCGATCGAAAAAGTCGAGAATCAATTCCAAGAAGAGCCGCCAAAAGACATTCACATACAGTACTTTCGGTCTCGCCTGCAACAATAAAAAACATTGAGAAAACATTTTTTCGAAGGGAAGATTTCGAAAGTTTGAATAAAATAATTTTGATAAGTTGATTATTCTCAAAAAAATGTACAAAACAGTTTTGAAACAGTGCAATTTTATGGTTAGAAAGCGATCGAATTCATTGAAATTCAATCCGAAACCCATTAAAAATTTTTGAAACGTATAATAATTTGGGATTTTTGTCAAAAATTAGGGATCAAAAAGTGCTAAAAAATCATATCTATTGAAAAGGTCGAATTTAAATACAATTTTTTGGTAAATGAAGTTGGGATTCTAAAACTTCGAAATTTCTTTGTCAAATTTTTTTAAATAATGTTTCGCCTGAGAAATCACTGTTTCAAGCGTATTCTTCATAAAATGTTCGTCGCCAAAAAACTCACAAATAGCTCCGCCCATTCTTGCATGTAATGGTATATTTGATGTCGAATTTCCAACTCGAACCGGATTCACAGAAGAAGAAGAAGATCCATTTGTGAAATTCGAAGATGTTCGATATGGCGATGGTTCTTGACTTTGTGGTGTTCGGAATTGAGAACTGAAAATATTTTAGTTTTTGGGGGGGGGGGGAGGGTGTTCTGAATTTTTAAACAAGAAAACGCTGGAGTTTTGTCAATTTTGAGCAAATTTTAGAAATAAAATTCAGATTTTTCTAAATTTCCTCTGATTTTCTTGTTTTCCAACTCACTTCACTTCACTAAAAATTCAGCCATTTTTTCGAATAAATAAAATTTGAAATGACTCAATTGCGTTGGATTTTTCACATGAACGTGCCAAAAATTAAATAAATTTTCAAAAATTCGAAAAACCCACGAAAAAAGATGATTGCTAGCCGAAGTTGGAGTTTTCACATCAGAAGAATTTACAATTCTAAAAGGACTTTTTGGTCGACTAATTTGCGAAGATCTTTCCATTCCCAAATGTCGATTATCGAAAGAATTGAAAGATGTGTTGGCACGAGAACGAGTTGATTCGTTGAGAAGTTGATTCTCAGCTGCTGGAAAATATATATATCATTTTTAGATTCAGGTTTCCAAGGTTTTCTGCAAGATCCAAACTTCATCCACGAAAATTTTTGGAATTATCAAAATATTGAAACAGTGAAATTTTGGAGGCAAACTCACTCAAATTACTAAAAACCCTCGTTCGACTTGCGGATCTTCGTTGAAACGGCGATGATTGTGCACTACCTCCCATATTTGAAGAAGTTCGTGTAATTCCAGATGGATTTTCAACAAATTGTTGACTTGATTTGTGATAGAATAAATGCGATTGTCTACATCTCACAATAAATTCCATAGCGTAGATTAAAGTGTCCGAAGAATTCATGAGAGAATTTGCGCGGCGAGTTAGAGTTTTTGAGGCCGAAGGATCACGCTTTTCGCCTAAATATGGAACATTTTGGGGATTTTTCAGGACTTTATGAAGTTCCAGAGTTAAAAAAATAAAAATTACACATTTTTCTGCATTCAGAACCTGATTTTGGTTTAAAAATACAGATTTAAGACTAAAAAAAACTAACATTTTTGAAAAAATCGATCAACATATTCTCTTGAGCTATTCACATCCAACATATGTTTCTGTCCAAAAAGTGCCATTCCAACAGCTTCATTGTCGACTGAAAAAAATTTGGAAATTTTTCTGGAGATCTCTAGTACAAACTCACTTTTGGAATTTGCTCCAAAAACTTTCAGAAAATTTCGAACTGCTTCTGATTCGTCATTATTCAATGGCATACCTGGAAAATAAACATGATTTTTCGAATGAGAATTTATTTGCAGAAAAAACCTGTATTTCTTAAATTTTCAAATTTAAAATGATAAAATTGTATCACGTGTTATTCGGAACAGTGAAAATTTTTTGAATGTTCGGAAAAAAAGTAATATTTCAATATTTTTATGGAAAAATTAGTTTTTGTGAGAATTTCCAGAGAAAATTTGAGATTTTACAATGAAAATCGTTGAATGCAGCTTCAAATGATATATTTTCTCATTGTTGGCGTCAAAATTGTATCAAAAAACATTTAAAAAATCTTTTAGCATTTTCGCCAGACGGAGCAAAATTTGAAAAACTCATTTTATTAAAGAAACATTTTGAAACAGTGAAAAATTTCGGATCTTTTGCAAATTTTCAACTGCTTTATCAGCTTTTGGTGCTAAAATTTTATCAAAAAAAAATCTACCACAAATTTAGACTAAATTTTAAAAAATTAGACTCCTTAATTTTCCTGCAAAAAAACATCCAGATATTCTCAAAAGTCACAAAAACTTCACAACACCAAAACAACCAATTTTTCATCAAAAAATTCATTTTTCAAAACAAAATTCAAAAAAGATGATAAAATAAAACTTGAGATCAAGATTTTTTGTTTCCAAACTTTTTTCGCTCATAAAACAAGTCAGTTTTGGCGCTTCCGAGATTCACAATTTTCGGGCAACCATCTCGATCTTTTTCCATAATTGTGCATTCTTTGCAATAATATGCATCACTACAGCCTGGACCACCACAAATTACGCATCGACCCTGGAAATAGAACAAATATTGGAAACTGGAGTGAGGTTAGAACGAAAAATTAATACCAATTTTTACCAACTATGAAAAAAATGCCGCCAAAGCCACCAAGAAATAAAAAACTTTGCTTTTCCTTTTCTTTTCGGCAAAATAAATAAAAACAATTATTTTGTTTGTTTTATCGATTTTCTCAGGGGTCAATTTTCGGCGCCAACAAATACATACCTGATACGATCCATAATTACATTCGTCGCAAATTCGAACCAAAGTCGCTGGTCTCACATAAGAATCACAAACCACACATCGACCATCGCCTGCAATTTTTGTATATTTTGAAAATAGTATGGGCCCATGCAGATTTCTTTTACAAAGATTTGTTATCAAAAATTCAAGAAAAATACTTTAAAAATTTTTTTGATAATATTTTCGTTTTCAGGATTTCTTGGAACCCGATTTCTATCTAAATGTTAAGCTTTTCCCCAAATTTTCTTGATTTTCCTCCCAAAAAACTAACATTTCTCGCACAATCTTCCAATTGCCACTCCAGGTTGTTTTCGGCAAAAAATCAAATCTGGATGATGTTTCGCCATTTTTCTGAAAAAATACGGACTAGAATTATAGAGGAAGAACAATCAATAAAGAAGTATGAAAAACCGGAAAAACGGCTCAAAATTGAAGTAATCAAGAAAAAATGACAAATATTTCATTCACAACGGCAGCGAGAAAGAAACACATATTTTTGAGCAAAAAAATAAAGAAAGAACAATTAAAACAGGACAAAAAAGAGATCCTTTTCGTGAGATTTTAGACAGAAAAATGGGGCCAGCATCCCCGAAAATTTACAAAAAAAAACAGTATAAAACATATGAATTCTAGGTCAAAAACCCCTATTTTTGGCTAGAATTTGTTCCAGATCCTGATCCCCAAATGAATTTCTTAAAACGATCATAAATTCGGCGCATTTTTGATGGCGGTTCACTGAATTCGACAATATCTTCTTCGATTTCTTCAAAATCATCCGCATTTTCGTGAACTCTTTGAATTCCATCAGAATTTGAAGAAGAGTTCAATTTTGATGGTGACCATGATTTTCCAGCATTTTTTGGTGGAGATTTCGAATTCGGCTGGAAAATTGAGGATTTTGGAGATTGAAACAGCAACTTTTTTTTGAAAAAAAAATGTTCATAAAAACTGAATTTCCCTTTCCCTCCCAAAAATAGCAAACCTTTCTCGGAGTCGTCGGCGCACTTCTACAACTCATTCGCATTTTTCCAATGACTGGCGTAATTCCAGTCATTTCACTATTACTATTATTCTTCATCATTTCCGAATGATTTCGTTTGCGACTTTTTGGTGTTTTTCCAGTCGCCGGTGTTTTCGCAATTTTCGCCGGTGTTTTTCGTGTCGATTTTCTCGCCGGTGTTGCGATAACTCTTTTAGTTTTCGGAGGAATTTCAGGTGTCTTCAATTTCGTTGCACTTCGTGTAACTCGTTTCTCAAACACCTCCAAACTCGCCACATTTTCCGGAGTAACAATCTTCTTTTTCCCTCGTTTTTTACTCGGTGTTTTGTCGATATCCTCCTCATCTGTTCCTTGATCTTCGGGTGAAAATTCGAATTTTTTGGTCGGCAATTTTTTGGTCGGACTTGGAAATACAAAGACTTTTGTTGTGGTGATTGAAGTTACAGTAAGTGCTTCACCTCCTTCTACACCATCATCTTCTTCTTCATCATATTCGATTTCTTCCTCTTCTTCTTCGTATTCGACAAGATTTTTGAGAGGAGTTCTGAAATAATTGGACATTGAGAAAAAACAATTGGAGGAAATCGCAAAATGATTTTTTTTTTGGCTGGGAAATCTGTATTTTTTAAGAAAAAAAATCGATAAATTTCAATAAAAAATTACTGATAAAAATTTCAGAAACTTTTTCAGTGGAAAACCAGCTTTTAACTTGAAATTCTAATTTTCAAATTGAAAGAAAAATTGTATTAAATTTACAATTTTCTCTCCCAAAAAACCCACCTTGACAAATTGATAATATTTCTCTTTTCCTCTTGCAATTCTTCTTCATGTGTTCGAAAACCGGGACCACGATAAGAGACACGACAAAAATTCAAATCTTTCGAACCGTTATAAATAACCGGTGTTCGTTGGGTGCACAAAAGAACATTATTTGTTGGCGAAATGTGGAGCATTGCGTCTGGATGTTCGGTGAGAGCCTGAAACATTTGATTTTCTGGAAATTTTCGAGTTTCATACAAATTTATGGAGAATTGAAGTTGTTTTCTAATCGAAAACTTTTATGGAAAATTTGAAACAGTAATTTTTTTTTAAAAATCAATTTGAATTTCTCATTGATAAACACCAAACTTTGGTTCAAAATTAGAATTTTTGTAATACAAAAAAAGTTTGTTAAATAAAGGTTCTAAATATTCTTTCTCAGACTTGTTCAATCTAAAATTCTAACCTGATCAACAGATGCATAATTTCCCGGTCTCGCAACAACTTCCATTTCCTGATAAGCCGTTTCATCTTCATCCAAAATAACAGTGGCAACAGTTACATTATCAGCTCGTAAATTCTTCCATTTTTGAAGTGTTGTTTTGAGCAAAATTCTCGAGTGATTTCGATTCAAATCGGTGTCTAATTGAACTTGTTCTTCTTCTTCGTGAACAATTGAAATCGCCTGATCGCCATTCATTACATTTGTCATACCATCGGAGCATAGGACAATGCAGAAATCATTTGCTGAAAAAACACTTGAGATTTTTTTGGGAATAAATCAAGCATTATCTAAACTGCCACAGTATTGAATTCGTGTCTCAAAACATTAATTTCTTTTTATTCCTAGTAATTGTGTTCCTCACAATTAATATAACTCTAAACAAGATATGACGTGGAAAAATCGGAAAAGTCCAACGACTGCTAGAGAACTCATGGGATTTTCTATCTTTGCCACGTCATATCTCATATTCATAATGTTTTGTCCCTTACCAGTCAATTCATAAACATCACAATCGGGATCCGGCGAAACCACATATTCATCAGTCTCCTCACAATACGACCACAAATCGCCCAAACTTCGAGCAACCGATAAAAACGGAATATTTTCAGTGTGCCCACTTTTGTGAAACTTCATCGGACGACGCCAAACAACTCGAGTCACACCGCTTTTCACTGCTGTCTGCAAAAAAAACATTTCGTAATTACATAATCTTATATATGGGAAATTCAAAATAAACTTACACATCCTCCGGCTTTTTTGATTCTCTCCTGTTCATGCAAATTTTCTGGTTTATGATCGATGGTCAAAGAATTGGATCGTGGATCTGTGCCATTTCTCAAAGATCCAAGAAAGATTGCAGAATCTCCAACATGACCCGTGTATAATTTGCCGTTTCGAATGAAAACACAACTGACTGTTGTGCCGGCTGTTGAAGGATAACCGGATGCAGTATATGGCCAAGTTTCTGGAAGAACGAGTTGGATAAAATGAGGAAGAGATGGGAGAAGATCTATTCTACGATTTACTGGGTTTCTCCGCCAAAAGCTAAAACTTACTGTGAACATCACGCATTCTTGAATGTGTGATAAGAAAACCTTCACGAATCGCTTCTAAAATCTCATCATCATCTGTTGAATCAAATTTGCGATTTCGTGTAATATTATCGAGTAGATTCAATCTCACATATTGACTCGCATATTCTCCACCATGTCCATCATAAACACCAACATATACCCAATTTATACTTCGATCCGCATTTCGTTCTGTATGAATCATACAACGATCCTCCATATATCTACGACCTCCTTGACTTGCCGCAACTGTTATGCGCATGTTTGTGCCAAATGCGGGCGTTGTTGCACCCACCATTTCGGCTGAAAATACTCGTTTTAGCTGGGTGAAAACGTTTCGAAAATGCAAAAAAATGAAAAGACGATTTCAAGGCACACGCATAGCGTTTCGAGACACACACAATTTTCAGCGTGCGCCTTGGAATACAGTATACAAAAAATCATTTTGTTTTATATTTTTGTTTTTTCTCAACAACAGCAAAAACCAACAAATAAAGTTGCAGCGAAAGCGAAAAAAAGAAAAATTCAAAAAAGTGGACGCGGGTCAACGGTGTAGCGCACATGCTTCGCACTATTTCTCTACACTCTCTTATCTCTAATATTTACTTTATTACAGACAGAAAACATGAATTTGGAGGAATTGCAGAGGATTCGAGGGAAATTAAAAGCAACTGAGACTGTGTAAGGGTTTTTTTTGAGAAGAAAGATTTATCACGGTTTAATTTAATTTAGCGTAACATCTCCGACAGGCGAAGTAACAATAGAAGATCGACATGAAAAGTGAGTTTTTCACTGGAAATTTTGGAAACGAAAAGTTTTCAGCGATGAAAAAATTGTTTCAAATCGTCGAAAAAAGAAGGTTGAATATTTGAAAAGATGTGGATTTGTTGTTGATTTGGAGCCCGATTTAAAAGTTGGAAAAGCTATGGAAAATGTGTATTTTGGAAGTCAAGATGTGGCGGCGGATTTGGAGATTTTGCAGAAATTTGGGATAACACATATTTTGAATGTTGGAACTGGAATTCCTAATCATTTTCCGGAAAAGTAAGGATTACCTGATTGTTAGGTTTGCGTTAGTATTGAGATTTGAGAATTGGAAAGAAATTAAATGAAATGTGGAAGGGTTTTAGGCCACGTCATTTATTATACACGTCTGAATATTAAAAATGTTCATTTCAAAATTAAAAACAGCAAAACAGTACTGTAATTTAAATGGTATAAATATGCATATTTGTTTTATCACTTTCAGCCTAATTTTTTTTCCAGATTTTCCTATCTCAAAATCGATATCCTTGACTTGCCTGAAACCCGAATCCTCAACCATTTCCCCGAAATTTTCAATTGGATCGATAATCTGACTTCCGTCCCTGATTGTGAAAATAATGTATTTATTCATTGCAACGCTGGAATTTCCCGTTCTGCCACAATAACTATAGGATATTTGATGAAAAGTCTGAAAATTGATCTGAAAACCGCGCTGGAAATTTGCAAAGCTCAGCGACCGAATGTGAAACCAAATGCGGGATTTATGAAACAACTCGAGGAATTTGACACATTTCAAAAATAAGGAAATATGGGTCAAAAGTACAACCCTCGACAACCAACCCTCGAATGTTTAACCCTCGTCATTTTGTACAACCCTCGTGTGTTTAACCCTCGACGTTAAAATAAAAAATATGACACTTTTCATAAACAATTTTTTGATCAAAATGATTTGTTTGCTGATACTTTTTGCTATACTTTTTTCAAATATCAATTCTCAATTCAATCCATGTCTTATTGATCCATCAATTTGTATTGCATTCGAAGATTTTGATGTGAATTGCACTTGTATTCTTCTACCCGATGAAAATTCGAAATCTATCAAAAATATCACAGATGAAGTGTATTTGTGGTTCTCCGGTTTACCTATCAGCCTAGATTTTATTCAAACTGTCACTATTGAGAAATTGTTTAGAGAGAAGTTATCAATTCGAATTCCACAATCACGATTTTATGATTTTCAAGATCAAGAATTATCTGAAAATATTTATCGAAATCTGGAAATAGTTGAAAATATAGCTCTTTTCGAAGTCAATTCATCAAAAAGTCAGGCAACTTTAGATTATTTGATAGAAAATGAGATAATTCGAAGTTCCCAATTGTCAAATTCAACACAAATTCAGAAATGGTGTTTGGAAGGAGAATGTAATGCATTTGTTTATGAATCTCAGATTTTGAATCGAACCGAGGGAATTTATTCGCATACGGCTGAGATTTTACAAATCATTGAGTATAAGCAAAGATCTATTTTTGCGGTTTCCAGTGTTTTTGGAGTTTTTAGTGTGCCACGGGTGAGGAAAATAGCGTTGTGTAAATTAATTGTATGAATTGGAAACTTGCAACATTTTAACTTATTTTAGCCAAGTTTAGGTTCAACATCTTCAATGTGAACACCGTTGCAAAGTGTTTTATTGGAATGAGAGGGAAATGTGTAGAGAGAACTGCGTTTTGAATTTGAGATATGATAAAGTTGCAGTTACCGGAGATATCAAACGAAATTTCGATTATTTTGTGCAATCTGCTGCTGTTCAAAATTTCAGGAATAAATATCGAAAATATGTGAAGAATTATCCAAGATGATTCTATGTGTTTTTATTTGTAAAAAAACATATATGAAAATAAACATTTCTGTTATCAATTTTTACCATGGAAACTGCAAAACACAATAACAACTATTTTCTATTCCAATTAAAACCCGCCCAGCTCTCTCTCAGTCATACATAAATAATGTTATTTTGTCATGCTTACTACTCTTCTTTTTTTCTTTTGAGGAGGAAAAAAGACGAAGAGGACAACATTTCGCAACTTTTAATACTCCCCAGAGATCTGACCTTCACAGGTTTTCTTTCTAATGGGGCTATTCAAGTATTTTCTCAACACGCTGAGAAAACAGGAGAAATGCGGAGAAAATGCATTTTCTTCACTTTTTTCGTATTTTCTCAGCCTACCTGAATAGGTTTTCTCCTGTTTTCTCAGCGTTGAGAAAATAACTTGAATAGCCCCATAAAAGAATTTGAAACTTTAAAAAAAACCCCCGAAAAAAAATTAAAAAATCCCCCACTTTTGTGTGATTCTGCGTCGCGGTGTTTGCACACAACGGCGCGCTCAAAAAATAATTTTGAATCGCTGTTTTTATTGCGCGTCTATTTCACTAATACAATTCATTTTTCTCGCTTTTTGACAGATTTTATGGATGTTCCGCAGACTGATAGTGGATATCCGACACCAAGAGATGAGCAACTACCAAGCTCCGTAAGTGAAAACATATATTTTTGGTAGAAAAAACGAGAAAAAAATTGCAGAGTCGATCTTTGTCACCGATAACATCAACGCCTTTGAGAAATGTTGAGCGCAAAAGTTTGCGAGATCATTTCGAAAACTTTGAGGAGAATAGGCAGAAGAATGAGCAAAGTCCAGAGCAACAAAAACAATCGATAATTCGAATAATAAAACCATACATGGAAATGAGTAAAGAAATGAAACGATTGAAAAAAGAAAATGAGAGTTTGCGAGAAGAATCATTGCGATTTTCAAGATCAGTTTCACCATCACCATCAACAGTACCTCCGGAAATTCCAAAATTAATATTTGGCGACATGAAATTGAAAGACGAAATAAAACGTGAACTCACAGCATCTTTTGTGAAAATCGAAGCGGATCCCGTATTTTTCGAAAAAAAGCTTGATGAAATGATTGAACAGGCAACTAAGAAAATAACTGCCACTGCTTATATTGATATCAAAACTGATGCTGATGCTCAAACTGAGAGTGAATGTAATTTTCATGAGGCTGAATTGCGAATTGAATTGGATGATTTGACAAATCGATTGGAAACTACAGAAAAAGAAAAAGATTCTATTGGAAAATCGACTGTTTGATTATGAAAAATCGCGAAAAACTTTTGAAGCTGATTTTAAAAGTTTGTCTGAAAAACGTGAAAGAAGTGTTAAGGTTTGTAATAATTTTTGGGAAGACTTTAATTCAAAAACTGTGCTGAATGATTATTATTCCCACTAGGATCGGGATTTTTGCCACGTCATAAGTAACCTTTTTTTCAGAGAATCGAGGAACTTGAATCGCGTTTGACCAACTCGCGCAAAGAAATCGAACAAATCCGCGAAGAAAATCACAAACTTGTTGAGGACTCAAAAACCCATGAATTCGAAATTGAAGAAATCAATGTGAAAGCTGAAATTATTCAAAAAGAAAAAGAAGAAGCTCTCGAAAAAGCTGAACATCTCGAAAAACTTTTGGAAGCTGAAGAAAAAGCGAGGAAATTTGTTGAAAGCCAGAAATTAGAGCTGGAAAATCAGCAAAAACTTGGGAGCGAAAAGGTTTCAGCGATTCTGGAAAATGAGAAAACCTATCTGGAAAATCTGGCGAAAATGAGCCAGGAGATAATGGAAATCAAAAAGGAGAATGAGTATTTGACAGCTGCGCAAGAGAATTTAATCGAAAATGAAATGCAATTGAAAAGACAAATATCTGATTTGACAGCGGATTTGAAAAATACTGAAAATCGTCTAGAAATTGCTGAAAATAAATTGAAATCTGAAGAAAGATCAAGAACTTTTAGAGAGAAAGAGGTGGTGGAAAAAAATGTGATAATCGCAAAACTTCAAGAAAATCGAGAAGAATCCGATGAACTTCTAAGTGAACTGAGAAAATCGAAAGAAGAGATTGATTTTTTGAGAAAAGAATTGGAAAATGAGAAAGAGTTGAGAAGAAATCAACCAATAACTGATCCGAAATTGCTGGAAAATCTAGAAACTGAAAAGAAACATTTGGAAGAAGAGTTTCGAATTTTGGAGAATTCGAAGAAAATTGAGACGGATTTTTTGAAAGATGAACTCGAAAAACGACAAAAATCGATGGAGGAAATGATGAGAAATGCGGAAAATAATATGAAATATTATCAGGAATTGAGAGTGGTTAATGAAAAATTGATGGAGGAGTTTGAAGAGTATAAGGTGAGTCAGCCATGCTCTTTTGAGTCTGAAGAGTCGTTAAATTGTGGACTAAAAATTCAAAAATTATACTCAATGAGCTAATATTCATGCTCCAATTATATTTCAAAAATTAATTAATTTTTTCCTCCAGAAAAACGCGGAGCATCAGTTTTTCCATGAAGTTGGCGAACATCAACAAATGATTGAGCATTTGCAAAAACGATTGGTTGAATTGGAAACTTATCCTGGTTGGTTATTTTATTCTGGGTTAACAAAGTTCATCATGTTTTTTGCAGGCCAAAATCTATCAATTCAAAAAAGTCATCAAGAAACTCAAACAATAGCTCAATCCCAAACTGAAACTCAAATCGAAACATCTCCAAGAAATTCGGAAATAAATCTCGAAAAACCTGGATCGGATAAAGGAAGTCAAGTGTCATTAGTTTCTGAAGTATCATTTAGATCTGCAATTTCTCCGTCAAAAACGAAAATCGAAAAAATGACTGGGAAATTGAGAGAACTTATTATGGTAATTCAGTTTTTTCAAGAAATTAATTAGAATTAGTTTTGGTTTTTTCAGCGAGATTCAAATTCATCTTCCAAAGAAGTTTTTCGAGAAATTGTTGAAATGCTCGAAAATTTCGGAAATGAATTAAATTCGCCAGTCGCTGGAGCATCTCGATTCTATGAGAATTTATCCCGAAAATTGCGAGAAATTGAAAATCACTGGAAATTTGAATATGAAGAAGAATTGGATAAAATGAGAAGACAGATATTATCAGCCGAAGAAAAATTGGCAGAAGAAATTGGAACACATTCAAATGTTTTGCGAGAAAATCGACAGCTCGAAGCTGAAATTCAGGAAATTGCGAAGAATTTGGAAATGAAAACGAAAGAAGCGGAGCAGAATTATGCACTGGCACTCGGATTCAAAGAGGAATTTGATTTTCAATTTGAAGAGAATAAAAAGAAGGCGGTGGAAATTGAAGAAATGGGATTGGAATTGGAAAAATGGGAAGAGGAGGAAAAGGGATTGCGGGAACGATTGGAAAAAGCTCAGGCTGATTTACAAAGGTTCGTTTTTTCTGGGAATTTTGGAGGAGACTTTGTCCAAAGTACAGTACTCCAAACTGCTAATTATTTTGAAGTTATCTTTTTCCTGCAGTCCGGAGCAAATATTATTTTTGAAGTCTGGATTTTCATGAACTCAATTTTGCAGCCAATTTTTATCCAAAATTTTAATGTTTTTTGAACTCCAAGACAATTTTCTCCCCATTTTCCCTAAAAATATCCCAATTTTCGCAGACGACTTCGACAAGATCTCCAACACGAAGATGTTCATGATAATGAAATTGTTGAACTTCAAAATGCACTTCGAAAAATGACAAATGAATCAAAAAGTTTGAAATCTGAAAGAGACAATTTGGCCAGGAAAAATGTGAGTTTTACTGGAATTTTTACTTCAAAAGATATTGTCAATAAAATTTATCTACTATAATTATTTTTCCAGAAATTCAACAAGGAAAGTTTCGAAAAATTGAAAGAGGCCTATCATACTGTTGAACGAAAAGCTAACCAATTCCGAAAATCGAATCAAGAACGCCAAAAAACATTGGATTATGTTATGAAAAAAGTGAAAAAGCTGGAAATTGAAATGGAAAATTCTGAAGGAAAACGAAAAATTGGAGAATTGTATGGAGATTTGCAAAATAAAACGAGCCAAATTCATGATGATGACGATTTTTCGACGAAATCTGATCCGGTTTTTGAGCAAATACATCGATTACATCAACAACAACCGACTACTTCAAGAAGGATTTTAAGCAATTTGAATCAGGATTGAATTTATTTATTTATTATGATTTTTGGGTATCTGTGAATAATTGAATGAGATAATAAAGTTTTGTGAGTTTTTTGAAGGTTTAAAAATTTTTTTTCAGATTTTTAGGCACATTTAAAAATACGTTTCAAAAATTTATTATCAGAAATAATTGGAAAATTTAAAAATAGCTCAGCATGACTCTCTTCTTTGGAATTTAAAAAACACGAGAAAATTGAGCAAAAAAAGCGGATTTGAGGGGCGTGAGCAATATCTCCAAAAATCTTATTTTTCTAATATGAGCAATAAAAATTTCATCAAGGGTTTTTGTTTGAAACAGCGAAAAATATTTTTCAAAATTTTTTCCTGTTGATTTTATTTTGAAAAAATCAGCGGGATGTCTTATTTTAAAACAATGTCCTTCAAAATAAAATCTGCTTTTGTATCTAAAAATGTTTGTGAGTTTTTTGAAACAGTGAAAAAAATACGTTTCAAAAATATTTTATTAGAACTATTTTTTTGAACTTTCGATTGATTACGTTTCTTTTTGTGAGGTGAATTGAACATTGGAATCTGAACTTCCAGATGGTTTTTGAGCCCCAAAAATCAAACTTCTGATGACATTAAATTCCAAAGAAAATATAAAAATTTTAAATAGTTTAGCTAACTATATCTACCTTTTTAATAATTAGATAAAATCTTATAATAATAATTAACAAACTCTTTTTTTCTGACCACCATTAATTATTTATCTTGTTTTATCTATCATCTTGATCTGATGATAGATATTATATGTTTTCACACCTTTCTCTTTTTTTTAGTATAATAATTATTATCTCATGATTAGTGGATGACTTCGTTATTTTAAATGAACTTTTTTATATGAAAATTATGTACGTAAAATAAGATGAATATTGACGAAAAAATCAACACGTAGGTAAGTTTATTTTTGAAATAATTAAAAAAAAATCAAATTTGAACTCATGAAAGTTACGTAAGATGAAATTAATACGCTAACTACGATATTTTTAACGACGAAAAATTTATTTCACCACAACGAACAGAAGGTAAGTTTTTTGTGATCTTTGTTACGAAAAAAAATGTATATTAATCGAACTGTTCGTAGGTGTTGTTGACTGTAGTCGGCTAGGGCGTAAAGACGATTCCGTGCGTGGTGTCGCAGTACTTGTTGTGCTTGAGCGACTTGGAAAACCAAGGTGGCGGAGGTGACAACTCAATAGCGGAGAAAATTCAAACCACAACGGGGTACTGTAGTCGAAATGAAAAAGGGTAGTCTGTTTGAACGATACGAAAAAAGAAATCATTATTGGTTTAATGGTGGACATTTTTGTGCGGTTTTTGTTTTTTTTTTGAATTATTCCTCACTTTTCACACATTTTTGCTTACCTACATTCACGCACTCTAAATTCAGAACTTGCATCATCGAAAGCATGGACACGCTTAAAATTGGAAATATTCTCGAAATCGCCCAAGACCTCATAAAAAACACGATTCTAGATATTGAGAAATCTACCGAGCGCACCGATCTCATGGCCCTAGTAAGTTTTTTTTAATTATTTCATTTTTTTTTAATTCATCTATATTTAATAAAGCTCGTTTATTTTTTAGATTGCTGATATAAAAATCAATCTTGGTATCATAAACGACGACCTACTAAAACCTATAAAAGACAACTTGGCGCAAACGCCAAAAAACATCTTGCAACTCAAGGAGCCGTGGGCTCCAAAAAAGTTGGCTGCTGTGCCAAACAAGAAGCCAGTAAGTTTTTAACAATCTTTTTTACAAATCAATAAATTCTTTTTTATTCAGTGGCTCACGCCAAAAAAACCGCGTGAGCACGTTGAATTGCCAAGAAAGGTGCGAGGAAGGAAGATGACACTGCTAAAGAGTATATCGATGAGCATCCTCCATCGACGCTCTATTTCTGATCGAGCCGAAGCGGAGAGTGGATTCTTAATCAGATTTCACGAGTTCAACAGAGCCGGAGCGACCTTCGACTAGACGGACGATTGAGAATTGAGGTGTATATGATGAGCCGACCTGAATAAAGGATTTCTCTCTGGAAAAATGAGATAGTGCTTTAGGGTCAACCGGGTGTTTTCACAACCATCAAAATGATTGTGAAGGATCAATGGCGAGGGTTATTGAAGACGATATCAATAGGTATAATTTTTTTGAACACCGATATAGTGAGGAACGGAAATTTGAAAATAATTGAAGAGAAGAAAAAGACTTGGTTATCCACCAAATCATCGGTAAAGAAGAAAATATCTCTAAACTGAAAAGGAACAACGTTTTTTCCAGAACAAGGTGCAATCGAATTTAGCCATTCGAGCACGTTGGTTTTGACAAAAACCAAGTGATTTTTGATGTCAGTGACTTGCCAAAAATTGCTGAAAAATATCCTGAATATCGGATAAATCTATACAAAAGAGACCCGAGGAAGCACTGTTGGATATTAGACGAGAAACATGTGTACAATTCATATTGCACGCAAAAGAATTTGAATATCGGGTACCATGATGGAAAATTCGATTGTCTACTACAACCATCACTTGGAATTTGTGAATAAAGCGTTAGCTGTCCACATTGTGCTGCACCATTGGAATTACGACTCTACAAAGATGAACCACATAGCTGTACCGAGAATATTTGGTGCCGACGTTGCGTAAGAAGAGTTGGACCTAATCATAATTGTTGTTGGCAACCAACCTGAGATTGGATGGGCGGCTTAGAATTGAAATGTATATGGTCAACCTTCAAGACAAATCAAATATTTCAAAAAAATTTTTTCTAATGGTTCTTTAAGAACAGTAACTGTACTGTTTTTCAAAGTTTCAAAAGGTATGATCATGTTCACTTTGTGAAATGTTGTTTGGAAAAGTTCAAAGTCAATCCAAATGCACTTTATCGAGGTACAAGATTGATAACCGGCACAATAAAGAGACAGAGAGCAAGGAGGAATGAGCCAGCCAAACACAACACAATTCATTTGAAGGGTTCACTCAATTGGCTTCAAATGAGTCTTGACAAACTTCCAGCCGCATTTGGTTTTGTGGACGAAGTCAAAGGCTTCTTCCCATATAATCTAAACATGCCTGAAAATATTGTGGTAAAAAAAGCTCCTGATATTCTACTAATATTATCGATCAAGTTGGAGTTCGACGAAAATGGAATAAAATAAATCGCGATTTGATGTGACGTGAACTATGACGTGGCAATTTACATTTTTCAACGAAAAAAACGAAAAAAATGTTCGGAATGCAAAAATATTTGACGGCTCGAAATTTCAAATATTCAGATAAATAATTTAAACTATGCATGACGTGGCTAATTTACGAAAGCTTTTAAAAATTCGAAAAAATGTGTTAACGATAAACCGACGTGAACTATGACGTGGCATTTCGAGAATAAACCAAAAAAAATTAAATGATCAACGACTGGAGATTCTAATTAATTTATGTGTACTTCTTGTGAACTTTTATTTGAAAAATAAAATTGTTTTCGAACAAAAGTTTGCCAACCTTCCATTTTCACAAGAAAGTCCTGGAAAAATCTGGGGACCCTTTGAAATTATTCAATAATTTCAACTAAACCCCCTGAAAAAGCTTGGATTCTCAAAAATTCTCAATTTTCGAGAATAAATAAGAAGAAACACGCCAAAATCTACCCAACTTTGAAAATTTGCGGTTTACTGTAGATTTGAATAAAATTCAAATTTTCAGTGAAAAAAATTCCTGGCACAATTTCAGTATTTGAAATTCAGCATCAAAACCTACAGTAATCCTAAACTAAAAATTCACAGGTTACTGTAAGTTCGAATTCTGATCTGTAGATTTTTATAAATATTGAAATTTAGCGCCGAAACCAAAAGTAACCAAAACTTCTTGACTCCAATTTTAGATCTTCAAAATTCGAACGAAACCTACAGTAACCCTAACCTAACATCAAAATCCAATTTTCAATTTTTTCAGGCTCAAATTTTTAACCCAAAACTCAATAAAACTTCAGTTTTTCTAGAAAAATTCACTAAACAAGTACGAAAAAAGCAAAAATAACATAGATAAATAATATAAAATAGGAAAAAAAACGACAGACCAAAAATAATGAAAAACCGTAACCACAAATTAGAATAGAACTTACCGGGGGAAAAAAGGGAAAATTGGGGGAAAAATAACCGGGGGCTAGAAAAAGATATAGAAAAGGAAAGAAAAGTTACATAATATCAAGAACTTTTTTCAATTGAACAATTAATTGCCAATCAGCTTTTGTTAAATCATCACGGAAATGGGTTTTGCAAATATCGATTGATTCGCGAGAAATCTGAAAATTAGGGAATTTTGGTTGAGAATGAGAGGTTTTCAGCTGAAACAAATTGAAAGTTTTGGAGCTGAAAATATTTAAAGGGTTTTTAATTCTCAAAAACTTTGTGGGAACCAAATTTCGAATTTTTTCGATTTTTCAAGTATCAAAAATGGCAGAAATCAAATTGACGTAGAGAATTCGAAACTCAATCATTTTTGTGGCTTAAAACTTAATTTAAAAATGCTTTTTTTATCCAAAAGTCCTGATTTCTAAATGAAAAATCACCCACAATTTTAGTTCAAATTTTCAAAAATAATTTTCCCGAAAATCTACCGTTTCAAATTTAAAAAAAAAGAAAATTTGGTTTTCAAAATGTTATATCTTTGCTCAAGTGAATAACAATTTCCCAAATTGCACTACTTTTCCTCCTCCCACAACAAACCTTGCTAACAAGCGTATCTTCATGCGTAAAATGTCTTCCATACAATTTTGGCGCTTCGCCAGTCGTATTCTCAATTTTGATACAAACTTCTTCTCCTTGTTTTCCCAATGCAACTTCTTCATTGTTTCTTTCGATTGATGAAACTGTTCCCAGAAGGATTCCCTGCAAAAAAATAAAATTTGAGGATTTGGTGAGCATTTCTGTTCTGTTCTGAAGTCGAGTGAAATTAATAAACATATATAAAAGCCTTTCCGTTTTTCCCGTTCCCGAATTCACCTCTTTACTCGGCACACAAATCGGTGTTCCTCGTTTAACTTGTCCAGCTTCAATTGAAACACCACAAACAATCGGATTTCTCGCATTATAAACATGATTTGGCATAATTCGCAATTTGCACGGGAATATTGCCAAATGTTCGTTTTCTTTTCGAGCTTTTTCACGTAATTCTTCACGGTATTTTAGGAAACTATCTTGTAAATGATAGATAATATCGGCTTGGAAAATTCGAACACCTTCGTGATCAGCAAAGATTTGAGCTTCTCTTTCGATTTTCACGTCGAATGCAAGAATACAAGCGTATCTGCAGAAAATAGGGATTTTTTCGGGGAAGATTATTGGGGGTGGGTATTGTAGATTTGAAGGATCACCAGCTAAATTTGATTTTTTAGAGAAAAAATTCGAAAAAAATCAGGATAGTATAGATTTAAGGCCTTAAAAGTAACTTACTCAGCCTTATGTTCTTTCATCGCCGATGCTTTTTGCACATCTTTTTTGTGAACCGGTCCAATGTTGACATTTGAATATGGAATTTTTTGGGATTTCAAGAATTCGAGCAACGCTTCTAAAGATCCTAAAGTTGATGCTTGAACATAAACACCTTCGGGTTTCTTTTTGATTGCGTGCAGAGCATTTTCGAGTTGACCATCTGCTTCAATTCTGGAAAGAGCAAAAAGAATTTGTGAAATGTTTTGAGACTTTATCGAAAAATGTGATTCTTTAGCTCAAAATTGTGAACATTTCATGATTTTTTTTGAGAAATTTCTGGAAATAAATAAAAAAAATTTTTAAGTTAAAATTTACAACGCTAAAACATTGAAAAAATGCCAGATGGATGTTTGGAGTCAAATTTCCAAAATTCAAAGATCCTTCTACGTGGCACAAACATTTTGGCAGTTAAATTTCAAAATTACAAAAAAAAAGCTACGTGGATTTTTTTCAATTCTGAAAACTCACCTCAAATAATCAATTTCATCTTCTCGATCAGTAATATAAAGCGGTAAACCAGCCAATACTTTCTCCAAATTTTTCGCCAAAACCTTAACTCCTCTTGCTCCTTGAACTTCTTTATGATGAATATATTCATTTTTGACACGCATTTCTCGAAGTGGTTTTGGCATGAGCAATTCTCGAACTTGTGTTACAATTGCTCCATCAGTTCCAGTTAAAACAATTACATCACCAGCTCGCATTGTTCCATTTACAAGAATTACATCAATTGTTGTTCCGAGACCAGGAATTGCTTTGACCTGGAATGAAAAACGGGTATTTTAATTAAAAATTATACGAATTTTGAAACAGTACATTTTCTCATTATTCTTGGGCCATTTTCAGCCTGGATCTTGGGGTAAAAAATACCGAAAAATCATGATTTCAAGATCAAAATTAGGCTGATATTTAACATTTCCAGCTAAAAATTGAATCATTGATAAACTAGTTTCAGCTTAAAATTATTAGAAAAAGCATTATAGCAAAAAAATTTACCTAAACATCCCTAGAAGTTATACAAAAACCTGATTTTCAGTTTAAAGATATTCAATTCCCCCTCATTTAAAATACCAACCTCCATAACAGTTGCATCCAATTCTTCACTAAATGCCAATTTCTGTGCATGTTTAGTTTGTGTTTGATTAACAATAAATGACATCAAATTTCCGACTCCATCACCTAACATTGCAGAAGTTGGAACCATACAAACAAAATCATCATCGATTTTTGGTTTGTTTGATAATACAACATTTACACCTTGTTCAGCAAATTCTACCACAATTTTTTCATATCTTTCTTTAAATTCTTGTTGAACTCGAGGTTTTTGCGATTTGAGAAGTTCGTAGACATCTTTTCGTGGATTTGATTCATATTCATACAATCTGTCGATCTGGAAAAATAATGGAGAATTTTTAGGAGGATTCTGGGTGGAACACAAAATCTGTCTTTCTTTTTCAGAGTAAGATTCGATATTTTATCAACTCATAAATTGTATTTTTGAAACAGTGACCATTTTCAAAGTTTATCAGATTTTTTTCTCCTAATTTCGAAAAAAATGAATTTTATAGTTGGATTTTTTTTAGATAAAAATTGTTTAAAAAACACAAAATGTATTTTTTTTTCAATATTCTCTGCGCTCACCTTATTCAACGCAATAACAAACGGTGTTTTTCCCTTCAACAACAATTTCAATGATTCAATAGTTTGTGGTTCTAATCCATGCATAATATCAACAACCAAAATAGCAAAATCACAAAGTGAAGAACCACGAGTTCGTAAATTCGAAAAACTTTCGTGACCAGGTGTATCAATGATCAAAAATCCGGGGATTTTCATGAGATCGGCTGCAAAATCTCGAACTTGTCGACATCTTTCTTTGATTGCATCAGCTGGAACTTCAGTGGCTCCGATTTGTTGAGTAATTCCACCAGCTTCGCCGAGTTGAACATTTGTGCGGCGAATCTGGAAACATTCACATTTTTAGAGAAAAACCGTTGTATCTTAGATCTAAAATTTCAATGAATTTGCTGCTAAAAACAAAGTTCTTTTTGATAAACTTTCCAACTTTTTCAGAAGAAATTCAGTTTGAATTCAGTTCGAAGTTGGAAAGTTCGCCGAACTTCAAAAAAAAATCCCACACAAATTTGAAAACTTAGAAAATGATTTTTTGTTCAATTTTAAAACGTGGCATAGAAAAGTTCACGCAAAAATAAAATATATGCTAAAACATGTTTTTTCTTAATTTGAAATGAATTTTTCGGTATTGCACGTGAAAGTTCACGTTTAAAATAAAAATGAAAAATCTTAAATCTTGTATTTTTAAATGAAAATTTCATGAAAAAATTTGCAAACCAAAAGACAGCCCAAACTTTCTCACCGTATCCAACATTTTGGTTTTTCCAGTATCGACATGTCCTAATACACAAATAACAGGACTTCTCAATTTATCTGTAGTTCTTCCTGCTTCAGCTGCAGCTTTTCGTTTTTGAATTCTTAATTTCACTTTTTCAATAATCTGTTCTTTGGTTTCTCTTTTTCCAGTTTGTTCTTCATCTGAAGATTCTTCTTCCTCTTCTGAATTATCAGATTCCGAATCTGAATCATCTTCTTCTCCAGAACTCTCTTCATCATCTTCATCTTCACTTTCAGATTCTTCTTTTTCAGTCTTCTTTTCCACTTTTTCAGTTTTCGTCGGCTTTTCCTCCTTCTTTTCCTCTTCTTCTTCAGCTGCCATTTCCCAATCATCCAAAACTTCTTCCTCAACTTCAGGACTTGAAACTTCCTCTTTTTCTTGTGATTTTTCAACTGGTTTTTCAGCAGAAACTTCGGATTTTTCAGGTTCTGCTTGTCCTAATTTCTCTAGCCGTCTCTTCTTTTTCTCTTCCATTTTTGCGCGAGCCTTTTCATCCATATACACGAATGTTCCTTTTTTCTGACCATCTTCTGTGGATTCGCGAGCAGCAGGGATTGTGACTGGAAAAAATGAAGGTATTCGGGATATTTTTGGATAACGGGGATTTTTTCAGCCAAAACCCTAATATGATGAAACTTATTATCGAAAATATAGTTTCTACAAAAATGAAAACTCTATATTTTGGTTTAAAAAATCAATCGTTTTGAATGCAAAATTTTACCGATTTCTTGGACCAAAAAAATAAGATGTTTGATGATTTTCAGTCATTAGACAGTTTTTTTTTCATTAAAAAATCTTGAAATACAGTTAGAAAATAGATTTCAGAATTTCTATATGAATTTTCAGATATTATCGAATTTTTTCCAAAAACTCACAATTTTGGCTTCAAAAATTCTCGTCAATTTTCAATTCTCAAAAAATTGAAAAATGAATTTTTTTAAAATGTTTCCAACGTGAAAATAAATGTTACGTTTAAAATGAAATATCTGAAATTTAATTTTGAAAAATGTCATTTTTGAGTTGTTCGAAAATGGAGAATGGTCATAATTCCTATGTGAAACCTGTGAGTTTTAAAATCTTCTTTCAGGAAAAATATGTTTTTTGTCAATTTTAAACCAAAATTCAAGCCCAAAACCTCACTTCCAGCAGCTTTCAATTTCTCCAATGCAATTTGTTGTTGCCTTTTCTGCGCAGCTGTCATATAAGTTCCCGCGGCTTTCTGTTTCTCAATCTCCAATCGTTTTGCTTCCTTCGCAGCTTCTTTCTTCTCCTTCTCAATTCTTTCTTGTTCCTCCCGTTGTTTTTCTAATTCCTTTTCTCTTTCTTCTTCTTCTTTTCTTATTCTTTCCTCTTCTTCCCGCATTTCTTGTTGCTTTTTCAGCATTTCTTTGATCAAATTAAGTTGTCCTTTTTTGCCTCCACCAGCTGCTTTTTTCTCCTCTTTTTCCTTCTTTTCCTTTTCTTTTTTCTTATCTTTTTTCTTTTGTTTTTTCTTATCTTTCTTTTCATCTCCTTCTTCTTCCTCTTCATTTTCTTCTTCTTCTTTAGTTTCAGTTTCAGCTTCTTCTTTAGGTTCCTCTACATTAGCCTCTTTTTTCTCTTTCTTTCCCTTCTTTTTCTTTTGATTCTGATTTTCCGTCTCTTCTGGAGCTGGAGCTGGAGATTCCTCTTTAATTTCTGCCTTCACTGGAACAGCAGCACTTTTATCCTCAATACTCGCTAAAATCGCGTCCAAATCATCTTCATCATCAACTTTTTTATCCTTCTTTCCTCCTTTTTTCTTTTCCTTTTTCTCTTTCTTGGCGGGTTTTGATTGAACTTCAACTTCACGTTCTGGTTCAGGTTCTGGTTCAGCGTCGGATTTTTGAGCAGCATCGTTGTCACTATCATCTTCTACCTGAAAAGTTTAATTTTGATTCAAAAATTTGCGGTTATTCAGATGAAAAAAAAACGTTATTATCTATTTACCTGAATTCCTTTTGACAATTTTTCCCCAACGATTTCTAGAAAAACTCACCAAAAACGAGGCGAAACCTTTTTTGGCAGCCCCTCTTTTCGCAGGTTTCGCCTTAGGCTCTTCTTCATCATCCCATTGGGTTTCACTCTTCTCTGCCAATTTCAAAGCAGCTAATTTCTTCTCCGCCGCATCATCGTCCCTAAAATCCAATTTTTCTCAAGAAAATCAATAAAACTCACCAATCATCATCCTTGTTCTTTTTTCCTCCTTTCTTTGGCGGCATTTCGACAGATTTTCAGTTTTTTTCGGGTGAAATTTGGCGCAAAATGGCGCAATTGCGAAAATGAATTAATTTTTCTGCAAGAATCGGTGTTTGCAGACAGACAGACACACACACGGTCACGCGCAATTGCAGACGTGTAGTTTTTTTTTTTTTTTCGAAAAAAATGAATTCTGTGCCGAAAAGAGGAAGACCGCGTGGATCGAAGAAAAAGCTTGAAGATAATTTGAAGAAATTGAGAGATGAGAGAAGTAAAGATGAAGGATTTTCAATAATGAGTGGATGGCTTCCTGATTGTAAATGTTTGAAAAATTGCGAAAATTTGAAAAAGATCACGGATATCAGAATGGAACTCAATAACACCGAAGAAACCCTGGAAATGCTTATAAATTGTTGGTCAACGTTAATTGAAGATAAAAATAAGGAATTATTAAAACGAGAATTGGGAAAATGCGGAGATCCAGAATCATTTTTCCAAAAATCCTTCGAAAAAATCTTGGAAACCAAGAAGAAATTAGATGCTTTTAATGTGCATTCGATTCCATCAAGAATCAAAAATTCCACGAAAAAATCCGAATTGTTTTTCGAGATAATGCTGAACACTCCGGCGATTTTTAGATTTTCCGAATTTTTGGAAACTGCGAAACCAGAGTGGGTTGAAGATATGGTGGAGACAAGGAAATTGTTGGATGATGAAACTATTTTTCGATCAGTTCGCACTGGAAAGGATACGATTTATATTAAAGAAACGGTGAGGGTATAATCGAAATATCAAATTTATTTATTTTTTAGTTTTCCACGTTATAACTTTTTTGAAGTTACAAAACGTGACACATTTTTAAGCAATTCGGGAAAAATTAAAACACAAATGTATAATCTGTAAAAAATCCTTTATATAAAATTTTTGTAGTAATAAATGTTATGAAATGCTCTACATTTCCCTATCAAAAAAACATATGAAAGATTTCGCAACATTCTTCCGAACTTATTGTTTTTGCAGCGTTTCCCAATTCTCCGAACTTTCCTTCAACATCGCTACAATTTTGATGTCAACGAATACATCAAATCAATCTGTCTCGACTTAACCAAACTTCCTCAACTCCTTCTAAAATTTGCTAGCGAAGCTTTGTTATTCTCCAGATTTCCGGATGCAAAAGATTGTTTGGTGAATTATTGGATTTTTGCAATTCTAACTTACCCGGAAGACGAGTTAAATATGAGTCAATTTCCGAAAATATTCACAGATTCGATAACTTTGGCTATCAATGAATTGGAACATGAAGAATTAATTGAATTCAAAGAAGACTCTTTTGATGTTATTCATATTTTGAAAAAACGAATGAAAATTCTAGATAAATATGGATTTCTAATTAATGTTGTATAATTTTCAAATTTTCCATTGACTTCCCATAAACATTTTCCCCTTTATTTAATAAACAAGCAAGTGCGCTCTGTTACAATGAGCGAAAGAGTGGAAAAGAGAAAAGAGACGCAGAGCGAACGCAGCATTCGATTTTTTCCTTCTCTTTGCAATAGTTTTTTTTCAGACAAAAAACAATAATTTCAGAGTCCTACTCAATGCTGCCCAATGGTTTTAATTACCTCAGTACGGTGTTAGCTGCACAGCAGCAGTTGCTTTTTGCGCAACGTGGAGGTAATTTTTTATTTTTGAAAAAATCACAAAAAAAATAAATTGAAAAAATCGCGCTTGTCAAAGGCGCACGTCATCGCCTCGAGACCTACGGTACACACCCCGTGCGTCTTCCACCCTACAGTATGAAATATTTTTGTTTTTTTTAGAAAATTATTTTTACTCGTGAAAAACCTAGTTATTTTCCAGTTGTGCCGATAAACGCAGTGCCAGGTTTACCAATTGGTATTCCATTACCAGCTTCTACACCAACCCGTCCTTCACCAATGCTTGTTCCACCAGGAATGGGAGCCGAAGACTCAGCAACCACTGATTCGCCAGATTCTGAATGGACTGAGCATAAACACACAGATGGAAGGATTTATTATCATAATCGGGTGACCAAGCAGAGTTCTTGGGTGAAACCGGATGCGTTGAAAAGTGCAGATGAGGTAAGAGAAGGTTTTTTGAAGAGAAATTATGATTTTAATATTATAATCTCGATAAACACGCTATTTTAAAACAATAGAAAGAGGGACAAATCGAGAGTTTGAGAGAGGGAAAAGAAGCTAGAAACACAGCTGAAATAGTACTACAGTACGCCATTTTACCATTAGCTGGCGCACAGCCAAGTGTGGTCTTGGCGCGATTTCTCTGCACTCTCTCTTTTTAGTGGATTCTCGATTTGTCCGTTCAAAATCAGCGTGTAAAAACTATTTAGTAATGTAAAAATTTTGTTTCAAAAGAAAAGGAAAATGTTGATACGTGAATTTAATGACGCAGCAGTTTAAAAATCGATTTTTAAATCATTTCTAATTATTTAAATACCACTAGTTATGACGTGGCATTATTGAGCGGTGAATAGTCATAATAAAAATTGATATGATGTAGCAAAGTTCAGCTCAAAAGGTAGAAAAAGAGGATAACTCTTTTGGAAATTATATCATGAGTTATACCGTGGCAAATATGTTTTATTTTTTCTAGAAATCTCAGCCAGTTTGGCGCGAATATCAAACCGAAGATGGAAAATCGTATTATTATAATTTGGCGACCAAAAAAACAACGTGGACAAAACCAGAAGGAGAAGAGATTGCTAGTGAGTTTCTTTCATCTTAAATGTTTATCCGACAAATTCAAATTTTTCAGAATTCGATCAAAAATCCTCTTCCTCTGCAGCAGCTTCTTCCTCAACTCCGGCTGAAAAATCCACAGCTGAAACTTCTGAAAAACCGGCTGAAAGCAAAATGAAACAGGAGGAATCTGAGATGGAAAAAGCGATGAAAGCAACATTGGCATCGATGATAAATGTTCCACTTCCAGCTGAAAAATCGGGAAAAAATGAGGAGATTTTGGCGACGAATGATGAAGGAGAATTGAAAAAAAGACAGGCGGAGAGATTTCGAGATTTGTTGAGAGATAAATATAATGATGGTGAGCAAGGGGGTGATTATAGATTTTTGGTCAGGGAAACTCAAATCTATGAACACATTCGAGAAAATTTGAATATACACAATTTTTGAATCAGAAACATTTTGAAGTTACCACAACTTGAAGAACCGTAATTTATCTCAATCTCAAAGTTATCAAATACCCTGGGGGTTGATTTTTTTATTATAGGAACATCTCTGAGTTAAGATAACTTGATGATAAACAAAATATTGAATTTTGCAATCAATAGCTTTTACTATCTGATTTGGATGGATTTCTATTAAGTTATCTTAAATCAAATATATTTTACAAGCCCAAAAAATCAAATGTTCCTTTCTTGAATATGAATTTCTAAATTTAAATTTTTCCTTGTTTTCCAGGCAAAATTTCAACAACTTGCAATTGGGATCAAGCTGTCAAATTCATCCAAAACGACCCACGTTTCCGAATTTTGACCAAAGTTTCCGAGAAAAAACAACTTTTCAACGCGTGGAAAGTTCAGCGACAAAAAGAAGAAAGGGTTCGTTTTTTTGCAGTTTATCATTTTTTTTTTCTTTAAAAACAAATCTATCTAACAAAAAATAACAGTTCTACTTCAAAGTGATACCATTTTCCTGCAATCGTTTTTCGGTTTTCTCGAAAATCTCTTCTTCTTCTTTATTTTCTTCAGTTGGATTTTCATTTTTGATAATTTGATATTCGTTGAGAAATTGTTGAGAGATGCTTTGTTTTGAACTGTCGATTTGAATGGCGGCCGTGTTTCGATATTTTTTGTAGAATTTTCTGGAAAAAAAGAATTTGAGTGTATTCGAGATGATTTATTTTTCGACAAAAATTCAGTTTCTTTTTCGAAGTCTCGTAAACTAAATTTCTTAGCTTAACTCCTAATATCAATTATGACGTGGCGAAGTTGAATGTCACCTTTTACAAAAATTATTTTTTTGGTATGATTAATTTCAAAAACAGAAATTCATTTTCAAGTGTGAAATTGAGCATACGTAAAATCAACTTCAAACGTTATCACGTCATAATTTATGTTGAGAGTTGAAACAGTCCAAATTTCGTAGATTTTGAAGCATTTGGCAGATTCTCAGTTGAAAATTTCATTAGAAATCACCACAAGAGCCGCCAAAATTGCATCATATTCATTTTCCCCCAACCAAAAAATGTTTTCTCCACTCACGCTCTCAAAACATCTTCCTCATAAAAAATGGGTCTAATCGGCTCGCCGTGCTTCGCTAATTTCACATTCCAATCCGGCGGCGATAATGGCGGAGAGCTCACATATACATCATACCTGCAAAAATATCGATTTTTCAATCACCAAAAGCTTCTCCCACTCACCACAACGGTCTGTCGGACCAACTCAATTGTCCCGCCCGAATCAAACCGGTTACCCGCGAAAAAATGTTGCCCGAACGTTCGGTACGCGCCACAAATTGAGCCATTATACTGGAAATCTAGGATTTTACGAGAGATTCGAGGTTTTTGGTGGAAAAACGGCGGAAAATGAAGAAAAAGAAAAGAAAAAATGAGGCCACGCCCACTGCAAAAGTGCGGCGCACATTTGCAAAATTGTTTATTTATTTTATTTTCACTCCGAAAAAACAGAAGCTTTCCCCCTTTTCCTTGATTTTATAATAAATTTCCCTTTTTTTCAGGATGAGAAGCGTTTGGCAATCAAAAAAGCAAAAGAGGATCTCGAAAAATTCCTGCAAGAAAATCGACAAGTCAAAGAAACCCTCAAATATTCGAAAGCTTGTGAAATTTTCGGAAAAGAGCCAATTTGGCAAGCTGTAAATGATGAAGATCGCCACGATATTTTCCGAGATTGTCTGAAGTTTGTAGCGAAACGAGATGAGGAGAAAAAGAAAGAGGTTCAGACAAAAAATATTCAATCACTTTCGGCAATTTTACAAAGTATGGATCAGATTACGTATAAGACGACTTGGGCGCAAGCGCAACGATTATTGATTGAGAATCCGGCATTTGCTAACGACACTACGTTGCAAAGTGAGTTCGGGGGGGGGGATCCAGATTATGGGAGCGTCGCTTTAAAAATTGATTTCTCCCAAGAAAATTCTAGTGTTTTGGTTTTAAAATTTTTTTGAGATGAGAAATTTAGCGCTGAAAAAAAGATGGGAAAAATTTGTAGAAATCGCATTTTTTCACAAAATAAAATTTAATTTTGTTTTCAGTCATGGATAAAGAAGATGCCTTGATCGTATTCGAAGAACATATAAAAGCCGCCGAAATTGAGCACATTGAACAGAAAAAATTGGAATCAAAAAGACTTCGAAGACAAGAAAGAAAAGTTCGTGAACAATTCCAACAATTGCTGGCAGAATTGCACAAAAAAGGAGAGCTAACATCAGTTTCTCTATGGAAAGATTTGTTCAGTGGAATATCAGCGGATCATCGATTTGATGCGATGTTATTGCAATCTGGTTCAACTCCTTTAGATCTTTTCAAATTTTTTGTTGAAGATTTGAAAGAGCAATATACAGAAGATCGAAAGAGGATTAAGGAAATTTTGGCGGAGAAAAATTTGGAAGTTAGGCCAAATACAGAATATGATTTGTTTAGCGAATGGGTTTTGTCGCATCCAAATGGAGGAAAAGTTGATCATGGAAATATGAAATTGTGCTATAATTCGATGATTGAAAAAGCAGAATCGAAAGTGAAAGATGAAGAAAGAGAAATTGCGAGGAAAAAGAGAAGAATTGAAAATGAATATAAAGGATTATTAAAGGCGCAGGAAGTTGGAATTGAAACTGATTGGAATGTTTTGAAAGGAAATATTGAGAAGGAAAAAGCATATGAGGCGGTCAGTTTTTTTGGGGAATTATTTGCGAAAAATCTGATTTTATAGTAAAAATGAATTATATTAAAAATTTAGTGCCAAAAATCCTACCTAGAAGAAAACAATTTTTTTTCGAAAATAATATAAATTTGAATTTTTAATTTTTGATGACATCAATAATTCACTTGTAACTTTGTTCATCCAAATTCTCATTTTCGACGTAAAAAACTATTTTGTTCAGGTTGGCTCCGAAGAAGAATGTGAAAAATTGTTCCGTGATTATGTAACTGCTTTGAATGAGGCTTGTCATCATATTCATGCACCATCAAATGGTGAAAAATCAAAGAAAAAGAAGAAAGATAAAAAGAAGAAGAGCAAAAAAGAAGAGGTTTGTGAGATGGGCATTTTTCAACTGATAATATGAGCATTCTATATTTCTTTTGGAATTTACACTGTTAACAATTTTTCAAGCCTTGAACCATTTGTGGAAATTTTGAAACAGTAGAAAATTTTCTACATGATCAAAATATAGTAAACACTGAAAAACTACATGAATTTTTTGAAACAGTAAAAAATATTCACAAAAAATTTTAAAAACGGTTTCGGAAAAAATCTTTTTGACCTGAAAATTAATTTTTCAAATCTGCAAAATTATTATTGGTTTATTAATTATTTTCAAACCTTATTTTTTCAGCGTGCTGATTCAGAATCTGAAGGTGAAATTCGAGAGAAAAAGAAGAAAAAGAAGCATTCGAAAGATCGAAGCGATGATGAAAGTGGAAAAAAAATTGAAAAAATCCCGAAAAAGGTCGCATTCTGAACAAAGTGATTATGAAGTGGAAAAAAAGAGAAGGGTAAGTGGGGGTTATGATCCATCAAATTTCAAGGGGTGCTGTACCCAAAATTCTGTAATTTCTTTATACGAGTCTCAAAGAATATAATTCCATGTTGCTTTAAAATTTTGGGGTGCTGTACATAGCTCCAAGTTTTCTGTATTTATTTTTCTACAGTAAGCCACAAAATAATAAATAATATTTTTTCCAGCACGAATCGGATTCCAATTGATCTCTCCTTTCTCCTAATTTAATTTGTATTTTTTTTCAATTTTCTTTCTTTAAATAATATATAATTGGTTTGTTTTAATAAATTAATATATTTCATAAAATTTTTGAATTTTCGAAGTTTTTCCGAGTTTTAATAACTCTTGAATATCTCCTTCCGATTTTTTTTCAAAATTCCCATCGAAAACATTTTAGATGTCCTCGAAAACCAAGCAAAATTTGGCGGATTCGAAAAAAATGTCGGCTGAACTTTTTTGTCTGACATACGGTGCAATGGTGACGGAAATGTTGAAAGGTTGGCATTTTTGGGAAAAAATAAGCATGAAATTACCAAAAGCACATTTTTGGCTTTAAAAAACTTTCAAACAATTCAATTAAACATTTTTTCCATAAAATAATCAATTTTTCGAAACTCCTCAAAAATTCACAAAAGCTAAAATATATTTGAATGTTCACGAAGATCAAGATTTAGAAATCACCCGGAAAATTGTTTCAAAATGTATTTTTTTGGAACAGTAACATTTTTCCTCAAAAGTTTCTGAACAAGGAGATGATAATGAAACATTTTAAAGTTATTTATTTTTAAAACAAATTGAAACAGTCATATTTTTCACATAAAATTATGATCCTCCAAATTCTCTCATTTTTTCTTCAGATTACGAAGATCCAAAAGATGTAACAATTCAATTGGATAAAATGGGTTTTAATATGGGAAGTCGATTGGCCGATGATTTTTTGGCAAAAAATGCGAATGTTCCACGATGTGTTGATACTCGACAAATTGCTGATGTTTTGTGTCGAAATGCAATTCCATGTTATTTGGGAGTTAATGCAACTGTTACGAATTGGTCGAATGGTGATCGAGATTTTAGTATTATTTTAGAATCAAATCCGTTGACGGAATTAGTTCAGGTGAGGCAAGATTTGGGAAAATTTGATAAGAAATATTCAAAAATTGAGATTTCTGAAAAGTTCCATTTTTCCCACCAAAAATGTTTTTAAAAAACAACCAGAAAAATTTACGTTTCAAAAAAATTACATAGTCTTCATAATCAAAATTAATTTCAATAGTTTACAAGAAGAGATTTGAAATTTAGAATTTTATTCAAAGAATTTTGAAACAGTGAAATTTTATCAACTTTAATTTGAATTATTTAAAAATTTCCATATATTTTCACTGTTTCAAAATGTTCATGTATTTTCCAAGTTATTGAACAATTTTGTAATGTTTTTCAATTTCAAAAAAATCAACAAATAATAATTGGTTCATCCAAAAATGCTTGATTTTCATCTTCCAAAATTCTCAATTTTTCCAGGTTCCTCCACATCTAATCTCAGCCGGTCTTTCATATTCTCAATTAATAGCCGGTGCAATTCGCGGAGCTCTCGAAGCAGTTCATTTCAAAGTTTTCGCTTCGGCCGTTCCCGAATCCTCAAATTCCAACACTGAAATTCGCATTCGATTCGATCAAGTTTTGAAGGACAGTATTCCGGCTGGAGAGGATGATTAATTATTTATTGATTTTGAAAATTGATTGAAAATGTGCATAAATATGGGTTACTGTAGAGACGATTTTTTGTAGCCTTGTAGATTTCGAAAGCGGTTGAAAAACTGATGAAATTTTGTAAATTAGTGCCACGTGGCAATTAAGACCGAAATTTTGGGCTGTAAATTCTGAAACAATACATTTTCAGATTTTTCTGAAGAAAAAAATATTTCACTGTTTCGAAAATTCAATATTTTCTAGGGAAATTTTTCAATTTCGATTAGAATGTTGCAGATGAATACTAAATTTTTTGAAACAGTTAAGTATTTTTGTGAGAAAATTGGGTATTGCTCATGTTAAAAATTACAGTAAATGAATGAATTTTTACTGTAGTGTACTGTAGAACAAGTTTTTAAAAGAAAGTGCTTATAATAATAATTATCGATACATAGGAATTTGGTGGGAAAACCACCCAAAAAAGAAATAAAGCAAGTAATACAAAAAAAATGAGAGATCACACCAATTAATTGCCTTTTCAATAAATCAATTAATTAATTAGCCGGTGGCAATCGTTCAATCAAACATTTTGCGGCGGAAGCGGCGCGAATTGCCGCATGCGTTTGCCAAACTTTCGCAGCGCGACTTTGTCCATGTTGATAATCGGCAATTCCGCGGATCAATGTCCACGATTTGACACAACTTCCCACAATTGCACCAACCACCGAATCAAAACCAGCATCCATACAGCGAATCGAAAAAGATTCAGCGAACGATTCGCGAATTTTATCTAATTCTTGCGATGATTCGCCGCCGCCAGTTTCATTCGCAGCAAATCTGCGAATCGTTGCCATTCCTCCAATTGTTCCCAGATGAATTTCAGGTCCTTGACGAGTTTCAGCATTTGGGTGCGGCATTACGACGACGTTTCCTTTTGAGACTGGCATTGCCAAAACATCTGTTGATTCGGGAGGTTGTTTCCAATCGGTTTCTGAAACAATATATGCGTCAGTAAAGGGTTTGCTTGCGTATTTTTTGTAGAGATTTCCTGGATTAGGAAGGCAAATTTTTTAGATAATCAAAAGTTGTTCATCTTTGGAAAATGAGTCAGCAAAACGATTCACTGACGCATTTTCTGTAATTACAAAAATTGCGTCAACAAAAGCAAATTTGGTCTCAAAAACCGCCAAATTTTCCACCCCATCTACTCCCTGAAAATCACTCACCATTTCCATGTTTCGCCAATTCATCAATCGCATTTTCTGTCAATTCATTCCATTTTTTTCTTAATTCTTCGCCACCATCCAACACAATGTTCTCAATTGTTTTTTCTGAAGCATCCCAATTTCGAACCGCAAATCCGGTGATTATTTCAGTTTTTCGATCCACCAAAACATCGTGTGCATAAACATATTGATGTGGCCGAGATGAAGAGATTATGACGTCACCTGATAAGGAAACATGGGGGATTTTTTAGGGAACCAGAGTAAAAACTCACCTAATCTTGCGTGCAAACTTGCATCTGTGAAATGTGGAACAGCTCCACCAACTCCGACAATAAATACGTGTTCAATGTTTTGGAAGTTGCCAAGTAATCTGGAAACGAATTTCAAAATGTTTTTTCTTCAAAATCTTACCTTGTTGTAATAGATCCAGCACTCGTAATCGCTTCTCTCGAATCTCCAATCAATGCCAATTTTGTGGCCACAATTTTGTGTTCACCAATTTTTCCAATTGTGTAAACATTCGAATCTCCGCCAGATTTATATTTGTGAATTGTTTGACTGTCTTTAATGAGTGAATCAATGGCTTGTTTTTCAACAAAAAGACATGAGATTATAGCAATTGTTGGTTGATCAGTAGAACTCGATGTGGAGGCGGCTGCAAAATTTCAGAATTAAAAATGATGTCAAAGAAATTTTGAAACGTATTTTTACTGTTGTTCCCTACCATTTTTATGTGCTTCAATACTTTCATCAACTTTTCTCGCATCAACTCGAATCCATTCATCTCCAACTTTTCTCGCGATTCCCAATTTCTCTAATTCTCTCAAAAATTCATCAGCTTCTTCTTCTTTACATCGCAAAACTTCGGAAATTGTTGAAATTGGAAGACCATTTGGAAAAGCGTGTTCGAGAACTTCTTGAATATGTCCAGCTGTGACTTCTTCGATTTCTGACGTGGAATCTGGAATGAAAAATGTGATAGGAGGTTGGAAGAAGAGAGAGTTTGGGGAAGTAGGGAGTTGAGGAATTCAGCAGGGAAATTAATTATTGTGGGAATTTTAGGGACCGATTCAGAGGTTTGAAAGACATTTCAGCGGATGTTTGGGTAAAAACGTTTCTCGGAAAAATTATTTTCAATTTCACAGGGGAATTCTGGGTGACTTTGGGTAAAATTTAGGTTATTCAGGGTTTTGTCAAATGTGGAAAAATTTTTTATATGCATTTGGTTAAATTAGCGATTTTTACCTTTTCCTATTGTATTTCTATCTGAAAATACAATTTTCAATCACTTTTTTAGTCAAATGTTCTAGCAAAATTCTCACCATATTGTGTAGCATCAGGAATCGCAACCTGTTCCTCAACCTCAACAATCTTATAATCAATAACCAGTGTTTGAATTTCCTCAAACTCTTTTTGCATCAAATTCATAGCTCTTTTCATAAATTGAACATAATCAGAAGGCAAATTTGATAATAAATTTCTGAAGAATTTGTGAACAACAGCTTTTCCCGTCTCGATTTCTACATTTTTTCGAAGATTGAAATAAAGCGATCGTTTTTCTTGAACTTGTTGCTGATTTTTGTCGCCTAATGAAACACTGAATGAAAGTGAAACATCCGGTTGGAAATCTGTAAGAAAATCAGAATTTAGTGCGCCGAAATATATATTTTTTAAGATATATACTAAAAAACATATATTTCATCAAAAACAAAACCGTTTTCAGGTGTTACTGTTCGAAAACTTTATCCCACGTCATTCCCCAGTATTTAAAAACTCACCCAAAGTTGCATTTTTCTCCAATTTATTGATGATAATTCCAGTATGTTGACCACCAGCAATCAACAAAGTTTTCTCCGATTTCGCCGTTTCTTCTCGATGTATTTTCACCACATAATGCCCGATTTCTTGTTTGAGCGGCGTCAAAACCACCAGCTCTCCTTTCATCGTCGTTATTTTCATCAATTTCAGATGATTTCGCGCTGAAAAACGCGTTGGATTCCAGAAATGAAATTTGTTCGAAATGAAAGAGAAATTCTAAATGAAAACACGCGGCGCGCGTCAAGACCCACATGTAAAAATATGTGCGCCTTCAATTTGCACCGTATTCATTTTATTTATTTTTTTCTAAATAATTTTTTTCAATTTTTCCGGCGCCCCAGAAAAATTTCGAAATAAATAAATAAAAAGATAAGGCTATGTTCCAAAAGCTTGATGGAACGAGAAAAAGAAAAAAAACAACATTTTACGACCAAGAAGAATTTTTTGTGGAAAAAACACACAGAACAAAACTTTTTTTATGAGTCAGTGAGAAAAAACGAAGAGAGAGTCTATCTATCATCTGGGAGAATCCCCCGGGGAGAAAACTATATACTTTTTTTCATTGGATAGTTAATTCAGAAAGGAACACTTTTTGAGGAAAAGTGGGTTTTTGGGGCCCAAAAACTAGATAGTAAAATTTTTCAAATATTGAAATCCACCTTTTTGGTGCTATGTCCAAAACACAATATCAAAAAATCCTACTGTAATTCAAAGGGACACGCAATTGTATCACAACAAGGTCTCACTACATTTTGTTTTCATCTCGTTTTTTTTCAAAAAAAAATTAGGAAAAACCAGTTTTTTTTGCATGACAAAAACCACTAAAAAAGGAAAAAAAGAAACATCTGCTTATACCAAAAAAGAAGGACGAGAGAGTGTGGAAAATGTGGAGAGTATTGATTTTTGGTGCTTTATTATTACTATTATATTATATGCAAAAAAATTGAAAAGAAATTGGGGTTTTTGTTCTGGCGCCAAGCGAAAAAGCCATAAATGTCGAAATATCGGAGGTGTTCCAAGGTCATATTTTGGAAAATCCAATTCATCACAAAAAGTTTTTTTGTGAAAAAATGAATAGGAAAAAAAGAAAGGGAAACACCAATAATCAGAAAATCAAATAAAAAATGAGAACAAATTTTTCCGAAATTTTCAAAATTGATTTTTGGCCCGAAAACGTTACTTTTGAATTACAATTAGAAGAATAGAAAAATCACACGTGGATTTTTGGGCACCAAAGTTTATTTATTCAAAAATAAATAGGATAAGACTGGAAAACATCAATAATCAGAAAATCAAACAAATCAGCAGAATCACAAAGAATTTTATTCAAAAAATACACAAAACATAAATTTATACATGGGAAAATAGATAAATCAATAATTGGGCATCATATTAATTTTTGGTAATTTGGCCAACAAAACTTTCACCTGTTCTTTTTCATCAAAATCGCGCCATAATTTGTACATTTTATAGATTTGATCTACACAATCAACAACTTTGTCGATATCCACTGATAATTCAGAGAGCCATTGTTGGATTTCATCACCGCGGCCCATTAATTCGGTTCCAACAACAAGCGATGCTGCAAACATTATTAATTTGATTGAGACATTTTTAATTTCAAAATATTATTGAAACAGTGATATTTTTAGTTATGTTTTCTAAATTTTTCAAATTGAAACAGTGATACATTTTTTCAAAAAATTTTTAAACCGATAAAAACATTTTGAAACAGTGGATTTTCCTAACAATATTCGTGTAAAATCTAAAAATTTACAAGAATGAATACATTTATTTTGAAACAGTTAAATTTTTGGATATAAATATTTTTGATTTCACTTGAAAAATTGTGAAATATTTGGGTGATTTTTCGGCATTTAAAAACATCAACTATAATTTTTATTGGAATACGTGAAGTGTCACAGCGAAACTCACGGATTGCAAAAAATTATCAAAACATTTTGAAACGTATATTATTTAGGGAAAATTTTCTGGGCTTGGAAAATTGAGTAAGAATTTTCTAGTTTTGAAATTGTTTTCTCAATCTTTCCGTAAAAATTTGCTCTAAAAATTCAAAATTATCAAAAAAAAACAATTATGAAACTGCATTTTTTCGATATTTTTTCGCTGTTTTCCTCCACAAATTCCCTGACTTCCAAAATAACTCACCAATAGCAATAATATGTGGTGGAAACAATAATCCAACATCACATCTCAATGTATCATTTACAACTTTATGACATTGTGCTTCAATTTGATCGAATTCTCTTAATTGTACATTTTTATTGATATCTGTTAGAAATTGATTGAGTGGACGATTTGGATGATAAACTATTAAACAACAATCCAATATTTCGACCAAAACAAATTCCGCGTCATAAACATTGCCATTTTTTGAGAGGGAAGAATCGAATGGAACTCCCCATTTTTTGGGAACTGTAAGAAAAAATACATACTCGAAAATTCGGGCAAGATTTCTATTTGAAATTGAATTTTTCCACCCAAAAGAACTCACGAATCTGTGCAGTATTTTTCAAAAAACTCGAAACACTCAATGGTGTGTGCTCTTCAACTTTACACGCCAAAAATAAACTGGTACAAGACACCAAAAACGGATTCATATCTTTGAAACTTCGCCGACAATAAAATCGCTTGAAATATGTGACGGCAGTTGCAATAACTTGTTGGCGAATTCGCGAATTATTCGCAGGAACATGGACTCCTTCAGTCGCCACTGATGTCATAACTGCAAAACATTGATATTTGTTAGTAAGAGAAAAATGGAGTTCCCCTAATAATTTCACGTCAAAAATTCATGATTTTTGCAATTAAAAAACATACAATTCGCCCAAAATATATGAAATTTCGCGTATTCTTCCTCCGTAAACAACTTATAATCTTCTGATCGACTTCGCATAAGTTCAGTTTTGTCGAAAATCCATTGCTCTCTGAAAATATCGATTCACTCTATTCGATCAATTTTTCTATCAGAAATCACTTACGCATGACTACTTTGCCAGAAATTCGCCGCCATTTACGTGTCCCGAAAAAACAAAAAAAACAATTTTTTGAAGAAAAAACGCCGTGCTAAAGTGCGCGCATGCGGAGTGTCGTTGCTCGCATCTTTCAGAGTTAGAGGTTTAATAGAATTTTCAGCAGAATTCATGGGTTTTTGAGGAAAATAATGTGTCTTTTGAGATTCCTTATGTTCCAGCCGTTATTTTGATATAAAAACGATATGATTTCCACCGGTATTATTATGTGAGAAACTAGGGTTTTTCTCAATGATTATTATTCAATTCAGATTCTACTTATTTCTCTCGCTTCTCTGCACTCTCTCATCTCGGACCTCATCTCTATTTCCTCGAGCAACAACACAAAAATCGATTTCGAGGAGCCTGAGGCCCCCTCTTCCCCCTTCTCTTTTTGAATATATCAGAAAAGATTGAGAGACGCAGAGAAACAACACTTTTTCCTTCTCTTCGGGGTTTTTTATACCAACTTACTTCTTTTTTACTTTTTTTTATTCATCTCTCATCAAAGAAAAATTAATCTCTTTTCAGACAAAAATCTCTTTTCTCCCCTCGAAAATCTGAAAAATAAATATTATATATCTGAATATGTATACATAATTTTTTGCTGTTGGTTGGTTCCTGATTTGATTATTTTTCGCCGGGCACCAAATGCTTTTAGGCGAGAATAATTTGCACGAGAAAAAACAAATTGGATGAATTTCTAGTTCTAGTTATGCTCCGCCTTTTTATTTATTTATTAGTTAGTTTTTGGAGGAATAGATGGCTCTTTTGTAAAATGCAAGTGGCCGAAAAATTAGGTGAATTCAATTTGGAGTGCAAAAATCCACGTGGAAACATTTTTAGACCTATAATTTTGAACTATTAGTTTCCATGTGGATTTTTGGCTCAGAATTGAAAAAATAAAATTTAGGAGCTTGCTGCAGAAAATCCACGTGGCATAAATTCGAAAATTCGATACCTTTTAATTTCTCAAATTTGGCGTGAAATTCAAAATTTCGAAAATTAGAAGCTCAAGAATCCACGTTGCAAAATTTTGAATTTGAGATTTTTAGTGCGAAATTCGAAAATTCAAATTTCTTATTTTGGTGCTTCTCTTCTCCAGTATAAATTTACATGTTCCAAAAATATTTATTTTTTGTTACATGCAAGAAAAATAAATATTTTTATTAGATATTTGCGTGGGTGTTCATTCTTTCTTTCGTTTTTTATTCTATTTCTCTTCCATGTTTTCATTTTTGCGTGTCTTTTTCTCCTATTTCGTCTCTTCTTCTTCGTTCTGATTAGATGTGGTTCGATCGAAAATTGCCTGAGGACGACCAAAAAAGAGCGCACGCATTTTTTGGCGATGATGTTTTTGTTGGTTTTCTAGAAGTTTTTTGACCTTTTTCAGACAAATCCCAAAAGACCAACTCTCTTTTTTTCGGCTTCATCCGGGCGGTGGGAAAATGTTCTGATTGCTCCAACTTTTCAGCGCGGCGGAGAATAATGGCAAAAAAAACAAAAAAGAAAAATTCATTTTGTACAGTAGTTTTTCAAAGGCACACGCAATTGTGTGTGTTAGTCTCGCACCGTTTTAAGTTTATTAATTTTTCATAAAAAATTCAGCTACGTTTTTTTTTATTTTTCAGCTGCTTTTTTTTTCGCGGAAAAGCTAAAAGCTGGGTTTTTCATAAGCATACAAAAAAAATTTAACAGAAAAATTCATTCTGTACAGTACTTGTTTCAAGGCACACACAATTTTGTGTATTGGTCTCGCTCCGTTGTAATTTATTTATTTATTTTCCTTCTTCTTCTCTGCTCAATTTTCCCAATTTTCGGCCTGAAAAAAGCTAAAAGCTAACTAATTTGCGCGCGTTTGGCTGAAAATGACACTTTTTCTCGAATTTCTCGCCTCATTTTTCACATAGTCTCCATTGGAAACGATGTGAAACGAGAAAAAAAGAGAAAATAGAAAATAATTGAAAAAAGAATGAATAAATATGTATATATATATATATATATTTCTTTTGACTATAATTATAGCTAAACATGTGACGCCTTTTCTTTTTTCTTCTTCTTTACTTAATAGCCTCTTCTTTTTGCTCGTTTTTCTCTTCAAACTTTTTTTTCGCTGCTTTTTTCCTTTTTTCAGTGCAAAATCCATTTTGCTCCTTCTTTTTTGCAGTTGTCAACTTGTCAAGAAGACGTGAAAACTCAATTTCCGCCTTTTTTATTTTTTTCTTCTTCTTCAATTTTTTTGTGAGGAACATTTTCTTTTGTAGAGCTTGAAAATTGATATTCATTCTAGAAAATTCAGGGAAAATTTGAAATTCTCTAGTTTGGCACAACATTGAAATATTCAAAACTTTGAAAAAAATCCACGTGGAATTTTTCTTAATGTTTGGCGCTCAAAAGTCTACATGACAAAAATTAATTTCAGACGTCTGGTCTCTGAAATCTTATTTCAGAAAAAAATCTAGTAAATTTTTGTCAACCAAGTCATACGTCATAAGTCTGGAAATCAGAATCCTGAAATTTATTTTTACGGAATATCCACGTGGTAATGTTTAGAGTGAGAATGTTTAAATACAGTAAGAAAAATTTCACGTGCATTGGAAAAAAAATTAATTTCAGGATTCTAATACTTAAAATTTGCCACGTCATAACTTTGCTCCATAAATCGGAATTTTCATAAGCCAATCCACGTGGCATAAAAAAATCAAGCTTCTTAATTTTGACATCTCAAAAATGAATTCCAGGGATCTGAACCTCAGAATTTGCCACGTTATAACTTCACTACAAAAATTCAGAATTTTCAAAACCAAAATTTTAGCACCAATCCACGTGGCTTGTAATTGTTTCCACGTCAGCTCTTGCTCTCTAAATGCACGTGGCATTTCAAAAAAATAAAATAATTTTCCAGAGTCGCGCTCGGAGCCCAATAAAAATTCCTCTTCCAATTCTGGCTCATTTTTTTGCATTTGGTGCTCAGTCTCGTTTTTTTCTTGCTTTCTCGAGAATTTTAGAGACGCAGAGAAAATATAGAGCTCAGCTCTGTCTCTCTTCTTTTACTTCTTCTTCGTTTTTTTCACCACCCCTTTTTTCACTACTACTTCCATTTTTCTTCTTCGTTTTTTTTTGCCTAATCGATTTGGTCTTGGCTGGAAAAAATAAAAAGGAGAAGAATTATGTATTTTCCTGGAATTTTGCCTAATTTTTATTTATTTATTTATTTTCTTCTCCCAAAGTTTGAAAAAAATGAGCAAATAAAATAAAATTTCAATTTCAATTTTTCGCACCGAAATAGTTTTAATGTTTTGAAGTGAATGTTCCTTCGAACTATTTTCCAATCAAAATTTCAATTGATCAACACTTTGGAATATTTTTCCACGTGGATCCCAAATTTTGGAGAAAAATATTTTTAAATGTACATATTTATTTTCCTGGAATTTTTTTTCTATTTGTGATTTTTGAGAGATTTTTGCCTTGTTATTTTATTTTTTGCGAGACAGAAAAATGAGACGATTTTTTGCGGCTAATTTGTTGATGAGCAAAAAGAGTACTGTAGTAGGGTAGATTGCTGCTATTTTTAGAGATTTGAAAATATGAATATGATGATATTTGGGATTCTTGATTTTTGAATTTGAAACTTTATTTGGCTGTTTAATATGAGCAATATTTTTCACTGAGTTACCTTTTTGAATCCAATTGATCCAGTAAGACGCAAAATTTTTGATCTACAAAATTTCCATTTTCTTCTCATAATATATTTATTCTCCATTTTCAGTCATACTTGTTGATTTTTCTTTTTTTTTTTCTATTTTGTCTATTTTTCAATATAAACCTTGTTTTTCGTCTCTTCTTTTTCTCTTTTTTCTTTTTTTTTATATCAATACAATTTTGTTGAGCACAGGCATAAATTTCTGACTTTTTTTCCTGCTGGCTCTGCCCCTTGCCACGATTACACGTTTCACGTTTTTTAAATAATTTTTTTCGTTTTCATCTATTTTTCTTCACTAATTTTCGAAATGCAAAAAATCAGAAATGCTTATTCATTGAAAAAAAAACGTGCCGCACCTTGCAAAATAAATCCCGCCTCCCGATTCACGCGAGAATTTGTTTTTTCTGCGACAGGAACTTCTGAATTAAAAAAGTCAAGAATTTATGCCTGTGGTTGAGCACAAAAAAGCAACTCATACTAATCACATTCCTCCCCCTTATTTTTTTTCGCTTTTTTCGTTTTTCTCACAAAAAAAACACGGCTCGATAATCCTTCACATTTGCCTTCGAAAAATCAATTTTTGTTTTTTTTACTGAAAAATTTCGAGTATCCGGGAGTTTTCTGGAACTTTCTTTTATTGAAAATTGAAAAACAGCTTTCAAATCTTGAAATTTCTGAATTTAAAAAAGCGTGACCTAATTTTTTCTGAAATTAATTTTAAAAAAAAATTCATTTTCGAGAATTCGAAATTTTGAATATAGCTGGAAATGTTTTTGTAAGTTTTTCTTTTGAAATTTTCAGCCAAAAAATTCTCCCCAAGTTTTTTTCCAGAAAGAAACTCAAATAAAAGTCATATTTCTGGCGGTTTTTAATTAATTTTTTATTGAAAACTTTTTAATTAATAACATTTTTTAATTAATGAAAGTTCTGAAATTTCAAAGTTTTTCAATATTTTTTTGAGTTAAAGTCCAAAAAAATCTGACAATTTTTTTTGTGATTTTTTTTTGCATTTCTCGAAACTTCCTCACTATTTAAAAAATCAAATTCAAATTTATATTTAATTTTTGCAGACACCAAAACCAAGAAGCAAAGATGGCAGACTTGGAAGCAGTGCTGGCTGATGTCAGCTATTTGATGGCAATGGAAAAAAGTCGAAGTCAGCCAGCGGCGAGAGCGAGTAAAAGAATTGTTCTGCCTGATCCGAGGTTAGTTCGAGATCTCTTATTTTGAGCAGCAGAAAAAGATTTTCTGGAAACTTGATTTGTATAAATTAAAAGTTTGAAGTTCTTAATTTTGCCACATGGAAACAATATCGTTCTCCAAAATTCTTATCAATTTAATATTTCAGTGTGCGAAGTATAATGCAAAAATATCTGGAAAAAACGGGCGAAATCAAATTCGACAAAATCTTCAATCAAAAACTCGGTTTTTTGTTGCTCAAAGATTTTGCGGAAAATGTTGCAGAAAATGCGTGTCCACAGATCAAATTCTATGAAGCCGTGAGTTTTTTTTCGATTTTTCTACAGTAACCCATGAAATTATTATTAGTTTAATTTTTAGGGGTTTCGAAGCGATAAACTTACAGTAACCCAAAAAAAAGTTCTCCCCCTTTTCCGGGTCCCCAGACGAATACAGTAACCCCAATGTTTTTTGTAGATCAAAGAGTATGAGAAAATGGAAACACCGGAAGAACGTTTGACAAAAGCTCGTGAAATTTATGATCATCATATTATGGTTGAGATGTTGGCACATTCACATGTGAGTTTCAAAATATTTTAGCGCGAAAAAAATATTGATCGATTTTATTTGCAGAATTATTCCAAGGAAAGTCTACAACATGTACAATATCATTTGCTGAAAGGAAATGTTCCACCAGATTTATTTCATGTTAGTTTTTCAGGGGAAGAGGATTTTAGGCACACAATTTGAAAATTTAAATCTTGAAATTTTGGTTTTTGCCACGTGGAAAATAAAGTTTCGAAAAATCAACGTGGAAAGCGAAGCTCAAATATTTATTTTTAAAATTTGCGCTTCAAGTTATCCGTGTCCACGTGGCACCCAAAATTTGATCCCACAAAATTCCACGTGTCAAAACTCTCCAATTTTTTCAGCGTTACGTGTTGGAAATTTGCGATCAACTAAAAGGCGATATATTTCAAAAATTCTTGGAAAGCGAAAAATTCACACGATTTGCTCAATGGAAAAATTTGGAGCTGAACATGCAACTAACAATGAACGATTTCTCGGTGCATCGAATAATTGGCCGCGGTGGATTTGGTGAAGTTTACGGGTGTCGAAAAGCGGATACGGGAAAAATGTATGCGATGAAATGTTTGGATAAAAAACGCATCAAAATGAAACAGGGTGAAACATTGGCGTTGAATGAAAGGATTATGTTGAGTTTGGTGTCGACTGGAGTAAGTTATTTGAGGGGCGAAGTTTGAAATTTTTAAGAAAAAGAAAAATGTATGCCCATTCATTTTTTGTTGTTTCACTGTTGTTTCATTTCAAAAATTTCACTGTTTCAAAGAAATTTAATGAACATTTTGAGATTGAGAGAATGTTTTTTTTTAGTTCCCGCTTACTTCAAAATAATTATTTTCAGTTTGGTCTTGAGTGAATATAGTTTTGTTTTTGAATATTTTTCGGAAAATTTCTAATTTTTGTGCTAAAAGTCCTAGTTTCTCAAATGTTTCCTGTCAAAATTGAACAATTTTGAACGCACTGAAATTTTTCCCAAATCCTAAAAATTAACTGTTTCAGAGTTATCATAATGTAGAATTTGAAGAAGAAAAACGTTACCATTCATATTTTCGGTACTGAAAATTAGTTGGATAATTTTTTGAATTGTAATTTCAACTGTTTCAATGTCAATGAGGAATTTTAGAGGAAAAATATTATAATGAACACCAGAAGAAATAATTTACTGTTTCAAAATTTTCATTTAAATTTTTTTGAGTTATCATAAACGATTCGTTTGACATGTTTTCAGCATTATAAAATTGAATGAATCATATTCAAAACCCTCCTAAAAAGCTTTGAAAATCTCCCAAAATTTCACAATATCTATTTTTGCAGCAAGATTGTCCATTTATTGTATGTATGACTTATGCCTTCCAATCACCGGATAAATTATGTTTTATTCTTGATTTGATGAATGGCGGTGATTTGCATTATCATTTATCACAACACGGTGTTTTCACAGAACAGGAAATGTTATTTTATGCTTCGGAAGTGATTTTAGGATTGGAACATATGCATAATCGATTTGTTGTTTATCGAGATTTGAAACCAGCTAATATTTTATTGGATGAAAATGGACATGTTAGTTTTTGAGGGAAAACGAAAAGGGAACAGGGATTCTTGCAACAAAAAAAACTTTTTAAAAGATATTTGAGAAAATCATAGGGTTTCTGATTTTGAAAATTGTCATTTTTTCAGTGAAAATTTTACTTTTTTTTTTGGAAAATTCAAATTCAAATTTCCACTCCTGATTTTCCTCTGTTCTCAAAATATTGATTTTTTCCAGGTTCGTGTCTCTGATCTCGGTCTCGCCTGTGATTTTTCAAAAAAGAAACCGCATGCTTCTGTCGGAACACATGGTTATATGGCTCCAGAGGTTCTAGCAAAAGGAGTGGCTTATGATTCTTCAGCTGATTGGTTTTCACTTGGTTGTATGTTGTATAAATTATTGAAAGGACATTCGCCATTTCGACAACATAAAAGTAAAGACAAAAATGAGATTGATAAAATGACTTTGACACAGGTGAGACAATCGACGGAAAAAAATTTAGGCTAGGGTCGAAAAATGTATTTTTTGCAGGACATTGAATTACCAAACGAAGGTTTATCTCGAGATTGTCGCGATCTTCTCGAAGGTCTTTTAAAACGAGATGTTCCTGATAGATTAGGATGCCGTGGAAGAGGTCCTCTTGAAGTCAAAGATCATCCATTTTTCAAAGATGTTGATTGGCAAACTGTTTATTTGAGAAGATTAACACCTCCTTTAATTCCACCAAGAGGAGAAGTCAATGCAGCTGATGCTTTTGATATTGGTAATTTTGATGATGATGAAGTCAAAGGTGTTAAATTAACTGAAGCTGATTCGGAATTATATAAGAATTTTAATATTATAATATCTGAAAGATGGCAAAATGAAATTGCTGAAACTATATTTGAAGTTGTGAATCAGGATGCAGATAAAGCGGAACTCAAAAAACGATCGAAACAGAAGTTGAAAGTTTCGGTTGATGAAAAAGATTCGGATGTTATTGTTCATGGTTATATTAAGAAATTGGGTGGACCTTTTACAAGTGCGTGGCAGACGAGATATGGAAAATTATATCCGTCGAGATTGGAATTGTATCCGGAATCACTGAGTGGAAAACCTGAGGTTTGTAAGAGGATTCCTAATTTCCATGATCTACCCTTCTCTGGTAACTTTTAAAGGAATATTCTAATTATTGTTTTGCAGCTCGTTTTCATGGATCAAATCGATGAAGTTTGTGCCGAATTGCAAAATGTGAAGGGTGAAAATGCGATTGTTGTCAAATTGAGAGATGGATTTAAAGAGCCCAGAATTAGTTTGACAAATACGGTAAGTACTGTTGTATTTTATTCACGCGACAAATTCTACAGTAGCTATAAAATATGCTAGGAAATCCTTTTTTCAACCCTTGTTTTTCAATAAAAAAATCTCAAATTATCACGCAAAACTTCTTCTCCGATTTTTGAATTTCAAATTTCAATTTTCAGGACGAAATCTCATTGAAAGAATGGCACACATCGCTTCGAACTGCTCACAAAGTTTCATTGGAATTATTACAAAGAATGGGTCGAAAAGCCATTAAAATCTACGGTGTAAATCATGATCCAATGTTATCAGATAGTGAAAGACCAGGAAGTGTTACAAGAGCATATTTGAATCGAGCAAGTAGTGTTGATTCGGCTGGAGTTTAAGATAATATTGATTGATTGTTTCGGAGGGAATTCGATTAAATTGTCTGGAAATTTGTGATATTTTAGCGAAAATTTCGAAATTTTTGAGCAATTTTATAGCAAAAATCCAAAATCGAAAACAAGTACAGTAATTCTACCATTTTATTCAAAAACTCAGACCTTTCTGTCATGTTCCTTCAATGTCTAAAGGTTACTGTAGTTTGAAATATTTTCAATTATTCAATTACCGTACCTCTTCAAAGGACCATGTTAAATTTCGATGAAAATTCAATAGTTTATAGATTACTACTGTAGCCCAGGGGTACTGTAGCTCAAATTGAGTTTTCTCTTGAATTTTCAGCTGAAAATGACATGTTCCTTCAAAGTGTCAACCTCTAGGGGTACTGTAATTCAAAAATTTCGTAATTTTCAGCAAAAATCCGATTTTCAGCCAATATTTCTTTTTCTCCTGAATAAAAACTCCGCTCCCTATTTTATTTTATTTTCTAAATCTTCTAAAAACGGGCCTCTTTATTTTTTTCTTCATATATAATTTTCCCACACTATTTTCAGTCACCAGAAAAAATCGATAATTTTTTTGGGCTGAAAACATATCTTGAAAAACAACACACGTTCCCAATCATACGTGTCTTTCTTTGTTTTCTCTAAACTCTCTCCATTTTCTGTGTTCTCTCTCTCTCGATTTTTCTTGCCAATTTTCTAGTCGATTTTCTAGGCCACGCCCCCTTTTTTTTTGAAATTTTTAAGCATGTTTTTTTCTTTGTAAATTTTTCTTTGATTAATAATTTTATAATAAATTTCAGATTTTTAAAGATTTTCAGACTAGGGGCTGTTAGCCCCCAGTATTTATTTTCACTTTTTCTGTGGAAAATTCTGTGGAAACTGGAAGAGCTTCCAGATTTACGAATTTTTGAACGAAAAAAAAATTGATCATTTTTTGAAGACAATACTCAATAGATGCTCACTAAATGAAAAAAGGGCCGAGTTTTTTCAAAAAAAAATCGCCCCGAGTTTTTTTCAAAAAAAATCGGGCCGATTTTTTTAACAGGGGGGGTTTTTTTTTAAACATTTTTTTAACCCCATTGAAAAATCCTTCTGCCAACGAGACACAGGTAGAATTTTTTTCCAGAAAAATTCATATTTTTAGAAGTGTTCAATTTTTGGCGCCATAGAAGTAAATTCAAATTTTTCATTTTTCGAAATTCTCATTCAGAATTTTTTCATAAAAAACAAAAACAAAACAATGGAGAACAATAATGTAAATTTGAATAAAATGGGACAAAAATTGATAAAAACTTGGTTGGTGGGACGAAAAAAATAAAAGAAGTTGGCTAAAATCCAGAATACGAGAAAACATCTTGTTGTTTTGCCAATTCCAAAAGCATTGGATCGTCGAAAAATTTGTTGACTGAAACATCTTCCGAAAGACCTTTTCGTCGTCTGTAAAAAAAAGGGAAATTAGGGGGAAAAGCTAGGATTTTTGAGGGGATTTAGCTGTAAAAAATTAAATTTGTGAAATTTTTCGAGAAAAATCTTTGATAAAATTTGTAAATTTCGTGAAGATTCAGTTTTCAGATGTTTTTTGAAAGAAAAATTGAATTTTCAGGGTTTTTAGGGAGTTTTGGTTAGAAAACTATCATGCTATGAAAAATTGCAAATTTTAAAGTTTTAACTCTGATAAAAATCTGAAAATATCGGAGAATATTTCCTTATTTTTTTCTAGTGAATAAAAAATTTAAATTTTCAAATTCCCGAAAAAAAACAAAACAATTTCGTAATTTCCAGGAAAACCGGAAATTTTCCGATTTTCCTCTTGAAAAAATTCAAAATTTCGTAACTTTTCATATCGATTCTCAAATTCTCAGTTAAAAATTTTAAAAAAGGCCTCAAACCCTTAATTTCCTGAAACTTCGCTAAATTCATAAATTATCCACCTTGCACTAGTAAATTAGGCCATATGTCTTTTCACATCAAACTTCCTCTTCACTTTTCCATTTTTCTCCCCAGGTAAACTCCCTTTTTTCTCTACTTTCTCCCAAAACACAAAAAAACCTTGTATTTGTTCAGGTTCTTCTCATTTTTCCTATATTTTTTTCCCGAAAAATGCAAATAGTTCAAATTCGAACAAATATTCGACTTTCTGATATTCCGGATAATTTGGAAAATGAAATATCGTATGAGTTGGCAAAAATTATGGATTTGCCGGGAATCGATAAATTTTTGGTGGTAATTGAGGCGGCTATGAGAATCGGATTGGGAGGGGCGAAAAATGTGCCGGTTGCCTTCGTGAATGTGAGTTTTGAGAAAAAAGGGGGGAGGGAGAGAGATCTGACAGGATAAACAATGTTGACTCGGGTTAGTCGGAGGTTCGAGGCCCCTCCAGAAATGGATTTGCGACTAGACTTGATTGAAAAGTCATCGCTTGATTTTTTCATTTAAAAAATCAACATTTTGCGAAATTTGAAGATTTTTTAAAACAATTTTTAAAATTTGTACTAATTTTGAGAAATATTTAAGCTAATCGCAAAATTTCAGAAATTTCTGAGATTAAAACTGGATGATAAATTTACATTATTATTAAAAATTTGATAGAAAATCAGAAGAAATTCTTAAGTTTTAAAAAATATATAAAACTGACCGATTTTATTGTCGCTTTTTCAAATTTTAGTAAAAACAAGCTTTCCTATGTCCCTTTCTAATAATTTCTAATTTTTCATAGCAAAATCTTTTCCTCGAAATATTTCAGCTTCTAACAACCCGTCCCTCATCTCAAACCGAAAACGACAATTATGCCAAGAAAATCAGTCAAATTTTGAAGGAAAAATTGAAATTGGATTCAGAAAAGGTGAGATTTTCTGAGAAGGAAAAATTGAGGAAATTAATTGAAAAAAATAATTTCAGATCATAATAACATTCGAATACAAAGATGCCAAACAAATTGCAGTTCAGGGAAAAACAATTGCTTCTTTGTATTCTTGATAAAAAGTTTCTTAAATTTACAGATTCTGAACCTAAAAATCCTCACCTAGTTTTGATCATAAATTCTCTAGCCAAATGTGGTGTTGGTTGTAATTCGAGCGGTTTGATGACAATTGTCTTATCCAACGGATCTCCTGGAACCAATTGCCAATGATGGAAGACTGACATACAAAATGCTTGACCTTGTGTATGAGTTCGAAGATCGGTTTCGAAACCGAATGAATCCATTACTGGAATGTAGGCCTGAAATCAGAAAATTGTGGGGTTTTAGAACTTAGTTTTCAATGATTTTCTGGAAAAATATAATCAGGATTTTGATGTAAATTCTTCTTATTTTTCAGTGCTAAATCTAGAATTCTACCCCCACTTTTCCCGCAAATCTCTCACCTTAATCGAATACATTGGCGATCCAGGAATTGGTGCATCAGTTGTAACATGTCCTCTTCGTTTTGCCAATACCGTATAAACTGATGAAACACAATCAGCTGGTGCAATCACTTCAACCGAATAATATGGTTCCATTAATCTTGGTGTCGCCATCAAAAATGCTGAATATGCACATCTTCTGGCTGTTGGAATCATTTGTCCACCACCACGATAAAGAGGTTCTTGAGCGATTGTTGCGTCGAGAAGTTTGAATTTTACTTGACGAATTGCTGCAAAATACAAATATGATTATCCCAAAAATCCAAAAAAAAAAATAATAACTCACGTTCTTCACAAAGTGGTCCTTCTCTTGTTGCCCATTGAAAACCTTGAACCAACGATTCTCTGACACTTGACAACAAATTCTTATCAACTTCAGATGGAAGTGTATCATCGATGAAAATATTGGGTCCAGTTGTATCAGGTCCAAAAGCCCAAATTGATCTGGCAGCCAATAAATCCCAATTGTATTTGGTTTGGAAGAATTCGCCAAGTTTTCGTCGATTCCAACCGATTTGTACAACTTCATTTTCGATGTCTTCGTCGAGTTGTTTTTCCAATGGTTCAGCCATCATTGTGATTTTGTTTCTGGAAAAAAAACATTGAGAGATTGAGGAATTTCGATTTTTCAGTTTATTGTTCAAAGTTTTAAATTTAAATTTATGTATTTCAGATAACAATTCAGATTGATTTTGTCAGATAGCCAGGCTCAGCTAGAAATCAAAGCTTTACTGAAATTTTAGCTTTAGTATTCTGAATTTTTTGCACAAAATTATCTTTCCAAATTTTCATTATCGGCTATAAATTCCGAGTTTTCAGATTTCCAGATCAAAATGCTCACTTCTTATTTGGAGTTTCGGCAAAACATTTCAATGTACTTGTTTCAATAACCGTCTCATTAAAAGTAACAACCGGATCAGCAACTTTGATATCAATTTCAGAGAATACTTTTCGCATATCATGCATAACACAATCCATATATAATTCTCCAGTTCCAAGCAAAACATGTTCTCCAGATTCTTCAACTCTTGTTGTTAATAATGGATAAGATTTGTTGACTTTTCTCAATCCATCCAACATTTTTGGTAATTCCGATGGATTTATTGGTTCAACAGCTAATTTCACAACACTTCTTGTATTGAATTTAAGAGGTCTGAATATATAAACATCTTCTTCGTATTCTAATTCTGCAATTGTTGCTGTTTTCACAATTGGTTGATCAATTCCTTCGATTAATACCCAATTTCCAGCTGGTACTCGACTAACTTCTATTGAATATCTTGCTTCATGCACCCATAATCTTCCAATTGTCATTTTTCGACAATCTTCTTCATCTTGAATACTGTAGTTTTCACCAAGAATTCGAACATCAGCACCGGCTTCGAGAGTTCCACTCATAACTCGACCCAGAACTCGGAATGATGTTGCATCGGATGTCGCATAGTTTTTAGTGGTATGAACCATAAGAGGACCCTGGAAATTGGAATTTTTATGAAGAAAAACAGGAAGAAAAAATTATTTCTTCTGTTTTTTCAGTAACAAAAAAATTGGACTGATAATTTTGAAACGTATTTTTCCGGGACTTTTTCAGCCCTTTTTGAAACTCAAAACACTCACATCCGAATTGCATTTATACATTTCGTGGGCCAATTTACTATCCGATGGTCCCAAATAAGTTTGATCAACTTTAGTTTTTGCATTATCCAATGGTGATTTGATATTATTCACAACCAAATCAGTAAATGCGGTGAAATCGCCGAAAAATCGTTTGCAAATAAGTGCAATCAAGGGGCGAACATTCATTTTTTGCTCTTCTTTCGAAAGACGAATTCCAAGTTCGGACATCATAAATGGAAGTACTGTATCAACATCACCAACAACCTGCAAAAAATAGAGAGAATTTGAATAGTTTCAGCTAAAATCTATGTTTTTTTTTGGGACATTCAGCTTTGAAAATAGCTAGAATGTGGGGAATTTAACTGAACTTCAAGATAATCTCAAAACTTTAGGTTATAGTTTTTAGCTTTTAAATTAGGCAAGAATGTTTAATTAGCTTGATTTTTCTTATGAAATTATTTTCGAGCTAGAAATTAGAGGTTTAAGGTCCCAATAAAATCTGATTGTTTTTTTTTCATGTCTGAACCTGTTTAATTTAAAAATGGTAGGATTTTCCTCATTTTTCAATATTCTTGAAAACGTAAGTTGGGAACTAAAATCCCTTATTTTCAGTCCGGAAATGAGATTTTTCGAATTTTTATAGGCAAAATCATGCCAATTAACATTTTTGGCTAATTTAGGTTCAACATTTCAAGGCTTAACTGAAATCAAATCTTAAATCTTCAGCTGAAAATCAAAATGATCCAAATTTCCAGCCAATCTTACCTGCGAGAAAATCTTATACAATGGATCCAAAATGAATTGAACAAAAGTTCGCGGAGCATCGGAATACGGTGCTTTTTTCACGAATTTTCTCGTCTTCTTATCGAAATACATATCACCCCACAATCTTCTCGCAAATTCTTTTGCATTGAATTTTTCACCGTGTTGTTTGGAATACAAATTGGCGAATGATAACAATGAAAAACAGACATTGAAACGACCAGATGAGAAAATAACATTTCCATTTAATGGACTCAAAACAGCCACGTCATCTTCGGAAAATGTGTTGAGAATATTGTTGACTTGATCGATGATTAAGCGCAATTTATAATAAGCATCTGATGGAGGCAATTTGAGCTCTAAAAATAGACGATCGATTTTTGAGATGCACAAAGTGACGGCAAGTTTTTCTTGCACTGCATGTCGAATTGCACGTTCTGTATTCATCATTACACCTTCGTGAGCATCAACAAGAATTACGACACCATCCGATAATCTGTAGAACATAATTTCGAGATTATGGAAAGGCTTTCTGACTTCAGAGAGTATACTAGATTATACTACTTTGAATGAATTTCGAAATGTCAAAAGTATAAATGCATTTTGTTGATTTTTTAGCTTTCAAAAATCAAACTATATTCTAGTTTAACATCATTATTTAATAATTTCTTCAGCTTGCGCTCAGAATTTTCAGACTCTGAAATTACAAAACTAGAGTATAGTTTTCTCAAAAATTAGTGCAATTTGTGAGCATCAAAATCTCTAGACTACATTCTAGTCTGAACGTTTACCTCAAACTTTTTCTGGTGAAATAGCATAAATCTTATTTTCTCACACGGTTGATTTTCTGGCGCCAACTTCAAAAACTTGCGTAATTTTTGAATTGCGCAATTTTCACCTTGAGCAATTTTCTTTCAAGTTTCCTTATCATTCTTTCACAGTGTAATGGTGCTTTCTCGAAACATTGCTTTTCATTTTATGTTTTTTTTTTCATTTGAAAATCATGTTCGCCCTGATTTCTCACCTAAAAGCGGCGGTCATTTCATCAGAGAAATTAACATGTCCCGGTGTATCAATCACATTTAACAAATAACTCTTATTTCGATTATCTTGTGCAACAATCGAAACTGGCATTGCCTTAATCGAACAACCTCTTTGTTGCTCGATGAAAAGTGTGTCAGTATATCGTGTATCCGCGTCTTCTGCGCGATAAAATTCCGGATGAGTTTGCTCAACCAAACAATCCAAAAATGTGCTTTTTCCGTGATGCAAATGTCCAGCAACCGCGATATTTCGCATAATATGCGGACAATCCATCAGATCCGCTAAATATTCCTTTTTATATGTTGTTTCGGGTAAATGATGTTCTGCGGCTTGGAACTTCTTCTTGGAAACTGGCTTGACAATTGGCTCAGTTAGCGGTTGAGCGTCTTCTTCTTGCACCAATGTTTCAACATCTTCTCCATAAATTTCGACGGCTGAAGCATAATATTTCTTATCTTCATGAAGAACGATTTGATTTTGTGGAATTTCATCGTCTTCTTCCATTTGTTCTTCTACACCATTTTCAGCTTCATCATCATTTTCATCGTCATTTTCATTATCATCTAATTCTTCAGCATCATCGTCTGAGTCGAGATCAGGCCCGATATAGTTACCAAATTCGTCGTAGAGATCAGAATCCATATTACCTGCAAATTCATGATTTTTAAGCTATTTTTGAAATCGAAAAGAGATGGTACATACAATTTTCAGAGTTCTCTAAATTTTTGATATATTGAAACACTTAAAACCCTCACAAAACCCGCCAAAACTAGGGAAAAGCTTTCAAAAAATTGAAAATTTTATTTTCGAAAAACGCTGGCCGAGTTTTTGGCGCAGTGGAGCGCACTTGCCACGCCCTCCCTGATTTTTTTATTTTCTCTTCTCTTTTTCTTTTTCGTTCCTTCTCTCTCTGCAAACCCCTGAAATTTCAGATGCTGCAAGTCCAAAAAGAAGTCGATCGGTTCATCAAAGAAGAATCAGTGGATAGCGATGATGGAGCATTGCCACCAAAGTTGGAAGCAGGTATTTATTGATAATTATCATTTTTATCAACAAAAAAACATAAAAATGAAATTTTAACATTTAGAAAAATTGACTGGTGAAGCGGAAGAAGAGGAAAATGATGTCGGCTCATCGAATCCAAAATTGGTCAAAACTTTGGCAGATCTTCTCAAAGACCAATATGATAACAGTGATGATAAGGAAAAATCGCCAGAATCGGATATTTCAGAGCCCCCACCGAAATTATCAGTTTGTAAGGATAAAAATATAACTAGCGAAGCAGATAATCATTTTTAATTTCAGCCGAATTTTCAGCCGAACGACGTCCATCAACTTCTTCATCTTCAAATAATACGTCTGCATTTTTAGAGGTTGTTGGTAGGAATTATATAGTCACACCAAAAGTGGCGAATTTGCGACAAACAAGATCTACGGGAAAAAGAAGTTGGTTTTTAGATTTTTGCGGGGAATAAAGGAGCAGAATTTTCAGGGTAGAAACAGTGGGAAAGAGTATTTGTAGAAGTCGAGGAGAGACACATTGAGAAATGTTTTCTACTTACAAATCGTTTTTAAAAATTCCATTTCCCTTTGAATTAAAGTAGAGTTCTTGAAAGTTTGGGTCTCACCAAGAATTATCCATGCACCTTCAAGTTAAAAAATTAACATTTTGCAGCTCATTCCCCTGCTCAATCATCAACCCCCTCCTCGTCTTCCAAAAGATCAACCCGACTATCCGTCGGAAAACTGGGTCTAACTCAAATTCTCCAAAACCAAGAACCAATTCGTGTTGATGTTCAAGTCGGAAGCGGTTCACCACCCGAAACATCTCTAAATTTCCATGCTGGCCAAACATCGTCATCCAGCAATGATCACGCAGACAATTCGGCCATGGAATCAACACCTTCACCAAATGGATTTTTGAGAAATGCGGCGGAAAAGGAATCGAACGAGGAATATCCGGAAAATCTACGAAATGCGCTGAGAAATTGTGGACTTCCGGAGAAAATTGCGAAGGAAACATCTACTCATAATATGCTTATTGGTGAGTTGGAAAAAAAAAAAAAAGAAAATTGTGAGAAGAAAATGTGCTCCCTGAAATTTTCAAAATTTATTGAACGACCGATTGAAAATTATAATAATTTATTTATAAATTATTCTTTCAGGTTGCATGGTTATGAATGGATTGAACACACTTACGAGACAACGCGGCGGAAAAGTCGCCAATTTTTTTCGAGACGATCTCTTTGCCATCTTCAAAAAATACAATATTCAGTAGATTCTTTCATTGCTCAATTTCACTTCTTTCCTTCTTTCCATCTTCGTCTTCTTCCATATCGCTTTATGTATTCTTTTTATTCCCGATGTTTTATTGATTTTTTGTGATTTTCATTTTTTTTTTCGTGTGTAAGTTTTTGAATTTTTCTATGTATGAAGTTTTATTTTTTTTTAATTTCATCAATCTTGAAAATCAAATTGACAATATCAAATTTCCAGAAAAATTCAAGAAAAATTGTGGGTTGCGGTTGATGGGCGGTTTGGAACGTGGAAATCAGCGCTTGCAGAATACGAATTGCTCGTCTTGCGGGGTTTTATGTAGAAGCTGCAGCTTGACTGATAAAAATCATGCAGCTCGGAGACTGCAGACGATGTACTTCTTGCAATGTTTGCGAAACTGCTTGCGTTGACGGAAGATAGTGATTGTGGTGAATTGGATGGTGGTGAGTGGTTATGACGTGGCAATCTGCATACTGAAGGCGATGAGACGGATTGCAGCAGCTTACTGTAGTCGAGAGAGGAGCAGATTCTGAGGCAAACGTTGAGATGAATTCCTGTAAACAAAAGTTTTGAACGCAAAGATAATGCGAAGTAAAATTGTCCGGACACTGAAATATCTGAAAACCTGACCTGAAATATCTGAAAACCTGAATAAAAAATCTGGAAAATTCTGAAATCTTCTGAAAAGCTGAAAAGCCTGTAAAATCTGAAACAATCTTTCAAAAAATCTCTGAAAATTCTGTAATACCTGTAAGAAAATCTGGAAAAACCTGTTAAAAACATCTGAAAACCTATAAAACAAATCTGAAATGTCTATAAAGCCTGTAAACAAATCTAGAAATTTCTGAAACATCTGAAACAACGTCTGAAACACCTGTAAAAAATCTGGAAAACCTCTGGAAATATAAAAAAACCTGTAAAAAATCTGAACCTTGGAAACCCCGCAAAATCTATGAAAAAACTCATCTGAAAATCGATCCAAATGCATTGCTCCAAACCAGCAGATACTGTAGTCGTGAATGGAAAAATCTGCATGCACTGCTTGCGGTGTTTGCGGATCGACTTGTGTCGATAGAAAATAAGAACTACGGTGGATCGACAGATTGAAAAGACGTGGCGATCAGGTTACTGTAGTTGATAAAACTGCTTGGCTTGTAGCGATTGATATATGGATGCTGCAGCTTGACTTGTGGTCGAACTGTTTGACTTCCAGAGGTTGTTGGCAAATCTGAAAAAAACAATTGTTAGAAGAGAATTTTGAAAAATCAGTAGAGTGTGGAGAAATCAAATAACATATGGAAAAAACACTTTATTCATTGTTTTGCAGCAAATCCAGAAACCGCTCGATATATACCAAAAAATTGGCAGATTTCCAAATGGAAATCCGAGCGGTTTCTGGGACGAATGAAGATGTCGAATATCCTGACTGCTCAAATATCATGCAGCTCGGCTACTGTAGATAATGCACTTCTTGCGGTGTTTGTGCAACTTCTTGTGAAGACAAACGGTGGTGATGACGTGGCAATCTGCATACTGAAGGCGATGAGACGGTTTGCGACAGCATATTGTAGACGGTGCAGCTTGGTTTGCGGTGACGTGGCAAAGAGCTTACTGTAGTTGAAAGAAGAGCAGTTTCCGAGGCAAAAGAGGTTGTGATGAAAGTTGCGATGACTTCTTGAAAAAAAAAACTATGAACGCAAAGAAAATGTAAAGAAAAATATCTGAAATGTCTGAAAACCCTGTAAACAAATCTGGAACACCTGGAAAAAGCTGAAAACCTGTGAAAAATCTGAAATATCTGGAAAAAAGCCTGCAAAATCTGAAAAGAAAACCTGGAAAGACTCTAAAACATCTGGAAAACCTGCTAAATATCTGAAAAAGGCCTGAAACACCTGAAATACCTGTTAAAAATATCTGAAATGACCTAAAATGTCTGAAAGCCCTGTAAAAAATCTGGAACATCTGAAAAAAGCTGAAAACCTGAAAAATTCTGAATTAACCGGAAAACCTGTGAAAACATCTGGAAAAATCTGAAAAACCTGTTAAGAAATCTGAAAATACTGCAAAAAAGGCCTGAAACACCTGAAATATCTGTTAAAAATATCTGAAAACCCTAATAACCTCCCAAAACTAAACTAACTAAATATCCTTTTGATCATCCATCGTTTCTGACTTCAAAAACTTCAGCGACCAAACGTGGAGTTGAGTGGATTGTAGAAGTTAAACAGTTTGACATGGATCACGACATCTTACTGTCGCTAATGAAATGGCTTGCGGTCGAACTGTTTGACTTCCAGAGGTTGTTGGCAAATCTGAAAAAAAAAACAATTGTTTGAAGAGAATTTTGAAAGATCAGTAGAGTGTGGAGAAATCAAATAACACATGGAAAAAACACTTTATTCATTGTTTTGCAGCAAATCCAGAAACCGCTCGATATATACCAAAAAATTGGCAGATTTCCAAATGGAAATCCGAGCGGTTTCTGGGACGAATGAAGATGTCGAATATCCTGACTGCTCAAATATCATGCAGCTCGGCTACTGTAGATAGTGCACTTCTTGCGGTGTTTGTGCAACTTCTTGTGAAGACAAACGGTGGTGATGACGTGGCAATCTGCATACTGAAGGCGATGAGGCGGATTGCAACAGCTTACTGTAGACGGTGCAGCTTGGTTTGCGGTGACGTGGCAAAGAGCTTACTGTAGTTGAAAGAAGAGCAGATTTCGAGGCAAAAGAGGTTGTGATGAAAGTTGCGATGACTTCTTGAAAAAAAAACTATGAACGCAAAGAAAATGTAAAGAAAAATATCTGAAATGTCTGAAAACCCTGTAAACAAATCTGGAACACCTGGAAACTGCTGAAACGTCTGAAAAGACCTGTGAAAAACGCCTGAAAAATATTTGAAACGTCTAAAATGTTCTGAAAAATCTGGAAAAAACCCTTCAAAATCTGAAAAGAAAACCTGGAAAGACTCTGAAACATCTGGAAAAGCTGCTAAATATCTGAAAAAGGCCTGAAACACCTGAAATACCTGTTAAAAATATCTGAAAATGTCTGAAGCCCTGTAAAAAATCTGGAACACCTGAAAAAAGCTGAAAACCTGAAAAATTCTGAAATAACCGGAAAACATCTGAAAAACCAGTTAAGAAATCTGAAAATCCTGCAAAAAACTTGAAAAATGTCTGAAAAGCCTGAAAACATCTGAAAAAAGACCTGAAAGCCCGTGAATTTCTGCAATAACCGGAAAACCTGTGCAAACATGTGGAAAAATATCTGAAAAAGGCCTGAAACACCTGAAATACCTGTTAAAAATATCTGAAAACCCTAATAACTTCCCAAAACTAAACTAACTAAATATCCTTTTGATCATCCATCGTTTCTGACTTCAAAAACTTCAGCGACCAAACGTGGAGTTGAGTGGATTGTAGAAGTTAAACAGCTTGACATGGATCACGACAGCTTACTGTAGAAAATGCGGCTTGGCTTACGATGACGTGGAAAACAGCTTACTGTCGCTTATGAAATGGCTTGCGGTCGAACTGTTTGACTTCCAGAGGTTGTTGGCAAATCTGAAAAAAAAAACAATTGTTAGAAGAGAATTTTGAAAGATCAGTAGAATGTGGAGAAATCAAATAACATATGGAAAAAACACTTTATTCATTGTTTTGCAGCAAATCCAGAAACCGCTCGATATATACCAAAAAATTGGCAGATTTCCAAATGGAAATCCGAGCGGTTTCTGGGACGAATGAAGATGTCGAATATCCTGGTGAGACATGAAAAAAAGTGGCGAAAAACTGAATATTCGCCAAATTTTAGCTCACGACGGTCGGCATTGTACATCTTGCAGAACGGCTTGCGTTGATGGTAGATGGCGATTGTGGCGGAGTGGAAGATGAAGATGACGTGGAAATCAGCATAAAGTTTAGCAGCTTTCCTGAAAAAAACACAAAGAACATTCGAGTAAATCTGTAAGTAATAACATAAAACTTATCTGAAAATACATAGCGAATCCACTCCAAACCAGCAACAAATATAGACATGAAGAGAAAAATAAGAAGACGCGCCAACAATGCAAAAAATGAATGAAAATGGTTAACCACGCCCATTTTGATCAATAATAATGAGCGTGGCTTGGAATTTTGGGGGTCAATGAGCGCAAGACTGACGCGTTTTTTGTGTAAAAGAGAGGGGGAGGAGTTTGTTTCTCGTTGGTGTGGCCTGTAAAATGTGAAATGAGGTCTGAAACACCTGAAAAAAATCTGGAAAACCTTAAATAACGCCTGAAAAGCCTGTAAAAATCTGGAAAACCTGAAAAGCCTGTAAAAATCTGTAATATCTGGAAACACTTCGTTTCAACCCTGTGTTGGGGCGAACAAATAGAGAAAACGCGGCGCAGACAAAAAAGAACCCCGTAAATCTCAGCACTTGACTCTGTACACAGGAAAAGTCAGGCCTGCCGGCCGCGGGTGTGTGGCAGGTATCTCATGGTTCGCCGGACCGCAGCAGGCGTGCGGCAGGAGTTGACAAATTTTTCGTCGGCATGCCACACGCCGGCCAGAAATTTTTTCAGCCGACAATTTTTTTTTGAAAATCAAAAGGTGTAAGAATATGCGAAGTAGTATTCCCAATTGTACTTCATAAGAATTTATCGAATTTTCGAACAGTGGAACTTTAAAACTTCCAATGGAAGGTCATTTAGGTAATATAGTTGAATTTCTTGAAATAGAAGCGAACTTTCATAAAATACATGGGACAAATTTTTGAAAAATCGAATTTTTCATTTACACATTCAAGAATCGAACGGTTTTCAGTTCAAAGTTTGATCTCTAAGCTGGCTTATTTGTTTTTTCTCAACTAAATAGTATGAAATGCATATCATTTTGTTCGTAATGAAATTTCACATTCAATGGTGCAAATCATTTTTCACGAAAACTTATACTTGCCGTGCGCAAAAATCAAATAAAAACAAAGGCGCACATAATTATTTTCTTTGGTCCTACGCGGAAACGCGTTTGTGTGTACTTCTCACGGACATTTTGCAAAATTTTTTTTCGTTTTTTTTTCATTTCGTTTTTCTGCTGTGTTTTTTGGGAGTATTGTGTGTTTACTGGGTTTCTAACATCTGCATTTTAGTTTGGGGAGAATAATAATGAAAATGTACTTGTCGGCTGTTCGGAAATTTCTTTGAGAACACCAAAATTCCTCACAGCCATATACGTCTTCAAAAATGTTTTAGACCGTCAATTTGCATGAATAGCGTATATTTTTCGAAGTCGAATTAGGTTTCTGGGGCTACAACACAGACAGCAATTCAAAATGCCAATTTTACTTTTTCCGTCTTATGTTAAAGCAACCCCTGTCTCGGCAATAGTTCTAAAAATCGCCTAGCGTTAGGTTAATGTGCAACTTGGAAATTATAAAACCCAAACAAAAAGGAATTCTGTATGTTTTAGTGAAACTGTTGGGTACTTTAGAAATAAGTTCGCCACTAGGATTAGGCGCAGGCTTCAAGACTGCGCCTATTTGGGCTTATTATTCATTATGACTTATGTGAACAGCGATAGTACTTTTCAAAACAAGAGTTTTTCTTTATCAAATTCTTGTACTTCTATCTCATTCGTTTAAATCATCGAAAATAATATTGATTACAGACAATTCGTCACGATGGATCTCGAAAAATTGGGGAAATGCGTCAATATTCAACTAATTCTTTGTGAGTTGATTTTAGAAATGTTGTGAATACGATCTCAATACTCATTACAGGTTGCTCGTTTCATGATTGGATACAAATAAGATGAAAGATGCACCGATTTCCCACAAGGTAATTATTTATCATTGTTTTGAAAACATGCAAGTTTAAAAAAAAACTTATCTCGGCCTTCTGACCCTTGTATGTCTCGTGAAAAAAGCAGCAAGTCTTGCTACAAAAATCGACTTTTAGCCAGCTTGCGACCATTTTTAACAAGCTTGCTACAATTTTTATAATGGATAATGGAAAAAATGTAGCAAGCTTGCTAAAAATGGTCGCAAGCTGGGTAAAAGTCGATTTTTGTAGCAAGACTTCAAGAGTCAAAAATTTCTCAAGCTCCATCCATCTGTGTTCCATAATACGTGCCCCGAGTCCTCCATTATTTCTAAGTTCCCCGAGTCTGCAAGCCTCACTCCTAAAAATTCCCCCCAAGTCTTTATAAATATAGACCCGTTATTACTACTACAAGTTCCCCGAGTCTCCAGGACTATTACCAGATTTCTAACAATTCCATACAGAATTGTTTCTGAACATCGAAAAATTTCATAAATAGTTTTCTATGCTATGAGTTCATTGATAAGTTTTCTTTCAGAGTCAAATACGTCTGGATTGGTACTACATGTGGATGGAAGTCAAAGGCCCAACCATCAACGATCGCCTGGATCTTAAGTATTTATCAGTTTATTGTTGTTCAATAAATATTTATTGAAAATTCTGTAGTTTATTTTATTTCAGCTGAATTCTTCCTAGAAATCCCAGAAAAAAGCCTTGAGACCTGCCACACACCTGCCGCACGCCGGCCAGGAAGTCATGCCGGACAGTACTCCGACGGACAGCGGCAGAAATGACCTCGGCATGACCGCGGCAGGTCGGCTGCAGGGCTGCCAGATTTTACCTGTGTAGACTGACTGTACAAATTGAAGAAGTGTGAATACAGCGAATGAACGCTGTACCTACACTTTTTTTCCCGAAAATCGTAGGTTCATTTTATCTTCAGCGTAGCTACGAAAAAAATCAAATTCGTAGCTACGCAGATGATAAATCGTTATTACGCACACCTTAAATTCTGACGAGAGCTGCCAAGCGTCACACAACCAGAGATGAAAACGTAGGTACAGCGTATCTACGCTGTAGCTACACAATTCGCGGACAGAAATTAAGTGAAGTGATCGCTCTATAAATATTATTTTTGAATCCGTAGCTACGCCGTTGCTGTTCTGTAGCTACTTTGTAGATAAACGGATGTTACTTATGTGCAATTCTCTCTTCCCCGTTTCCGTACAAAGTATCAACGAAATTTGTACAGTCAGTCTACAGAGTCAAGTGCTGAGGTAGGTACAGCGTATCTACGCTGTAGCTACACAATTCGCGGACAGAAATTAAGTGAAGTGATCGCTCTATAAATATTATTTTTTGAATCCGTAGCTACGCCGTTGCTGTTCTGTAGCTACTTTGTAGATAAACGGATGTTACTTATGTGCAATTCTCTCTTCCCCGTTTCCGTACAAAGTATCAACGAAATTTGTACAGTCAGCTCAGCACTTGACTCTGTAGACTGACTGTACAAATTGAAGAAGTGTGAATACAGCGAATGAACGCTGTACCTACACTTTTTCCCGAAAATCGTAGGTTCATTTTATCTTCAGCGTAGCTACGAAAAAAATCAAATTCGTAGCTACGCAGATGATAAATCGTTATTACGCACACCTTAAATTCTGACGAGAGCTGCCAAGCGTCACACAATCAGAGATGAAAACGTAGGTACAGCGTATCTACGCTGTAGCTACACAATTCGCGGACAGAAATTAAGTGAAGTGACCGCTCTATAAATATTATTTTTGAATCCGTAGCTACGCCGTTGCTGTTCTGTAGCTACTTTGTAGATAAACGGATGTTACTTATGTGCAATTCTCTCTTCCCCGTTTCCGTACAAAGTATCAACGAAATTTGTACAGTCAGTCTACAGAGTCAAGTGCTGAGAGTCTACAGAGTCAAGTGCTGAGATATGAATTGTTCAAAGGAACATGAACCATCGCTTCAGGACCCATCACTCAGCACTTGACTCTGTAGACTGACTGTACAAATTTCGTTGATACTTTGTACGGAAACGGGGAAGAGAGAATTGCACATAAGTAACATCCGTTTATCTACAAAGTAGCTACAGAACAGCAACGGCGTAGCTACGGATTCAGAAATAATATTTATAGAGCGGTCACTTCACTTAATTTCTGTCCGCGAATTGTGTAGCTACAGCGTAGATACGCTGTACCTACGTTTTCATCTCTGATTGTGTGACGCTTGGCAGCTCTCGTCAGAATTTAAGGTGTGCGTAATAACGATTTATCATCTGCGTAGCTACGAATTTGATTTTTTTCGTAGCTACGATGAAGATAAAATGAACCTACGATTTTCGGGAAAAAAGTGTAGGTACAGCGTTCATTCGCTGTATTCACACTTCTTCAATTTGTACAGTCAGTCTACAGAGTCAAGTGCTGAGCAGTTGGCTGATTGCCAGCCTTTTAAAATTTCCCGGTTTCTTCTAACAATTGTTTTTTTTTTCAGATTTGCCAACAACCTCTGGAAGTCAAACAGTTCGACCGCAAGCCATTTCATAAGCGACAGTAAGCTGTTTTCCACGTCATCGTAAGCCAAGCCGCATTTTCTACAGTAAGCTCTCGTGATCCATGTCAAGCTGTTTAACTTCTACAATCCACTCAACTCCACGTTTGGTCGCTGAAGTTTTTGAAGTCAGAAACGATGGATGATCAAAAGGATATTTAGTTAGTTTAGTTTTGGGAAGTTATTAGGGTTTGCAGATATTTTTAACAGATATTTCAGGTGTTTCAGGCCTTTTTCAGATATTTAGCAGGTTTTCCAGATGTTTTAGAGTCTTTCCAGGTTTTCTTTTCAGATTTTGCAGGCTTTTTTCCAGATATTTCAGATTTTTCACAGGTTTTCAGCTTTTTTCAGATGTTCCAGATTTTTTACAGGGCTTTCAGACATTTTAGGTCATTTCAGATATTTTTAACCGGTATTTCAGTTGTTTCAGGCTTTCTTCAGATATTTAGCAGGTTTTCCAGATGTTTTAGAGTCTTTCCAGGTTTTCTTTTCAGATTTTGCAGGCTTTTTTCCAGATATTTCAGATTTTTCACAGGTTTTCAGCTTTTTTCAGATGTTCCAGATTTTTTACAGGGCTTTCAGACATTTTAGGTCATTTCAGATATTTTTAACCGGTATTTCAGTTGTTTCAGGCTTTCTTCAGATATTTAGCAGGTTTTCCAGATGTTTTAGAGTCTTTCCAGGTTTTCTTTTCAGATTTTGCAGGCTTTTTTCCAGATATTTCAGATTTTTCACAGGTTTTCAGCTTTTTTCAGATGTTCCAGATTTTTTACAGGGCTTTCAGACATTTTAGGTCATTTCAGATATTTTTAACAGGTATTTCAGGTCTTTCAGGCCTTTTTCAGATTTTGCAGGCTTTTTTCCATTTCGTTTCAGGGCGAACAAATATAGACAGAGAGAGCGTGCAGAGTGCGAAAGAAACCGGGAAATTTTAAAAGGCTGGCAATCAGCCAACTGATGGGTCCTGAAGCGATGGTTCATGTTCCTTTGAACAATTCATATTTACGGGGTTCTTTTTTGTCTGCGCCGCGTTTTCTCTATTTGTTCGCCCCAACACAGGGTTGAAACGAAGTGTTTCCAGATATTACAGATTTTTACAGGCTTTTCAGGTTTTCCAGATTTTTACAGGCTTTTCAGGCGTTATTTAAGGTTTTCCAGATTTTTTCAGGTGTTTCAGACCTCATTTCACATTTTACAGGCCACACCAACGAGAAACAAACTCCTCCCCCTTTCTTTTACACAAAAAACGCGTCAGTCTTGCGCTCATTGACCCCCAAAATTCCAAGCCACGCTCATTATTATTGATCAAAATGGGCGTGGTTAACCATTTTCATTCATTTTTTGCATTGTTGGCGCGTCTTCTTATTTTTCTCTTCATGTCTATATTTGTTGCTGGTTTGGAGTGGATTCGCTATGTATTTTCAGATAAGTTTTATGTTATTACTTACAGATTTTCTTTATGTTTTCTAGTGTTTTGCAGGAAAGCTGCTCAACTTCGTGGTGATTTTCGCGTCAACTACAACAACTTCTTGCCACGTCATCTTCACCATCTTCCCTCAACGCAAGCTGTTAAACGCCGTGCTTCATGATTATTCTTGCCGCACTTGGATTTTCGACTTCGTCCCAGAAACCGCTCGGATTTCCATTTGGAAATCTGCCAATTTTTTGGCATATATCGAGCGGTTTCTGGATTTGCAGCAAAAAATTAATAAAGTGTTTTTGCACGTGTTATTTAATTTCTCCACATTCTACTGATCTTTCAAAATTCTCTTCTAACAATTGTTTTTTTTCCAGATTTGCTAGTCAAGCCGAAGCTTCTACTTCAATTCCTACAAGTCAAGCACTTCCTCCACATTGTGCATCAACTATAGTAAGCTGATTGTTTGCCGATCTACCAAACTAACCTGCTTTCATCAACGCAACTCATTCCGCAATCACAGCAAGCAGTGCATCATCCACAGTAGCCGAACATTTTGCTTTTTGGTGCTAAAATTGGAGAAATGACAAGAACTTGGCCCAATTCAGTATTATCTCGCGTGTACGTGAGATCTTATCTCTCTGAATTTTGTATATATAAGCTGTAACTACTCCCGCCAAACCTTGCACCGTCTACAGTAAGCTGTTGCAATCCGCCTCATCACCTACAGTATGCAGATTGCCACGTCATCAATACTTGTCGTTCTACTACAATCACCATCTTCCGTCAACGCAAGCAGTTTGGCAGACATCGCAAGAAGTGCATTATCTACAGTAGCCGAGCTGCATGATATTTGAGCAGTCCGGATATTCGACATCTTCATTCGTCCCAGAAACCGCTCGGATTTCCATTTGGAAATCTGCCAATTTTTTGGTATATATCGAGCGGTTTCTGGATTTGCTGCAAAACAATGAATAAAGTGTTTTTTCCATATGTTATTTGATTTCTCCACATTCTACTGATCTTTCAAAATTCTCTTCTAACAATTGTTTTTTTTTCAGATTTGCCAACAACCTCTGGAAGTCAAACAGTTCGACCGCAAGCCATTTCATAAGCGACAGTAAGCTGTTTTCCACGTCATCGTAAGCCAAGCCGCATTTTCTACAGTAAGCTGTCGTGATCCATGTCAAACTGTTTAACTTCTACAATCCACTCAACTCCACGTTTGGTCGCTGAAGTTTTTGAAGTCAGAAACGATGGATGATCAAAAGGATATTTAGTTAGTTTAGTTTTGGGAGGTTATTAGGGTTTTCAGATATTTTTAACAGATATTTCAGGTGTTTCAGGCCTTTTTCAGATATTTAGCAGGTTTTCCAGATGTTTTAGAGTCTTTCCAGGTTTTCTTTTCAGATTTTGCAGGCTTTTTTCCAGATATTTCAGATTTTTCACAGGTTTTCAGCTTTTTTCAGATGTTCCAGATTTTTTACAGGGCTTTCAGACATTTTAGGTCATTTCAGATATTTTTAACCGGTATTTCAGTTGTTTCAGGCTTTCTTCAGATATTTAGCAGGTTTTCCAGATGTTTTAGAGTCTTTCCAGGTTTTCTTTTCAGATTTTGCAGGCTTTTTTCCAGATATTTCAGATTTTTCACAGGTTTTCAGCTTTTTTCAGATGTTCCAGATTTTTTACAGGGCTTTCAGACATTTTAGGTCATTTCAGATATTTTTAACCGGTATTTCAGTTGTTTCAGGCTTTCTTCAGATATTTAGCAGGTTTTCCAGATGTTTTAGAGTCTTTCCAGGTTTTCTTTTCAGATTTTGCAGGCTTTTTTCCAGATATTTCAGATTTTTCACAGGTTTTCAGCTTTTTTCAGGTGTTTTCACAGGTTTTCAGACATTTCAGATATTTTTCTTTACATTTTCTTTGCGTTCATAGTTTTTTTTTCAGGAAGTCATTGCAACTTTCATCACAACCTCTTTTGCCTCGGAATCTGCTCTTCTTTCAACTACAGTAAGCTCTTTGCCACGTCACCGCAAACCAAGCTGCACCGTCTACAATATGCTGTCGCAAACCGTCTCATCGCCTTCAGTATGCAGATTGCCACGTCATCACCACCGTTTGTCTTCACAAGAAGTTGCACAAACACCGCAAGAAGTGCACTATCTACAGTAGCCGAGCTGCATGATATTTGAGCAGTCAGGATATTCGACATCTTCATTCGTCCCAGAAACCGCTCGGATTTCCATTTGGAAATCTGCCAATTTTTTGGTATATATCGAGCGGTTTCTGGATTTGCTGCAAAACAATGAATAAAGTGTTTTTTCCATATGTTATTTGATTTCTCCACATTCTACTGATCTTTCAAAATTCTCTTCTAACAATTGTTTTTTTTCAGATTTGCCAACAACCTCTGGAAGTCAAACAGTTCGACCGCAAGCCATTTCATAAGCGACAGTAAGCTGTTTTCCACGTCATCGTAAGCCAAGCCGCATTTTCTACAGTAAGCTGTCGTGATCCATGTCAAACTGTTTAACTTCTACAATCCACTCAACTCCACGTTTGGTCGCTGAAGTTTTTGAAGTCAGAAACGATGGATGATCAAAAGGATATTTACAAGTCGATCTGCAAACACCGCAAGAAGTGCATGCAGATTTTTCCATTCACGACTACAGTATCTGCTGGTTTGGAGCAATGCATTTGGATCGATTTTCAGATGAGTTTTTTCATAGATTTTGCGGGGTTTCCAAGGTTCAGATTTTTGTACAGGTTTTTTATATTTCCAGATTTTTTCAGGTGTTTCAGACGTTATTTCAGGTTTTCCAGATTTTGACAGGCTTTTCAGATCTCATTTCAGGTTTTCCAGATATTACAGATTTTACAGGCTTTTCAGACGTTGTTTCAGGTTTTCCAGGTTTTTACAGGCTTTTCAGAATTTATTTCAGGTTTTCCAGGTATTGCAGATTTTTTTACAGGCTTTTCAGATTTTCCAGGTTTTTTCAGAAAATTCAAACCAGTTATTTATAGCACTTTTTTGGCTTAAACTTTGCAATTAAATAGACCTATTTCGAAATAGCCCTTGATCTTCGAATCTTTTAAATAGCCTTGATTTCTAGCGAATTCCCACAAAAAAATCGAAAAAAAAAACCACATCTACCGTATCATTCTTCAAAGGCGCACAACAATTTCACCACAAAGTTGTGCAAACACCTCGACGCACAATTGCACACAACTTTTTTACTTTTGTTTTTTTGCACTTTTTTGCGATGAAAAATCATTGTATCTTTGTATCCAAAAAGCAAATTACTCATTTATTTACTCAATCCTGTTCTTTGCCAACTGCCAACTCATTTTTTCCTTTGCAATTGCAACAAAAATCGTATTTCTCTTGCTTTTTTCTTTCCAAACGTGACCGAGAATATTGCCACGTAGAATTTTCAATTTCCCAAAAAAATTATTCATATTTGGTATTGTGTATATAAAAACAACGCACTGTTCTTCCTCTCCGTCTCTCACCGCCCATCTCTCTGCGACCTCTCCACTCGGCACACTCTCTCGCCCCATCGCCACTCTTTTTGTATGTGTTCATTTCATTTTTTCTGTGTTTGTAGGACAGCCTGATTTTTGTGTTTGATATAAAAATAGAAATTTTTAGTTAGTAAGAGTTTGTTTTTTGCAGATTCGTAAAATGGGTAAAAAACAGCAGCAAAAATCGAAGGAACCTGCGGCGAAAAAAGTTGGATTTTCAGCAGATGCCACGTCATCAGAGAGTAGTAGGTGAGTGGAATTTTCGAATATTTATATGGGAGAAAATACACGTGGCATGGAAACGAACCAAATATTGTTTTCTATAGCGAAAAAATCAAATTAAATCAGAAAAATCAATTAAAGAAAAAATCAAAAAATTAGCGAAAAAATCAAATTTCAATCCACGTGGCGTAGAAATTATCGATTTTCAGAAGTTTGAATCCACATGGATTTTCAAGTGAATAATATTATAATAATAAATCCCCGAGGCGCTCAAAAATCGATAATTTCGCAGCAAAATTCTTAAATTCGACTGAAAAGTTCTCGCCGAAAATTGTGATTTTTAGCTGAAAATCTCTGAATCCTACTACAAAACATCCAAATTTTTGAAAGAGTTTCGAGCTCGTAAATCCACATCGAGCCTGAAATTCTCTGGATTTCGAAAAAATTAAATTTTGAGCCGCAAATAAATATTGAAAGTTCCCATATGATTTCAGCTCAAAGTTATCCACGTTCTGTACAAAATTACGTGTTGAATTATCGATTTTTTGAGCTAAGATTTCCACGTGTCATTCCCTTTCCCCTTTTCTCCAAACCTCCAATTTTTCCAGCCTAAAACGTAGTTCAACATCATCTCTGAAACCTTCGCCATCTTTAAACACCCTAAATCGAATGGAACGCGACACCATTGTTTTATGGAAAAAGCCGCTCACAACAATATATTATGCAATTCTTGAGTTGCTTCATCTCCTTCTCGAACTTCTCAGCAAAATCTTCGAACACAAAGCTTTGGTGCTCCTAGTAGTTGGCTCAATTCTAGCCGCATTCTATGCCTATCATACTCCCGGAGATCATCAAAAATATGTGCAAAAAGTGGAGAAGAATCTAATCTGGTGGAGTTGGTGGATCTTTTTGGGTGTGTTGAGTTCGATCGGTTTGGGCTCTGGTTTGCACACATTTTTGATCTACTTGGGACCACATATTGCTGCTGTCACATTGGCTGCTTACGAGTGTGGAAGTCTAGATTTCCCCGAGCCACCGTATCCCGAGAATATTCAATGTCCAAGTTCGGGTAAATCATCAGTGGGAGTAACGCTGTGGGAAATTGTGGCGAAAGTTCGAATCGAATCACTTTTATGGGGAGCTGGAACAGCTTTGGGTGAATTGCCACCATATTTTATGGCACGGGCTGCTCGTTTGGGTGGACAACAACCAGATGATGAAGAATATCGAGAGTTTTTGGCATTGATGAATGCGGATAAAGGAGGAATGAATGAGGAATTGGTGGGTTTTTTGGAGGAAGAGAGAAGGAAGGGAAATGACATAAAAATAAAAATAAAATTGAATAAAATTGGCTAACCTGAGCATTTTTGCGAGAAAAATTTTGGTGCAAACAATTTTTGTCGCTCAAAATATTTGAGATTCATTGCTCATATTATACTTTTTATTCTTGGATAATTTTTGAGTTGAACTGTTTTTTCCAGAAAATCAGAAACAAACTCTTGTTATTTGAGTTTTAAATTTCCATTTTTTCCCTGAAAATTTCACATTTTTTCAGTCTTGGACAGATCGCGGCAAACAATGGGTGGAGAAATTCATATCCCGTGTCGGATTTCCGGGAATCTTGTTATTCGCGTCAATTCCAAATCCACTTTTCGATTTGGCCGGAATCACATGCGGACATTTCTTGGTCCCATTCTGGTCCTTTTTTGGTGCCACATTGATTGGAAAAGCACTTGTTAAAATGCATGTTCAGGTAAATTTCGAGTTTCGACTTTGTTTGATTTGGGAAGAGAAAGAAGCAAATATAAATATTAGAAGAATAAGAAAAAGTTAGGGTAAATAATAAAAAATGTTGAGAAAAAGATCATAATCGCTCGAAAATTGGAGGGAAATAAAAAATGTTTTCTGAAGCAGTGAAAATATATATCGAAAAAATCAAATTCTGAAATGTTCTGTTTTCTTCTTCTAATTTGTTCAATTTTCAAAATTTTGCAGCAAAGAATTTTTAAAATTCAATTTTTCACAAGAAAAATAATATTCAATGTGTTTTTCAATGAGCAATCTAAGTTTATCCAATCTAAAATATTTTAATAAATTTTCGACTGCGACTCAAAAAATATGCATTTTTTGAAAAAGCGATTTTTCTAAATTTTTATCTTTATATCTACATTTTACTACAAATCTAAGTTCATAATGAAAAAAAATGACCAATTGAAACAGTGCTTTTTACAACAATTTTCTATCTAATTTAAAATGCCTAAATTTTCAAGATAAAAATAATTTAGTATAAAATCTCAAATGAATTTTTATAGTAGTAGTTTTTTACAGATGTTATTTGTGATTATCGCATTCAGTGCTCATCATGCTGAACATGTTATAGATTTAATTGAAAAAGTGAGTTTTTTCGCCCAATTTATTTTTTTCTCAAATCCAATTTCAGATTCCTGCAATTGGTCCACATATTCGAAAACCGATTAGTGATTTATTGGAAAAACAAAGGAAATCTTTACATAGAACACCGGGAGATCATGTTGAACAGGTTGGTGCGAAAAAGAAAATGAAAATTTTATATTTCAAAAAGTTCTGCTAAAAATCAGAATTTTTATTGAAGAATTTCATGGTTTCATAGAAGTTTTAGAAAACATCCAATTCTTCTTTTCCTAATTTTTAAGTCCAAAAATCGTTTTTCCAGAGCTCCTCAATTCTGGCAACAATTTTATCAGCAATCGTTTCTTTAATGATTTTCGGGTTCCTTCTTTCAATTGTCAATTCGCTTGCTCAATCATATCACAAAAGAAAATGGGAAAAAACTAGAAATTTGCAAAAGGTCGAGTGATAGGTATTTTTAATTAATTAGTTAATTAATCATTTTGTTTTCCTGCCAAAAACTGGGTATTCTTCTTTTAATTTTTAATTTGTATTCAGCCAAAAAAACATTGATTTTTCTTCAGAATTTGATAGAAGAGGCAAATTTATCATTGATATGTGAAGGAAAAGAAAAAGGAGAAAGTGATGTTGTTGCTGAAAATTTGGCTGAAATTGTTTAAGAGCTGTGTACTTCATAATTTTGCATGCAAAACGGGTTTTCTAACACCAATTCACTTTATTTTTCCTTCCTTCACATATCAAATAACTTAACACCTTCCTTCACCAAACAAATTCTCAAGAAAAGTCATTTCCCCTTCCCGATTTTTTATTCACTTTTCCCCCGATTCCCCATATTTTTTCGAAAACTTGTTGTGATTCGTAAATTATTTTTGTTTTTGTTTCTTTAATGAAAAAATTAGTTTATCTATCTATTTAGTGAGAAAAATGCAATAAATATGATATTTACAGATTTTTAAGTTCAAAAACTTTCCTCGTCCATGGTTTGAGCCATAACTGGAGCTGGAACTTGGTCGTATTGAGGATTTTGGGAAGATGAAGAAGTTGCGGGAAGTTGTTCTTCTTCAGCCTCGTCGTCGTCGTAAATGTCGCTTTCTTCGGCGGCTTCGCGTGCCATTTCGACGAAACCTGGAGAAAATTGGATTGATTTTCAATGGGAATTATGAAAGTTGAAAAGAATTTCCATAGAAAGTAATTAAATTTTTCAAAATTGATAGTTTCCGCATTTGGAGCCCAATAACTTAGCTCGCACGTCCATCTCATGTTCTAAATTCGTGGATTCTTATTCTAAAGCTATGCGGCTTGGCCTACAGGTTTTCTCAATATTTCAACCGGTTTCAAAATGTTTCCCTTGCCAGTCAGTCATTTTTTCCGACAAGAAAGTGCAAGTGTCATTTGCAGAAAACTCGCACGAAAAAATAATTGGAATTTAATTGAAAATGTAAATTTTTTGGAACGTCATGGCCTTTTAAAAAAATTTGCATTTTTTTTGAAATTCCTCATTTTGCAGAATGTTTTTTTTTCAAGTTTTCAACCAATTTACATTATTTTTTCAAAAGTACATTTGTCACTCTCAGGAAATCGGAATGAAAAAATAATTGGATGCATTTTTTTTCTCTCTAAAAATTTGTGATCTTCAGCAAAATATATCTCGTTTCGAAAGTCTGAAAATCCTACCAGTTAATGGATTTTCGACGGACATCGGTGCAGTTTCAGTCATTTTTCGGGTTGCAATCGAAGCCAGTGGTAAATTGTTATAATCGGGTCCATCAAATGAGCGATGACTTCTAAAAGTTTTGCGCTTTCGCCGATCTTCTTGGCTTTCTTGAATTGATTGAAGAAGCTGGAAGAAATTAGAGATTTTGGATGGAAATCCTTAATTTTCAGCTAAACTCACCAATTTGAATGCAATAAAAACATAGACCAAAATCAAAACAAACAAATTCAAATAGATTGCCAACATAATTCGTGCCGATTCATCTTTCTTCAAATTTTGCATGAACGAAACGCGACGTGATGATTTCTGAAATATAGAAGAATTTTGATGAAGTTCAGAGTTTCTAGTGAATCAATGGTTTTGTATTTAATATCACAACTTTCACAATTTGCAACGTCCTAACTCATATTCCTAGCTTAGCTCAACATCAGATTTTCTATCGAATTCAAAACCATGTGATTCTTCAATTACCTCAGAGGCTCCCCCAAACGTTTCACTCCAAAACTGCTTCACATCACCAATCCATTCCGGAATTTCAATAGTTCTTCCCAAAATCTCCAAACTTTCTTGATTTCTTCGCAATTCTTCCGTGATTCCTGGCTGCATTTGCGGGGTTATCGAATAGGCCAACACTTGGGATGTGGTGAAGACAAGGAGCAGCGAGAATTCCAGCATTTTCAGCGAGAAAAATGAAATTTTAGGCGGACCTCGCGAGGAAAACACACAAAATTCCAAATTTCGCGCGCACACACATCATTCCGCCACAAGACCCATTCACATTATTCGATGAGCCTTTAAAACGTCTTTAAAGCTTTTCATTTTTTGTTCATTTTTCATTCTGCTTTTTTGATCCACCGCTGCTCATTGACCGATCAAACCGACACAAAAAGTAGGCGGAGCCAACTCACCAGCTGGCGCAAAAAATCTTTTTTCCTTTATTAGAGTGAAAACCGAGTATCTTTCATTTTTTTGTGTGTGAAGTATGAGAAAAAGAAGAGAAGATCCCCTAGGCTTATATTTAATGAATTTGAGAAGATGTGTGCTCTTTTCCTTCATTTTTTAGCTGATCTTTCTTTTTTGAAGAAAAAAGACGGAAAATATCTAATTCTTCATTTTGATTGAGCAGCGGTGTAAGTATGTAACTTTCCGGTGTGAAAAATAAAAGAAAAGTGCAATTGAAACAAAAATTGTATTTCATAACAATTCTGAGCCTTTTTTGATAAATCAAATGCGAAATAATTGTTGGTTACAATGATTAATGTTATGTGTTATTTATGATTCGCTTTTTTTGCATTTCTTTTGATTTTCGCCTCGCTGTTCATTCGTTTTGTGCTTTTTTCTGTTCGAAACCGTTTTTGAGCCAAATCGTGAGCTTTTTTCAATTTATCAACCGTTTCCGGGCTGTTTTGCTCACTGTTATCAGTTGAAAATGGGCGGAGCTTCGAGAAAAGGCGGGGCTTATTACTTTTGAGATTAAAGTTTCATTCGTATTTTTTCTTGCTAAGGAATCTAGATTCGATCATTTTGATCCCGAAAAGCTGATATTTTTGATTTTTTAAAAATAACGTTACCGTTGTGTGAACAAAAACGACATTTTCTATGGGAAGCAAAAAAACCTGAAAAGAATTTATTTTACAAAATTTCTAGTAGTGTTTGGTCTAGCGGTCAGGTTATGCTGAAAACGAGTTATGACGTGGCAACGTTGGAGAATCTCGATTTCGAACAACTTCGAACTTTTGTCACGTCATATCACATTTTCAGCATAATCTCATCGCTTGACCAAAAACTGCTAGAATTTTTGTAAAATAAATTCCCTCGTGAGTGTGTTTTTTTGGTTCCCATAGAAAATGTCGTTTTTTGTTTACACAAGAAAGGTTCCCTTATTTGAATAAAAGCAGGAAGGACACCTTTTTTGATAAATCAAAAAAGGCTCAAATTCTTTTTCTTCACTTTGCCAAACTCATTTTCTTTTTTCCCTCTTTTTCTTGGAAAATAATCATCATAATCCTGAAAAAGAAATATTACATTTTTTGTTTAGGAAGAACTTCTGAAAGTCCACCGAAAATGCCAAAACAAGAGTTCGGCTACGAAGATTTGATGGGCGTTTTGGCGGTTTGGTGTGTGTTTTTTGCCGTAATTGGTGTCATCACTGTGACTTGTATCAATTTCTGTTGTATTAATGAATATGATGATGTGACGGTTTTGGAAAAAGTGAGTTTTTTTGGGGGGAAAATTGAAAAATGTACAAATATTTGCCTTTTTAAGTGAGGAAATGTATCCATTTTGATTGGATTGCCAAAAAATGTATTGAATTACAAATTGAATTGATTGAGTCAATAAAAATTCGGCCAAAAAATTTTTTCATGAAAAATCAGAAAATATTTTGGAATAAAAAGAAGCAAAAATTAATCATTTTCCGATGCAGGAAAATATCGAAAAAACAAAAATTTAGAATATTATTTCTGATTAGAGACTACGGAATATCGAGAGAGTCTAGGCAACAAATGTGTTGTCTGAACTCTCTCAATTTCACGTTGTATCTAAAAAATTTAATTTTCGATCTATAACCAATTTTCTGAAAATTGCCATCCAAAAAATTCCCATTTTCTTCCAGTGGGGTCACAAGAAACGTCTCGGCGTCCGTCTCGGAATCCACAAGCGTGCCGTCATTCAAAGAACTGTCGACATGGAAAAATTCAAAGCCGACATCAAGTAAATCTATCATTTTTGAGTTCCCCGAGTTTTCCCTTCACCCGCAAATTTCACTTTTCCTCCACAAATTTCACAGTCCCTCAAAAGCAAATAATCTATCTAATAATTCAATTCAAAATATAGGGTTTTCAAAATTCTTCAATTTTTTTCCTTTTCGAATTTTCAAATGTTTTAACGCCAAGCGAATTCTTTATCGATTTTTTAAACGTGTATCATTTTTCCCATTTTTCATTGTTTTTTCTTTTCAAGTTTTAAAATTAAATTTTTTTTTCGTCTAGAAAAAGTGACCGATCAAACTTTGGCTCAATGACCTTTCTCTGCACTCTCTTGCTCTCTCTATTTCGCCACTTTTTAAAAAAGAAAAAGAGTACACACAAATATATTTATAATGGGGTTCAAAAGGACACTTTTTCGGGGAGGGATAGCAGAAAAAAAAATGAAGAAACGTTTGACACAGTAATTCTAGATCCTTGTTAAACAATTATATATCATCCGGGTTACTGTAGCCACGTGTAATCTTCTCAGAAAATTTGTATTTTTCAAATTTTTATTTGTAAAAGCAAGGAATACTGTAATTTTTTTCCACCGAAAATAATTTCGAAAACAATTCAAATATTTTTATTTTTCAAGAAACACTACAACATCCTCCTCCTCCTGATTTTTTCTTTTTCTTTTCATTTTTCGCTCGTTTTTTCGGTAATTTTTGAGCGGCCACTGGACTTTTGGAATTCGGCGTCTTGGAAATGATGGATTTTTGAGTTGGTGCAGATTTTGGTGGGGCTCCTGAAGAAGCTCCAGTTCCAGATGCCCCAGATGGTGGTTTCAATGATATTTCAGTTTTTTGAGTTGGCGCTTCATCTTTCAACTTGTCTGCGTCTCTCACTTTTTCCGTCTCTATCTTCGTCTTTTCTTTCTCTTTTTTCTCTACGTCTCTCACTTTCGAATCATCTTTTTTTCTCGTTGATGGATCATCACAATCACTGAATTCCACGTCATCGTAGCCTTTTTTTCGAATTATTTGATTTTGTGTTGGTTTTGCGGCTGCCAATTCTTCGATTCCCATTTTTTAACTGGAAATAGATGTTGAAGATTTCAAAGCAGTACTGAAAAATTGAACACGAACCTTGTTAGAATCCCAAAAATTGTATATTTTTCATAAATCGAAGATATGGTTTTGTATTTTGAAAAATGTAAAAAATGCCGGGAATTTATTTTTTTCGCTATTTTTTTGCGCTGAGAAAAAATGTCACGCGAACGCAGAAAAAACCAGATTTCATTTTGAATGAGTAAAAATAAAATAAAAATAGTACAGTACTGAAAAACAACAAGGTGATTTATCAAAATCATCTTTTTTTATCCCTTCACTTCTCCAAAAAAAAAATTCATTTTCTTTTTCTGAATGTAGAAGTAAAAACAAAAAATGAGACTACAATTTCTAATATTTTTGCTAATATTTTCTTCGACTGAAACTCGAGATTTATTCGTGAAAAAAGCTTGCGAATCGGAGCCGAATTTGATTTATTGCCGCCCAAGTTTTCGCGCGAAATTTGAATTTTCCACTCCCTCCCCAGCTTCTGACCAAAATCAAAACATTTTCGAGAATTGGGCAAAAATTGTGGCACGAGATTCAAAAGACATCGAAGATTTGGAGATTGACGAGACTGGAAAACGTGGAAAACCCGAAAATATCGATGAATATTGCTCGAAATACGTGGCAAACTACAAATCATACTGTAGTCCGGGAAAATTGGAGATTTTGGAGGGACTTTTAGCGCAGTTTTGCACCATTTTTCAGAAAAATTGTGGTGTTTCTGGAAATGGTGACGTGGATTTTCCGACGCCAAAACCATTTTTTGGCGCTGGAAATGAGAAAAAATCGATGGTAGTTGATTCGATGGTGGAGAAAATGGTGGAGAATGAGAATGGTGAGTTGGTGGGGTTTTGGGGTTAGATTATCATATCCACGTGAAAAATTGTCAGATTTTTGGATTTTCCGAGATACTGTAGTTTAAAGTACTGTAATTTTTTGGTGTTTCAGAGCAAAAAATTAGATACAGTGAACTGGAACTTATTGTAATTTTACATACAGTACCCAAAATGTTCGTAGCGAATGCCACGTGGCTTTGATCTACAGGATCTATTGAAATTTTGGTGTCAAAATTTCAAAAAAGGTTTTTCAGATGATTTCTGCACATCGAAAAAATCGCAATTCGAATCCGAATGTTCTCCAAAAACCGCTCTGAAAAATCAAGAATTTTGCGGAAATTATCAGAAAATCTGTGGGAGAATCGAGAAAGTCGATGAGAAAACGTAAGTTTTTCAGCTTAACAAATTAATTCCTAACTAAGGTAGTTAATTAGTATTTGTAACTGATTAATTAGACAATTAACCTCAAATGAATATTTCAGAGATGACGACAGTTTGGAAGATCTGGATCTGGATTTAGAGGAAAATGCGGAGCACAAAAAAGAGGAACCTGAAGGACAAGGAGCAAAAAATGATGATGAGGTGCAGAAATATTGCACAAATTATGTGGAAAATTACAATTTCTTCTGCGCTGGCGAAAAAGTACCGGAACACGAGAAATTCTGCGAGTCTTATAAGAAAAATTGTCCCGATAGTGCACCGTGAGTTCGGGATTTTTTTTTGATTTTTGTTGGAGCATGAAATAAAGTTTTTTTGTTTTTCAATTAGTTTTTGAATTAATTAAAATGTTTTCGATTAGCATAATCATTGAATTTATTCAAAGTTAAATTTCGACAACTAAAACATAATTGATTTGGGCCCAAATTTGAGTTCTTGATCAAAATCAAAATCAATCTTGGTTAATTAAATGATTGAACCTATAGATATGTTAATTAGCTATTCAGCTAAATAACAAATTATTTTTCAGCTTCAAAGAATCCGGTTCATTTTTGGGCACCGAAAATTCGCCCGAAACCTCAGATTCAACATCCTCGGATTCTACCAAATCCACGTATCTCTACAAAGGCACAAAACGAGAATATTGTCAAAAATTCAGTGTGAATTATGAATATTATTGCAAGTGAGTACGATAGTCTCACAAAATAAAGGTACATGTTGAACTACAAAAAATAATGAAATTTCTAGAGGGACAATTGAAAACGCGGAAATTTATGTGAAGTTCTGCCCGTCATATCGAAAAGCCTGTCCGAATGAGTAAGTGAACATTTTCAGATATTTTTTGGAAAAAAAAACATCTGAAACTTTAGAGCGAATCCGGATACAATTCCACAGAAGCCGAAAAAATCGGATGATGACGAAGAGGAATTTCCGGATTTCGATAATCCGGGAAAAGGAAAATCGAGAAAAAGTGGAGGAAAAAAAGAGAGGAAGAAGGGTTAGAAAAAAGTTGGTTATTTTTGTTGGGAAAAATTATTTGGATTTCGAAAAATTACAGAGTTGGGCTAAGCTAGATGAGAATTAACGCTCAGAACTTTAGGCTTAAGCTTAACAAAACGTTCAAAATAGGAATCATTATTATCCAAGCTTTGACCTTAGGCTTCACCCAAATGATAATTCATAAGCTTAAAGTCATATTTTCCAGACGAGATTGTACGGCTGATTGTGACCAAAGAATATATAAACATTGCACAGTATCTTGTAAATGTGATTATGCTTATCCAGCTGTTCAGAAGTTTTGCAATCCACCACCATTGCCACTTTTCTTGAATACTTGCAGGTAAACTGTTCACTTCCCCCAAATCCCAAATATTTTCCACGTGTCTCAGACTTTGGTATCACGGTTGTCCAAAATACGAACAATATCACTACGCTTCTCAATTCGTCTACTCAAAAGCCGAAAAAGGAAAAGTGCTCGAAGGTCCAAAACTTCAAACAACATTCCAATTATTGACACCAAATGGACAAGCTTTGCCATATAAACCAACTCGAATAAAAAGGGAAGAAAATATAGAAGAAAATGTGGTGTTTTGGCCAATGTCTAAGGAAAATCACGAGGAAATTGAGGATGAGAAGATGGTTCTTTGGGAGAATTCTAGAAATTCCACTTCAAAAATTGAGCTTGTTAAGCCTCCAGAGATTCCGCAGCGTAAAAAAGACACTGTTGCTCTGGAAAAACCTCCGGAAATCCCTGCAAATTTAATTTCGCGTAAAAAAGATGATGTCGAACTGGAAAAGGCGCCCAATTTACCGCGAACCAAAAAAACTACGGGTGGACAATCGGTTCCGGTTTTTTCGGACAGTGTTTTCTCGAATGCAGTCAGTCAGTATAATACGTTGACAGATTCAAGGGGAATTTTGCATCGACCGAGGAGCAGATCACCTTTCACCAAACCGGGTGAGTGATCAAACAGCGAATAGATTCTTACTAACAAAACATACAGGAAATCAAACCTCATTCAATAAATCCTTCTCCTCTCAATTCTCAAAATTCTAGGTCTTTGGGAGCCGAATCCTGACGATCCACACAACCGAGATCACGCCAATAAATACTATTATGCTCCGCGTTCAGTAAATGTTGATTGGCTTCAAGGTCAACTTGCTTGGGGTGCACATTGGGCTGTTCCAGCGGCTGGAGTTGGAGGAACTGATGGATTTAGTGCATTGCATTTTCCATCTATTGGCACCTTTCTTAATATTCCGGATGATTATGATTAAATTATTATATTTTGATTGATGTAATTATATAAATTGGAGTTTTAGTGAGAGAAAGATTTTATAGGCCAGTAATACTATCTCAATTTTTCGATTTCTAATTTTTTGTCCAATTTTCCCAATTAAAAATTCAAACGAAGCGTGACCTGAAATTAAATCAACGTCATCTTAAAATGCTCACCAAATGCTCACACATCAAATCATCAGTCCCAAAAATATTTTTCCTTCGAAACCTCTTCAAAAATGGTCGATCAATTGACTCGCGAAACTGCAAGTCTCGAAATTTCGTCGAAAAACGAGGATTTGTCGAACATTTCCATAATTCCCGAATTGTCCGAAGAGGAACAACGACTTTTGGATGAGGAGATCAAGAAACGCTCGAAACCGATTGAGGGAACGATTGAGCCTGTTGATTTTCCGCTTCATGACATTGTGAAAGGTGGGTGGAAAAAAGAAAAAAAATGATGTTTTGAATATGCGCGCAGGGCAAGTGCGCTCGATCGCACACCGCGAAAAAACGTGGTTTGAAAATTTCATTTCAAAAAATACTTTTTTTTTTTGCGGACTCAGACAAGTTGGGCGATTAATCGCTAAGCAACTTGAATTAGCTGCTGGCTGGCCGATTAATCGCCTGTATTAATTTTGTTCAGACGATTAATCGTCAGCTCACTTTGCTTACCGATTAATCGCTCAATTTGTCTGAGGAGTTTTGGGAAGATTGTAGGTTTTCTGAGCAATTTGATGGTTTTTAATAAGACTGGTAGTACTTATTTAGCGCTGTAAATACTTAATGTATTTAGTTAAATTTCTAGGAATTTCACCAAAAAATTTATTTTTAGCTGAAAAACGATTTTTATATGATTTTGAGTAGTTCTTCACCAAGATTGCGTTATTATTTAGCTTTGCTTAACTCTGGATATGAGTTATGACGGGAAAAACAGTGAAGATACCTTTCACGGCGTTTCCGAGCTTTGCCACTTCATAATTCATCAAAAATTCATACCAGCACAAATTGCCATCGTAATCTTAAAACAGATTTCAATCGCGTGTTAGAAAAAAAATTCAAGAACCTTCCGATTCTCAAAAAAATTTCACAAATATTTAATTCAGAAATCGGTTTGGACAAACCCGTGGAAGGTGTCGATCTCGAATTCTACGAAGATCTCAAAACAAAATCAGCCAAAGTGATTTATACAAAATTGAAAAGTGTTCCTGATGCAATTGCTCGAAAATATCTTCCCGATTTGGCACGTCGTTTTGTTGAATTCGAAAGACGAGTGAAAAGAATCGAAAGAATGTTATGGGCATTGCCAAGAGAAGATAAAAGTTTGGAAGAGGATCGATTCGAGATTTTGACCGAATTATTGGATAAAACTTGTCAAGGAATGGAAATTTGGGAGGAACATTATGTGAGTTTCGACAAAATGTTACGTTAGCTCGGAAAACTCTGAATTCCCAAATTTTCAGGAGCGAAAAATCCCGCTGGGTCATCGTTGTAATTTGGAAGGCGAATTGATTCATCTCATGGACACCAAATTCGATTTGATCGAAAAAATTTGCAAAGAATTTGGAAAATTGAAAGATCAACGAGATGAAGTTAATAATGAAAGAGATGTGAGTTTTTCTTTAAATGAAAACATCTGAAAATCTGGACATTTTTGATTTGGAACAGATTTTGATTGTAACATTTTGAAAAAATCGAGTTTTCAATTAGGAAAATTTTGAAACAGTATTTTTTATAAAATAAAATTCTACAGCATCGGTTTGAATGGAATTATTTTTTGAAAAATCTCATTTTTCAACCCAAAATAGTTTTTTTTGAGAAAACATTTTATTTTTTTTCTTGATCCGATTCCCGATTCGATTCAACGCCGAAACAAAAAAGAATTCCAAACAAATACCAAAGTAATTTTTTGCAGATGCTTCGCTACGAAATTCGCCATTGTGATATGATTTACACGGAAATTCACGAGAAATTCTTGAAATCATATTTGGAAATGGATTGGTAGAATGAAACTCGAAATGAGAAAATGACTGGTTTTGAACGATTTTACGACTTTATCGTCTTTTGTAATAAACATTTTTACTTGGGAAATATTTGGTGAATTTGTGAGAAAAACGAATTATTGCGTGAGTTTGGTTTTATATTTGAAAATATGAAAAAAAATACACTAAATCAAAACAAATTCCTAAAGACTGAAAAAAATATTCAAGAATTCTTTAAAAATCAAATTCATGAGCATAGAAAAAAATCAATTCAAGTCTTATAATTCCCAAAAATCGTCGAGAACTATAAGATTTTTTGTGCAAAAAATACAGAATTAAAATGTTTAAATTGCCACGTCATAGGTCACGTATATTCAATATTTAAAAATTTCAAATGATCATTTTTTTTTCAAAATTTTGCAGAAAAAACCATCTTTCTTTTTTTTTGACTTCCCCTCATTACAATTTTCGCTTTCATTTTCATTTTCAAATAAAAAATTTTATTTTTAATTTTTTTTTCTTCGCCTATTAACCATCTGTCCTTTTCGTCTCATTTTCCATCGAAAATTATATATTTTTATATAAATAATAAAATTGTCTTTATTTATTAATTAAAACGCATATGTTTTAATTGAATTTTGTAGTTTTTTTTCAAATGTTTGGCGCCAAAAATTACGTTTTTCTCTACGCGCGCGCTTGAAAAATTTGCAATTTTTCCCACACCAGATTTTCATATTTATTTTTGAGTATTTTTGAAAGAAGCCGAATTTACATAAATTTTGTGGGCCCACAAATAAAAATGCATAAAATTATAAATTTATAATGGGATTTTACCTCTTTTTGTTTCGGTCGTTTTGTGTGTGCATTTTTATTTATTTTTAAAATTGGGAAAATTTTATTTGAGAATTTTGAGGGTGGAAATTCAGTTTTTCGGTGCTAAAATTCGGGCTAAAAATCTGAGATTTGAATTCAATTTTTTAGAGAATGATTTTCTGGCTCTAAATTATTTACGTGGCTGAAATTAAGAATAAATATATGAAAATTTTAAATGTTTGCTTCAAAAATCTATTTCCCAAAAAAATCCACCAATTTTCACACCTTTTTTCTAACAAATAACAAAAACCTGTTTCTTCTTCCTTTTTTTGTGTTTTTTTTCTGCGAAAAAGACAAAAAACACACATAATAATGGGTCACCTGCGTCCTTTTTTATATATTATTATTATATATCTTTTTATTATTCTTGTAATTATTATTATTATTATAACAAATATAGATTTTTCTATTTTTCTCAAATTAAAAAAAACTTCATTTTCATTTTTATTTTATAACCCTTTTTTGTGTGGTTTTTTTCGCGGCGCGCGCGAAAAAAATTCAATTAAAATTTTTTTCGGGGTAATAAAATGAAAATTGAATAAAATTTTCATTTTGGAAAATTGCATGCAGAAAAGGTCAATTTTTTTTGTTTAGAAAAGTGTGTTTTTGGGGCTAAAAATACACGTGACAATTTTAAAATTTGAAAATGATAGCGCTAAAAATTTATTGTTATGTGAAACAATTCAAATTCAAAATTTGGCCCAAAAAATGCTTTTTTCTCTACCAGGAAATCGTGATTTTTCAAAAATAAATAAATAAAATGAAAAAAATAAATATTTATTTATTATTTATTTTCGCGCTCACCGCGAGGTAAACAAGAATTTTGGATTTTTAAAATTTGGCACCAATTTTGTTCCCAATAAAAAATTGTGTTGTTCAACGAAAAAAAAAACGGATTAAATTTCATTGCAAAAAGTTTATGCAAAAAAAAATGTTTTTTGTGGAATACAATTTTTCAGTTTTTTGAAAGTGTATAGTGAGTTTTTCGCGCCAAAAGTTTTTAAATTCAAAAATTGTTTGGCCTCAAATCCCTCACATTAATAATAATATTTTTTTATTTATTATTATTTCCAATAATAATAATAATAATAAAAATACGATTGCTTTTATTATTAGTTTTTCCCCATTTTCTCTACCCGTCTCTCTGATTTTCCCACACTCTCTCGCTTCTCTGCCGTCTCTTGTTCTCTAACATATGTTATTATTATTTTTATTATATATATATATATAAATATATTTATATATATTTTTACTATACGAAAAATTTATGTGTTTTTTGCGCTATTTTTTATAATTCGAAATTTTTGAAATTGAACAGTTTGAAAAATGTATCTTTTATACATTTTTTTTGTTGAAATTGACAATTTTTCAATAAAAGCCTCCAACTGTATTGAAATTATCTGAAAATAGGCCATCGAAACAGGCCCCAACCAACAAGTAGAAGTCTTCATCGAGTGGGAACTTCTACTTGTTGGTGGGGGCCTATTTTCTGCGATTCACCCTTTTAAATATATATATATATAATATTTTTTTTTGTACGAAAAAAAAGAAAAAAATTTTCCTCTCCTCCCTTTTTTTATATATACATATATAAAATTTTATATATATATATAGGAAAAAAATATATGTATTTTTCTATATAAATAATATTATGTGCATATTTTCGGCGCTATTTTTGGCACCGAATTATTCCACGTGGCAAACAAATTAGTGCACCTTCTATTGTTCCGTCCATTTTTCTTAATTTTTTTCCGATTCTCCCCGAAAAATTGCATGTCTTCTACTAACTTACTATATAATTTTCGCATAAAAATTTGGGCGGAGCTCCGCTTTTTTTTGCTCCAAAAAATATTTTTTATTATTTTTATTTCTATTGAGACACATACAATTTTTATCAGTTTTCTCTTATTTTTTTTGTTGAAAAAACCTTTTTTTTAAACAAAATGTATGAATTTTTAACTCAATTTATAGCATGAGTTATGACGTGGCAAATTTTAGCCGATGTCACTTTGTAATTAATTTTCTTGAAATTTCGGAATCCTGTACAGCTTTTAAAAATCCCAATTTTTTTCAGCCAAGAAAATGATCGAACAAGAAGATCAGAAAATTGTGTTACCAAATAATAATGTGGACAAAAAACCCGACAAATTTTTGCACGAATCTGCGTCGCCTTCAAATATTGATGTAGGTTTTTTAATGAGTTGGAGCCGGAAAATCCACGTAGCAGAAAAATTTTGGCTGAGTATCTAATGTTGTACGCAGCGAAATTCTGAAGAAACATAGTCATTCCTGGTGACGAAAATTGCAAAAAAATATTTCAATTACCAATTTCAACCCAATTATAAATTTTTTTCGAATTCGAAAAAAAATTACCAAATTTCGCCTCAATAAAAAAGCCAAAAAATTTACGAGTGCTCAAAATTTTAGCTCTTCGTCCTCCTTATTTCAAACACTATTTTCGCGCCGCCAACAAAATTTTAATTCATATTTTATTACACTTTTTCGAAGAAATAAAATAGAAAAATTTTATGGTCTTTTTTTGTGTTGAGAAAAAAATAGGAAAATGAAATATGAAATTTCCGCCAATTTCTTTGGGGTGAATATTTGAATGTTGAATTTTGGTGCAAAAAAATGACGTGGCAAATACAAAATCGAAATATTTTGAAATAAATGATTTTAGCTCTAAAAATAAGTTTTAAAGGAGCATAAGCATATTTGGTGTCTAAATATTACAAATTTTCACGCAGAAATAACCCACGTGGCAAAACTAATCAATATTTTTTTCGCAGGAAACCTTAGACGACGAAGAGGACGATGATTCAATAACAAATCCGGATCAAACTTCGGCTGAAAAAATGGAAGATCAACGATTTTTGTACCTTCAACATCAGGTATTTTTGGCATCAAAAATAATTTTTAAAAAATCGATTTTGTTTTTTTCAGATCTCAAAAATAATGCGACATTTACACGTGGAACCTTGCTCATGTCAAAATTGTTTGAATATTCAGAAAATGCAACAAAAAATGAATACGGTAGGGAGTTTTGGTAATTGGGGAAAAAAAATTCCACGTGGAAGATTTATACATCAAATTTTCTGCTGAATTTGACTCAAAAAAGTTGACAGGGACATTAGCAAATATGCTCTATTGAGGATTTTTCTGTTTTAAAAAAAAATTCAAATTGTTTCAGCCGCAATCCGATCCGGCTGCAATGTTAGCTCAACTCTTTCCCAACGCCTCACATCAACAAATTCAAACCCTTCTCGAGTTATCCAAACTCAATCAATTGCCAACACACGTGGCAGATGCTACGCAGTCAAATGGTAGTGGATACGTAGCAACAGGAGAACAGTCGAATGGCGGAGGAAAAATTATGCATCATCAAAATTTGCACCAAAATGGCGGATCAAAAATTGGATCGGGGCCGTATGGAATGAATTCGGCCACGGCCTCGCCTGGACCAAGTTCTGATGGTGGATCTGATGAAAATGAGTTAGCCCAACTCCAGCAGCCACGTCAAAACTTACATCAAAATTTGAATACAGTACCCCAACAACAGCAACATCAACCACCAGCTTCACATCAAAATAATCCCAATGTTTTTGCGCAGTGTGAGTTGGTTTTTTGAAATGGGAAAACAATTTGGCTGTGTAAATACGTTAGATACTCAGCGAAAGCTGTGAGCTTTGTGCTTACCAGAAATGCTTTTGGCTGAGTATCTAATCTGATACGCAGCCAACATTTCTGAATTTTGAGAAAGAAAATCCAAAAAATTTGAAATATTTCAAATTTCACGCAAAAAAATCCACGTGGATAATTCCTAACTGCTTATTTGGTATCAAAAGTTCTTAAATTTTTCAGCGATGGTCGATATGATAAAAATGAATGCAGCACAATCGGCAAGTTCGCCCGGTTTCTTACGCGGACGCGGAAGAGGTCGACCAAAATTGATTGGAGATGAATTGGATGCAGATCTTGTCGATCATATGGTTAATATAAAACAAAATGAATTCCACAATCATTTGACAGCTTCACAAGCATTACATCTTGCCAAAAAATATATATTGGAAAGAGCACCTGGTTTGCTCGAAGAACACGGTGGGCACGTGAAATTGAAATTAACATGGGCAATGAAATTGGTATCACGAATTGCTGAAAGACAAAAAGAAATTGAATATGGATTGCCACCGGGAACATTATCGAATATGGGAAGAACATTGGGCAATTTACCCGGCAACAATTTTATGGCTGATGTTGTGGCACAGAATTTGTTGAGTCAACATATGATGATGATGAGTGGAGGAGGAGGAACAGGAAATGGAGGAGGACCAACTGGAAATCATTATGAGAATCGGCAGCCAATTTCGAAAGATCAAATGATGATGGGAAATAATGGAGGAGCACATAATATGTCTGGAGGAGCTGCACAACAAACTGAGTTTTTTATGTGTGAGTTTTGAGGTGGTTTGGCAGCGAAGCGGATCTGCGAAGCGGTTTTTTATTTGGGAGTTTCATGTCTCAAAAATCCACGTGACAAGATTTCAAGTTTGAATTTTTGCGCTAAACATTCTGAATTTAAGATTTTTTTCCTCGGAAATTCCACGTGGCCACGTCAAAATTCCAGAATTCAAAAATATTTGCCACGTGGTATTTTTCAAACCAGAAAAGTGAATTTCTTGTGACCGTGACGCAGACCGCAACGCGCCTCAAAATGTTTGTATTTTCTCTAGCTAGATTTTCAATAATTTTTCTATTTTTTTCCAGAACTCTCGCATCTTCCCAACCCAACATCAACATTCTCTAATTTCTTCTTCTTTTTCTCTTTTTTTCTGTTTACTTATTTTTGATTCTCGCATAAATCTCACATTGTATACAATTAATTAATTAACTAATTAATTGCACCTAATTAAGTTTATTATTTCCAATTTTGTGCTATTTTTGATACACGTTTTTTGCCAGTCAGTTTTTCTTTATTTCGAAAATAAAAATTCATTTTTTGAACTTGAGCTAGAATCTACAGTAATACTCGCAAAATATGAACTACTGTAATTTTGAATTTTAGAGCCGAAAATTTCAGGTTACTGTAGGATTATTGTAGATCAAATGTTGGCGCCAAAAAGGTTACTGTATCAAAATTTCGAGAATTCAACGAAAATAAAAATTTCGGTTTTTGTTGAATTTTTTCAACGAAAATAAAAATTTCGGTTTTTGTTGAATTTTTTCAACCGAAAATCAAAATTTCGGTTTTTGTTGAATTTTTTCAACCGAAAATCAAAATTTACAAATCCATCATTTTCGAGCCAATTTTCATGATTTCAGTCTAAAATTGATTGAAATTCATTTAGTGGGCATCATTCAAGTAATATTCAAAGAAAGCGTTTGAGAAAAGAGTTGAATAGCCGCATAAGATAAAAAGTAAATTTTTACATAATTTTCTAACTGTTCCCGCCTAGGGGCACCGCCCCTAGTTTTCAACAAAAAAAAACAAGCAAAATATTTATTGATTATTATAAGATCTGATTAATAATGCAAAATATGAAATAATTCGAATAATCAAAAACATCGCAAATAGAATCAAAACATCAAACATTTTGTTGGAACTATTAAAATCAATTGATTCTAAAACTTGTTCCCCATTTTGTGGACAAGAATTCAATGCAAAAGCTGAAATTGTTGAATTAATACATTCAGGAATAATATCGATTGATTGCCATTGATTAATTGCCAAAGCTTCATATCCATATTTAAAATATGATAATGAAGAAAGCCATGTGAAATATGAAGGAATTGCATCGAATGTGATGAAAAATCCACCAAAAGCCATAATTGGAACGACGAAAATTGGAAGAATTGTCATTGCAACATCAGTATTGGCAAATATTGTTGCGACTGCATAAGATACACTAATTGCAACATTTGTAATTAGAATTGTGATAAGTGATGCAAACATAAAAGTAGAAAAACTTGGATAAAGGCCAGACATCCAATAAACTATTGAATTATAAAGAAATGGAAGAATTATATATTGAGGAAGCTGTAAAAATATAGATTTTTTTCAAATCTCAAGTTTTTAGTGCATGTGCCACGTGGCAATTCTCACCTCAGCCATATTTTTGGCCAAAAAGTATGCGCTAGTCCTATAGACGCCATTCGCATTCTCACGTAAAACAATCGGCAATTCAGCTGTGATCACCTGAAAAATCAATATTTTTGTCACGTCATAGCTAAGCTCGTAGCTTCGCAGCTGAAATTGCTTCAACTCACCGGAACATTTGGAAATTGCAGCATAAAATTCAAATTTCTAATATGATTAAACATAATTCCATTAACCGAAATAATAGTTTCGGGTGAAATTGGAGTTTGAAAATAGACAAAACCAGTTATCAAAGCAGTTATAATAATTTGAAATAATCTGACTGATAATAAATTCGGATCTCGAATTACAGTCAACCAAGAACGCCATGAAAGAGCACAGAATTGAGCATAAAATGAGGCATCGTAGCCTTGATTAAAGAATGTTTTTGTTGTTTTGTCATCTGTTGATGAACCACAAAATGATGAATCTGTTTGAAGTTTATCAGCATTTCCGATTGCTTGAACAGCTTGACCAATTTGAGATTGAAGGAAGCCTTGACGGATTTTCTGCAAAAATTGGGGATTATTTTTTGTTTTTTTAGGCCATCTAAAAAATTTCCCTATTTTCCCAAAAATCAAAATTTTTAAAGCCCAATAAAAATACTGAAACTTCTATTTTATCGTTTTTTCTCGCTATAAAACTAGATATTTTCAGAATTCTCTGGAAAAAAAAATGAAAAATCTGATTTTTCTCACAATTTTCATTTTATTCTCGATTCGAAATGCATTGCTCATCACAAAATATTCGGAGACTCGATTTTGGCGCGAAAATAATTCAAAATTTCCCAATGATCGGATTTTTGATAAGGAAATGAGGTGTGATTTGGGAAAAAATTCTTTCACATCTGAAACTTTTAATTAACTTTTAAATTTGAACTGTTTTTTATTTTCCAAAAAATTCATTCCGCATAATTTTCAGCAAAATTCTCTCAAATTTGACTTCACCACAACTCAAAAAATTTCTCGAACCAATCTACAACAACACTCTAAAATTGTCTGAAATTCGCGAGCAAACGCTGAAAATCGCCAAACAATTCGGAATTCACAATGAAACTCGTCGAATTTTTGAGGAAAAAGATCGGAGAAATCAAGAAACTTCGAAATTGGTCGAAAAAATGATTGGGGGACTTTTGGAGCATCAAAAGAATATTCGAGCAATTTTCCGGAATCAAAATCAGACGAGACTAGAGAGATTGGAAAAATTGGAGAAATATCGAGACGAATTTCCGATTGTGAGTTCGGAGTAAAAAAAAGCGGGGAAAATCCACGTGGAAAAGTTAAAACGCAAAAAAATACAGTAATCTGTGGGGAAATTTAGATTTATTTTTTGAAGTTTGAATTTTTAAAATCTCAAAAATTTCAGGAAACCGCCGTAATTCGCCAAATGTTCCGCCAACTTCTCTCCAAAACAACAAAATAATTTTTGCTTGAAAAATAAATTTTGGGGCTAAACTTGATTGGTTTTCTAGGCAACAACAAAGAATTCTAGGTCACTTACAAAACCAAAAATATTTCAACTTTCTAGACCCCAAAAATCGCTTACCGAAATAGTTTTCAGCGAAGTTGTTCTATCTTTATCAATAACAGCCAATGTTCGAATCAAATGATCAGCTGGATTATAATAAGCCGGACACGGGAAACCGCATTTTTCGAATAGGGGAACTGCTTGATCACCGGGGCCGAGGTAGATTATTCGGCCACATGCCATTAGGCACACGCTGGAAAATTGAAGAGTTTGAGATTTTTCGGCCATCGGGAACATCTGTTAGGCAAACTTATAGGAACATAGGCAAGTTTATTCTCGAAAAATCGCAAATTTTCTAGGCTTGAAATAAATTCCGGATTGTCAGTCTAATCAAATTTAGACTTGAATTCTTGAAAAAAGATATGTGCACTTTCACGTGGCAAATTTAAAGGAGTATAGACTTATTTGGTCTCAAAAAATCCGAATTTTTCCCTCCTAGAACTAACTTATTAAACAATCCATAAACCTGACTACTTGGTTGATGTATTGTAATAATAACAGTCATTCCACCATCAGCCAATCTTCTCAATGCTTGTACAACATGTCCAGCCATAAAAGCATCCAATCCTGAAGTTGGCTCATCACAAAACAGAATTTTAGGGCAAGTCAGAATTTCGGATGCAAATGCGAGTCGCTTTTTTTCACCGCATGATAATCCTTTGAGTTGATTTGGAATTCCGATCATTGTATCCGCACATTTTTGAAGTCCCATTTGAGTCAAAACTTGTTCGACACGCACTTTTCGCTCGTAATCTGAGTAATGTGAACCCATTCGAAGGCGAGCCTGAAATTTGCGATTTTTTGAAATCAATTATGGCTTGACAAAAAAAACCCGTTGACCTACCATAAATGTCAAATGTTCTCTAGCTGTCATGGTTCCAACAAAAACATCGTGTTGTTGAACAAAAGCCGACATTTCTCGAATTTTCCATTTATTCGCTCGTTTTCCGTCGATCAAAATCGTTCCTTGCACGTCCAAATTGGCCAAGTTACGGGAAGTCAACACGTTGAGTAGAGTCGTTTTTCCGGCTCCGCTGCTTCCCATTATTGCCAGCAATTTGCCGGATTCTGCCATTCCGGAAACTGTAAAAAATCGCAAATGTTTTCCTCTATTTTTTGACACCAAAACTAACCATTATGCAAAATCTCCTTGACACGTTTCGGCGGTTTCTGGGCGATTTTCAATTTTTCGAAAAATGTTGCTGGTTTTGTCTCGGGTCCTGTGACATTCAGAGAACTCCAAAATAGATTAACACCTTCCGGAACAACAGAAGGTGTTGTTGAAAAATCATCAGATGATGCCAGTAGATTTGCTTTGTCCGAAAAATCAGTGAGCATCATTTCGAAAGCTGAAAAATTGAGAATTTTGAAGATTTCAGATGAAATTTGCGCTGTTCAATGATTTTCTTGAATTCTGTTATCAAACATCATATTTTATCTGGAATTTCAGAACAAAAAAACACAAAAATAATTGAGCAAAAATCAAAAAGTGCTACTATAGACAACTAAAAGTGCTCTTATTCTTATCAAACGTATTTTTTCTTATCAATCGGCCAAAAAAATTGTTTTTTAATTATACTTATTTATATCAAATGACCCGTTCCCAAAAAACTGTCTATGAAAATCTGAAAAATTCGAAATCCGAAAGTTTTGGCGAAAAGTGTTCCTATCGGAGTTTTATATTCAAAACAATTTGATATGAATAATTTCATCTGGAAAATTCTGGAATACGATTTCTATAAAATGAGCAATATTAATTTTTGAAATTTTAAAGAAAAATATTTTTTTAATTTTTTTTGCGTAAAGAAACACGTGTAAACCTGCCATTTCTAAAAATTCTCATTACTTGCAAAAAATAACCAAAAAATGGCCGCTTCATTATTCTCAACAATTTTCGACGAAAAATCGCTCGAATTTCTGATTCTCACAAGTTTCGCCGTTTTCACTTCAACAATTTATGTGACTTTTTGGATAATTTATGGGGTTTTTGAGGTAATCGATTATATGGAGGTGAAAAAAGCGAGAATATTCACAATTACTGAGATGAAGGTAAACAAATGCGCTCAATTTCATATATAAAAATATCGATTTTTCTTAGGTTGTTCAATATTATCGTCAAAAAAATCACAAAAAACACGAGAAAAGTGAACATTTCAAGCGAAAAGTATATTTGGCGGAGAAAGGAAAAGTTAGAGATCATCGATTGGGAATGAAATTCTAATCCATAAATTATTTTGGTGCGCGCTTATTTGGTTCACGGAAAAATTCAAGAATAAAATTTATTTCAAAAGAATATTGATTTTGTTTCAATCAATATATTCGAATTCGCTAAATGTTTCCTCTTCATTTTCATTTTCCTCATTTTCACTAAATCGATATTTTTCTCTGAAAATTTTTAGAATATCGAAAATTAAAGCTAGGATAACTGAAACATAATTTTTCAGCCAAAACTTACTCAAGTTCATCCATTGTATTCATATTTTCAAAATCAATTTCATTTATCCATTCCAATATTCTTTGATACAATTGTACAGAAATAACTGGAAGCAAAAATTTGAATTCAATTTTTTTCGTGCCAAAACTCACATTCACTTATACTACTATTTTTATAGTTTTCCAAAATCAAATTTCTCGAATATTCGGCATACGAAAAATCACCCAAAAATTGATTACACTGTGTTTCAGGATAATATGTTTCGGGGGTCTGCAAAACACATTTTGAAATTTGAATTCTGGTAATTTTTGCGACTTTTTGACATCAAACAAGCCAATGTTCCTTTAGAAATTTGATAAAAAAGTTCAAATTTAATCCAAAATTTTGACTCCAAGACATTTTAAAGAAACATTTACAAATTTGGTCTCAAAAAATCGCAAACCCTGAGTTTCAATGAAAAAAACTCACAAAATACAGCTTATTCTGATTACAATGACTCATATTATAATTCAAATTAGTCGACTTCATCAAATTTTGTTGCTGGTGTTGTTGATTATTATTATTTTGATTATTAATTTTCAAAATTTGTCCACTTAATCCAGGCGGTGGTCCAATTAAAAGACCATTTTCAGATAATTTCACATTTGGCCGAAATTGGCTAGAAGATGAAAATGATGCGATTGTTTTCATCGACGAAATGAAATGTGAGCTGGAAAAAGGGAAATTGGGTTTAAGGAGAATAAATTGGACTTACCATAACTCCAATCCAAAATTCAGAGTGGTTTGATTCTTTTTGTGCGGCATTGCTTCAAGATTCTGAAATCACGCATTTATTTATTCAATCGACTATCAAAATCTCTGATTTTTAAAATTCTAATGTTAAATTTCTGAAACAGTGAAATGTTTTAGAAACAATATTAGATTTTGAAGTGAAAAGGGTGAATTTCCACGTTGAAATTTGAAAGTTCATGATAAACGAAAAATTTTATTTTCAAAATTTTGATAATGAATTTTTGAAATCAACCTGATCAAGTTTCTCAATTTGATTTTTTTTCTTAAAATTTCTGAGTAAGTGAATTTTTTTGAAAAAAAGGCAAGAAAATTGAGACTTTTTTCAATTTCCATCCAAAAATCGCCCAAAAACAACTTACATTATAAACATCAGCCAATTGTTGGCAACTAATCAAAAAATCATCAATCGAAATCAATCTGCTCAAACAAATCGACGCCGTCATTCTTTGATTCAATATCGATCGAATCTCATTAATTGTTCTCAAAAATTCTAACAAAATCGAGAATTGCGAGAGAGTACACAAAAGCAGAGAGTGCAGACAACGATCGAGAAAATGATTCCACATTTTGAACATCATATTTGAGTCACGGCAACGTGTCGGATTCCAGAAAATCGTTTTCGATCGATATTTTTGATGTGGCGGTGGAATTTGAGACGATTCGTTGGGATTTTCGTCGAAACTTGGGACAAGTCGAAGAATTGATGAGATTTTTCCGTTTTCCATTGAAATTGATATGGTTTCTGCTGGGATTTTCATGGATAATTCGGGAATTTCAAATTGTTCACGAGAGATCACGACGATACAAAAACGACGAAGACGAATATCAGACTGCAAAAATTGAAATTTTTTAGGGAAAGTTTTTGAAACATAATTATTGTGGATTACAGAATGAGAAAGCATTGATACATGTATCAAAAATGTATTTTTCAAAATATTCTTATGGAAATTTTGAAACAGTATTGTTTCCTAATTATACTTAATGCAAAAAAAGTAAAGAAAAAATTTTAATTTTAAAACAACGCCTTATTTTTTCGAATAAGAGAATAAGCCGCGAAATAAGAACAACAAAAATAGGAAGAGATTGAGGAAAAAGGAGAGAGCGTGAGAGAAAGAGAGAGAGATAAACTGTTCGGTTCGTATATCATTTTGGAGAAGAGTAAAGATAGACTTTAGTTTGACCTAGCTAGATGAATGTTTTAGGAGGGTTTGTATGTAGTTTGGTTTTGAGAAGGCGAACAAAAAATAAGTGAAACTTTTGAAACAGCAAATTTTGAATTTTAATTTTTTTCAAAAACATTTCGCGTCAAAATCAAAACTTTTTCACATTAGGAAAAAATCTAGAAAATGTGCAAACCATTTGAATTTGAAAATTAACAGAGAGAAAGAAAGCTGAATTTTTTCAAAATCCTAATGTAAAGTTTTTGAAACAGCGCATTTTCCACCTAAAAATGTAAATTTCACACGTGAAATAAGGATTTTTCATCCCCAAAATTGAATTTGTCAGTAAAAAATTACTGTTTCAAAATTGTATTTTTGAAGGAAAAGTACGAATTCTCATCAATTTCCCCCCCAAATTTTTCCACCCTTTCAAAAATCTCACCAAATTCGTTTCTCCTCTAAACAACAATTTATCCTGTAATAATTGTCTTGCTTCAAATCGATCCATTCCACGAACTCGTTCTCTTTCATGCAATTCTCGCATTAAACGCGACATTTTTTGAGCCGGAAGATTCTGAGGATTTTGTGGTGTCGCTGATGAATTTTGATGAACATTTTTGCCGAGAGCATTTTGCGAGAGGAATTGCAATTTTGGCGAATTTTGTTGGGTAGTTGGTGAAATTGGTGTGTGATTTGGTGGAGGTGGTGAGAAAACTGGTATTGCAAGCATGTTCTCTGCCTGAAAATTTGACAACATTACAAATGTTCAATTGATCTGCAAAAACCCCTAGATTTTGATGTCAACATTCTACAGTACCTCCACCCCTTCTCTTGATCTACAGTACTCACTTTTCCAGCATTCATTCGTCGTCGATTCTTCCTTCCACCTCTGCGTCTCTTCTTCTCACCCACTATTTCTCCACCAAATTTCGAATTTCCGCCACCATTACAATATTGATTATCTCTTGATGTTTCGAAATCAATTTCATCATCATCGAATCCCGAAAATTTGACAATTTGAGTCGATTTTTGAAGAGGAACTTGAACTGGAGAAGAAGCAAGATATGATAAGTCCATTTTGTGAGGCTCTAATTATTATAATAAACTGTTCTTTTGTGCTTTTCCGCGTTTTGTTTTGCTAGTTGAATGTCGAAATAAATCGATTCTAGCGCGGAAATCTGAAATCGGGGGCAAAAAATAGGACAAGAAAAAATTGGTACACGTTTTTATTGGATTTTTTTATTGGAAATTTCAAAAAATCCAGTATACAGGGATTTCTTTGGCGTCAAAAATACCAGGTCGAATTTTCAGTGCAAAAAACTCAAAAAATTTTCAGGATTACTGTAAGACAATTTTCTTTGGAAAAAATCTGCCATTTGCGTTAAAAACAAACAAAAATTCTCAAGATTACTGTAGAGAGCATTTTCTGTGCATAAAACATCTTTTTGGCAGCTTTCCAATTTTTGTCATTTACTAGAATATTCTTTTTTCGGTGCAAGTTGAAAACAAAAATGCATTTTCTCTAACCATCTGCCGTCTCTCTTCAATAATAAATGTTCTAATTAGAAAATCTGCTTGCATCGCGCACGCGGCAACCCCAAATTTATATCATATATAATTTTCGAACATTCTTACCTACATATTTTGCTGCTCAGCTTGAGCGAGTAAAATAAAAAAAGAAACATGGCGAGAAAACGGACACGTCGTTTTACACGGTAAGTCGAATAAATTTGTAAATGGGAAAAAGCGCGGGAAAACTTTTTGAACTTGAAAATATTTGAAAAAAAACATATTTCCCGCGCTTTTTGGTTTCGCAACGATTTTTTTGAACTTCTCCCGGAGAATAGTAATTTTCCAGCACACCGAAGAAGAACAAAAAGGAGTTGGGACCATCTAGAAAAAAAGCCAAGAATGATGTTGAGGTGAGTAAGGCTATGCTCCGGTATAAAAACAACAAACTAGCTACCCCAGAAAATGTCCTCGCCTTAACTTTATATTTCAGAACAAGGAGGAAAACCGGAAAATGAAGGTGGAGAAATCTAAAAATGGTCTGAAAATTGATGAGGACGTGAGTTTTTATTTTCAATTCGAAATTTTGCCTAGAAAATCAAACAGTTCCTCTTCTAATACAAAAGATCAGAAAAAATTGATAAAGTCTACTGTATTTCACTTCCCCGATTCCAATATTTTCGGATTAAAAATCTTCATCCCAATGTTTCAGGAATTATCAATAATCTTGGATGTACCAATCGATGTTTCAGACTGGATCATTAATTTAATGACACCCGATGATAGGTGATTTCGATAATCCCACTTTCCACTGAATAACAACTTTCTATTAAGGGCAAGATTTGCACAATGTGCCAAAGTGACGAACGAAGCGGTGCAACGATCAAAAAACTATATTTATAGTTTGTCGTTCTGTGAGACAGTTACAGATATCCTCATCTATATTTCACACCAGCCAAAGGAAATATATTCGACAAATCAGATCGATAATGCTTATGATACTCATTATAAGTTTGACAAAATTGGAAAGAAAAGATTCAAGTATTAGTGAGTTTAAAACGGGGAGAAACTAAAAGAAAACACAATTTGAACTTATATCAAAAATAACACATTTAAAATTATCATCAAACCCTAGAAATAATTTTCAGTCTGTGAATAAAAAATAATGACATAATTTCAGCACAGCTGGTTCAACTTCGGATAAAGATCCATTAGATGATGATGTCGATTCGAATGAAATCAGTTGTCAATTATTCAAACAACTTATATCCAAGCATCAGAAATCTATCAGAGCATTATCATTAAAAATCTACGACAATCGTCACTTTGATTTCGGATTTGAGAACTTATGTAATTTGAAAGAACTTTCGCTCAGCGGCGATTTTGATATTTCTCCAATTATGTCAAAAATTCACCAACCACTCGATAATTTGTATATCAAAGTGAATGATCATAATTGGATGAACTCGAATTATCTCGAGCTCATTTTGAAGACTCGAATTACTCTAAAAATCCCAAGCTATTCTCTTACTGATGAGCAATTTCTTAAGCTTCGAGCAAGAGATTTAGAATGTATGATAGGGGATTTGAGCGAGGAAACTATTGCAGAATTTGTAAAATCATACAAAAATGGAACAATCAACAGAAATGCTGGCTATTATGTTTGGGCATTTACCAATGAATCGACATTTGATGTTCGTAAATTATGGGCACTTTTAGGATCAGTTGATCCAGCAGTAAGGCTGTACGTTCAATTTTCGTTTTCTTTTTGAAAAATCACTAAATAATTGCAGGTCAAAATTGCTTCCAATCAAACACTCAACCAAGAGAAAAATCGCTTATTTGAACTTCGAAAATAACGTTTTGAAGTGGCGAAATATGATGGGATGATTTATTTTTGAAATACTTCATTTGAATTTTTTTTGTATAACAACTAATTATTTTGAACTAATTGCTAATACATTAATCAAATTTCACAAAAAATGTTTTCTTTTGATTCTTTTTCAATTAATTAATTTTCACAACTTTTACCGAATTAAAAATTTATTGAGATCAAAAAAGAGGTTTCAAAAAAATCATATCAAAATGTTAATTATTGACAACTCCATCCACGACACAATGCAAAAAATCCTTCAGTATCTTTAACAGCTCCATTTTGACTAGAATATCGATAAGCTCTTGAATTGTGTCCATTATAATTGCTCATATCAATTTGTTGAATACCATTTCCAAATGGGAAAAAGAATTGAGCATTTATTGTTGAAATTTGGAGGAAAATTATGAAGATTAGTGTGAAGAATTTCATTTTTTTTTTGAAGAAGAAGAATAAGAATGTTATTTTTTCAATGACAAATTCTGTGGTTTTATAGAAAATGGGCGGAGTTTATCTATAGTTAGACTAAGTCTAGTTTAACAACAAAACAATCAGGAAATCGTGACTTTTGTCATCTATGATCTACGATATTGATATCTGTCAAAAAATGATGATTTTGCGATTTTCTGATGAAATAATGATCAAACAACCAAAACATTAAAAAAGTTTTCGGTGAAAATAAGAACCTTTGGACCTTTGATTGATTAATATTTCACGGCCTTTTTTACAGAATGAATTGTGAGAGAAAGATAAATTTCCGAGAGGAAAACATTTTTTTTGAAAAACTTTGGACCGTTGTGTATTTTAGCACCCTAACAAAATCACTGTATCTATGATTGATTGTTATATTTTCATATTTTGTAGTTGTTCGGATACAACATACAAAATATTTTATTGCCGCGTGTGAAAATTGACATTAAAAATTGGAATTTTAAACCACACTGTATACAAAAAATATTTTACATTGTGACACACAGAGTGTAATTTACTACCCGAAAAATTTCGCGCATTTTTTGAGACCTGTCACAATCTTAGGGGTGGGACTAAAATCGACGAAATTCAACGCAAAAACGAGAGATTTAGAGAAAAATAATTTTTGATCTACCCAAAAATTAATGAAAAATTTGAGGTCTAGCGATTTGAGGTAGTAAATTACACCATGTGTGACAGTTCAAATATAAACTAGAAGATTCCGCTTCGAAAAGCCATTTTTTTCAAACTTTTTCTTATTCTGAAATTTTATCAAAATATGTGAAATTTTCAAGGTTGAAGTTTAAAAAAAATTTCTTTGAAAAATGAAACATTTTTCTTGAAATAATAAAAATTGATAAACTAGATTTTTTCGGCTTGATTAAAAAAACACTATAGTCAAAAATAAGATGAGATCAAAAACTAAAGTGAAAATTTGCATTTTACACAAAAAATTCGGGTTTTTCTAGGGAAGATCTAGAAAATTCTATTTGAAAACCATTTTGGGACATTTGGAAAAATTGAATTTACTAGGTAAAATTCGGAATTCCCAAGTTCAAATTTAGCTTCCAAGTATCTAAAGGAGAATCTAAAAATGTAAACGATCTTCTCAATATATCTGATTAGATCTTCCTAAATGCTTTCTCATATAAAAACATCTTGAACAGTTCAGTCAATGAAGCGAACAATAGATCTTCTCAAATGGTCATGTCGAAAAAATTGCGTATTGATTTGACTGTGTGTACTCTTGCATTGCTTATGTTTGGAATTCATATTTATTTAACTATGTTTTTCAAGCCAGAAAAATACAAGTTAGTGAATACTTTTTCATATAAAAATAATAACCTATTAAATCTTTAGTAGTAATAAATGTTTTATTGATGATTGGAATCGTATCACTCTTGGAGATATTCCACATGCCAAACAAATAAAATTATATGGAAAAGAAGGGTTAACAATCTATAGAATGGATACCCTTTTAGGTGGACAACTTCGATTAGTTAATTCATTTGTATATCCAGATCATATTGCAGTTACAACAACTGTTCAACATTCGCAAAAGTAAGATTCAAATAAATGATAAACTCATAATTAAATTTCTAGCGATAATATAACTTGTGTCTACTTTGATTGTAATCGAAAAGAAATTGTTAATACAAGATTCAAATCAATATATTATCCTTATAATATTGTTCTTTGTGCAAGACGATATGGAGCAGAATATATATCACTAGATTTAGAAGATGGAAATAAGATACCTGAACCTATTCCTATGATTTATAGAATATATAAAGGTTTCAGTTTAACACTTCAAATCGAGATAGACAAAGTTATTTGAAATTTCAGAACCGATTCATGAAATTTCAGTTTGTGTTGGTCCAATCTTTGGAAATGAATCAAAATGGTTAGGAATTGCTGAATATATGGAACATTATAAACTTATTGGAGTTAATCATTTTTATTTCACAGTTTTTGATATAAATGAATATGATCGAAAAATATTGAATGATTATATTCGATTAGGAGAAGTTGAATTGACAGAATTAGACACTGAATATAAAAAAGAAGATTGGCAAATGCATATGGTTCAACAAGGGGTTTGTATTTTAAGGGAGAGCGTAAACCCAAATAAATATTTGTTGCAAAAATACCCCTGAAGGTACACCCACATGAGTAAAACGGCAAAGAGAAAACCCTGAAGCTTTCACTATCAAAGGATACATTAACATTTTAGCTTATACGATTTGTTGTCTTACTCCTCTTCTCTCTTTACGTCAAAATATTTTCTGATTGTGAATTTTTTTAGGAATGTCTACAACGTGCAAAATTTCATTCGAAATGGGTTATTAATGCTGATTTTGATGAGAGACTCGTTTTGAAAAACAATAATACAATTCAAGATATCCTATATTCTGAAAAATCTGCAACGGAATATTGGTTATCTGTTGCACGAGTATTGAAAAATGAAACAATGCCGGAAAAATACATCAATTCCTCGCAAACCGAAAAAGATATGCAATTCATAAAACATCATATGACTTTGAATTCATCATTCTTCGGTTCCAAACCAATTTTTCGCTCTGATATCGCGGCAAAGATCTATTTTCATCGTGTTATTAGACATTATGATAATCAAGAAATTGTGAGAAAAATAGATCCAGAGATTGCATATATTCGTCATTATCGAGATGATAATGAAAGTGGAATAAATTCAGGATGGAATAAAAATGGAACTGAATTCGTGTTTACTGATTTAGATGAGGAATTCAGTCGAAAATTAGTGGAAAATGTGCTGAAACGAGTTGAATATGTTTATAATGAAAAATTAATGTATTGCGATGAAATCGGACCAACATTCTTGAGATATAAAATTTTTAAAGATTCTTTTGATTGTATTGATAGGACCTGATTTTGATGGAAATGGCCTGTTCTGCGATTTAACTGAAATGGAACTAATGTTTGAAACTTTCTCCTAATTTTATCTAATTGTTCATTGTTTGTATAAAATCCAGGAATGAAGAATCAATCTATTTACGCAAGGATGAAATTGACCGCTAATTGTTATTATTATCTGATTCCTTTTTATAGAACCGAAATTAAATCATCTAGAAACATGCGTTATAAAAGTCTTATGAGATTCAATTAATAATCGAAATTCGAAAATGCGACCTGAATTATAATGTGAAATTAATCGTCGAATATGTCGTTCCTTTTCAGGGGATTAAAAACCAAGTTGAAAAAGGTTCTGAAGTTTTTGTCATCTGATCTACAACAAAACTTTGTATCAAAAAAAATCCGTGGTCCTACAGCTATTGCATTTCAGAGGGACCATTCAAGAAACTTTTTTGACTTGTCTAACATTGTAAACTAGAATATCAAAAAATAGAGATGTTTAACATTGAAAGAATATCAAAATTCGAATCTTACTTCACGCAAAAGTGCGTCGAAGTGTTTCCTAAAAATGGTCAAACAGTCTTTAATAATCTATAATCAGAACACGAGTTGCAAACAATGTTTATTATTTCTAACATGAAAGTAGTGTTGTTGAAAAATTGTTGTAACCAACGCACAGGTTGTTAGATATCTCACGAAAAACTGTTCGTTTATTATTCTTCCCTGCAAAGTTTTATCAGATTTAGTTGACTAGGGGCGGATTTCTTTTAAAAAAGATACGCCTGTGAATACAAATTGTGAAGTTTAATGAGACATAGACTATAAAAGAAAAATAAATAAATTCAAAACAAAAATGAAAATCGCGTGCATAAAGCTATGACAAAAATTAATCTACCTATTAAATATTTCATAGTTTGTTTTTCAATGAAATCTGGAAGCTGATCCTATAGTAATTATGAATTAAAAACTTTACCCAATATTTTTCAATGAAGCTCAAATCTCACCTGTTAGTTTTGCTCCTCCCCCCCCCCAAGTCTCAAATTAAACTAACTTGACTGGCCCGTTCCGTGAAAAGGTGTTGATCTTTTCGAATGTCCTGTCCAAACGGAACATCTTCTTGTTAGGAAGCCTGAAACTTCGACATTCTTTTTCTCAAAATTTTCGCCTATTCTTAAACTTACATCAGAAAATGACAATTGTGAATTTTATTGGACCGCTGCATTCTGTGACTGTTGTCTCTAAAAAAATAAGAAAATTGAAAAATGTACCAAATCACCCCATTAATAACATTTACTGCTCTGAAAAAAACCATAAAATGATTCAGTTCGAAACAAAACGTTTAATCAATAATGTCTTTTGAAATAAAAACATATATACAGGGTGACCCAAAAAAAATGAAACAAATTTTTTTTGAGTTTTCTTTGGGAGCAGGATTGAAAAATATAATATGACTTACTCATGGGTTATCTAAGACCTCCTAAAAGCTAAATCCAAGATGATTTTGTTATATATTATTTTTGACGTGAGCAGGACGTGAAAATCTAGGATTAAAAAAACGGCCAAAAAGACGCATGTCATAATTGCAAAGTCGGGTCCAGTTCAGACTTAATTTTGAAAATTATTCATTAAATGCCTTCGGTGGACTAAGTACAACCCTAGTACTCAATTTTATACAAAACATATCTTCCATTGAACTTAAACGAAGTTCACAACTTCTGATTTAAAAGACCACTGAAAATTGGAAAATCAATTTCCAAAAAGCACATTTTCAGTTTTTTCGAAATTTTTTGCGCTGAAAAGTTCTGGCATCGCATATCTCTACATTAAAACAATGATAGGGCTCTAATAAATCAAAGATGGAAGATGAATAGTCGAAGTTTTGATTTTGGTGCCAGTCAGAGATCAAACTTTCATGAAAACGGAAAAATTCGACCGGTTTCACAAAACCACTCGTAAAATATGTAATTCGAAACGAAAGTTAAGAAAAGTATAGTGAAAAATGTTCCTCTAGAATTGCTTTATTTCATTCATGAAACATATAAGAGATCTGATAGCTCCGAAGAATGTTAGAGACACTGAAACTCAAAGTTTGCAATTTCTGAAGAGTTGCGTCCAAACAACGTTTTCAATTTCACTCTTCTCCCTAGTGCGGATCACGTGAAACACGTGAATTTCAAAAACTAATTTAACAGTTATTTAGCTAGTGGTATTGGAATGTATAATTCGTGATCAGAATGTTCAGTTTGAAAATTGCGGAATAGGTTCTATTGAGCGAAGTTTGTTTCAGTTTTTTTGGGTCACCCTGTATATATATATATATATATATATATATATATATATATATATATATATATATATATATATATCTCTCTAACTCTCTCTCTCCATTTCCCACACTCTATCATCTACCCTGCAAAAAAACAACAAAATAAACTAAACAACGTGCACGGAGTATCGTTGTTTTTCTTTTAGTTTTTTTGCACGACATTTTAATTTTTTCTGGTTTTTGAGTGGTTTTTTTCAGCGCAGAAGAAGTTATTAATGGGGTGGTTCGGTACATATTTTAAATTTTCTTATTTTTTTAGAGACAACAGTCACAGAATGCAGTGGTCCGATAAAATTCACAATTGTCATTTTCTGATGTAAGTTTAAGAATAGACCAAAATTTTGAGAAAAAGAATGTAGATGTTTCAGGCTTTCGAAAGAGAAGATTTTTCGTTTGGACAGGACATTTGAATAGATCAACAACTTTTCACGGAACGGGCCAGTCAAGTTAGTTTATTTTGAGGTTTGGGGGGGGGGAGCAAAACTAACAGGTGAAATTTGAGTATCATTGAAAAATATTGGGTAATGTTTTTTAATTATAATTACTATAGGATCAGCTTCCAGATTTTATTGAAAAACAAACTATGAAATGTTTCATAGATAGAAAGATTTTTTTCTATTCCTGATTATCTGGGTCACGTGAAATTCTGATAAATATATATTTATCAAAAGTGCCTCATTTCTTATCTACACGCGTGGTGTAGTGTGGAAGAGCTCTGTCTTCTATTCAACCTGCCTTTTGTGGGTTCGAGTCCCACGACCCGCTGTTTTGTCCTTATCCGGTAACGCATATTTTCGGAAAAATATCCGCCGTTGTCACAAAAAATTCGGAAAAAAAAATTTCTATACGAATTGTACACTGGGTGATACGAATTGTAAATACACTGTTTTTATTGAATGGTAGATTTTTATAATTATTATCTGATTGTTGCTGACGTTTGAGTTCTCTTCAATTTTCAGTTAGATTAGGCAGAAAATGAAACGGTTCTAGAAGAAATAATTGCGAAAAGTGGATCGGTTCTATCGAGAAAAAATCTCCATAAAGGGATTGTTCTGCTACATAGAAACTTTACTCAAATCTGAAGGGCTGGGCTTCTCTTGAAACGTTCATTGTTTCAGAATGATTTCAGTACGAGTTTCCACAATGTTTTCCGTGTTTTTGTTCAGTTTAATGGTTTTCGTGTATATTCATGTTTGCACTTCACACCTATGATGAAAAATAATTTTGAAAATTATCTCAATTTGAGTATTTCAGAGGTCCGAAAACTGAAAATTAACATTTTTACACTAAAAACAGTTAGAGTAGAATTTTGACTTTTGGAAACCACGAGGTTGGCCGGAATGTGAACTCAAACTCCGACCCAAATTTGAAGCTGCAGAAAAGTGCTCACATGGGGGTCTTAAAAATTAATGACTTCTGGATCGTAAACAGCATGACCGACTTACTATATATCGATATATGCTATGAAAAAGAAATATTAATAACCTTTTGCACGTTTCAAAATACAATTGTAAGTGAAAATCGAAATTTTTTGGGTTTAAATGTACTTATCTAAAGGACAATCTCAAAATATACAAGATCTTCTCAATTAATCTAATCAGCTTTTTTCAATATAAATATATATACCTAATTAGATCTTTAAATAGTTTCTCATATAAATACATCTTGAACAGTTCAGTCAGTGAAGCGAACAATAGATCTTCTCAAATGGTCATGTCGAAAAAATTTCGAATTTCTTTGACTGTGTGTACTCTTGCAATGCTTATGTTTGGAATTCATTATTATTCAACTATATTCCTAAAACCAGGAAAATCCAAGTGAGTGAAACCTTTTTGAAAAAATGAACTATGAAACATTTTAGTGATATATGCTATATTGATGATTGGAATCGTATCACTATTGAAGATATTCCCCATTCCAAACAAATCCGATTATTTGCAATAGAAGGGTTAAAAGCATTTAGAATGAATACACTTTTAGGTGGACAACTTCGATTAGTTAATTCATTTGTATATCCAGATCATATTGCAGTTACAACAACTGTTCAACATTCGGAAAAGTAAGATTCAAATAAATGATAAACTAATTATAAAATATTCTAGCGATAATATAACTTGTGTCTACTTTGATTGTAATCGAAAAGAAATTGCTAATACAAGATTCAAATCAATATATTATCCTTATAATATTGTTCATTGTGCAAGACGATATGGAGCAGAATATATATCACTAGATTTAGAAGATGGAAATAAAATACCTGAACCTATTCCTATGATTTATAGAATATATAAAGGTTTCATTTCAATACTTCAAATATACTTTAGAGATAAATCAACTTCGAATTTCAGAACCGATTCATGAAATTTCAGTTTGTGTTGGTCCAATTTTTGGAAATGAATCAAAATGGTTAGGAATTGCTGAATATATGGAACATTATAAACTTATTGGAGTTAATCATTTTTATTTCACAGTTTTTGATATAAATGAATATGATCGGAAAATATTGAATGATTATATTCGATTAGGAGAAGTTGAATTGACAGAATTAGACACTGAATATAAAAAAGAAGATTGGCAAATGCATATGGTTCAACAACAGGTGTTTCAAACCTGTCTCCAAAAATAATCATGTTTTTTAAAGGAATGTCTACAACGTGCGAAATTTCATTCGAAATGGGTTATTAATGCTGATTTTGATGAAAGACTCGTTTTGAAAAACAATAATACAATTGAGGATATTCTAAATTCGGACAAAAACGCAACAGACTATTATTTTTCTGTTGCACGAGTATTGAAAAATGAAACAATGCCTGAAAAATACATCAATTCCTCGCAAACCGAAAAAGATATGCAATTCATAAAACATCATATGACTTTAAATTCAACATTCATCGGTTCCAAACGAATGTATCGCCCGGATAGAGCGGCAAAGATATACTATCATCGTGTCATTCGACATTTCGGTGGTGAAAGATTTGTGAGAAAAGTAGATCCAGAAATTGCATATATTCGTCATTATCGAAATGATAATGAAAGTGGAATAAATTCAGGATGGAATAAAAATGGAACTGAATTCGTGTTTACTGATTTAGATGAGGAATTCAGTAGAAAATTAGTGAAAAATGTGCTGAAACGAGTTGAATATGTTTATAATGAGAAATTGATGTATTGTGATGAAATCGGACCGAAGTTCAAAAGATATAAAATTTTTAAAGATTCTTTTGATTGTATTGATAAAAATGGAACTAATTTTTGACTTTCTCCCAATTTTATTTGATAGTTTATTGTCTGTATAAAATTAAGAAATGAAGAATCAATCTATTTACGCAAGGATGAAGTTGAACGCTAATTTTTAATATTATTATCTGATTCCTATGTTCACATTCGATTCAAGATAAATCATGTAGAAACATGCAATAGAATTGAAAAAAATCTTTTAAGATTCAGTGAAGTCAAGATTTTTAAAATGCGACCTGAACTATGATGTGAAGCTTTAATTAGGTTGTTCACTTTAGCTCCCTTTTCACGAGATGATATACAAGATAGAAATCACTAAGCGACAAAGTTTTCAACGTTTTTGCCATCTGAAATAAAACAAATCAAAACATAGAAATGAAAAATTTTAATTTAAAATAAAAACAAAAAAATACATTTACTCTGGAAAAAAACCGCGAACAATTAAAACTGCATGTAATTTTGTGAATACCGTGCCGTGAGATAAAATTCTTATCTGCTTGTCACAAAAAGCACAAAAATATTCAAATGTTTGAAATTTTCGCGAAGATATTTCAACTTGTTTCTAATATTTTATCAAAATTTGTGAAATTCTCAAGGTCGAAATGTTTCTGTGAAAAATGAAACATCTTTCTTGAAATAATAAAAACTGATAAACTAGATTTTTTCGGCTTGATTAGAAAAAAATCATAGTCAAACGAGAAGAATTACAAAAATTCGGGTTTTTTAAAGAAAAATAAAACATTTTATAATTTTTTTGAAGAAATAAATTTAGAAACTATAAACCTTCATTCTCATTCTCATACAAATTTTTCTTGGATTCTGGCATTTCCATAAGAGAATTCAATATAAAATCTGGATCATATTGATTTTTTTGTTCAAATTGTCGATTTTGAGATAAATCTGGTTCGATGATTTTTCGAATTGCTCGAAAAGTTTGGCAGCCTTTTTTGAGACACCTGCAAAATGTCAAGATTTTTTTCAGAAAAATAGTAATTTTCTAGGTGGGATTTTTTAGAGCCCAAAAAGGCTGCCAAACATCTTCAAGGCTATCGCGAAAATTCACAATTTGTGTGAAATAAATCCGCGTAGAAGAATTTTCCAAGCATATTTACACTCAAAATGCTCCAATTTTCCCGAAACCTTAAAAAAAACTCACCGATAAGCGGGATATTCTCGAATCTCGTCTTGATAAACCTGCCTCCTCATACGAATAATCATTTTTCCATGACAAAGTCGACAATTGATTTCAGCTGGAACATCCTGAGCCAATCCATTGAAATATACACGAACTGTTCGATGAGCTGCAAAAAAATCGATAAAAACTATCACGAACTGAAAATAAACTGACTAGAATCGTTGAGAGCTTCATGTAAACTTGGTTCGTGTTTAGAAATACTCTTTGTATCGATATAAACTGGTCCCGATTGATAAGCCAAAGATTGCTCATGATATATCGCATTTTTGGCGAGAAATATTGGATTTTCTTGTTCTTCTGCCTCAAGTGACCGAAGAACAGCAGGAAAATCCGGATTATATTCGATTTTCTCTTTTAGTTTTTCCGGTTTTTTGAAATTCACAAATTTTGCAAGACGGGCAAAAAGTTTCGGATTTGTTTCGCACAACTTTTCCGATTTATACAAATTGTTGATCGGTTTCCACATTGGAACTGCAAAAATTATCCTGTTTAAAACGTTTTTCAAACAAGAAAAGATTTCAGCAAAAAAAACTAACCTCCCTCATATTTTTTACCAAAAACACTCTCAAAAGTCGGAATTTTTAGCTGATTGGCGATTTTCATATGTTTATTATAGCGAATGTGATCATAGCAATCATCTTTTAGTTCAAATTTTCTTTTGAAATTCGCGAATTCCATGGGAAACTCATATGAAAAATTTGGACTGTGCGAAAAAAGAATTTTTTTGAAAAACAGAGAGCGCGGGTAATAGTGTCGAGACCCAGTGTGTTTATGAAATGTTCCTTTAAACAGTAATCACTTTTTTTTTGAAAACAAAACTTTTTATTTTGAATTTTTTATTTTTCAAACAAAATCAACGAGAAAACATGAGATATTTAGAGATCGGTTAACCAGCAAATTGAAGACAAAACAAAATCAACATTTCAAGCATCCATATTCGAATTATTGACAACTCCATCCACGACACAATGCAAAAAATCCTTCGGTATCTTTAACAGCTCCATTTTGAGTCGAATATCGATATGCTCTTGAATTTTGTCCATTGCTCATATCAATTTGTTGAATACCATTTCCGAATGGGAAAAAGAATTGAGCATTTATTGTTGCAATTTGGAGAAAAATCACGAAGATTAGTGTGCAAATATTGAAGAAATTCATAGTTTTTTATTAGTTTGAAATGAAACTACAAGGTGTATATTTTTACGGTTTAAACCTTTTCTTTTTATAAGAAAAATATCAAATGGGCGGGGTGGCGGAAGAAATGATAAAAATTGGACTTGACTTGGTTTGTGGGTTCTTTGATACTGTGTTTTATTGGTTTGTAGTAAGAAAATTCACAAAATTTTCAGGTTTTCATGCGGAATTTCAGCGAAATTAAAAAGCTGAAAACTTGAACTCCAAAACTGAATTTAAATTCCTCATCAAATTGCCGAAATATTTCCATTTCGATGTTAATTACTGGCGTAAAGTATATTAAATTTCAAAACTTGCTCTCGATTTTTCAGCGCGGAAAACTTTTATTTTGAAATTGTAATATTTGAACGTCAAAAGTGTCATGTAGTTTTCTGCTGCCGGTTGAAATTTTGATTTGAATTTGAGACGATCAAAATTTTTCAAAAATTATCACGTGGAATATCGGTTCCAACAATCAAAAGCTATAAATTTGCCACGTGGATTTTGAACTCAACATTCCAGAAATCCGTGTGAAGCTTCCTATTTTCAGCCAAAAATGATTCACTGAAAAGTTAGCCAAACTTTCTCTGCGATTTATCAAACTTCGCTGACCATCAAATCAACATCATTGAACAGAAAAAACAAAGAAGACGAAATGATGAATTTGGTCGTACTTTCTATTTTGTAATACATATATATTTTTTATTACGATTCGGTTTGATTCTCACAATTAAAAACAGAGTACAGAATCGTCATCAAATCATAGAAAGAACACTTTTTGTTGGCTGATTTTCAATAAAGAATGAGATGAGTGTTCTTTGTTTTATCACAAGGAAATCATGCGCATCAAAAACGAGACTTTTCCGAGGTTTTGAGACTTTTTTGAGGCTACTGGACTATGAGAATATTTTATGAAAGTTTCAAGATTTGATCAATCAATAACTAGAAAATTCGGGCTAAAATTTGAATTCTATGGAATTGTTCTAAAGATCTTTGACTTTTCAAAAATAAATCTAAAAATAATCTAACAAGGTTTTTTTTAGGTTCAAAAACTGATTTATATCTTTTTTTGGCTAGGAAGGTATTTCAAAAACGGTGGGCCCAAATCAATTTTTTGAAAAATGATGACAATGTTTTTCGAAGATTTATTTTATCTTCAAAAAGCTTGAATTGTCATCATTTATTATTGAAAATGATGAAAAATCATTATTTTTGAAGATTCACTTGTATTATCATTTTTGTGAAAAAGGAACAAGGTTATGATTTTTGATTTGTACAGTAATCCGGAAAAATTCTAGGTGTGTTATCTACAGTAAGAATAATTTGATTACAGTAACAAATATTTATTCGCGGAAAGTAATTTGATAGCTAAATATTTGAGGATTCAAGATTTAATCTATCTACAGTAACCTGTACATGTTGAGATCAAACATTAATCCACAGTATTCATTGACATACAGTAACCTAGATTTTCCGTTCAAAAATGTTTGTATCAAAAATATGTTTTCTAGAATACAGTACCCCTACGTTCTAGCGTCAGTTTGAATCTATATACAGTATTCCAAGACCAACTACGTGTTTTAGTCGCACTCAAAATGAAATTCACATGCAATCCGAATGCAGATATCAATGAACAAATCAAATTGTTCATCGAAAATGACGAAAACAGGAAATTCTTACAAAATATTTTTTGTCTAGTTTCGATGAATCCTGGGTGCAAAAACTGACTTTTTGTGAAACTTTTTAGGGTTCTAAAAAATTGAAAAAAAAAGTACTGTGCTTCGTTGCAAGACCTTGATAAATATCAGAATCATTGAACATTTGATTTTTTTTTCATTTCCAAAAAAAATCTGTACCCGGTTTATGTTTTGTTGCGCGCGCTCGGCTACGGTGAATTTGTTCAATGATTTTTCAATTTGATAAAATCACTGACCACTTTTCAAAGTACAAAAGATGATATTTTTCCGCAAAATCTAGAATTTTCTAGGCTATACTAAAAACTACAGTACTTTTCGCCCGCCCATTGTCTCACATACTATAAAAGACCTCTCCCGCCTCCAAGAAACCATCAAACCATCAAAACAACAAATTAAAATGCATATTTTCTCTAGCGTACTTCTTATTCTATCTTGCTCAATTTTTTTGGCAAACGCCCAATTCTTTTTCCCATTTGGAAATGGCATGGCAACATTTCCCACCTCTGGTTACGGTAACCGGGGTACTGTATATAATAATGGAGGTGTCAAAGATTCCGAAGGATATTTTGCATTGTGTCGTGGATGGACGTGTAATTCGTCGACTTAGATGAAATTTTAAAGGAACATACAGTAATCGTGTATCAGTGTCATTTGTTTGGATCTCAATAAACATTTTATTTTTTGGATGGGGATTTGTGTTCTGAAAACGTTCTATATTTCAAGTTTGAGCATTCGAGAAACTCTGAAAATTGAATAATAATGAAAATGTTTATCGCAGAACGTTTGTTTTTTCTGATATCAATATTTAGGAGCTTTTCCGCATAATATTCCTTTGAATACATTGACATACTTTATACAAGCGACGTCGAAAAGTTCTTTGTTATCAACAAGTCCGAGACAATTTTCAGCTTTTTCGCTGTAAAATTCCTCATTGTTTTTACATTTCGATGATTTGAAATGTAAACTTACGTTCCTGCATACAAAAAGTTTGGATCAATTGGTCCAAATCTGCTAAATATGTATGTTGGATCACTTCCAGAGTTCGTCATTTGAAACGTCTTTGAAAATATATATGGTTTATATTAAATACCAGTTGACCAGTAGTCTTCGCCAAAAATTTAAATAAAATGTATGTGAGCACCAGAAATGATTCTCCGCCTTTTTCAAACTGTTTGAATTTATGTTTTTTTGCTACGAGTTTTTCGAATTGAACTCCGGGAAAAACAGGAAATGAAATATCAAGAGAAGGGCTAAATAATTGTTGAAACACCTCAAAACTCATTTCCAACTGGGTAGCTGTGTTTAACAACGATTCACTCACGTTTCCTCTATAACATTCTGGGTCACTTTTAATTGCATCGGTAGTTTTACATTTTTCTTTTCGAACTCCATCAACACGAACACTCAAACCATTTTTACGATCATTCGGAACTTTTTCTGAAGTATTCTTATTCATATTCATCCCGTCGAAAACAAAAAACATTACCATAACACTTGTCAAGTTCATAAGAATTTTCAAATAGTGAAACTTTGGCATTCACTTCTTCACAAAGTCGAATTCCATCTTCGAAAGTTAAATCATCAGCCAAATTTGGAGACACTACAATTTTCAAACACCAACTCGATGTGAAATTATTCTGAGGCAATGGAGTTCTTTCGAAAAATGAAAAATCATCCGAACATTCAAGTTTGGCATAAATGAATTAGAAAGTCGAAAACAAGACAGCAAAATAAACTTTCATGATTAGAATTGTTTTATCATATTTTAGAAAAATTGAAAGTATTTATATGCACATGTGAAATAAAATATTAATTTTTATGGTCTATCAAAATTCAATAACTATTTATTGTGCGTTTGGAAATGAGAGTCACCCCGCGAAAAAATAAATTTGAATTTGAGAAAATCTCTAATTTCCCCCTACCCCCGCGATGCGTGTGCGTTGCGGTCGCTTTCCCATACAAAACCCCCGTTGGCTTGCCAGCGCACTCTCTCACTGTCTGCGTCTCCTGCAGCAAATTCAAATTTATTTTTTCGCGGGGTGAATCTCATTTCCAAACGCACAATAATTGTATGAATTATGAGGGCTCTTGATGACGTGGCAGTTTAGAAAAGAACATTTTGTTCTAAATCAAAAATATCAAGAAGTTCACAAGTTTTATTATATTATAGAAAAAAAACAAAAGGATAAATTTGTGGCCCTAAAGAGGGCCGTTGGGTTCGGTATTTGGTTTGGTCGATCAAAATTCGTCGAATAATAAAATTATCCTCCGAATCCGTAGAGAGTTCGGCCTTGTCTCTTCAAAGCGTAGACAACATCCATGGCGGTGACAGTCTTTCTCTTGGCATGTTCACAATAGGTGACAGCATCTCGGATAACGTTCTCAAGGAAAACCTTGAGAACTCCACGAGTTTCTTCGTAGATCAATCCAGAGATACGTTTGACTCCTCCTCTGCGAGCCAATCGTCGGATAGCCGGCTTGGTGATTCCTTGGATGTTGTCACGAAGAACTTTGCGATGGCGCTTGGCTCCTCCTTTGCCGAGTCCTTTTCCTCCCTTTCCACGTCCAGACATGATTTGATACGAGTTGGTTTTGGTGCAAAAATGCAATGAGAAAATGAGAGAATCACCGGCTATTTATAGTGGAGTGGGCGGGGCTTAACTTAACCACTGTGCGGGGACACCTAATTTCTTGGCTTCGCGCCAACTTTTTGTTTTTTCTTTGATAACGCCTAAAAGCAGCAAATTCTTTGTCTTATGAACTTCAAATAATATTGAAAATATTCAATTATACGTAATTTTATCTCCTCTCCTCGAATAAGTGTACTAGAATACTCAAAAATTCTGTTTTCACGCAAAAAAACGTGAAAAATCTGGAATCGTTTCGAGACCTCAACCATTCTAAAAATGTGTGCGCCTTTGATTTGTTTAAAATTAAATAGATTTTTAGCCTCTAACTTCTTTGAGAATGTGTTTCAGAGAAAACTCAATATTTATCCTGGTTCATCTCGGCGAGACGAATCAGAAGGTGTTTTCCAAATTTTCTGAAAACAGTTCTATCATGCTGAAATAACGTGTGTAAACATAGAAACCCTAAAAATGCACAATTGTTTCATTTACGTGAAAATATGAGATCTTCTAAAAATTTCACAATTAAAACTTTATTAAAAAACATGATAAAATGGTTGAAATGTGGCCCTAAAGAGGGCCGTTGGGTTCGGTGTTTTGGTCAAACGTCAACACAAATCAAAAGATTTATGCGCGTTCTCCACGGATACGGCGAGCAAGTTGGATGTCCTTTGGCATGATGGTAACTCTTTTGGCGTGAATAGCGCACAAGTTGGTGTCCTCGAAGAGTCCAACCAAATAAGCTTCAGCAGCCTCTTGGAGAGCCATGACAGCTGATGATTGGAATCTCAAGTCGGTCTTGAAGTCTTGAGCGATTTCTCTCACCAATCTTTGGAAAGGCAATTTGCGGAGCAACAATTCGGTCGATTTTTGATAACGACGAATTTCACGAAGAGCAACAGTTCCTGGACGGTATCTGTGTGGCTTCTTGACTCCTCCGGTGGCTGGGGCCGATTTACGGGCAGCTTTGGTGGCCAATTGCTTTCTTGGAGCTTTTCCTCCGGTCGATTTACGGGCGGTTTGCTTGGTACGAGCCATAGTTTTTTTTGTTGACGAACTTGTCGATGAAAAAATGAGCGGATCAGTGACTTATATAGGGGGAGGCGAGATTGTGTGGAATGGGCGTGGTCTAAGGCTCCGCCCATTCCGATGAAGTTACCACCGCGCGGGGACACCGAACACCTGGAAAATGACGCGAAAAAAGACGCTTGTTTGGTTCGGAAATGAAAAACAAAAAAATAGATAAATAAGACAATTTGTATTCAAATACAACTAGTATACTCTTCGTGAAGGGTAGTTGGAGAGAATCTCAGGGATCCCAACTGTTATACTTTTTATGTGATCTATTCTCAAAGTCAGAGTGAGGGGGGTTCCCATTTTGAAGAAAATAATCCCCTGAAGTTACAATAAGCGTGTCCCAAAAATTGCAGCGCTCAAACCCCCAAAAAAAGAAAAAAAATAAATAAAAATTCACGAATACTTCTACCGTACCCCTCACCAAAGGCGCACACAATTTTTCTCCCGTGTCTCACAACGCGCGTTGATTTTTCAAAAAACGAAGCGGTGTTTGCACAAAAAGAAACATTCAATGTGACGCCAAATTTTCAGTGATTTCGTTTTTTATAAGGAGAGGAAAATGTCAGAAAACACAGGCATAAATTTCTGACTTTTTTTCCTGCTGGCTCCGCCCCCTGCCACGATTACACGTTTCACGTTTTTTAAATAATTTTTTCGATTTCATCTTTTTTTCTTCATTAAATTTCGAAATGCAAAAAATCAGAAATAATTTTTGCTTGAAAAAAAACGTGCCGCACCTTGCCAAATAAATCCCGCCTCCCATTTCACGCGAGAAATTTTTTTTTCTGCGACAGGAATTTCTGAATTAAAAAAGTCAAGAATTTATGCCTGTGGAAAAACAAAACAAACTTTTCCTGTAAAGAAAAACTGAAAACTAGCCTATGTTTCGAACGTAGAATTCACTAATTTTAGCGTAAAAATTGGATTCTTCATGATTTCAGCGGATTTTCAGCACGTGTTCGGGAAATGCTGAATACATCCTTAGATTCGTCTCAGAGATGAATCAGGAAAACTTTTTACTTTTTATTCTGAAACGAATTATCAAAAAAGTTGAAGGATGAAAATTACAATCTAGAAAAAATCAAGGCATTCACATTTTTCAAAGGTTTTTTATGGCGTCACTTTGGGAACAGGAGTTAAAATTTTCAGATCTGGAACCTTAGAGCTTCAAGATTGTTATTCTGTACACTTGAAATTATAGAACACAACAAGCTTTTCTTTTCTGGAAACAAAGCAAGAAAACAACTTTTATTCACAATATCAAAATCAAAAATGTTCAAATGTGGCCCTAAAGAGGGCCGTTGGGTTCGGTTTGGACAAATGCTCAAAGTTTTGTTGATTCCAAATTTACTTGGATGAAGTATATTTGGTTACAGCCTTGGTTCCTTCAGAAACAGCGTGTTTGGCCAATTCTCCTGGAAGGATCAAACGAACAGCGGTTTGAATTTCGCGGGATGAGATGGTTGATCGCTTGTTGTAGTGAGCCAATTTGGAAGCTTCAGCAGCGATTCTTTCAAAAACATCATTGACGAATGAGTTCATGATTGACATGGCTTTTGAGGAAACTCCAGTGTCTGGGTGAACTTGTTTGAGAACACGGTAGATGTAGACGGAGTATGACTCCTTTCTCTTGGCGTGTCTCTTCTTCTCACCCTTTGGCTTTTGGGTCTTGGCGGCTTTCTTGGCTCCTTTGGCTGATGGCTTTGGTGGCATGTTGATCGTTGTTTTGAACTTGAAACAAGTATGAAGAAATGACTGAATGTGTTTTCTTTTATTTCATCTGCGGAATGGGCGGAGCCAATGACCACGCCTATTCCGAACAAAAAAAGAAAAATGCAGTGTAGGTGTCCCCGCACAGCGGTAACTCCGCCCATTCCGAGTGTTGCTATATAAACACACATTTATTTTTGCAAACCTCATTCTGTTTTTAAACAGTCAACAACTCTCATCAAACAATCATGTCAGGACGTGGAAAAGGAGGAAAAGCCAAGACCGGAGGAAAGGCAAAATCTCGTTCATCGAGAGCCGGACTTCAATTCCCAGTCGGTCGTCTTCACCGTATTCTCCGTAAAGGAAACTACGCTAGACGTGTCGGAGCCGGAGCTCCAGTCTACTTGGCCGCTGTTCTCGAATACTTGGCAGCTGAAGTTTTGGAATTGGCAGGAAACGCTGCTCGTGACAACAAGAAAAGCCGTATCAACCCAAGACACTTGCAATTGGCCGTCAGAAATGACGAAGAATTGAACAAACTCTTGTCTGGTGTCACCATTGCTCAAGGAGGAGTCTTGCCAAACATCCAAGCCGTTTTGTTGCCAAAGAAAACCGCCGGAGACAAGGAATAAATTCATTTTATTTCAAACAAGTTGAGATCTTCAAACCGAACCCAACGGCCCTCTTTAGGGCCACATATACTTGATTTTTCTTTCAATAAATGTAATAAAGTGTAGAAATTCAAATTGTTTATTTACATTTATAATTTTTCTGAAAAAGCCCCTAACATGCTCTTTTATTCTTCTGAAATAACATAAGCATTTTCTTTTGATAGCGATTTGTGAATTCGTGGGCGATACCAGCTAAAAATTAAAATTTTCATTTCTTTTTCAAAACTCAGCTCTCAAAAAAAAAACTCACTAAATCAGCCAAAAATTCACCAAAATTGTCAAAATCAATGCGATCATTCCACCAATCATCACACCAAAATTAACATCAAATATACTTTTCAATTCCTTGAAAAGATCCATCAAAAATAAACTTTCAAATGTATGATCTCCATTATGTTTTTTATCAAACCATTCAGCAAAGTTGTTCTCGATTCTCACAATTTCCGAAATTGTGTTCGAAAAACTGATACAGGAAATAATTGATAATAAAATGTTGAAGAATGGCATTATAAAAATAGGTAAAGCCAGGAAAAATATATGAGAAATTGCGAGAATAAATGGAAAATATGAGGATTGCAGAATTGTATTTTCTTCGATATATTGTGAATCATCGAAATATTTGGGGAGTTGAAGTTGACGAATTAGTTGCTCTTCGCGGAAACCTTGAGTTGCGGCAACTATTCCAATTATGACGTGGCAAATTGCCAAAATTATGATGAGTATCTGTAGAAAATCGTTTGTTTTTTTTAATAGAAAAATGAACTATTTCAGCTCCAGACCAACCTTGTAAAGAAGCACGAGCTGAACTTGGTATACCATAATATTTTTTTTATTTAGAAATGCCTGAAAACCCCTCCATTCCTACTTAAATACCCCTATTTTTCTGGTTCACGCGAAAATTCTTGGTAAATATCAAAGCTTGCAAAATATGAAAAAATAATGAATTTATTATACTTTCGGATTACTATGTCTTTTTAACATAGTCCAATTAATAATATAATCAATATTAGGATCATTATAATTCAAATAATTTTGATTTTCAATTTTTGCTTCAGTAATCTTCAGAGATTTATCTGTTCTAAATTCAACCATCAAATATAAAAAGCTGAAATTTTCAGAACCATCTCTAAATGTCAATACCAAACATTTGGTTTTTTTGTGGTTTGTTTCATATCCCAAAATCCAATTTCTCCATTCCGAATTGTATAATACAGATGCCAACTCTTTCAAAAATATTGTCTTATTTAGCACAACACTTTGACCATCACGAGTATAATTAACAAATGTAAAATTCTGCGCGAGTTTCTCTCTAACTTTTTTTTCCTGATTTTCAGGAACTTTTGAGAATCGAACCAAGAATTCGATTAAATCATATTCAGCCGAACACATCTTTTTTCGAGCATTTTCAAAACTACGAACACAGCTATTTTTTCCATTTTCTCGATCAATTCTTTCTTTTTCTGCTTTTTCTTCGGCCTTCTTTTTTTCCCAATAATCTCGATGTTCATGCGGATTGACTAGTTTATCAATATCCTGGTGGACTTGTTCTGCAAAAGTAAGTGAGGTCTGCAGAAAAATGAGTGGTGCCGAAATTGGCTGCCTAAAGACAGATCAGTTGGGATGGCTTTCTCAAAAAAGATCAGTTGGAATGGCTTTCTCAAAAATTAAAGAATTGCATTTTTTGCCCAAAAAAATTCATGTGAACATAATTGACACTTTTTTCTTCAACTCACCTTCTTTCTCTGTTTCATCTCTGATCACCATCACATGTTTCACATTTTCTTCCAAAATTTCTTGATATTTACAAACAATTCCAAATTTCTTCTTTATAACACACCCAATTTTTCGAGTTTTCCAAAAAATCATCTGAACATCTTCATAATTTTTTTCTTTCCAATCAGACATTTTCCAGAATTTTTTTAAAATCAGCACATTTTTTTCCTCACACCATGTTTTGATTAGTTTAGAATCTTTAAATTTTTTGGGATTTCCAAAAATTGTGACACCAGAAAACGGCTCGAAATCTTCAATGGAGCGGACATTTTGTGCTTCTTCTTCTAATTTTGAATTCCATTCGATTTTCGTCAAATTTTCATATTTTATCGTTTTGGGATCCCATTTCAGTCCATCTTTACTGATTTTTAATCGAATTTTATTGTGGCATTTCAGAATTTCCTGTTTTTCTTCTTCTTGAATTTTATGAGAAAATGTGAAAAGTGGGAAACATATTAGAAAAATGTAAGAGAACTTCATTTCACAAGTTTAGAAATCAGCAATAATTTTGTAAATTATTTTTTGAATGTATCTATTTCATAATGTCTAGACACTCTAAAAATTATAGAATTTCTGTTATTTTTAAATTAAAAAACCCATATTCAAATTCCCCCTCCCTCATTCAAGGCGCACGCATTTCTCACACAACGATATCTCACCACGAACAAACATTGGCAAGCAGCCAAGCAGTAATCGATAATTAATTTCGTTTGCTTTTTTTCGTCCACACGCCGAAAGTTAGCGTAAATCTCGGTGGTTCGTCTTGAATTTTTGTTTAAAATCAAATCAAATCGAAAATGGTACGCGTGAGCAGAGTTGTACCGAAAGAGTGAGGATTTTTTTTTGCGGTTTTACTTTGTCATTCAAATTATTTTTTGAATATGTTGTGTTATTTGAAGTTTTTTTCGTTTTGAAATTTTTGAAAATTGAGCATTGTTTTCAGTTGGACTCGTTATTCATCAATAGGCCAGGTTATTCCAAGAACCAGGTTTATTGTTTTCAAAACACCACTCAATGATCAACTGGCTACCAAAGTTCCCAAAGATAGACGGTTTAACACAACCGATTTATTCAGACAGGTTAGTAATTTTCCGATATTAGAATACTTCTAATTATAAGCGCTTATTTTCAGCTTTCGTTAACCGGCCAACACCTTGGTTTAGTAGTAGATCTCACAGACACCGATCGATATTATGATAAAAATGATATAACTGGAATGTGTGTGGAATATGAGAAAATTAATTGTCCCGGACGTGGATTTATAGATCGTGATGAGTGTATGGATTCATTTACTCAAGCTATTCAAAATTATATTGATAAATGTGATGATGAAGAGGCTTTGATTGGTGTGCATTGTACAAACGGTGTTAATCGAAGTGGTTATTTGATTTGTCGATTTTTGATTGAGAGATTAGGATGGAGTTCGCATGAAGCGTTGGATGGTAAGATTTTTTATTCAAGCTCTCAAAAACCCTCAAAAATTTCCAGCGTTCGAACAAGCCCGCGGTTATCCAATCGAAAAAGGCGACTACGTAATGGCCCTTCACAAAGCCGCAAAAAACGTCAAGAATGAACAACAAAAACAGCAGCAAAAACAGCTCGACTCGGATTCAGACTCTTCAGATCGCCGCCGGAAATCTAAGAAAAGCAAGAGAAAATATCGAGAAATTGAAGAAAATACGGGTGGTATGAGTATGATTGATGCTTTGTTGGGAGAAATCAATCAACAGGTTACGGCTGCCGCGCAATTTGAAAATTCGCCAGCGAGTAATTCGGAGGATACGCAAGCACAGCCCGCGACGCATTGGGGTTTCGCTGTCAAACGCACAAAATATCAATCACTGAATCAGGCACAGCAACAAGGATTTAGGGCCGAAGAAGAGAATAGTCCGTTTGTTGAGGATGAAGCTGAAGGAGAATTTGAGGATGAGGTACGTTTTTTGATTGAAAATATAAATAGCTGAAAATTTAAAATCAACCACAAATCCAAATCTTCTTCCAGGAATACGAAGAAGTTCAAGGCGACGATCAAATCCAATCAGCTTCCTCAAAACGACGTGCTCGTCGAAGTCGTATGAATAAAATGTTGGCTGTAATGAAACGCGGAAAATATCACGAAATTCAGGCGATGCAAGAGGAAATGGCAATTTCGCATGGAAATGCAAGAAATATTTGAACAATTTTATCATTTTCATTGATCTTTCTTTCTCATAAATTTGATCTATTTTTTTTATTCCCAGAAAATTATTTTTTGATTAGAATCCCTGATTTACACTAACCCTTGGTTAATTTTCACCAACATTTATCGATTTTTCCAGATATATTTTATGACTAAAAAATAGCGCGAAAACTTCGAATTTTGCCACGTCATTGGTATTTTCCAGAATTTTCCCCATATTCCTTTAAAAATTGAAAAACTTTGAAAATCTATTAAGAAAAAATATTTTTCACGTGACATTTTCCATTTTCACGTGGATTCTTTGAATCCAAACAAATCATTTGAATTTTTATTCTTTCGGAAAATGGTGATAAAATTACTCTTGTTAGGGTAAGTCTAAATATTTCAAGGCGCCACCATTTTTTCAACAAAATTTGTTTCTGAACTTGACCGTCTGAAATTCAAAAAAATTTGTGGTGAAAAATAAAGTTCTCTATTATTATTTTTAAAATTTCATTGTAACTTTTTGCCACGTCATAATTATTGCAATTTTAAAAACAAAAATAACCCTCGTCCTTTTTTCCAGTTTTCATCAAAATGACAGTTCCACCGTCAAGAATGAAAATCAACGAAGAAAACATGCAATTCTCCAAAAAATCGTTTCGTGCTCCCTATAAAGTGCATTGTGTTGCAATATCTCCTGTAAATGATTTAATTGCAATCGGATCTCGAAAAGGAGATATCACATTGAAACGAGTTTCGTGGAAACAAATCTGGAAATTCAACATCACACAATCATCGATGCATTTGTTGAAAAAGGCTGATGAGATTTTTTTGGATTGTTTGGAATTTTCGCCCGATGGAGAGGTTTTGGCAGCAGGAACAAGTGATGGACATGTTAGTGTTATTGATGTGGAAACTGGAAGATTTAAACATTATGCAAGGTTGGAAAATTTTGAAATTTGTAGAATACTGAGGCTCTTTATGCCTAAAAAAATGGAAAAAAAAGTGATTTCACGGTGAAAAATCATGAATTCATCTCTGAAAATTTTATGACTGTAAACCTATATCAAAAATTGTATTGCAGAGTTGGTGAAACACCTCCCCTCGATCCAACACCTTCTGACATCACAACTCCGCCTTCGATTATCACTCCGTCATTTCTACGACTTCGTTGGTGTCCTTATGGTCGACATGAATTCATCGAAACAGGAATGCGACAATTCTGGAATGAAGTCGAAAGGGAAGGGGATTATGATGTTAAAGCTAGTGGAAAACGAGTTGAGGAAAATAAGGCGACACTTTATGATCAATGTATGGATTTGGTTGGAAGTAAACCCGATGTTGCTAAAGAGGATATTGCTTTTGTTTATCAAATGTTGGAAGAGGTAGGGGTCTAAAAATTAAGTCCTAAAGCTAACACTAACTTTTTTTCTTTTTAAAATAAAAATTAGGAGATTTCGATACCCTTTGACTCTTTTTTAGTCCAATTTCCTGCAGGATTCGTCCGAACTCAAAGCCGACGAAGGATTCGAAGATGCAATTGAGAACACATTTATCTCAAATCGAAAATTCCGTGGAAGCTACAAAGATACAATTCTTCTTGCAGTTCGTGATGATTTCATTATCACTGTTTTATTAGCCGGTGTTTATCCATATGCTGATATTGATATGAAAAAACAATGCCAACTTTTGAAATTGGAGCCAGTTTTTGTCTATGATGCATTTTATTCGAGAAATACCGGAGGAATTACAGTCGCTTTTACGAGTAGTGGAGAAAGACCGACGTTTGATAGATCTGAGGTGAGTGAGAATATAGATTTGAATATCTCAAAACCTTGCCCTTAAAAGCCACATGTCATTTATTTTAATTTTTTGCAGACATTCGGAAAGCCTATAACGTCTCCAAATCCACCTAGTTTTCCAAATGGAATTCCAAATCACACGCATGTTATTAATTTCAAATTAAATATCAAGGAAATTCATTGGGATTTGGCGTTGAGGTGAGATTTTTTGCCGTAAATTTAAAAAGCGCATTTTTTCTTCAGATTTATCCGTCTTGTTTATGGTTTCTTCCTGCTATTTATCTCATTCGAAACGTGCCGAAAAAACTGGAAGACACAAATTGAAATTTTGCACAACAGATTTAATACAAAAATTCCGAATTTGAAACTTGGCGAAGTGTTGATCGATATGATGTTGTCCGGATCGACAGAAACAGCTGGTGAACAATTTTTGGAACGTGGAATGGGAATGGATGGATTGGGAGAGATTAATGGTTTCATTGAGAAACATTTGACGTGAGTTGTTTTTTTTGAGCTGAAAATATGAAAAGATCCCCAAAATTTACAGAATTTTGAGCTCAAAAATGATATATTTCGGTGCGGCATTCTTATTTTAACAAATAGAAAAGCCACGTGGTAAATTTTGACGATAAAATTTAAGGTTTACCTATCTAGCGCTAAAAATTGAGCAATTTTCTCTCTCAGAATTTTTCTCTATAACCCGAAAAAATAGGTTTAAAAATATTATGATTAAATTTTTGAGATATCCGATAATAATTTCGAAGCTCCATCGATTCTAAATATAATAAATATCAACAAAAGATCTTCAACAATTCCTAATTAATGTTTTTTGCAGCCAAGTTGGTCGAATTGCTCGCGGTCAACTTGTCACCGGTGTTCGAAATTTGTCATTTCAAGTCACCGAATTTGTGATGTGTGTAAATCGAATTTATGACGAAGAACGCATCGAAAACCACGCTACAGAACTTTTGACCAAAAAATTCGATGATCCAACAATTAATCCAGAAGCTGTCAGATTTCGAGAAATGAATCCGGCTGTTTTGAGATTAGAAAGAGATGCGGCAAGATTGGAATTGAAAAATCAACAATTACAATTGGCTTGTTCGCTTATGATGTGAGTATTTTTGGGAGGTTTTTTTCGGGATGAAAATTGTGAGAATAATAAACGAAAATTCACCTGAAACCCTAATAATCGATAAATCATGATGTGTTTCATTTACTTGATTCTTCATTCGTTTTTCGAAATTTTGGAATATAATATTTTCACTGTTTCAAAATTTACATTAATATTTGGAAGTTGAAAATAACTTGCTTCGACTTTTCACAGCCTGAAATAATTTTTGTCTAAAAATTCAAAACATTGAATTATTTATTGGTATATAAATTTTCACTGTTTCAAAAAATGTTTTCATTGTTTTTTTTTGCAGCCAAGATCTTTCACATCTAACAAAATGGTTGGTAATGCTCAAACCATTTACACGTGGAATTCGAGCAAATATGTTATTGAGAAGTAAACGAATGGATATCAAAACAATTATGACTTATATTACGGAGAATTTTGTGACTGAACCAACTGTCAGAGATAATTTGATGAAAACAATGTTTAATATTGAGGAATTGGTTGAGAAAATCAATATGAATGATTTGATGACTGAATTTGATGAATTGAAATATTTTGAAGATGCTAAAAATGATGCTGAACATTTGCATACGATTTATAAGGATGAATTGAAGGTTTGGAGATTTTTGGGGAAAGGGGGAGAAGTGAAAAGCTGTCAGTTTTTCGATTTTCCTTACAAAACCCTTCATTTTTCCAGTCGCTTCGCCCTGATTCACTGGAATTCAATAAATCTGAAGAAATGATGATGGATAGTGCAGTTGATATGAAAGGAGGACCACAAGCAGATGCTAGTCGACCACTGCCAACTGGACATGAATGTCCTATTGATTTGGATAGGGTATGTTTGGAGGGGGTGGTTTGGAAAAATCAGGAAAGTGTCCAACGATTTTTATAAAAATCAATTTTTTGAAACGTAAAATGTTCCAGAATATTTTTCAAAAATAACTCATCCATTTTTTCTACAGGTTGGCTCATTTTTCGCACAGGAGCTATCTCCGAAAACTGCCAAAGATCTACCATTTCTTAGTCAAATTTTATTGGGTGTTGATTCGGATAAATATGATAAAAATGCGAGAGGATTGCATGCTGTTAGAACACTTGGGTATGTTGTTTTTTGACGAGAAAACAATAAAACTTACTCATTTTCAATTTCAAATATGCCAAAGTTATCAAAAGTATGGCTGAAGCTGTTCAGGGAACTCGAAGAATTTTGAATTGCGAACCGAAACATGATAAGTCGAATTTTGCGGTGGTGAGTTTTTTGGGCTTTTGAACATAAATAAAATTGAACCATTTTGATACCAACAATTGTTTTCCCTTTCGAAATTTTTTGTGATACATTTTTTTTTTCGATCCTCAAAAAATTGTCATGCAAATTTAAAAAATTGTTTCCAAAAAAAATTTAACTGTTTCAACGGTTTTCTGAATTTCTAAAGATTTTAATTGTAATCATTGTGAATATGTAACGTAGTTTCTTACAAGTTTATCTGAAAATTAGAAACGAATTGAAAGTTGGCGGCTAAAGTTTTAAAAAATTTCACTGTTTTAAGTTTTTTCTTCAATTTCTGAAATCTGATCACCTCACATTTTCTCCCAAAAAATCCTTTTTTTGTTTAGAATTGGATGTATGAAATTGCTTCGGGTGTTGATCACGCAGGTTTCGAATATTGTCGAATTACGAATGTTTTACACGATGATGCACATAATGATGGATTGGGTCTTTCAAGAAGAGAAGACGCATTGAAAAGAAGTTTACATGTGGCTTGTAGGTAAGAAATAAGAAGATTTTCCGAAAATTGAAATATTTGATATTTTTTTTGTTAAATAAAAAATCACAAAAAATTTCAATTTCAATTAAATTCCAGTTTCCCAACAAAATCTTCACAATTTCCCCCTTTTCAGCACCAAAAAACAGTTGTACTCCCTATTTTTGATATCTCCTGTGGATATTGACATGTGTTTATTGGAAATGGATGTCGAAGGTGCTGAAGCAGGTTATTATATACAACGAGATGGTGAAGATTTTGGAATCATACAAGAATTTTCGAAATTTCATGATTTGAATCTAGATGGATTTTATTTGGTGGATGATGTGAAAAAAAATGAAGGAGAACCGATGGAAGTTGATGAAAATGCGCTGAGAATTGATACGGGAAATAATCAATTGGTAAGTAGAAGGAATTTTGAGCATTTTGTTATCAAATATGATGAGGACTTCAAAATTTAACTTTAGTTGTTGAAAATTCTTGATTTTTATTCCTTTACCAACTTATAAAATGAGTCTACAAATTCTTATTTTCAAAAAATTGCCTCGTTGATTGAAAAAATATATTTTATTCATTGAATTTAAAAATCAATTAAACATTTCACTGTTTCAAAATCTTTTCCATTTATCCCAATTTTATTCATTTTTTTTTCAGACCAAAAGTGCCTATGAAAAATTGGTCAGTTTTGGGCAAGTTTTTCCAATTTTCAATGACGAATTGATTATTTTGGTGAGTTTTTCCCCTTTTTTCTGAAAATCTGAATTTCTGCAAATATTTTCTAGGCAAATTACGAGTCAAATGATGAAAATGGCGGAGTGAATCGAAGAATGATGAGATATGTAGTGGATCATGGAAAAAAGCTGGCTTGGATTGTACAAGATGTAAGCTTTTTTTGGGGTCAAGAAAATCTGCAATTTTTCTGATAAGCGCGAGAAAATTTGGGCTTTTTGAAGCCAAAATCTGAAAATCCCTGAAAACAAAACAATCCCTGAAGCTCATTACTTTCTTTACTACACAAAATTTTAATCCTATTTTGACCACAGCCATTATATGTGTTTTTTTTCCATTTCTATAAAATATATACACATTGTGTTGTTCAAAAAAAGGAGAAAATTGAATTTTTGATGAAAGAATTTGTAGTTTGAACGGGGAGTTTTGAGCTGGAATTATAGTTTAATATTCTGATTTTTAGCCTGAAAAAACTTGCGAAAAAACACTTCAAACTAGATTTTTGCTCTGTTTCTTAGGAAATGCTTGAATTTTTGAGCACGAAAATTAGATTTAGATTTTATTTTTTGAGTGGATTTTTGGTCTAGGCTGTGAATCAGGTAATTTTTCTAGAAAAATATTTAAAATTTTATTTTTTTCAATCCTTATACACTTTCAGTACTCCAGAGAATTTTCAAATATTAAATAAATTAATCTTGCACTTTTAAAGTTACATTTCCGGATTTCCTTATTTTCAAAATCAGAAATTAATTCTAGGAACTCTGAAAATAAAAATTCGTCTCAATCCAGATTTTAATGGTCCCAAAAAAATGCAAATTTCTATTTTGAACTCGAAAAATTATCTTAAATATATAAAATTGATAATACAGAGTGTGATATTCAGCAATCCTCTCAAATTTCAATTTCAGGAAGGCTGGGGAACATCAGAAGTCGTCGAATGGGCCGAATTCTGTCCATATATGCGCCGCGGTGTTTATGTTCATGATGAAGGAACTCGAGTTGCCATATTCCATTTTGAGAATCCACAACTTGATTATCAGAGAAAACGAAAAAAGGATCCGATTGCCGAAATGAGTGAGAATAATGAAGAGGGAACTAGTGATGGAACACATCAAACGGTATGTGATGGGAAAAGGGAAAAGAGATTGGGGGGGGGGATATTTATTTAAATCTAAAATACTGAAAATTTGTACAACGCCCAATTTTTAACCCAATTTAACTCTAAATATTCTGTGATTTTCACAAAAACTATACTCTAGTTTGACTGATACAAAAAATTGGTGATGAATTTTAAAGTCAAATTGAAATTTGGCTTATAATAAAATTCGAATTCACAAATGTTGTGCTTCGAAATTCGCAGTAATCACTGAAGTTTGCTATGTTATAATGAAATTGTGTTTTTTCTCAAAAATCCACTTTATCCTATTTTTCCACCTCAAAAATCCCCTGGATTTCGATGATTTTTGAAATTTTGAGCTTATGAGCTGAGCTGTCATAATTTATTCGAACTTTTTTGTTTTTCTCCTGAATAACCTCTAATTATCACCTGTTTTTCAAAGACGCGGAATAAATTAAACTTTTTCTGAATCCCCTATAGAAATCAATATTTCTACACAAAAAACAGCTTTTTATGAATCATTTGAATTTCCGCTTGATTTTCGAAAATCACAGCTCAAAATCCGCTTTTTTCGCTAATTTTTTTGTAGATCAAAAATTAGAGCTAACAAAATTAATTTTGTTTTTTTTGCAGATTGAAAAAATTACGTCAAAAAGAATGTTCTAAGAATGAACCCCCGCTAGAAAATTTCTGACAAAAGTCAGAAAAAAAAACAGCTGAAAAAATGATTGCTCATGTTCGATTTGACATTTTGGCACCATGAATTTTTTTTGAAAATTTAAATTATTCGAATTTCCGCCAAGTCTGTGACCCTTCAAAAAAGCTTCCAAAAAATTGTAGTGAAATAATAAAGACGAAGAAATAACGAGTTATTTTATGAGCTTGTTATTTTTTGTTTGAAACAATAAAAATGTATTTTTTGCTCGGTTTTTTTCGCGTCATTTTTGAAGTTGATCTTTGGTCCAAATTTTTACTTGGCCCCAATTTTTTTTCAAAAAAAAAATTGAACTTTTACTAGATTTTCAGACAAATTAACATTTAAGGCGGAAACTTTTTGAATGTCAACTTTTTTCGAATTAATTAGCACCTGCTTTTGATTTTTTGACGCGGAATCAGTTAGGAATCGAAAGGTCGTGCCGAAAAACTACGGTAATTTGAACACTTAAATTGACCTCAAAAATCTACAGTAGCCTAGTGAATTAGCCACGTCAGTTAGCTGATATATTACTACTGTAGAAAAAGTTTCCTGACATCGAAAAATTAAAACCTAAAATTTCTGGTGCTAAACCCCTACAGTAATCTTGGGACGTCATATCTCATATTTTCAGCACCCTTCGAAGTTTCGTCATTTGAAAAAAAAAACATTTTTGAAAAACACTCATTTCCGCCCGAAAAAATGTGACTTTTTTGCTTAATTTTGTGTTTTTCTCTAATAATCACAGATCAGAAAATAAAAAAAAAGAGATTTTTCTTTTATTTTTTGTTCTAACCAATAAGCTCGTCATTTTCTTTTTTTCCAATTGTTCATCCATCATTTATGAGCATTTTTGTGCTCCAGAGAAATAATAAGAAAAAGGTAAATAATAATTCTTAAAATAACAAGCCCAAGCCTTCTTTGATCTTTGAAAAACCATAAATTTTTCAGGTTTTTCAAGAAATATTGCGTAGAATTGTGTGCAAGTTCAATTTGTGTGGGAAACCCAAAATGAAAATATCGTGTACTTTTCTGAGTTGTTTTTACAAGAATTTTAGATTAAAAATGATGCGAAAAGCGGATTTTGTGAATAGCGGAAAGAATTTTGAGCTAGAAAATTTGATAAACTTTGGTGCCGCAAATCCATAAACTGTAGGTCTGAATTTCTCGCCAAAAAGTGTCGAATTTGTCTAGAACATGCTGAAATAAATTCAGATTTTGGCACCAAAAATCCATGCCTAATTTTTAAAAGAAGCCACAATTGTGTTTAGATTTATGAAAATTTCCGGAACAATTAGCGTTACTATTTTCATCATTCGAAAAAAAAACAAATACATTTTTTTCGTATTTTCATCACAATTATTGTATCTCCTCCAAAAGAACTACACAGAACACGGAAAAATACGATGTTTTCATAGTTCCGTGAAATTATTTTTTCTGGATTAAAAGTCCACAGCAAATTTTGAATCGGGCCGCCAGCTAGGAAATTCACGTGGCAAAAGTCTGAGATCTCCAAAATGTCAAGATTAATTTGAAAGAAGTCCCTGATTCATTTTCAATTTCTAAAAATATTTGTTTTTTTCTCCAAAATCCGATATTCTTCGAATAAAATGTACTTGTCCGATTTTTGTTATCTTCTTCTCGAAAAAAAACAAGAATCACAGAAAAAATTCGAAATTCATTGAAAAATTCCTTTCCTCGTTGTTTTTGTTGCTATTTTTGAATTTCAATGTCAAAAACACGCGAAATTCTTTGGTTGAAACACAGAATTTTTCGAAATTAAACCAAACAATGTTTCCGAATCAATCAGGAAGTTATGACGTGGCACAAAATGGAAAAATGGAGGCGGAAAACTAATTTTTCTAATATTTGAAAATTATAAAATATCACGAGATATCGAGATTTTTGTGTAGTTCTTTTGGACAATACAAAAAACATGTGGATTTAGTTATTTTGGTGGTGAAAAATAAGATCACATCATTGTTTTTTTCTGGCCCAAAATTAACAATTTGGGGCTTCTTTCATGTTTCAATTAGATTTGTTAGAAAAACTTGGAGATTAGTCACATTTTGAACTTGGGACCGGAGTTTAAAGGTACAGTTTGAATAACTTTAAGATTTTCCACGTGGATAACTTTTACTGCTATGAAATTGTTATGTTTGAGACCAAAACAACGCAAAAAGTTTTCCGAGTTTCCCGATTCTTGAAAAAAACGAGGTGTGAGAAAAATTAGAAAATTTCTCTCATAAAAACGATTTTCAAATTTTGTAGTTTTCAAACTCACTGCAGAAAGATATTTTAAACCAAAAAGCTTGTCACAAGTCAAAAAAAAAAAAAACAATTTGAAATTCCGAATTTGAATCCCAAAAACCCTCTATTTTTTTTACAGACATTCCGTGAATTCCAAGCTCGCCGTGATCGACTTCGCCGACTGATTCCTTCACAATACGCTCAAATCTCGCAATTCGACGATATTATTGAAGAATTTATTGATACAAATGCACCCGATGATATGCTCCAAAATATGCTATTTAGAAGAACTTGAGATTTCTCGATTCGACATAATTTTGGACCAATTTTTTAAATTTATTTCTTTTTGATTTATTTATTGATTTCATGTGAAAGATCTCGGTTTTTTTTTCAAATTTTTTGATATAAATTGTATGCACCCTGACTTCTTTTTCAATCTTAACATAAGATCTCTGTTTTTTTTCCAGCTCAAACCACGCCCCCTTTTTTCTTTCCTTTCTTCGCTCCGCCCACTTTTTTCGTAAGAAGCTGATGGATTTTTACTTTCATTTTTTTCAATTCACCAATATCATGCTAACCACACTTTTTGTCCTCTTGTTGGCTGTTTGTGTTGTTTTGGTGAGTTTTTCTCGGGGGGCTTTTGGACTATTAAAAAATCTTCAAAGTTAGGCTAATATGGGCTCAGGTTGATATTTTTAGTCTTAGGCCTATCAATAGATTTAGCTTCTAGGCTATTGAATTTTAGACCTTGATGGAGTTAAGATTGAATTAACCTAGGCTTGTGAGTGAAGCCTATCGTCGTAGGCCCAATTCTTCAAACCGGGCTTGGTCAGAAATTTCAAGCTTATTAAGTTTATGGGGAATTTGAGGGTTACCCTAAGCTTATGAATTTTTAAGGCTGAATAGATGAAAATCAGGCCTTAGTTAAATCCAACTTGTTAGGTTTGTCTTAAACTCAAACTGAGCGAGAAGTGACCTTGAGCTGAACTATAATTCAGGCCAGGTCAAAAGATTTTTAGGCTTAACGGGGATCTAGGATTGCTAGAATTAGGGAATATTCCTGAATTCAAACTAGGCTTAGACTTAGCTCAAAAATCAAGGCCAATTGTTACACCCACGTTTTTATTTGGTACTGAAAAATTTGAAAAATATTCTATTTTCGAAATAGAAAGATCAAGTCTCAAATTTCCATAAATTTTCCCTTCGAAAAAATGTCAACGTAGAGCAATTAAAATTTTATGATGGGTAATTGGTAGTCTACATTTTTGAAAAATAATTGAATTTTTGTGAAAAGCATAGGCTTACTCAACTCCTCCCCCCAAAAATTCCCATTTTTTTGCAGTCCACCAGTTTGGTGTCGGACATTTCCCATCAATTTCTACATGCACCAATCGAGCAACAAGGCATTTATGAGCCATCTTATTATAATGGAAATGGCGGATTACGTGGAAATGGTGTGCAATTTGCACCACTTTATGGAATGACAAATTCGCATTTGTTGAGTTTGACCGATTTGTTGAGGAAAAGAACACTTGATTATTGATTTGAAAAAGAAAAAAGTAATCACATGAAATGATAATGAAGTTTTGTTTTCGTGGACTTTTTTTTTAGTTTTTACTTCAAAGGGATTGGGAGAGGGAGGAAGAGTTTGGGTAACTTGAACAAGGCTCTGATAAAGATCTGGGCTTAGGCTTTGAAAAAGTAATTCGATCAAACTCAGGCTTCAGGAAGATCTAGGCTCATCATTAGGATTAAACTTATCTGAAAGTTTTCAGGCCTAATTCTGGAGACCTGGAATATATATCCAATTGAATTTTTCGCGCAGTTTCCAAAATTCCGAATTTGTTGTGTTTTGATTGGATGCGAAACTCGATATCTTCCTCCTCCTCTTTTCGAAAAAAACACACATAAATTTGAATTTTAAATTTTTTCTGATTTTTGGCGCCAAATATTTGCGTTGCGTCAATTTTTCTGATGTTCAGAGATCATTCTGGAAGTGGAAGTTTTTTGGAATTATATTAAGCAGCAACTTTTAAAGGTCGGGAAAAATAATTAATTCATCTATTTTCATTTAAAATATATATAATTATTTTTATCTTTTTCAGGAATCTTTGAACAATTTTGTCTGGAAATTTGCAAAAAATAGAGAAAACATTTATTTTGAACCTAGAAAAGATACAAATTTGTAAAAATCAGAAATAAATAAAATTTTGAAAAACCCGTAAAAATTCAAAAATGTCTACCAGCAATAATATATTTCACTACAATCCACATCCATGTCTGGAATTATGGTTCCAAGTCGACGTTCCAATTCTGTATGCGCTTTTTGCTGAAAAAAATTAATTTAGCGTAAAAAATTGCAGATAGTTTAAAGGAACAGGAATTTTGGCCCGAAAATGTCAGATTTTTTAAACTCAGAAATATTACTGTTTCAAAATTAGATATTTAATTTTCAGAGAAAAGTTTAATTTAGTTTCGCATCTATCTACTTTAAAATATTAAAAATAGAATTTGGCCTCAAAAAATCCAGGTGGCAACATTTATTTTTTTTCAGAATTCTGAACTTTCCCGACTCAAAATGTTCACTGTTCCAAATTTGTCTCATAGCTTTCCAAAATAAATCTATCTTCGGAAATCCACGTATCTTCACCCAAATTCAAAACTTCCAAACCTGCAAAAACGTCAATCCATGCAATGTGCATTGTCCAGCAATCTCTAATTTTTTGATAAATGAAATTGGTTTCTTCTTCTTCACCACTTTTTTCACAATTTTTTTCTTTTTCTCTTTTTTTCATTTCTTCTTCATCTCCCAATTTTTCCTCAACTTTTTTCTTTTTCACAATTTTTCTTTTTTTCGGTTTCGGATTCAATTCATTCGATTGTTGTGAAGCAGTTCTTTGTAAACTTGTTACCAAATTATCGACTGTTTCGATTGCACAACTTGAAATTCGAAATGTATCGAGAGGATTGTAGGCTAAGGCTGTTAGACCATCTGTTGACAGCGACCAATCTCTGGAAAAATGGGAGATTTGGAAAATTTCGGATTATTTATTTGAAGTTAGTCTAAATAACCTTGATAATCTGAACTTAGATTTAATTTTTTTTAGATTTTAGATTTCTGTTCAGAACATTCTGTTTCAAATTAATTCATCTTCGAAAACACTAAAAGCTTTGGATTGCAGTGTTAAAAACTAAGATTTTTAATCCCAGGCCTAAAGAAAGAACGGAAAAAAGAAGAGTGTGTGTCAACACCGAATGTCCGCAAACACCAAATCCTACGTGCAATCTCGACGCCAAACGTATTTATCTCGTTCCTTTTTTTCTCCTACCAATCTTTTTTTCTGTCAGCAAAAAAAACAAGAGAGAAAAAATAATATGTTTTTGCGTGAACGTGAAATTTTCGTGGCAAATGCCATTAACGATAATTTTTCAGTTCTTTCAAATTTTCGGTGAGCAACAAAACGGCAGCAAATAAAGATGAGTTTTTTCTTTGGGGTGCCCGAATTCGGAATTCCTAACCTACCGCCATTTTTTCGAATAATTTCACGTGTCTCTCCTGGAGTAAAGTACAGCTCAACTTAGCCTAACTCTGGATAGTGAAGCTTCTTAAGTTGAGCATTAGCCATTGCAATTGTCAGGAACCTCGACATGAGTTACCTTAATTTTTTGGTTATACTCTCGACTCTGTCGACTTGATTTGGTTGGAAAAACTGTGATGAGAGAGATCGAGGTTCGCTTTTCAAAGAAAAATTTTGAAAAGAAAACGTGGATTATTCAAAGAGGAGGGAAAAATTTCCTTTACTATTATCAGGGAAAATACGATAATTCCAAGAAAACCCATAATTTTTTCAGAAACAAACTCGAAAACCATGGAAAACCCGCCTGAAAACACTTGCACAAAACAACAAAAATCAAAGATTTCGAAATTTTCGGTGAGTTTTTCTAACCAAACAAGAAGAAGTTCTGGAATTTTGATTGAAAATTGATGGAATTCAAATTTTCAATCGAAATTTCAGATGGAATGCAGAAGCTATGCCCAATTTTTGAATTTTCAAAGAAAAACTTTGAATTTTTCAGGGCGATTTGGCGACAATTTTCTTTGGAAATTCACCAAATTCAAGGATTCTGGAAATTGCGTCCGATTTTTTCTACTTTTTGCTTAAAAGCCAAATAGTAGAAAATTACTGTTGTTTGTTTTTTCGCTACAAGTCGTTGCATAAAAGCCAATGACTTGTAGTTTTGTTTCCTACGAACACAGTAATCAGGGTACTGTAGATATTTCGTGTCTACAATAAGATTACTGTAGTTGTTGTTCGCATTTGTCGAGTACTGTAAGAAACGTTGAATGTTCTGTTGTTCGAAAAAGTACTTTGTCTTCGGAAGGCCTACAGTAACTGTATTACTGTAGTTTTGCATTGAGTTACTGTACTTCAGATGCATTTCTTTCGAACTAGTTCTGTAGATATAACAATAAATCTAAAATTCTTCGAAAAAGTTTAGTCTAACTTACTTACTAATGATCGACAATTTGACCCCCTGGATTTTGATGATTATTTTTGCAAAATGACCCATTGGGCGAGTGTATAAAAAGCCTAGGGGGATTTTGTACACTTCGGCCTATTTCCAGAATTCTGGGGACTTCTTTTTTTTTTGAAGGTAATACTTTCAGGCTTCGGAATATGGTTCAGAAAATTTTTTAAATGTGATTTTCGAGTTGAATCCTTGAGATATGAAATTTCTAATAGCGCTTATCCTTTTCTAGAGCAAAAAATATGTCTAGCAACAGTTTTAAATATTTACTTACCCAGACTCTACAATTTTCATTTTTTCGAATTTTTCAGTTTTGGTAGATTTTTATCCAAAAATTTTTTTACGGTAAGAACAGTTAAAAAAACACAATAGAAAACAATTTTAGCTTCAAAATTATTTTTTAATCGACTTTTTCGTCACCTATGAAGCATATTCCAGAGCCTGAAAGTCTTAACTTCAAAAAAATGAGGTCCCCAGAATTCTGGAAATAGGCCGAAGTGTACAAAATCCCCCTAGGTTTTTTATACACTCGCCCAATGGGTCATTTTGCAAAAATAATCATCAAAATCCAAGGGGTCAAATTGTCGATCATTCCTTGTTAGTAATAAAAACCGCGTTCACTTACCTCATTGTAATATTTTTCGCTTGCACATTTTGCTCTCTCATCACCGCATACAATTGATCCAATCGTAATTGAGGTTGATCAAAATCCGTGCAAATCAACTTAATTTTGAAAAGTGGCAAAGGTGGAAGAACACTTATTTGATTCAATATCTCATTTGCTCGATCAGCGTGAAGTTCCAAATTTATTTGAGTATTTGGGTAGCGAAGAATGAAAGATTTGACGATTTCCGAGACATTTTGATATGATCTATTATTTACGTGAACTTGTAGAGTTAGTTGTTGAAGATTCTAGAAGAAATTTATGAATTACATTAATTGTCTCTAAATTCTTACACTAAAAAGTTGTGCTTCAACATTCATAAATGCTTTGGTAACTTCATCATTTGGATGGATCATTAGAAGCCATAATTCTTCAACATTACTAAAATATTTTCGATTCGCATCTTTTGAAACATAAACTTGATCGATTGATGATAAAAATTGAATATCTGTTGTAAGACGAGTTATCGAAAGTCGACTTCGGCGAAAAACACCAGAAAGAAAATCGTGAGAATCTGGAGGACAAGTAATTGCGAGACGGCGGAATGGAATACATTGATGAGCTGAAGGATATGACGAACCCAACTGCAAATATTCATTTTTGATTCGGAGAGAAATGATTCTTTGTATTTTTATATTATGAAAAAATATATAGAAAATTCGAAACAGTGAAAAGTTTTAGGAAATTTTTGTTGTGTCAATCAATTAATTTTTGGATTATAGGGCATAATTCGAAACAGTTGATTTTTTAAACAAAAATTTCAGTTCTAAAGATGAGAATTTTGGAACATCCAAGCAGAACCAAATTGTTTTTTTTTACATTTTGAAAAAAAAATATAAAAATTTTGAAACAGTGAATTTTTGTCTAGGGATAAGATGAAGCCAGTAGCAAATATTTTTTTTACCTTTATTATTTTGAGATAATGTATAAATTTAATTTGCATCTCTGCAGAAAGAAGAATTATTTTTCGATTTTCAAAAACAAATATCTGAAAGATTTGAAACAGTGAATTTTGGTAGAAGAGAAGTTTCAATAATCCCATCCAAAATTTTTAAAACTTACTCTTTCAATCGAAATTTCATGAATATCTCTTCGAAATTGCCAATTAATAATATTCTGCCATCTTTTACAAACTCGTTCCATTTTACACATTGTCGAATAATTATAAAAACTAAAAATTTTGCGCAAAACCAAATCCGGCATATTCGGAATCACTTTTCGATTTCCACATGTATACATCGCTGAAATTTTGATTCATTTCTAAATTAGTGACTCAACAAAAATATCGTCACTTTCTTTTTTTTTTCAACAAGAATAAGGCTACAAAAAAAGCTCGAATGATACGTTTTTCAAGTGTTTGACTAAACAATCATCATCATTTTTCGGTTGTATTTTGGTTTGGTATATATCTCAATGATCAAGAGCACAAAAAAGCAATGTCTGCAGATTTTTTCGAACTTTTGGACTTGGAAAATCTAAGGAACCTCTAAGGAAGTGAGATACTAAGGAAAATCTAAGGAATTGAGATACCCATTGATTATAAATTCCATAATTCAGAAAAGAAAATGGTTTTTTAGAAAAGATTGTTTCACAGTATTCCACCTGCCAAAAAATTTGTAAATATAAAAAGTTAACTGTTTCTGAATTTCCATTCATTTTTAGAAATTTTTTTGAGTTGAAATTTTCGACTCGTGGAGCTCTTACCACGTCATATCAGGCCTAATTAGCTAAATTGAATTTTCAATAAAAAATGCTCTGAAAAAGCGACGTCATCAACTAAAATTCAAAAAGAAAGCTCGCCGGATACGAAAAAAGACAGAAATCACTTTTCCACTTTTTCGTACATACATTTTTCGCCTCGACCAACCAAAAAAAAACAGAGCGCAAAGAAACTTGCGCAATTGCTCTCCGCTCCCTCCCCACTTAAAATGAAATTGTGTTCTCACAAAAAAAAACACCGTGCAAGATTTGTCTAGAACCAAGTTTATATAATAAACATTTTTCAGAAAAAAGCAAAAAAAAATTGAGAAATCAATAAAACTTGAAAAATTGATAGAGATCTCCTCTCAAATTTTCAAATTTCACTTGAAAAAAAAAAGAGATTTCGAGCAGAGATTGAGATTTTTCGAGTTTGAGAGATAGAAAAACCACTTTTCGATGAGAAGAAGAACAAAGTGGGTGGAAAAACAAGATTTTTTGAACTGTTTCGTAAAATTGTTGGGGTTTCCACTGTTTCGAAAAATTCGAAGCAAAATAGAATTTGGAAAACATTCAATGTTCTTTAGAAATTTCGCTTATTAAAAATTTGTAAAACTGAATATGTAAAAATATTCTGAAACATATTTTTCCTTGGATTTTTTAATACTGTTTCAAAAAAATTGAAAATTTTTAATCCGTTTCAAAAAACCAGTGTTTTCAATTTTCTCAAAACCAACTTGTGAAATTTGAAAATAATTATTTTTCTATGGAAATTTTTCACTGTTTCAAAAAAATCATAAAATGTTTCTATCGAACCAGTGACATTTAATATTTTTTCTACATGTAGCTCACAAAAGCCTAAATATTTATTCAATTTTAAAATAATTAATAAGTGTCTCTTCAAAATCTCCCGTTAATATCGAAATCTCCCCGAGTTTCCAAAACTCCTTTTCCTCCACCAAAATTTCACAATTTTTCAATTCATTAATTTTCCCATTAATCAAAACCCTAACATCCTTATCGCTTCTCATAGTCAGTTTGATATTTTTGACTTCAATTTCATCGAAAGCAAAAATCTTGAAAATAGTATTCGATCCAGTTAGTAAAAGTCCTTCACAATTTTTGGGAAAACATGAAAAGTTGTCGAGAAATTGTGGTTGAATTGAAATATTTGATAATTTGAATTGATTTTGTGCATCAATTCCTGATCCAAAATTTGTTTCGAATGGGATTTCTTGGAACTTTCGAGTCTTCACATATGGTTCCAAGGTTTTCCAAAATTTGATTCCTGGAATTGGATGAATTTTGGATTAGAAAAGAAAAAACAAAAAAATTTAAATTATATATTAATATTATTATTATTTTTTTTTAAATTTTTTTGGAAAAATTCACTGTTTTAAAGTTGTGATATAACTATCTCCAAACATAATTATTCTCGAGAAATAATTTATTCCATAAATAAATAATTTGCACAATTTTGTATTGGAAAATTAAAATTGGTTTTTTTGTAGAATTTTTTTTACTGTTTCAAAAATATAATAGTATTATTTTTTTTTATTCGAATTGATTCATTTTGAGTTAAATTCGCATTTTTTAAAAAGATTTTCCACGGAAAAAATCACTGTTTCAATATTTGAACTTAATTTTTAGTAAAAAAATCAAATTTGATTTTTTGGATAGTATGTACACCAATTCTAATTTTTCAAACAAATATTATTGAAAATAGAATAAATTTAAAAAAGGGAATTTTTGAAACTGAAAATTTTAATTCAAAAATTCTACTATGGTTTTTTCTGATTTAAAAAATTGTGTACAACCGAAAACACAATAAACTTTTTTGTGAAAAGCACCTGATTTTTTGAAACTAGAATTTCCTAAAGATAATCTGAATCAGACTCTAAACATTTTTTAACATGATTGAAAAATTTTAACATGATAAAAATTCTTATAGTCTCATTCAAAGCCTTCACCCCCTCCTCACCTAAAACAACTTGATCTTTTCCCGGATTCGTTTCATGTATCCATCCAGTTCCAAAAATCGCCACCGACATTCGCAACAATTTGGCCGTCGCAAAACTCTTCCAACAATCCCATTTTCCCACACAACCTCTCGCCCAAACATCAATTCCAACAAAGATCTTTGATAATTTTCCAAAATCCGCTGAATCCAGTAAATGTTGATCAGTCCAATTGTAGTTCAAATAAATGCCATCGCATGAATCATAGAATTTGTGATTTTTTGAGTTCAGGGCGTTTTGCCATCGTAATTTTCCATCAAAAGTCACTGAATCATACCAAATAATTCGAGAATTTTCATTGATTTTCTTCATTTTTCTCGTCAAATCTTCCAAAAAATAATAAACCAAATCAATTTTCTTTGGATCAATTTCATTTTCAATATTAATTAAATATCCATCAAATGAATAATATTTCACAACTGCAACTAATCCATCTACAGTATCCTCAACACTTTTTCGATTCTCAAATATTCTTTCACAAGTTTTGCCACCAGGAATCCATTCAGTGATAAAAGTGCCAAGGGATAAAACACCGTGTTGATGGGCGATTTTTGTGTAGGAGGCTGGTGGAATTGTGACAAAATTATGCGAGAAATAGTTGAAGATGTCAATTTGCCACCAGTTTAGAAATGTATAGGCAAATGAGGTGGGAGAACATGTTTTGCCACAGCAACTGTAAGAAATACTGATATTTATTGAAAAAAAATTTTGGAGTTCAATTTTTGTTCCAAAATTTAGATTCTTGCTTCACGGTCGCCCATTGGTGAAAAATATAAACATCGTCTAATGAAAATGTACTTTTTTAAAATTTTTATGTGATTTCTCCTTGGAAAAAAATCAGAAAATTTTCAGAGCAAATTTTTTTCTCCGAAAAATTTACTGTTTCAAAATAATTATATGATTTTTTGATTTATGAGCGTTTATAATTGACTTCTGATCGCAAAATTGATATTTTCCCATCGGAAAAATATTCAGAATATTATGATTAGAGACAACCACGAAATTGAGAGAGCCCAGACTAGAGATTTTGGATTTATTGACTCTCTCAATTTCACGTTGTCTTTAATCAAAAAATATTCTTAATGCCTTGTATCAAAAAATTTGCATTACTGTTTTCCTTTTAAAATATTGACTGTTTCAAAAATATCCTTTTCCAAATTTCGTTCCTCAATTCACTTACCTTTCCTCTTCCAAATATCCTCCTTGCATATCATGACAAACCAAAATCTCAGCTTCATCCACTTTCTTCTTATAATTTCTCAACTTCTCGAAAAACCTCGGCTCCACTTCATTTCGATTTTTCCATTCCCAAAGTTCCTGAATTCCAGAAATCGGTGAAATATCCATCCTATACTTAATTTCATTATTTTTTTTCAAAATTTCAAAAGATATTCAAAAATGAGAATTACTGAATTTAAAAATAAATCACAAAATTAGAAAAAATAAATTAAAGTTTATCACAAGTTAAGGTACTTAAAATATCCCGCTAAAATAAATTAATAATTAATTAAAATACTAATTAGGATTAAAGTTCATCTTCAGGAATATCGGCCAAAGTCAAAGGTTCTTCTGGAATTTCTTCGATTGGAAATGGAGTTACATCAACTGCCGAACAAATTCCTGCAAAACAAAAAAAATCAATAAAATGTTTCTGGAAATTTTTTCGAACCTTTTTCAATTTGGCAAAATTGTTTGATTGGTTCATCGTGTTCGTTTTTGAGGAATTTCACAATTTCGTCGATTTGAGAATCGAGAAAATCATCGCACTGCAAAATATTATAGATTATTGTAAGTAGATTTCGCAGGCAAAAATTTGAAAAAAAGTACGTTTCGAAAAATTCTGAAATTTAAACATTTCTTTGAAATCCCGTTCGTTTTTGGCGAAAATATTCGAATTCAAATTTTGGTTCAAAAAAATTTCACTGTTTCACTAAACTTTTGTATTAAAAAAAATTCAATGAAAACCCAGTGTTTTCTCCAAGACTTTTTCAAAAATTGTCGAAATAGTTTTGCCGCAAAAAGATCTCACCGCATTTCTCAAATCGGCTCGAATTTTCTTCGTCTTCTTATCATTTGGCACATTCGAATTGAAACTATAAACAAGTTTTCCAGTCGATTTGTTCATCTAAAAATCATTCAAAATTATTGATTAAAAAAAGGAAAAAAGAAAAACTTACAGTCAAATAATAATTCGATGATTTTGTGCAAATATCGTCCAGAATTTCGAACAAAAATTCATCGGATCTCGAGTAGGAAACCTGAAATATTGCATTTTGTTGCACTGTATTTTAGCTTAAAAATCCCCCGTTTTTCCTCAAAACCCGTCAAATTCCACTCACCTGCTTGATTCCTTTCTGCTGTCCATCCGGCGAAACTCGAAAACTTCCCACATCGATTTTTTTCGTCGGATCCGCCGCCAAAATTCGCGTCGTCGTCTCATTTAACACCATAAAACACGCACCGCACTCGAAACTTTGTTGCGGTGATGCGCCGTGCGAAAATCTCAAGAAAATTGCGAGAATCGCGAGGGGAACCAGCATCCTAGACAGAAATTGAATAAAAACTTCAAAAAATCAATAAATGACCAGAAATAGTGGAGTTAGGTCAACTCTTCTTCAAATATTTGCTCAAGAAAACAACTTATTTATTATTATTTTTATTAGATCATCAGAAAAAACCCGTGAGAATTTTTGTGAAAAAATCAATCAATAACCGGTAATTGTGTGAAAATAGCGTGTTCGAAATTGACGCGATTTTGGATGTTTTGTGGTGTCGGATTTTCGATTTCGCATTTCAGCAGATTTTCGTATTGTTTCCATGTGATTGTGGAATTTGAAGGAGATCGACCGCGCTGCAAAAATTGAATTGAAGTTTTTGAAAAAAAAACATTTTTGAATTTGAAACGTTTTTGCAAAAAATATGCGATTTTTATAAATAGTTTCAACGAAAAAACTTAGATATTTTAAATAAATTCTTGGGTTGGAAGATATCAATTTTTATAGGCAAAATCACAAGTTTTTTCCTGGTTTCTAGCTCTCAGCTGAACTTTTCAGGCTAAAAATCAGATTTCCTCACCAAAGGCGTCGACAAAACTCCGGAATCCAACAAATATGGCATTTCTCTAATCTCATTCAAACAATCAGTAATCGCATTTTTGAAAAATTCAACCAATTCATCTCTCGATTCACAAAGTTGTTGATAAATTCCTTCAGGATCTTCAGCTCCCAATGAGTAGAAAAATGGGGAAGTTCTTTCAAGTTCTAAATATGGCACATCAAATCGTCCAATTCCACACAAATCTAGCAGGAAGTCTGCAAATTTTGAGGTTTTTTGAAAAATAAAAAAAAGTTAACTCACCAACAATTAACGTCATAATATGATGAGGTAAATGACTGATACTTTTCTTATGTGTCGCTCCACTTTTCCTTAATGTATATCTCCAGATAAAACACCGTGGCCTACAGGAAACCACAAAATATGCTTTGATAAACTGTTTGGTTTTATTGAGAAGTTTTGCATTGTCTCGAAAAGTCAGCAAACCAAAGATATAGGCTAAATCAGCTTCTAAGAATGGATCTTCGGCTTGGATTTGATATTTTTCGATTTGTTCTTCTTGCAAATTCAAAATATTGAAATCAAAGTTTGAAAATTGGGCGCTGGTATCGATTGAGGATTTTGCGTTGAGAGAAGAAATTGCGGATTTGAGAGAGGTTTTGTGGATATTGAACTGCAACAAAAAATATAATTTTCAAAGAGAAAAATATTTTAAAAAACTTACACAAAGTGAACTTCCAACCATACTAAATTTCTGATCGATAGTACTTTCTTGCGCTAACCCGTGCACTAAATTTTCGAGATTTATTAATTGTGCGTCTTGTTTAGCAGCTCGATCCACTTGTTTACTTGCAGATAAACTTTGATCAACAGTTCCAAGAACTATGGTTTTGCCGATCTCGATCAAATCCATATCCCGTTTACCGATTTGATATTTGAGGTAGGCTTCTCGCGAATAGCCACCCATTTCCATAGCCGGTGGCGAATTGCTTCGCGAATCGCTTGATGATTCGGATTCATCTGAAAAACATGAAAAGTTAGAATTATTCTCAATTTTTTCTCGAAAAAAGTTTACCTTTAACACTTCCTGGTTTTGTGTCTTCAATTGTCTCATGATTCGTTACAGGAATATCATCTGCATTGATTTCGCCACCAAGCTCATATTTCCGCTTCATTTTCAGAGTTTTAGCCGAGATCTTTCTCGAGAAAACGAGAGAAAACAACAAAAAATAAAAGAAAAAACCGAGTTTGCGTCACCAATTTGAAAATGCGTCAGGTTCAAAAGATTGACGTGTTTTGAAGAGTGGGGTTGTGTATTTCTCCTGGACGATTTTTATTCATTTTTCATTTTCATGGATTCGCTTGTTAAAAGCTTGATTGATCGCGGAAGGCGAGAAAAGGAGCTTCAAAAAAGTTTGCGAAGTGAAGAAGAAGATCCTCCAGCACCTAGAAGAAATTTCAAAATCGAGCAACTCGATAAAAATGATGAACGTTTCGAGCAGAAAAAACATGAGATTGAACAACGTCAAAAATATTATGTAGTGAGTTATTTCGTTTGGAAAAATTAATAAAAAATTATGTATTTTCAGAATAAACAATGTGTAGTATATCAAACTGCAAAAATTGACAATATTTACTATCAAAAACCGTATCCGAAGCATTTTTCGGATAATGGAGAAGACGGGCGGTATGGTTCAGCGTTTGGGATTTTAGATGAAATGTTTCCCAATATGTAAGTCATGTGCATTAGGAAAACAAATAAAATTGAAGAATTGTTCAGGGAAAACCCGGAAAAACCGCCATGGTCTGGATTTCCTGGAACATCCGTGGATAAACTTCTAGACAATGCCATAATTCCTGCCGAAAACCCGTGTACTTCAAGATACGAAGAAGAAATCGAAAAGTTTCTTGACAACAAAACAGATAGCCCAAGCGCTATGGAATCTTGGGTTTTGGAGAGTTGTCAGATTGATTTTCCTGAAAATATCAATTTGGAAAGGGATAGTTTATCACTAACAATTCACGATTCTTCAAATCATCCATGGATGTCAATTTATAAACCGAGAAATTATTTGGAACCTTTGCTCAGGCCTGTAATTATCAATGGAGCAGATTTTGAATTTGATATATTGGTGCGAATTTTGATGCATTTTTTGACAGAAGGAAATCGATGTGTAGCACTTTTTCCTGAAGATTTTTCTGCGGGGAGAAATGAGGATTTCGAAACTTTGAAGAAATTCAAATTAGTTCAAATTGTCCCGGAGCATTCGGAGTTATCATGGAAACAAAATCTTGCTCACATAGCTCGAAGAATCCAAGCGATTATTGTGGCAAATTTCGAAGTGGCTGGTTATCATCGCCGAATTTTTCCGCTAATTCTAGATCAGGAAATAATCTGGCCATCATCTCAAAGGCATCAAATGAATTTGAATATCCAAGCAAAATATTGGAAATGCTACGAACCGAAAAACGAAGGAATTCTGGATTTTTCAACGAAAATTGGGCAACAATTGTATTTGGCAGAGCAGGCGATGTTTATCTCGATTTTGTTGAATTTGAAAGCCGTGAATATTCGAGTGCATAGGGATTTCTATGATGATCCGATTTTTTGGCGAGTCAAAACAATTTATTATTTGATCAAGTTTCGGGGAAATTCGGGAATCTTTTGGGATCACAAAAATGGTCCCCCGGGAAATCGATTGATTTCGAAAAATTGGAAAGAAGTTGCAGAACTGGTAGATGATGATTTTTGAAATTTTGTAAATAAAAAACATTCACCACATTTTTGAAAAAGAATTCATTTATTTGTAAATAATAGCTGGCAGTGTATACAACAAAGAAATTTGTAAGGCAGTTTTTGTTATTATTCAATAAAAAAGAAACATTTGTAGATCACACATTTTCGTCGAAAAGTAAATAATAATATAATTAGATAAGATAAATATAATGGGATGGTGAAATTATAAGTTTATCGATTTTTGAGACAAACTTGACATCTTGAGACACGATCTTTCAATCCGCCAGCCTTTAATGTTTGTGACATTGGTTTGCGGAATTGTTTGTCTTGATCAACAATTGACAACCAGAAACCGTGATTTGTTGCATAGTAGTTGCAAGTTCCTCTACCGTGACATTCAACGAATGGAACTGCGCGGAACTCTTCCAAACATGAACCAGGTGATTGCAAACTTTGTCCGGTTCCTTCAGCGCCGGCGGCTGTGTGCATAACAAATGAGTAACCCGACCATAATCCACTCCATCCTTGTGGACATTGTGGAACTGTGACATCTTGCGAGTGAACCGCGATGATTTGAGTTGGCACTTCGCAAACGGTACAACGAGAAATGTAGGGGCGAATGGCTGTGCCGGAAACCTAGAAAAAATAAGAGAGTTGAATTAGGAATTGAAAATAATTTCTCAAAACTTACTGGATTCATCATTGGTGTCATTGGTTCATCGGTCGACAACCAGAATGAATAATCGTTACGGCTTGACACGTGGCAAACACTGTTCATGTTACAGAACATAAATGGCATTGTGTTGAATTTCGAAAGGCAGGATCCAGGTTGACCTAAAAATCAAAATTTTCTTTATTAATCTAATTATTTTGATATGTACTTTCATAGCAAAGTAACATTTTTGTTTTAACTTACCAAGATCTTGTCCTGACGCTCTTCCGTTTCCTTGAACATACAACAACGAATAACCATCCCAGAGTTGTGAAGATCCTGGTGGACATTGTGGGATATTGGTAGTTTGCGAGTGCTTGGCAAAGGTGAATCCACGACTTGGTGCCCAACCTCCCGGTTGTCCTGGATATCCTGGTGGCCCTGGTTGTCCTGGATAACCGGCTCTTCCGATAACTCCAGCCGGTCCTCCTTCTCCCATATGTCCTGGTGCTCCTGGATATCCTGGAGTTCCTGGAAGACCATCGAGTCCTGATGTTCCCGGGTATCCAGCTTTTCCTGGTGGCCCTGGATATCCGTTGTCTCCTGGAAGACCTGGATAACCCTTTTCTCCTGGATATCCTGGTTCTCCTTGTGATCCTGGTGGATTAGTGAGTGGCAAAGGTGCGAATCCTGGTGGTCCTGGTCGTCCGATTCTTCCTGGAGTTCCTGGAAGACCATCTGGTCCTGGGAAACCATCCATTCCTCGTTCTCCCTTCGATCCCGGCAATCCTGGTTGTCCCGGATATCCTGGCTCTCCTGGATATCCTTGATTTCCTGGGAAACCTGGTGTTCCACGCTCTCCTGGATAACCATTCGATCCTGGTTGACCTGGATAACCTGGTAAACCATCATCTCCGCATTCACCGTCTGGTCCAGTAACTCCTTCCATTCCTGGAAGTCCTGGTGTTCCTGGAGCACCATCGTGTCCACGTTTTCCGTCCAATCCTGGCAAACCGCGTTCTCCTGGATATCCAGGCACTCCTGGTTCTCCTGGTTGTCCTTGAAGACCTGGCATACCGAATTGTCCTGGTGTTCCTGGCTCCCCATTAAGTCCTGGTTGACCTGGCAAACCATCAGCTCCTGGATAACCTGGCTCTCCAGCTTGTCCTGGTTGACCGTATCCATCAACTCCTGGCAATCCTGGTGCTCCATCATCTCCTGGTGGTCCAACTGGCCCTGGGAGTCCGTCTTGTCCTGCGAATCCAGGAAGTCCTGGTTGCCCATTTTCTCCGCGCAATCCTGGTGCTCCTTCGCGTCCCGGCAATCCATTGTCGCCGTTTTCTCCTGGTGCTCCCGGATATCCGACATTTCCTGGCATTCCACTCAAACCAGGTGCTCCAGGGTATCCTGAAAATTTTGAAATTCGTTTTTGAATATAAATATCGGAAACTTGTTTAGACTAGTATCGAAATAAGAAATGAGGCGAAAGCGAAAATTTTGAGATAAATCAGAAACATTTACTTTGTAACGTGAACTTCTCGATCCATTTCTCAAAGTAGGGCATTTTTAAAATTTTGTGATTTCTTAACTGCCACGTCACATAATTTATAAAACTCTACTCACCTGGAAGACCATCCAATCCTCTTTCTCCTGGCAAACCAACATTTCCGTAAGCTCCCGGCAATCCTGGTGCTCCGCTATCTCCTGGTTGTCCTGGATATCCCTTCTCGCCAGACAATCCTGGTTGCCCTGGATATCCTGGAAGTCCCGGTGTTCCTGGCAAGCCATCATCTCCGCAATCTCCTTCAAGTCCTGGTTGTCCTGGATGTCCTTCACGACCTTGACCTCCTGGGAAACCTGGTGTTCCAGCTTCTCCTTTAAGTCCTGGTGCTCCAACATGTCCTGGATATCCTGGTGGTCCTGGAAGTCCATCCAACCCATCGTATCCGATGTCTCCTGGTGGTCCTGGAAGTCCTGGGGCTCCTGGATAGCTATCTCCGTTTTCTCCTCGTTCACCATTGTAACCTGGCAAACCGTCTGGTCCTGCTAATCCTGGTGGTCCATCAGGTCCTGGGTATCCGACCTGAAATTAGGTTTTATAGTGAACATTTTCGATTCTATACAGAAAAAGACGGTTGAATTTTTGGAAGCTTGAAATTATGCGCAGAAGTTTTTCACAAGAGAGCCTTTTTTACTCAACACTTGAAACATAGATGAAATTTTGAGAATAGCAAGCTTTCGTAATGAGAACTTGCTCTCAAAATAATTTTTGGAGGGAATCATCAGCATAGTCGAATTACTAAGACTATATCAATAAAAAACCTTTTTTTTTCGAAAAATTTTGGAAATTTTTATTCTCCGGCTGAAAATTATTGAATATTCATATGCTTTTTCTTCTGAAGTACTTCTGACAAGGAGCTCATAGTTTAAAAAAAATCAAAAAAAAATTTTGAAAATAAGATTTGAAGTGTTGAGTAAAAAGGTTTCCTTGTCAAAAACATTCCATATTTTCGTTTAGAGCTAAATTTTTGAAATAGAAAAAAAAAAACTCACATCTCCTGGCAATCCTGGATAAGCCAAGTTTCCTGGTTCTCCCGGTGCTCCTCGCAATCCTGGTGATCCTGAATCTCCTGGTTCTCCATTCAATCCTGGCATGCCGTCTTGTCCTGGAAGTCCTGGTAATCCCTCAGTTCCCGATTCTCCTGGATATCCTGGAACACCGTTTGGTCCGTCGTCTCCTGGCAATCCACAATCTCCATCTTCTCCTGGTGGTCCATTTGTTCCGTGTTCACCATTCAATCCTGGGAATCCAATGAGACCATCTTCTCCTGGTGTTCCTGGAAGTCCTGGTCCGCCATCTTGTCCTGGCAATCCTGGGAATCCTTGACCTCCTGGTGATCCTGGGTAACCATCAAGACCATTTGGTCCAGGTGCTCCTGGTTCTCCGCGATATCCTGGTAATCCGTCTTTTCCTTGAAGTCCTGGTGCACCATCGCGACCCTTCTTTCCATCGATTCCGCCCAATCCGCGTTCTCCCGGAATTCCTGGAGTTCCTGGCAAACCATCTTGTCCTTGTTGACCAGCTTCTCCTGGATATCCTGGTGTTCCTGGAAGTCCGTCACGTCCTGGTAACCCATTAGCTCCTGGCAATCCATTATCTCCGCTATCTCCCTTTGGTCCAGGGTAACCAACAGTTCCGAACATTCCATATCCTGGTTCTCCTGGTGCTCCCGGCAATCCTGGAACTCCTGGAAGCCCGTCGAGTCCAACTTCTCCACAATCACCTTCTTCACCAGGGAATCCATTATCTCCCGGTGCACCTGGTGATCCTGCTTGTCCGTGGAGTCCTGGGAATCCAGGAAGCCCATCCATTCCACGTTCTCCTGGTGAGCCTGGGAATCCGTCTGGTCCAACTGGTCCTGGCAAACCTGGAAGTCCGTCAGCTCCTTTCTCTCCCGGATATCCTGGAACTCCATCTACTCCTGGTTCTCCAGCGACTTGATCGATGATTTTCAATGGTGCTGGAATACCTGGCAAACCAGCAGCTCCTGGAAGACCTGGTAATCCATCAGCTCCTCGATCTCCCTTCATTCCTCCAGCTCCTGGTTGTCCATCATATCCATCTCCTGGCAATCCTGGTGGTCCTGGATATCCCAAATTTCCAGCTCTTCCTTGCTTTCCAGGAATTCCGCTAAGTCCAACTTCTCCTGGAAGTCCGGGGAATCCATCTGGTCCTGGTGGTCCACCCAATCCAGGAAGTCCATTGTTTCCTTGACGTCCTGGTAATCCTGGCAATCCACGTTCTCCCTTCAATCCACTGATTCCAGGTGGATTCTCAATTGGTCCAATAATCTCTCCATCTTCTCCCTTCGGTCCAGTATAACCTGGGATTCCTGGTAATCCCGCTGATCCAGGATGACCATCTGGTCCCGGAAGTCCATCTTTTCCACGAACTCCTGGTTCTCCACAATCTCCGCTTTCACCATTTGGTCCTTGTGGACCTGGATATCCATCCAAACCTGGACTTCCATACTCTCCCTTATCTCCTGGCAAACCATCTGGGCAGAATCCACAATCATCTCCACGATATCCTGGCTCTCCTGGGAATCCAGGTTGTCCTTCAATACCGATTCTTCCCGGAGGTCCAGGCTCTCCAGGAAGACCTGGTTGACCTTCTGGACCGACTTTGTTGACACCGGTTCCTGGGAAACCTTTCTCTCCTGGATATCCAGGATCTCCAATAACTCCCGGTGTTCCGGGATGTCCATCACGTCCCGATTGTCCATCTAATCCTGGTGGTCCTTGAATATCATAACCTGGCAAACCATCTTCTCCTGGATATCCACAATCTCCTTCCTCTCCTGGCAAACCAATTTCTCCAGCGAAACCTGGCCAACCATCTTCTCCCCGATCTCCTTTCTCTGAATATCCCGGCAATCCATCAACTCCAGGTTGTCCTGGGAAACCTGGTTGTCCTGGTGGTCCGCGATTTCCAACTGGTCCCGGCACTCCATTCGATCCGGGAAGTCCTTTCGGTCCAGCAACACCATCGTAACCTTGAGTTCCTCTTGGTCCAGCATCACCTTTTCCCTCTCCGAATACTCCTTCCGGTCCACAATCTCCTTCCTCTCCTTGTCTTCCTGGATATCCTGGCTCTCCAGCTTCTCCCTTCGGGCCATTGTATCCTGGTAATCCAGGTACTCCCTGCTCTCCAGATGTTCCTTTTTCTCCATAAGTTCCCGGAACTCCATCCTTTCCACGTTTACCCTGAAAATTAGTATTGTTTTTTTGGTCGAAATTTAGTTGAAGACGGTTTATTTCTAGACGTTATTGTGTCTTCAAGGAATCTCAGAGGCTCAAACTTACACGTTGTCCAGCATCTCCTGGATCTCCTTTTTGTCCCTTGAGTCCTGGATATCCTGGTGGCCCATCAATTCCAACCAATCCTGGTGGCCCGACTGGTCCATCACGTCCTTTTTCTCCTTTCACTCCTAGAAAAAAATCAAGAAATTATATTGTCGAAGTTGAAAAACAAAACATTACTTTGTCAGTCGCGCGCGGCTGTGCGTCGCGGTCAGAAAACAATCAATTATGTATTTTTTTCTTTTTTTTTCCCGACCGCACGCGACTGACGAAGTAATGTTTTTTCATTTATTCAATTCTGTACTGGTTTTTATTTTTTCATGGCAGCCACATTTTTCAACTTCGACAATACGTTTCAAAATTTTAGTAATATATGACAAACTAACTTTTCTTAAATTTGAAAAAAACTTACCTTCTGGTCCAACCGGTCCTTGCAAAACTTCCATCTCAATCGGTTTCGAAGCCCATGGATAACTTCCAGGTGATCCTGGTGGTCCGGGCGGTCCAGCCAAACCCTTCTCTCCTTTCACTCCCGGTGTTCTCAAACCATTTCGTCCTTTCAAACCAGGTGTTCCAGGGAATCCCATCAAACCCATCGGTCCTGGATCTCCTTTCGCTCCTTTCAAACCAGGATAACCTGGATTTCCTTGTTGTCCTGGCAAACCAGGCCGACCAGATTCTCCCTTGTCTCCTTTTCGTCCTTGTGAATTGACACCACCTTCTCCTGGTGGACCAGGAAGTCCAGGTCGTCCAGCTAACCCGCCAGGACCTGATGGTCCAGGTGGCCCAGCAAGACCAGGCCATCCAGGGAGACCCTACAAAAAATCGATACTGTGTTTTGATATTTATTTTTCTTCACTTCAAAATTATGTATGAAATGTTGTTGATGCGATGAGTCAATCACAAAACTATTACACTAACATTTTCTAGGCTCTCGCCTCTCTCTTCCTTTAAAAAGATGAGAAGAGGACACAGAGATTGAGTGGTGGAAAATGACAGATGAGAATTTTTGGAGAGGGATAGATCAAAATCGAAATCGAAACATTAGTACGTTGTAAAACTTTGCCGAGCGCGAAAAAATTGATTTTTGAAAAATGGGAAAAAAAAGAGGCAAAGAGAGGAAGAAAGAAATAAAGAGAGGCGTGACCTATGACGTGGCAATTAGAAATATTTCAGAAAGTTCTAGTTTTTGAAGTCATGTTTAGATTAATTGGTGCAATTTTGAGTAAAACTCATGAGCGATGTCGAGATAATTCTAGATTAATTTTAATGCACATTCTTACAAGATAGAAGCCTCTCTTGAACCTAGGACTAGCCTTAATTTCCTGATTTTCTAGATCTTAAGTTTATTCTCTAGCTTTAGAATTCACTAGAATTTTTAAATTTTAAATTGCTCTAAATTAATTCAAACCCTAAAATGCAGTGTTTTATATTTTGGCTAACTCGACCGTACCTCAAAGCTCACGAATTTCATTATCTCAAGGTGTATCAAAAATCATTTCCCTTCTCCCTCCAAAACCCCGCCAAACTCACATCGGTACCATTGCATCCGGGAATACCTTCTTCTCCCTTAGCTCCAGGATATCCGTCCATTCCAGCGACTCCCGGGAAACCAGGCGATCCCGGCAAACCGCGATCTCCTCTCGCTCCTTTCGCGCCAACATCTCCGAAATCTCCTTCGGCTCCGAATTGTCCCGGAGCGCCGACATTTCCTTCAGGTCCGTCTAAACCTGGTGCTCCGGGATGTCCCGGTTCACCTCCGTATCCTTGACTACCTCGTTCACCTTTGGTTCCCGGGCAAACACATGGTGGTGCACAACCTTTTGCATGCTGCGGCTGCGTCGGCTAGGTTTCTAGAAAATAGTTGAGGTTGGGTAGATCAAAAAATTGGCCGGGTAGATCACAATTAAAAACTTACCTATCCGAGTGAAAAGATGATAATAGTATAACGGCGACTGCCAGAGCATTAAACACATATGGCGACATATGTGCGCTCTACAGTATAGCCCAAATCGGCGCCGTTCCTGAAAAAATATACTGTATTCATATTATTCAGTGATAAAAAAATGTTGCTAAATTTTCAAAAAAAAAATAGAAGAAGAAGAGAGGAAAAGTGCATTTAATAATATGTTATTACAAAAAAAATGGGCGCGCTTCAGAACAGCAAAAAAAATTGTCTCATTTTTTTACTAAACATCTGGATGACCAGCTGCGGAGAAGGAGAATTTTGTACAGTTTTGGTGCAGAAATTGAGCAAGGGAAGTTGGAAGTTTTCGCCACGTGGAATTTGAGAAATGAAGTTCATATAAGAAAATTGAAAAATTCAGAAGGGAGATTTTCCACGTGGATTTTGAGAAGCAGACCTAGAATTAGGAATTCTAAGTACTGAATACTTCGCCACGTGGAATCTGGAAGTTCTGAATCCCACGAGCTTTCGTCACTTGGAAAATAATAGGTAGATCTAGAGAATTCAAAATTTCTATTATTTTCCCACGACGTGGCAATTTCTACAGAGCATTTTTTATTTTCTTCAAACATTGCTTTTATTTTATCAAATTTTTTCCACATGGATTTCCCCCAAAAATCGATTCAAAAGTGCACAAAAAACTGAACACTTATTTTTCAAAAAAAAAATCCTCAAAACTGAAATTGAGCTCAAGAACAGCTGTCAGAAAATTCGGAACAAAATTGTGTTTCCAACCAGATAACTACACAAAAAATAAAAAGTTTACAAATATCTAAAAGTGCATCATCTCAAAGAGAAAATGGAGAAGAAGAAGAAGTATAAGCTGACCCCAAGCAGCCAGCAAGAAGCAAAGTCTCAACTATTTTTAACAGCAACTGGCCTGACCTCACACTCATTGCCAGACAACTGTTACTGGAAAATAGTGAGGAGATTTGAGAGATGCCAGACATTTTTCGCTGGAAAATTTTGCGATGGAATAAGATCGATCAATTTATACTATTAGTTTTTCGGTGTTGCACCAAAGTTTTTCCAAAAAAAACCAGGAAAAGGGGTACTGTAGGAATCTCAAAGGCACATGATGGGTCTTAGGTCAAGAAAAATTCGTGCATGAAACTTTGCTGAAAAATGTTTTGTTATTTTTAAAAATTTGGGATTCACGGTACTGTAGGAAAATTAAAGACGCACACAGAAATACAATTAGTCTTGAAGGAAAAACATCCACGAAAATCTATTAAAAATAAAGAAAGAAGAAAAAATCGCTTCAGGACTGAAATTGTCTTATGCTTACTGTAGCACTACTTCAGCTGTAATTATCAATTTGTTCCCTCTTCAATAAAATATCGTGAAATTTCCTACTTTCTTGCGAAGAAAACGATAAAAATAAATGAAAAAGAGAAATACTGTGAAAATCTTAAAGGCGCACGCATCTTGCAACGAACAAGAAGCTTTTTTTGTTGAATTTTATTTATTGTTTCAAAAGTTTTCAGCTGAAATTGCGCTTATCTTGTGCGCTCAAAATCAGCGCATTTTCAAAATTTTAAAAGGGATTTAAGATTTAAGAGTTTCAAGACCCATAGAAAATCATAAAAATGCTGAAATTGTGCAGGGATCCGATTTGATGCCCCCCGCGTCTCACTAAATATTACACTTTTCATCTTCGTCGCAAGAAGAATAAGATGCTCGCTTTCTTTTTCTTTTTTCTCTATTTTTCTTTTTCTCTCCTTTCCTCTTCAACATCTGTATATAATACTAATGGGTCCCAAGCACCGCCCGATTCGATATCTGGTCAATAGATAATATATAAGCAAGTGAAAAAGTATCGATACGCAACATTTTTTCTGTGAGCCGAAAAAATCCGGAAAAAAATGGCTGGAACAGTTGTTCACGGTCAGATTTTGACCTTTTCCTGTTTTTTTTCATTTTGGCAGGAAAAAAGTTTTAGAGAAAATGATGGATTTCCCATGTGGACACTTTATAAGACCGAAAAAGTTTTAGAAATCATTATTGAAAAATTTTCAAAAGTTTTAGCGCTTTTTTTTCAGAAAATGTATTTTTCTGGAAAAAAATTAGATTTTGAGATCAAAAAGATGGTTGGTGGCCTAGAAACCCAAATCCTGGCCTAGAAAATCAAAAAACAGACTAGAAATCCAAATCTTCGCCTAGAAACAGGCATGTTCATTTCGCCGGCGAACGCCGGGCGTCGCCTTTTTTATTGAGGCGAAGGCGAGGCGTGCCTCTTTTTATTTTTCAACGAACAAGGCGAGGCGAGGCGTCGCCCGGCGATTCGCCGGGCGAGTTGCATTTTGCAAGTGAGAATATATTAAATTTTCTTCGATTTTTTCATAAATTCGGTTGTCGGCGGGGTTTCAGCTACCTATTAGCAACATTTTCAATCAAGATTTTGCTTTAGTTTTCACTAAAACGTATATATGGAAAGGAAACAGTTATTTTTAGATGGAAAACATATCGTTCAAATGTTCTCATGTAACTGTAAGGCGATATATTTTTATTTCTAAGCTTACAAAAACATTTTGCTGAAGTTGAATGTTTATAAATACAGTTTTTCACAAATTGGGTGAAAAAAACTAGGTTTTCAGTGAAAATGACTATTTTCTTCACTTCTTTAACCTTAATAATGTGTTTCAGAAGAAATCTTAGCAGATAACGTTAAAATATGAGTGAAATTATGCCAATTAATCGTTTTTTATGCAAATAAATTACGTTTCTTCATGAAACAGACAACACCCACACGTTTTCTCGCCGCGGCGAAAGCACTCGGTAACCCTGAGGCGGAAATTGCGGCGGGGAAGTGACTCGGCAGTTTTTGGGCAGGAAAAAGGCACGAACCGCCTTCACTGGCAGGTTTGAAGCATGACAGCGGCAAACCCGCCAGTTCTGGCATCGCCTCTTGAGCTGTAGGCGGAAACTGCCTTTTTCTGCGGCAAACATGCCGTTCAATTTCAAACAAAACTGCGCTCATTGCCTGTTGTTTATTTCGAATTTTCGAAAATATTTTCTATTTTTTTCTCCTAAATTTTTTGTTTTTTGCCTATAAATCGAGCACAACTTCATGACGAAGAGAGAAAAATCAATGATCGAGTAAGTTGAAATGTGTCTTCAATGAAAAACTATATATTACAGACCGCATCATCTGGAAATCGTTGAATTTCGAGAAGAAACATACGAAAAATCAAAGAAGTGCTGAGCGATGTAGATGGCTACTGGTATGAATGATTTCTTCATTTTGACAACCGGTATGTTATTTTCAGGGACTTGTTTCGATTGAAAAAAACCATGTTTACAAGGGAACCTTTTTTACTCAACACTTCAAATCTTGATGAAATTTTATCCACAGACAGCTTTTGGGACCATAAGAACACCCTAAAAATTTAAGTCTCCCAATGGACCTCTGAGCCAAGTTCTGGGCTCTCAAAAACTCAAAAAGGCCTAAAAATGGTCATAAAAGTCATCATAGCTCCATTTCAAATTGTTTTTGGGAGAAATGAAGTTCCAGATATTGATCAGCATAATCGATTACCTAAAAGTACATCAATAAAAAAACTTTATTTCGAAAAATTTTGAAGCTTTTTATTTTTCGGCTGAAAATTCATGAAAATTCAGATGTGCCCCTGCTCATTCTTTTTTTCAAAATAAAAATTTTTTTCTGAAAATTCGATTTATTGATGCTTTTTGGGTAAATCGACCACGCTGATCATCATCTGCTACTCAGTTTTTCATAAAAATGATCGAACATTGAGTTATGATGTGTTTTATGAGCCAATTTTGGCAATTTTTGAACTTTTGAGAGCCCATAACTTGGCTCAGAGGTCCTTTGGGAGACTAAAATTTTAGGGTGTTCTTATGACCCTAAAAGCTGTCTATGGACAAAATTTCATCAAGATTTGAAGTGTTGTGTAAAAAAAGATCCCTTGTCAGTGGAAAAGGTTAATTCAGGTTCAAACTTCTCTGAAAAATTTTTCGGATTTCTAAATGAACATTTTTCAAGCTAGTTTTCAGCTCCCAAAGTCTTAATTTTCGTAAATTTACATAATCTGCCACATTATTAATTTCTTGTCAAAATACACATTTTTTCAGTATCGTCCAAAATCAACATCAACCAACTTCACTTGATCGAACATAAATGGAATTCGTCTAATTTTAAATACAATTTTCGTTTTTGATCACTTTTTTGTTATCAATAAACTATGTATGTAAAACATGTTCGCTTATTGTTGAAAACGCCTAGGAGCAGCTATAAATAAACGCAAAGGCGCAAACTGCCTCATTAAATCGGCATGTTCCCGCAGCGCTAACGGCGGGTTCCGCCTGTATAGGCGGGTTTGCCGCAGGAAAAAGGCATTTTACGGCTGGTCAATCATTTGCTTGCCTGAAACCAACGGCCGAATCAGCCTTGAACGCGCCGCAGTTTTCGCCTCAACCTTTCCGAGCAGGCGAAGGCGAGGCGTGCTTTTTTTATTTTTTCAAATCGCAGGCGAGGCGAGGCACGCCTGCACAAAACTTCGCCGGGCGAAAAGCAGGCAAGCAAAATGAACATGCCTGCCTAGAAACAGAAAATCTAGTTTTGGTGGCCTAGAACTCCAAAAAAAGATAAAACTTCTCCCAATCCTTCAAAAAATCAAAAATCTTCGCCCAAAATGTTTACAAAATCCAAAACTCAACATCTGTTTTCTCCAACTCCTTCTGCATCATTTTTGTTTATTTTTATTTCCAAATTTTTTTTTCATTTGCACTTTTCGCTTTTCAAAAAAAGGGTCACACAATTTTATTACTCGTAATAGAAAACTCAAAAAAACACTCACATCAAAAAATTAGGAGAAACAAATAAAAAAGAAAAGAAAATATATAATATCACGCCTTTAAAAACTAGGAAAAAATGCAAATTTGAAGAGGAACAGAGAAAATCAGAAAAAGAACTGCAAAAATTTTTCGCGCTGCAATACCAGTCAAAAATATATGCATTTTTCATATTTTTACGCGCACACATCAAACGTTTGACTGGTATCTCGAAGCGCGAAAATGTTTTGCAGTTCAATTTCTTTGTCTCTTCAAATTTGAATTTTGAAAAGGCGTGATTAATAGTAACGGGGAGGGAAAAGCCTGTAAAAAATCACAGAAGAACAAAATAAATGAAAAAAAAAACAATAGAAATTGGATGAATTTTGGGGGAAAAAGAGGGGAGGATTGGAAATTTTTCGGATTTTTTTGTTGAAAAATTTGAAAGTGTTATTTCGAGTTTTTAATCAGATAAATTTCAGGTGAAAAAATCAGAAAAGTTTTTGAAACCGGAAAACCTTTTGACATTGCTCATGTTAACCTCATCATAGGTCTGAAATTTTGGTTCGAGATGAAGCTGTTGAATATACTTGTGGGATTAGCATAAGAAATGTCTGATGGTTTCCCGGTAACAAAAAACTTTTGAAGACCTTCTGAATTTTTTCTGTGAAATTTTTTTAAAAATCGAAATGTAAGTAAAAATTTAAAGATTTCGGATCCCAAGTTTTCAAAGAAAAAATGGTATTCAGCTCAGAATTTCAGATCTCGAAAACCACTCTTAAAATTCTGAATTTTCGCTCAATTTTCAAAATTTTTCAAAAAATCCGAAAAAATTACCGGCATCGCGTCGAAATCGAATTCTTCGCAGAAAAATTCGAAAATTTATCGCGGGAATCGTCGTATCCTTGAAGTTGTCAACAAATCGCGAAGTGGTGTGTCTTTTGAAATTGAGATATTCGAACTTTGGGCAACTTGAGTTAAGAGTTGGAAAAATGAGTCATCTGGTTCTTCTTCTTCATCTTCTGGTTCTTCGATTTTCACGTTGGTTGGAGAAATTGGTAATAATGGTGGAGTTGGAGTGGTGGAGATCTGAAAACATATTATTTGATCTAGGTTACTGTATTTTAGGTCTCGGAGAGAACTAGGGAGGTTTTGAATTGAACAATTATTTGTGTTAATTCAACGAGATTGTTGAAATGACCTATAAATTCGAATCTTGGCTCAAAACCCCAAATTTTCTCAACCTTTCTCCCTAAATCCCTTACCGTAATCTCATTATCGGCCTCGGGCACCGGAACTCCAATCAATTGTTCCCAAGGAATACGTTTCATAGTCCATTCAGAATCCATATTCTCAGCGGCTTTTGAAATTTGCGAATCAGCCGAATATTTCGTCTCCTCAATTTCCACCTCTTCCTCTTTGATTTCAGTTTTGACAGCAGCCGAAATCGCTCCATTTTCCTCGAAAAATTGTTCAACAACTTCAGCAAGTGTAGGAACCTTTACAGGCAATTCATAAGTTTTGTAGAATTCGCGAATAATTTTCCAATTCATATAATCCAAACCGAGTTTATTATAACTTGTAGATATATTGAAATAATCATCGATTGGCGCCAAAAATTCATTCCAAATTTCGGTTTTCAAATCTGTATCGCACTGTCTCAAATACACAATTTTTTGATCGAGATTTTCGATAGCACAGTGTAAAATATAACATTCTCGTTTCATTTCAGCTCGCAAAACACGTTGATAAAGACGACTTTTGGCTGAGGCGAAATTTGTACGACCTTTTTCAACGATCTGGAAAAAAATTGGGTTGGAAATGGGATTTATGAGGTGAAATTTAATATTTCCGGATCAAATTTCAAAAATTAAGTTGATTTTGAGACTCAAAGGACCTAGAAAGCCAAGTTTCACGTGTTGGTGGCCTAGAAATCCAAATAATCATCAAATTAAAGTTTCACTGGCCGACAAATCCGAATTTTCAGATTTCTCGGCTCAGAATTGGGATTTTCAGGGGATTGGGAATTTTGTTTCAAGCTATAAAAATTCGAATATTTAAGTTTATGCCACCAAAGATTTGGTGAAAACGTTCAAAAAAACTAACATATTGTTCTTTGGACGCCAACAAATCCTCATATTCTCTCTTCAACTGATTATAATCCTTCTCAAAACTATATTCATTTTTCTCCCAAACCATTTTATGTCCATCTTTCTTTTTCATTTCATAATTGTTCAATATCTGCTCAATTAACTCGTGTTTCATTTTTCCTTCTCCATCCTCAATTATATTTTGCATTATAATTTCGGATGTTCTCAACGTGTCTTTTACTCGATTTACTATTTTCGGCCCAAACAAATCATTCGCTTCCTCACATTTGTTCTCCAATCGCAATTTTTCGTCGCTTAATTTCGCGCGATAAAAATCAATTTCTTCGCGATTGCGTTTTGTATAATTCCGCGAATTTCGTTTATTTTCCTCTCTTTTCTCTTCGTCCGTCATTGGCGAATTTCGCTTGTGACAAGAGCGATTTTTTCGCGTCGCATATTTTCGCGATTCTTTCAGAAAATCACTCACATAATTGTCATAACATTCTTTGTAGGCTTTTTCTGTGCATTTGTCGAGTTTGTCGAAAGCGATGTTATTTATTGTAATTTGACGCGCAGTCATTTGTGTATGTCTGGAAAATTTGAGAGGTTTTTGGGGTAGGAAATCAGATTTCAGGGATAATTTAAAAAGGAAATGAGGAGGAAAAAGAAGCAAAAATCTCTGAATCTCACACTAAATTACCCAGAAACCTAGAAATATGTTTCAAAGGCAAAAATAGCATATTCAGGCTATGCAACTTTAATTTTTCATAAGAAAAGTAATCAAAGTTTGAACTAAAAAAACTGATTTCAAAACGTTCTTCGAAATACTTCTCGATTTCAAGATTAAAGTTTTCAAATATTTTCGAAAATTGATAAAAATATCCTGCGAAAAAACAATAAACGACGTTATCTTCGGCTGAAAATGTGAATTGCGGATATCGCCTAATTTTTCTCAAACTTCGAATCCCCTAAATCAGCTAAGAGTCAAGATTCGAGGAAAAGCAGGCGAAAAATCGTTTTATTCACAATTGGCAGCAGAAAAATAACGATTTCCAGACGAATTTATTTGTTTTTGATCTCAATATCTTAATATGAGCAATATTCGAAAATATTTCAAATCAAATTTTATAAGAAAAATAAAATTTACACAAAAAGAAATATCGATTTCAAGACAAAATTTCTCACGAAAATAAATATGAAATTTCAAAAAAGGAAGAACAGAAAGAAAAATTGAGCCTAATTTCATGGAAAACAGTTTTCCCAACCAAAAACAGCGTTTTCTCGCCGAGAACAAAAAATCAATTTGCGTCATATATGACACATTTCGGTGACACACACAGAAAGAGAGAAAAACGTGGCATTTGCATAAGCATTGCTCATGTTAGAAAAAAAGGGAATCGATTTTTTCGCAGCGCACTACTACTCAAACAAAAATAAATAGACATAGAGACGAAAAAACACTGGGCCAGGCGTCGATTTTTCGCCGCCCCGCCTAATAAATTGATTTTCGTTTTGAGACAAAAACAACATTGTGAAACACATTTAACATGAGCAATGTTACACATTTTAGATATTAATATGAGAAATATTGGCGGGAAAAGCGGATTGTCTTTTTCTTTTCTTTTCCCCCAAAAACTTTTTATTAGAAAGCAAAAAAAAAATCGTGGGTGGCTAAGATGAGCGACGCTTTTTCGTCTCTACACACACTCCACATTTAAAATTACGACACTTTTTTCGAGAAATAGTATGGGAAATGGAGAGGGTGTGTGAGACGACAAAGTTTTTGGTTAACATGAGAAATGCGATCGATTTGTTGAGTGGCAGACAACTAAGAAAAAAAGCGGGTGATAAAAGAAACGAGTATTTTTTGGGAGAATGGACTATGAGTATGGATTTTTGTTGCGACGAATTACGAAAGAAAAAATAGGAAATGGAAATAAGTCTCGCAGCGAACAAGTGATTTTTGGAATACGGTATGCCAGCGTGTTTGAACTTCTCTTCAAAAATAGCTTCATTTTGGGAGAAGTAGGAAAAAATGCTAAAAGAAAAATACATTCGCAGATCTCGCAGCGAACAAGTAACAATTCCTGGTGCGCCTTCAAAATACTGCATGCCGCGCAATTTCAATAATTTGTTTGCCTCAAAATCGCTGACCTTACGCTTAAAATTGCGAAATTTCCAAAGATTTTTGTTGCGAAAAAATTTCGAAATGAAAAATAAAAAATGGGAGGTGGATTGAGTCTCGCAGCGAACAAAACGAAATTCCTTGTGCGCCTTCGAAGTACGGTATGCCCGCGCGTTTTGAATTTTCTATTTTTCTCTTCAAAAACATTTTTTCATTTTTCTTTTTTCTTGTTTTTTTTTTTGAAAAAAAATCGCTAACCTTTTGCTTAAAACTGAAGAACTATATTTTTGACAGAATCATATATCAAATTCCGGTGCGGCATATTGGTGGAAAATCGAAGATTCAAACATTTCATCAAATAATAGATGTTGTGAGTGGATTTATCGGCAAAATCCGGGAGTTTCAAGGATTCGAAGCGTTTTTGAAGCTGTAAGTTTTTTAGAAATGAGGAGGGATTTTTTGCCACGCTCTAGGAGAAAAAAAATTAGGTTTACGTTTAAATTTTGGGAATTTTTATGAGGGAAAACTGTGTCAATTTTATTAGTTAGGAACTCACGCTTCTCCTATTTTCCTGCACCAATTCCAAAGATTTATCCAAATTTTTCTCGTATTTTATCTCTTCTTCCATCCAAATTTCAGTCTCCAATATTTCGTTTTCCAAAAAAAAATATTCGAAATAATTTTTCCTCGTATTATCAAGACTAACATCATACAATTTTCGTTTGCTCGTTAGTCTATCGATTTTTGAATCCGAATGTGAATTTCCAACTTCAAAAATTTCGAGTCGTGTCTCAAGAAATTTTTCAATGAAATCTTCAGGTTTTTCGTTATTCATCGGCAGAATATTTTCAATTTTCCGAATAATATTGAAAACAATAAACATCTCATTTTCCCTTGCTAATAGCTCATTTTTCTTGAAATTCCGGTTTTGAATTTGTTTCAAATAAAGTTCAGATTGTAAATCCTGCAAGATTTTTGAGCGTTTTTCAATCATTTGAAGCGACGGGTTATTGTTTATATATTCTACAGTAGTGGCCATAATTAAATCACTTTTTATCTTTTTGCTGTAAATAGGCTGAAACTTATCGAATGAGGTCCAATTTTTTTCTGAGCTGTGTGGGGGTGCTATTGACGTTAGCCATAAGTGATATTCGAAAAATTTGGTCTGCAACAATTTTCAGATCATATTTACAGATTTTCATATATGTGAAAATTATCAACTTTTCACAAAATCACCGGATTTTTTATTCGGATGAAAAAACACAGAGATGTACTTTGAATAGGATAGTAGAGATCTCAAGCTATCGATTCCTGTCTCAACATTGCAATTTACTCGATTCTGAGATGTATTCCGATGATTTCAGTAAGACCATCCAGAAAATCCAATTTGGCTCAATTGTGCATTTTTCATGATATTTTATCGTTGGATTTTCATTAAAACACTCTAAATATGTGTTTTACATAATAATACATCAAATTTGAACTCAATCTGAAAGTTTTCGAACTGTTTTGACATTGATGGAATTCAGATGTTTGTCTTGATCTTTGATTATAGACCATCAGTGACATCAATCAATGATCCAAATTGATGAATCCTATTCTCTAGATGTTTCTATATCTAATTCACAAGTTACTTGAAGGTTTCGGATCTCAACATAAAAGTAAAACATTAAAATATTAGAAGTTTCGGATTCTATGGTTTTTTCCATTGTTTTTTCTATGAAAAAGGCTGTTTTGTTTTCAATGATCTAATACGACCACTGTACCTTTTTTTAGAGCAAATCTTGTTTGTGGCAAGTATTCTGGAATACATTGGGCACAAAATTCATCAATTTGGATCATTGATTGATGTCATTGATGATCTATAATCAAAGATCAAGACAAACATCTGAATTCCATCAATGTCAAAACAGTTCGAAAACTTTCAGATTGAGTTCAAATTTGATGTATTATTATGTAAAACACATATTTAGAGTGTTTTAATGAAAATCCAACGATAAAATATCATGAAAAATGCACAATTGAGCCAAATTGGATTTTCTGGATGGTCTTACTGAAATCATCGGAATACATCTCAGAATCGAGTAAATTGCAATGTTGAGACAGGAATCGATAGCTTGAGATCTCTACTATCCTATTCAAAGTACATCTCTGTGTTTTTTCATCCGAATAAAAAAAATCCGGTGATTTTGTGAAAAGTTGATAATTTTCACATATATGAAAATCTGTAAATATGATCTGAAAATTGTTGCAGACCAAATTTTTCGAATATCACTTATGGCTAACGTCAATAGCACCCCCACACAGCTCAGAAAAAAATTTGGACCTCATTCGATAAGTTTCAGCCTATTTACAGCAAAAAGATAAAAAGTGATTTAATTATGGCCACTACTGTACGTGTTGAAAATTTTGCCTTGAATTGTGTTGTGGCAACGAAGTGTTTCTCGATGTAGTTTTGTTTTGACCTTGACGTTGTTCGATTCGCTTTCGAGCAGCTTTGCTCATCATTTTTTTATCATTCATCTGAAAATATTAGAGAATTTGGATTAGAATTAATTCGGCCTATTTTTTTCAAATTTTAGGCTTGAAAGAAGAAAGCTCCTGAAAATATTCACAAAATCTATGACAAAACCTCAATAATTGATAAAAAATTATGAAATGAGTCATTTTCCACAAAATGACATATTATCAATAGTTTTTGATTGATAAGAAGAAAAAAATCATTTATTTATTTTTTTGAAAAAAAAGGAAAACAGTCACATTCGCACGTTATTTCATAGTTGCTAGCAAGAGTGAGAAGACTTAGGGAAAAATAGAAAATAGCAATTTTAAGACCTGTAATCATTAATGTACCTTCAATCTGATTTTGTCTAAATCTCCTTACTCTCGCTCACAATTTGGCAATAACTTATTCACTGCTTCAAATAATTTGACAGTATCCTTCCAATTCTTCTTATATCTATGAAAAATCGCCGAAGTCTGGTCGATTTCTGATTTGAGTTCTTCGAAGCGTTCAAAAAAATTTCGCAAATATTCATCCAATAAATTCGAGATTTGCATAAGTTGATTGATTTGGTGATTGATATTCTGGATTTCAGATAGAAGTTCTTGTTTTTGAAGTTTGAATTGGAAGTTGGGTTGGTTTTCAATTTTCCCTTTAGTTTCAGACATTTTCTGAAGGAGAAAAAAACAACAATTTTTTGAATCGAAACAAAAATATCTTACCATTTCATTTGAAGTTTGCTCCATGAAGACCAAATTAATAATCTCGGTTTTTCTCCTTTCGTATTCACTCCCATAGCTAATCCAGTTCCGATCATTATTCATCGATAAATCTTGCAAAATCACCAAATTTTTGTCGATCGCAAAGAAAAGCAATTCACGCTTCATATTTATGCTAGATTTCTGGGCTGCCTCAATTTTCTGATCACAAATCGACTTTTCCAGAGCCTCGATATCCATTTTTAGTTTCTCGAAATATTTCGGCCTATATTTTTTTCTGCCATTTTCTATGCTTTGGATATTGTTTTGAAGAGAAGACATTTTTGCAACAATGAAAATAGTTCATTGATTTTTTTTTCATAAATTGGTAAACATATTTGGAAAATAAAAGATAAGGAATGATGTACGAAAATAAAATTACGTGTGACTAGAAAAAATTTAAGGAGTGATTCATTTTGTGATTTATAGAATTTTGAAACTGGTTTGAGAAAAGGGGGTGAGTTGGAAGGAGGTTAAAGAGATTTTAATATCTGCCATTTAAAAAAGCTGAAAATAACAATATGGTTATTGAAAACAGATCAATTTATAGAATTTTTTATTTACCCTAATAAGAAAAGTAGTTACTGTTGTGAAGCTATTCAAGTGACCGTGACAAAACGTCTTCCACGAGGAATTTCATATAATATTTTTCTCAATATTTTCCATTCCATAATAGATAATGCTTAAGGAAACTACATCTCAAATGAAAATAAGAATAACAAAGAATAAAATGTGTCTTATTCCATAACAATTACTAATGGCTCAAATGTAGTGTATGAGAACTTCTCTGACTTTGAGAAAGGATCACATAAAAAGTACAACAGTTGGGAACCCTGAAATTCTCTCCAAATATTGACACAGAAATATACAATTTATTGAATGACTTTTACAACGACACTCCACTTACCCGCTGTTTAGCGCAACACGAGAATATTTTTATTTTTCGGTTTTTTTTCGCCGGGTTCAGGTTTCCAGGGGGAAATTAGTGGATTTCAGTCAAAAATTGAATTTTTAGATGTTCTACAAGGCTGGAATCATCGCTTCCAACGGAAAATCCGAGGATTATCGAAGAAAAGTGGGTTTTTTCTAGAGAAACACTGTTTCGATTGAAATATGGTACATGAAAAATTCAAATTTTCTGATTTTCAGCTCGAAATATTGATGAAAAGTTGTATTTAAATGTCAATAAAGTGGAAAACTTGGAGGATATTGGATTTTGATTGGGATGTTCGAATTTCCGATGATTTTTGTATGATTTGAGAAATAGAAGCGATTGGTGAGTTTTTTGGGGAGGGATTTCGGAAAAATCGATAAAAAATTCTGTAAATTTTGAAAAATATATGAAAATTATGAAAAAAATCTTTGAAAATTGAAAAAAGTTCGGATAACTCATCAAAATCTAGGCCCAAAAATCTATTTGAATAGAAAAACCGATATATGTATAAGTATTTATTTTGTTTTATCAATAAATAAATAAGTCAAATAAATAAATTAATAAATATAGAAATAATTTAATTTGAAAGAGACATAAATAAATAAAGATTCCACATGGAATTACGTTTTCTCTGCTGTCAACACATAACAAAAATACAAAGTGAAAGATGTTTGGAAGAAGTAGAAAAAAATGAACAACTCTTGGAGAGAATTCGAAAAAAAATGAAAGCACCTACAGACATTTGTAAGAAAAAAAAATAAGAGGAGATGGCAAATCAATAAAAGTAGTTGAATTCGGGAATTTGGTTTTGAGCATCACGAACTAGAATAATAGAAAGAGGCGTAAAAGTTGGTGAAAAAAGTCGCATTTTTTACTGAGCTCTTTATACGCTGATGGTGTTGCTCGATTTCTCGTCGGCGGCGTCGTTGATTGGCTCGTCGTTCATTTGGAATGCTAAAATTTATTATTTTTTGATTAGGGTTTCAAAATTCTAGATACGTTCTAAAGGTCTACCTGCTCTGAGAGATTGTTAGTTCAAACATGCAATCAAGTAAACTTACCGTGTCTTCGGATACAGGCGATACCCTGTGAGTAGGCAATCGGTGAACATTGACAAACTCCCGCGTGACACATTGAGAGACCTTCACCGTTTCCTACACATTCGCCATCAAATTGGCACCGAGATCCGATGGGTCGGATGGAATTTGAGTTTGCTAAAAACGAAAACACATGCAAAAAATCAGCACACCAAACCGTTTTAAGTTGTTGAAAAAAAAATATATTCAAAGAAACTTACGAACTGACCCGAATCCCCCAAAATTATTATTGTTATTATTGAAGTTGTTGATGGTTGGTTGTCCTGGTGGGCAACACAAATTCAATGAGCTGACACATTCGTAACCAGTTCCACATGAACCATTCGGGAAGCATCCCGAAACGGCGGTATCACCTGATGGGCATTTACCTACAAAAGTTTTGTTTTACAAAGACCTCTCATGCATAGGGAATTGTTGTTACTTTGGAGCTTGTTTTTCGATTGTCCTGGCTGACAGCATTGACCATTTTGACATTCGAGACCGATTCCACACAAACCATTCATGCAAGCACCCGATGGAAGCGAACCGTCAGCGCATTGACGAGCTGAGAGAACACAAATATTTTATGCATGCAGTTAGGGATTGGGAGGACCTATTCTACCCGTATTCTATTCTATTCTGAATAATTTTAAAAACTCACGTGGCATGTAGCTGTTAAGTGGTCTACCGTAGTTTGGTCGTTGAACCATTGGACGAGCTTTGCCGATACGAAGACGGCTGAATGTTGTGGAACTACAGCAAATACCAGCATTAGTGTTGCAAGTGTAACCAGTTGGACAGGTTCCGGCGTCGCTACTTTGATCGCATTCTCCGATTTGATCGGCGGCGGCGCACAAACCAGTGGCTGAAAATGAAAGGGTTTAGAAGGATTTTTGAAATATTTAAAAATACAAAATAGTTCTACTTACTACATTGAACATCGATACAAGTTCCTGGATTGACACCATTGGAGATAAGTGGACTGTTTGGAATGTAGACAACAACGTATCCTGGTGGGCACAATCCATCGATGGCTGGTCCGACTTGACAGGCTTCACTGGAGTAATCGACGACTGGACAGCAATTGACGGCGCTGGAATCGCAAGTGTAACCGACTGGGCATCCACCGTTGTATCCTGAGCCGATACATGGGCCGATAGAGATTTCGTCAGAGCAGGTAACAGTTGATGTTGAGGCACAGCAAACTCCGTTGGTGTAAGTGTATCCGGTGATACAGGCTCCATTAACGGCGGCGATTCCTGATGTTCCGTCAGAACACAAAGCACTACAACAGACACCTCCTTGAGCGGTATAACCAGTTGGGCAAAGTCCGTTGATGGTTGGGCCCAAAACTTCTCCTCCATTTGGACAACTGTTGATAGCACAGCAAATATTACCAGTGGTACATGTGTATCCCGAACCGCAATAGTATGAGACTGTCACACCTCCGCATCCGTCTCCTTGACATGATGGAATACACGCTCCAACGGCGTCAGATCCATCCAAACATTTGACAGTGGTTGATGATCCAGTACAGCAAAGTCCATTTGAGCAAGTGTATCCAGTACCGCATTGTCCGTTGACACATCCTCCGACAGCTTGTGTTCCATCTGAGCAGATGAATGGGTTGGTTGTGGTGGTTGATGGACAGCAAACGTTGTTTTGACAAGCGTAACCAGTGGCACAACGTCCAGAGATACAAGCTCCGACGGCAGATCCACCCGATGAGCAGGTATATACCGAGATTCTTGGGGCAGATGAGTATGATGGACAACATTGGTTTTGAATACAAGAGTAACCGGTGGCACAATATCCTGAGCTACATCCACCAACAGAGTAACCACCTCCTGGGCACGAGTTTTGTGCTAAAAATGTTTCATATATTTTTGAGCGCTATTTTTATCAAGGAACTTACGGATAGTGATGATTTGTGGGGCTTGTTGACATCCTGGACATCCGCTTGATCCTCCGGAGACTGAAAATATTGAACTTTATTCTCAATCTAGTAAAAAAGTTTGGTGCAAATGCATGCATGTAAATTTACTGCTTCGAAATGTCAGCTTCTCCGGTTTCTCCTCTGAATCATCTTTCTTTTGTTGTCTTCGTCGCTTCAATTTCTTTGGGTTTTTTGGGTCGGTAAGCGGTAAAATAAGCGGACAACACATGTTAATCGATTTATCGCAATGTAAACCAGCTGGACATTCAGCTGAACCGATTGAGCAGAAAAGTGATGATTGGAAACCACCGGCACAGGAAATCCCATCACCCGAGGCTTTCACTAGAACTTGATCCAGTTGTGCCAAATGGGCTGGGAAACCGTAACCCGGTGGACCAATTGGAAAATCGGCTAAAGGTGCAACAAGTTTGTTAGTTGTATTGGTGCTATCTGAACTTGTGTTTGGTGCAATTGTGGTGGTTAGATTATTTGGTGAGTCTGGTTGCTGTTGTTGTTGTTGTTGGCGTAACTCACCAATGATGGCTGGGGCGGAATTGGAGTTGCTCGAGCAACAATATCCATTGTTACAGGTTCCGACTGAGCATGGGTTGGAGTTTGAGCAGCTTGAGAAGGTACAGACGAGTCCGCTGGCTTGTTGACCTAAGATTTTATATTTGATTTGTTGTATTTTTCATTTTAGTTCAAATTAATTAAGAAAGGTTATGGTTAGTAAAATAAATAATTTATTAGTATCTAGACATGCGTTTTCTTGGCGGAAACTTGGCAACATCGCCCGCGAGAATTGCAAAAGTATGGCGAAGGACATTGAAGACTGTATCGACACGATGTTCCGAATCGCGGATCAACTTCCGATGATCCCAAAGGACAATCACTATTCGATATACTAAAACTGGTTGAACTACTTGTACAGCAAGCATAGTTGTCTTTGCTTAGCAATTGACAATGATGTGAAGATGAAGGACATATCGGGTTTTTCGGATCGCATGAAGTTTCCGGAACCGTTCCATCACCACATTTTTCCTCAAGTTTACAGCATTTGCCAGTGAGAGAACATGTGAACTTTGGAGGGCACAGAGTGTGTAAATCGCATTTTGATGATGACAAACAATTCGATTTCGGGGTAGATATTCCTTTTTTCGATTTCCAGATTTTTGTGGAGGTTGAGGTTATTTCACTCTTTAAAATTGGAGTAGATACAATTTCTTTAGAAGGTTCCTCAATGTCTACAAAATTGTTCTCATTGAGATCCGCTTCAGATTCCGGCTCAGTTTCAGTTTCCACTTCCGATTCTACCTCACTAGATAGCGGACAACATTTTCCATATTCACATCGTGAAGCGATGGGACAATCATCTCCCAGTTCACAGAAACTTGGGATAGTTAAAGCCATCAATCCGTTTCCGCATTTTGCAGATGGTGGAAGTTTACAGCATTTTCCATCAACACATTCCGAAGCTTCTGGACAAACTATATCGATATCACAATGTTCCACACGATCATCTATATCACATTCTAGATTTTTCTCCTGATTTGAGATAATTGTAGGTTTTCGAATCACAGCAAGATCAACAGTTTTCGGACAACATCCTCCGAAAATACATCTCTCATTTGCTCGACAATGATATTGTGAAGAGCATGTGAATTTTACGGGAAGTTGAGTTTTTGGGCATTGCGCTAGACGACAACAAGATTTATCGCATTTGAATGAAGATGGACATTCATCATCAGATGTGCAATTCGCATTTGTTCCCCAACATGACAAAGATTCTGAAAAAATAGGTTCTGGTTTTTTGAATTATTTCGAAAGGGAATAACCAACCTTTACACTTTTCAATAGGTTTCATAGTTGTCGTAGGTTCTTCTACCAAAGGATCCATCGAATTTTCCAGAGGATCAAATGGCATCACAAATAAATCATTTGATGTTATATCATCTTCTACTCCTTCCAAATTCTCATCATAACCAGAGGTTGGAGATCGTAGTAATTTTCTTGGCTCGCAACAATTATTTTGACAAGCCAATCCTTTTGGACAAGCTTCATCGATTGTGCAAACTAGACTACAACCCAGAGAATTGTGTAAAGCTGTGATTGGACAGCAAACTTGTTGCGCGGTGCAAAAATGCCCTATTGCACAAGGTTTCGCAGATCTGCCGCATGTTCCATTGGGTGGAGAACCATCCGAACAAATATCTGTTATGGGAAAAGTGTTAGAGAGATTAGTTGAGGGTAGAAACCTACTAGATGTTGTTAATGGAACACATTTGGAACCTCGACATGCTGTTCCAAGTGGGCATTTTGAACAATTTTCTGAGGGATTGTTAGAATAGGGATGTTAGAAGAAGTTGAGAAAAAATAAAATAATTTAAGACTTACGAGAAAGCGAGCTCATTCTCTTTGGAACGATGCAAGTTTGTTGCTCGAAGTTGAACAAGAATCCCTCTTGACACGATTTTCTGACCCATCGGAGGTTCGTTTGATCACATTGAAGGTATGATGATGGGAATTCGTTGTGAGCTTGAAGACATGTGGCTGAAACAGCGCACGCCTCATTCTCGCGTGCTCCATTGTCTTGCTCTGAAATAAATTTTGGAATTCAAGATTTTTTTCTTATTTTTTGCATGGGTATTTTCAAGTGCTTTTGAGTATGTATGTGTTTTTTCTGTTCCCGCGAGCCCAGCCAACCGGTTTGTTTGTTTTTGACCTCTTGGTCACGAGAGCCCATAATAATTGAACCCCGCTCTCGCGTCTCCAAGTGAGGAGGGAGAAGCTGGTCGTTGCGCGCGGCGGCGGCGCGCACCTCACTCACCTCACAAAAACTTGCTATTTTTTGTGTTTGTTTTTGGCAAATAAATAAATGAATATAAATATAAATCTGTATATATATATATATATTTAAATGTGTATATAAAAGTGGTGATGGTTGAAGGAAGAATTGAAACTTTTCAGGCTTCTGAAGAGAAAGAGAGATGATTGTTGTGTAAATAGTAGATTTTTATGTTGCGCGCGGCAAGCAAGCAAGAATTATTATGTAATAATAATAATAATTTTTGGATAAACAAATATATGCGATTTTGTATGGCGGGGAGAAAGTGGCCAGAAATTTTTTCAAGGTCTTTGATCGGAAAATTTTATTTTTATATTGGTGTGTGTTGCTCAGAATCGGGAACTTTGGAACTTATGCACACAATCTAAACTGGACTAAGCTTTGAGTTTCAACAAAAAATAAATAGAAATTCAGGCTTTGTAATTCAGAGCTCTAAATAGATTATAAAACATTAGAACCTAAATGCAATTTCGATGAAACTAAAGAATGTCAAATGTTTTTAGCCTAAAAGCTTTCTGAGAAGCTTATTTTGTGATGCTCAGTTTAAACTTCAAGAATGTGCGTCTGTGTGAATGACAACACGAATTGAACAATACTTGGAGCTTCAAAATTTTTTTTTCTAAAATCTAGACCTCAGCTTTTTTTTCAAATTAAGAAATTTATAATTAACTTTAAGCTTATCATAAGAATTTAGCTCAAATCCTCTTATCAAAATTATCCGAACAGTTCAAAAGTGCACCCCCCTCTTCTCCGTTCGAATTCCTAACCCGCATAACAATTTTATATTTGATTAAAGTATAGTCGCGCATCACTTAGTCTCCGCTTCTTCTTCTTCTTCTTAACTCATCATCATCGCACTTATCAGTGGCTGGCTCACACGGTGCTCTCTCGCGTACACAACTTCGGTACATACACTCACTCACTTCTAAATAGGTTCCTTGTTTGACCGGTAGCTGGTCAGCACATTAGGAGGAGAAGAAGATGAAGAAGAAGAAAAGTGTTTGTTTGTTTGTTTTTGGTCAGATTAGAGATAGAGTGCTCACGGCGAGATAGATTTTTGTTGTGGCTCATCACGACTTTCTATTTTCTTGAAACGTACCACAAATGTTTGGCGATGCCGGTTTTCTGGCTTTTGGGTGTTGTTGTGGTTGGGTGTTTTCGGCTGGTACAACGACTGGAGTAGCTGGAGCAGCGGCAGCGGCACGCGATTTCACTACCCAGACACCTTCACCTTCAGCGCTACTGTAATAATTAATTGAATAACTAATCTTAAAAAATAATGATGTAAAGAACTCACTCTGCAGTGGTTTCGCATTTCAAGAAGAACTGCGTCTGTTTTCCACCGATCTGAACATCAGCGGTGCCAAGTTTACAAGTTCCACCAATGACTGGTGTTTGACAAAGTGTCGAACTGACGAGGATGGTGAATAAAACAATTCGACGCAACATAGTGATTTGCGATTGGTTTGGGTGGATAAATATAGTATGAATGAGAAGATATGGGTGTAAGAGGGTTCCAGAAAATATATACCTATTAAATGAGGCTGAAAAAATAAATGAATTGTTGTATGTATGAATATGGGAGGAGAGGAAAAGGAAGAGTAAATAAAAAAGATAAAAGATAATAAAATAAATGTTGTTGTTGGCCTGTCGAACTCTTCGAAATGAGTATGAATGAGAGGACAGCAGCGCGGTTTGTATGGCTAGCCGATCCCGCCCCTTCAAGTACACAAAAATGGGAGGGAGGTAAGAAAAAGAAGAAGAAGAAGAAGGAGAAAAGACAACTAAGACCGAAAATAGACAAATCTCTTATATATGAGCCACAGTGCACACTCTTAACGACACAGGAAAAGTACTATTGTTTCCTTTTTTAGGAACACATACAAGCCTCCCCCCACTTCGTACAGTGTTGTGTTGTTAGGTTAAGAAATCTTGCGCAATTTTGAGCTGATTGTGAACTAAAAATAGATTCAGATTGTGATTAATCAGGTACAACAGAAGTTGGGAGATGGTGTTAATTGAAATTTAAAATAGCATCGGAGTTGACATTTGATATTTGTTTTTTTTTTCCAATTTCTATTGTTGTTTGGTGGCCGACATAGACTTCTTTGTAGTTTGAAATTTGGAAGGAATAGGGATTGGGAATCCTTTTTTTATAGGAGAAGATTTTACAGAGAGGTTATTGAAAAATATTTATAGTTGTGATCAGTTCAAGATCATTTTTAATTTAGTAAACAAGTCGTCTGAATCATGGGCTAAAAAAAGAACGGAGACGGGGGACATAATTTTTGGTCCAGTAAAGAAAAAAAAATGATAAATTTTTAAATTTACATTGGATTTAGAAAATTCAGAGATCAAACAACTAGTTTCTGGCGATAAAAAGACCTAATAATACTGTAGATATACTCACTGTTGTTTTGTGAAAATTTTGAGACGTAATTTTTGCAAGAACATTTTTTGAAATGAGTTTTGAGGTAATTTAGTCTCAAGTTGATCTTTCTTCATTTGATTGCTGCTTGAAGATTCAGGAAAAAAACATTTCTGAAACCCGCGAGATCACACACTGAGGTCGACTCTTTGTTTATCTGAAAACTTCGAATTGTTCAAAACATTTGTTACAAATGTTTAGCTATATTATAAGATTTTATTCTAATATGTCAGGACTTTGATTTCGGTGAATCTAGCAGACTCGTTTCAATAACTCATTCTTATTTTTAGATTCCTGGACTTTTCTAAAAATCAGAATCCTAGACTGCTCAAAAAATTCCTCAAAGGTCACTCACTTGTTTTCTCTCTCTCTCTCTCTCTACTCTCACTTTTCTCACTGTGTCAATCTTTATCACGTACATATACACATTGTATAAACACACAAACATATATCTTTTGGGATCTTCCGCCGCTCCTTTTGGTTCCTTCCTCGTTGTTTGTTTTTCATCAACACAAACTTGTCATTTTAGTCTTAATTTTCAACTGCTAGATACTGTGTGTCTGCGTGTTTGACATGCTCGTCGTGCAAACTGATTGAAGAAATGCGAGAAACAAAAAAAAACGGTACCAGGGAGTTTTGATAAGTACCGACACGGAATGTTGGGTTGTGAAATTTGAGGAGATCGAGGGATGTCGCAGTGACTTGCAGATTTGGAATTTTTGGGAGATCTACTGATTGTTGTTGATCGGTCTGTAATTCTGTAGCTAACGTTTTTCAGGTAACTTTATAGTTTCGTCTATTCGATGCTCAGATTTTCACATTTGAATTCTGTCTATAGGATGAAGTTATTTTTATTTTCAGCATCTATTGATAAATTGAGCCCCACAAGATTTTTCAAGGCCCAATTTTCAATGTGTGACGTGGCTATTGTGTTCCTTCCCAGTTTGTTACGGTATAACTGATTTCGTAATTCCAAACCGGTTCAATCGAACCTTCAAGGGTCTAGCCAACCTCTAATCAGCTGATTATTTATCTAGTCATACATGTTCCGGTCAAACAAGAAATTGACTCATTTTAGGCTCATATAGAACAATCAAACCTAAAAACATCCAAAAATCATTCTATTTCTGGAATAATTCGAAGAAATGTTTTTATGAAGTGATTATGATGTGGCTAGTATGTTCTAATCAGAAAAATGTAGATGGCGTAACTCATGTTTTCTTTTCCGGAAAGTTCAACCTTGCCACGTCATAGCCGATTTTGTATCCAGACATCTAGTTTAATCAAACCGTATCAGCTGATTATTTATCCTGTCATACATTTTGAGGTCAAACTTATTCGTTTTCAGCTCACATAAAAAATAAAGCCTGATACATAATTAGACTCAACCAAGTCCAAATTGAAATTCCAGTGATTGAAAAAACATTTGTATTTCTTGAGCACTCATTATTTTTCATCTTTTCGCTCTCTTTTTCCTCCCAACCCCATGTTTGTGTACTTTTGAAGTGTTCGTTTTGGTCGTGGACCTGATTATCATTATTATTATTATCATCCTCAAACGAAAAATAATAATCATCAGGAGGAGAACGAAAAAGAAAAAGATGAAAATTCCAATAACGACCTTTGAACAAACGGAATGGAAAAAGACCGATTTGGGCTCTTGAGAGCCATGTTTTTGTGTGTTAATTGTGCAAATTTTTGAGCTTGTTGATGAAAGATCAGAGAAGATTGGAAGATCAAACAACTTTGAAACAACCAGGATTTTCGGAACAAAAATGTATTTGAAAGTTCTGCATGGGATTCAGCTTCAATAATCCTGAAGTTCTGCCACCTGAATTATTATTAGAAGTTCAGAAATCTTTTTTTGTCATTCACAATAAAAATTTTCACGTGGATTTACAGTAGTAGACTTTCAAAATTTAAACATATTTTGAACACTTGGTATTTTCTGCCACGTGGTTGTTCGGGCTCCAAAACATTCCGTGAAAAATTGTCTATATCCATCCACATTCTCCGTCAAAGAATTGCGAATTTTTGAACCCAGATCAAATAAAATGTATGTTGAGCATGTTCTGTTTTTGTTCTCGAGCAACCAAAACTTGATCCGATCATGTTTTTCTTGTTCTTGTTCTCTTTTTTGCCCACATTGTTTGTACATAAACATCTCTAATTAAATAATTATTTGATTTATTTTTCTTATATGTTTCATCTCTGCTTGCGGCTCTCTTTTTTTGGCGCTTGCGGTTGCTCATCATTCATTTTGTTGCTCTAATCGGGTTAGGAGGGCACGAAAACAGCAGGCACAGAAGGAGGAGGAAAAACTAGCCAGAACCGAAGAGTTTTTGAAGAGGTCACGACTTTTTATCATCAGTCAGTCAGTTTATCAAATCTCCATTGTTTGCACACTATTTCGAAGGAATTTTGGACGCGCGAGAGCGCGCACGCGGAAAAAGGAGCGGATAGCAAGAGCAAAATTATTTGAGTACATTTTTTCGGGTGTTTTTGAGAGGGGTGCAGTTGTTGGCGCAAAGATTTCACCTCTTTAATTTTTTTCTCTGAAAATAATACGTTTCAAAATTTCGATTATTCCAAAATAATTTTTGCTTTTGGCATTTCATTTTCAGAACAATAAAATGAAAATAAAATAAAGTCTACAGTAACCATGAAAAATCAAATTTACTGTATTCCTACAGTACAGTTTCTCCCTGTTACTGTAGATCACTAAATTATTCATTATCTGTTGGCTTTGGAGTACTGTAGGTGATAGATTTGTTTGGATATGTTGTTCTAGAAACGTTTTATTTGGAGTACTGTAAAGCTTGCAAAACCTACAGTACCCCGAAAAAACTGTTTCAATTTCCTTGAAAAAATACGTTGCAAAATATTATGATATGTTTTGTTTTCAGAAAAAAATGTTTATAAAGTGTTTATAATTGATTATATTTATCATTTGTTAGCCTACGAGTTCTCTAAGTGGTCTAGAAACTTTTGGAATACTGTAAGCGATTTTTAAGTACTGTTTAAGTAACTGTGCTTTTTTATATCAAAAATTAATGTGAAAATCAACAAACCTACAGTACCTTCCCACAAAACATGCAAATTTATCATTGACCCGCATTTTTTTGCATGTGACATAATAGAAAATGTCCAGGAAAATTCTGATAGCCAGCCCAAAACCCAAACACAAATCAAGTCACTATAAAAGTGAGACCAAACTAATTGATAAAAAATCTTATCACAAAAAATATGCAAAGATTCTTTATACTCTTTTTTATTTTTCTGATCAAAAATTCGCAACAATCCGTGCAATGTTTGGATAATTCTGGAAAACCTGTAGATTGGTATATTTTTTATAAATTGCCACATTTATGGGATCATCCGGAAAGTGTGCCGATTTCAAATGGTACTGGATTCCTTTACATGGATCCTAATCAAAAAACATGGAAGCTAATGGAAAATGGAATGGATGCTCAACAAAATAATGCAGTTTATTCAACTTTGGAACAATATTATGGAAATTCGGATAACTCTTCATATTTTTCATATATGTATAATGATGAATGGCCAGATAGCACAATTTGGTCGAATAATTCGGGACATGCAAAAGGAGTTGTGATGTTTGATAAGAGTTCGGGATTTTGGTTGATTCATAGTATTCCTAAATTTCCGAGTGTTGTTGAGTTCAGATATCCATCAAATGCTCATTGGTATGGACAAATGGGATTGTGTTTATCATTAGGATTCAATTCGCTTGCTGATGTTGGTGAGTTTTGCTGGGAAACTGGGTTAGAAAAAAATAGAACTTATATAGTATTTTGCACTTCACGTTGAAAGAGGGAATCTAAAAAAAAGAAACGTCTACGGAAACCTACAGTAACCTCATTTTTTAGATTAAATAGTTCACTGTAACCCCCTGAAAAAATGTAGCACCAAACATCAAAAAATCAACCACGTTTTTTTCGGACAAATAAAAACTTATCAAAGAAAAAGTAAAAACTTTTTTTGCAATTATCAGCGAAAAATCAGACTACAAATATACATTTTCTGTAGCTTTAAAAATGTGATCTTGAAAAAAAAAGATTTATCTCTGCAGTACATCTTTTAAAATCTGTATTTTTTCCAGCTCAACAATTATTCTTTTACAACACATTCACATATCAATTCAATCTTCCTGATTATTTTGCGAATTCTGTTCCACTTTTAACCCGACTTCAAAAAGGAGATTATCAACAATCTCCTCCTTACACAAATTCGAAGATTTTCAAAACTTTGGGTGGTCAAAGTTTCCGTCATTTTGCAAAAACTGGAAGTTGGGGAAAAGATTTGTATTCGGATTATGTGATGGGAGAATTGAGGACTTCAATTAAGGTTGAAACTTGGGATCATGAATCTGGAACTGAGACAAATTTGCCATCGGTTTGCAGCCAGAATGCACATATGTCGGTGAGTTTTGAGCAGTAAAAATAGAGCAGAAAAGGGAAATTGATAAGGGGAAACACGTCATTTTGTGATGACAATTTGGAACCACGTGGTTGATTTTTGGTTGAAAAATTCGTGAAGAAGAAATTTCAGAAAAGAAATTGAAACTTTTCAACCAGAAATTTCTGAAATGCTACGTGGCTCCATAGTTTTTAGGCTCAAAAAGTTGAATTTTTGAAAAATTGGGAGAATAATATGCCACGTTAAAGTCCAAGCCCACATTTTTTTAGACCCTCAACGCTGCCTACATTCGCCTTCCATTCAACATCAACTACAAAACCTACGAAGATCACTCGAAATTTGTCGTCGCTTTCAGCGATCAAAATCGTCTTCCAGCAGTTCCATATGTTTGTATTGGAGATATTAATCGACAATCTCATCAATTACATCGAGGCGGTGGAACTATGTGTATTTATGAACAGGATATTTATCAACAATATGCTAATATTATATCAGAAACTGTGCCTTGCAATAATAATTAGATTATTGTTAGGCGTGAATTCTGAAAATAATCATGTATATATACGTTTTATATGTATAAAGTTATGTTTTTACCAGAAATCAGGTTTCCTCGAAACTACTGACAATTTTGACCACCGGAATTGTGATCAGCGACCCTAAAAACCGTAGATTTTTTAGGGAAATTTGTGAAATCTTGTTACATTTCCGGTAAGTTTACTCGAGTGGAAAATTTGAAGGTGAAATAAATTTTCTTTTACAAATTTTATTTTATTTTAAAAATGGAGCCAGCTGACTCGACGCTTAAAAAAGAGCACTTTAAATGTGAGTTTTTAAGATTTTCTGATGGAAATCCCGGGGATTTCTGAAAGTTTTTATTTCAGTGCGAAAACATACGAGATATTTGACGATTCACAAAGTTGTTGATCAAAAATCATGGCAAATGTTGGCCTACGAAGAACGGAAACGAAAAGAACGACAAAAAATTCCGAAAATTTGGAGGAAATCGTTTTTGCGCTATCATTTGACGCAAGAAAAAGCCCGCCAAAAATTTGGAAGATTACGGTATAAGAATAGAGATGATAGTGTGTTTGTGGCAAAACAATGGTATTTTGTATTGGAAAAATATCCGCTGAAACCGAGAGTTGAATGGAGTTATCAAAGGGTTCACAAGTGAGTTTTTTCGCCAAAATTCCAGAATGAAAGTGACATTACAGATTTCAAAACTTAAAAAAAGAAATTTTTTGAAAGTTGAATTTTTTTTAAATATAAAAAACTATTTCCAGACTAAACCCTCGAAACGAGCGAATCGCAACAGAATTAGAAGAAAATCTGGATTGCGCCGAGAGATATTCGCTGATCCTTCATTTTTCTGATATCTACAAAACCCAACTCAAAAATGACGTTGAAAAAATTGCAAAAATCGAAAAATTTCGCGCCAAAATTGGGGCGAATCGTGAGAATTTATTGCGATCACAAAGTTTGGCGGCGATGAAAATTCGAATATTTTTTGAGGCCAAAAATGGTGCGATTTTCGATGTTCAACGCGATGTTCTGGATTTGGAAGATTGCCAATGGGTTTCAGTGAAAAAATTACGCGAAAAATTGCATTCGAAGATATCGCATTTTTCACATGATGTTCAGAATTTGTAAGTTTTTTTTTCCAGTGGCTCACCATTTTTCATCAAAATGTTTCCAGGATTCTCAAAAAAACTGCGAAAAATGCGAAAAAACGCAACATTGCTCATAATTGTGTGGTGCAGGAGACAACAAATGCCGCTTTTAACACAATTAAAAATTATTTGAAAATCATCAAGACAAAAACGGCTTTTATTTCTATCGATTGTATGATTGTTGATAGGAAATTATGGGTCAACTCTGAACAAATCCGACATTTTTTGAAAGGTAGGTGTATTTTAGACACTGGAATCGTGATCAGTGACTGTGAAAATCTTAGAAACCATATACAATAAGCGTATTTAAGTATCAAAATTCGTTTTGTGAGCAAAAATTAGAACAAATAGGATAGGCTCCGCCCACTTTCACACACAAAACATAATGTTGCGTCGCACCACCGAAAAGTCGAAACACTCTCGCCGTCTAGCTTATCTTGGAAAAAATAAAAGGAAGAAATGTGCGCGTTCGTGGTGTAATGGTCAGCATGGATGCCTTCCAAGCATTCGACGGGGGTTCGATTCCCCCCGAACGCAGATCTTTTGTTTTTTTTTGGGATGTTTGTAAGCTTCTCAAATAATGAATTGAAGTATTTTTTTGAATGAAGAAGTCTGCAAAACCAGTAACTACACACTTATTCATAACCAGCAATCATAAAAACGGGTCCAGCTGTTCGATACCAGCCTGGTCCACGATTATGAACAATATTCGCATATGCTACTGCTACATTTAAATGGGATCGCATTATTCCAACGAATCCAGCCTTGCTCACAAATTCCTTCATTTCGCGACTCAAATCCTCACTGCAATTGTGAAATCTGAAATATATTTCATGTCTCTCCATATCAAAAAAATGTCTCAACCTTCTGTTCGCCTCCAAACGATCAATGTCAGTTCGTATCGATTCCAAATTATCTTCGCTAGTACTTTTTGCATATTTACTTCGATAAACAACCACACAACATTGACCGCGACGAAATGAAAGAATTGTTTGAGAAGGTTCGTAGCAAAAACTATGTTTATCAAAACCGCCACAATGATTGTATACTAGGATGTAGAATGAATCACTGAAATAATATTCTACTTTCATTTTTGAGAATTACAAAAGTATTCCTACTTGCTTAGAACATCTTCAAAAGCTTTCTCCAACTTATCACATTTCTCCTGATTTCCAATATCCGTGTTATTATCTTGAATATTTTCAATAAATTCTCTCGCCTTTTCCGGCCAATAATACGCATTTTTCTCGTAGTTCACTTTCCAACTTTTCATCAATTTTTGCAATTCATTAATTCTAGATTTTAATTGATTTGGTCCATACATGTTTGAATTCCAGAAAAGACCATTAACATAAAGTTCAAGAGCATACTAAATGAGAAAATATGTGAGAGACAAATTGGAAAAACTCACGAATTCGGCAACAACACGCAAGATAATATCTTGCCATTTGTTGAATGTACTTTTTGATTGTAAAGGATCGGCAGCCATCGCTTTTTTCAGCGGATTTGTTGAATCTTGTTCCATAAGACTGATCAGTTTCTGGAAATGTGCTTTAAAGGTGGAGACAGAAAAAGACCAGATATTTAGAGGTTTCGGAAGTCCCTTTCATTTCATTTCCACTTCCAATTTTATTTCCGGAATTTCAGAATTCCGAAATTCCCTACTTACATATGCATATTGCAAAGGTGGTGTTCTTTCGCAAGCTTGTCTAAATATACCAACACTATGATGATTCGGATGAGTTAATGTATCACACATTAATTTTGTGAGAGTCGAAGCAGTCGCCGCAACATCTGCATAGAAACTGTGTTCCACCATAAACGCTTTCAGTTGATCAAAATGATTTGTCATTTTTCTAGACAATTTATCAATCTTTCCTTCTAATTGTCTCAATTTGACCATCACTGGATCTTCTGGCATCATTCCAGCTAAGGACAGAATACCTTTAACAACTGCTCCAACATGAACAATTCGCGCAAAGTCTGCCATATCTAATACTTTGAAAATATCTTCGTATAATTGAAGGACATCTGTGACTTTTTTCACGGCTTCTGAAGAACATCAATTGAAATAATTCAGGGGGGTTGTAGGAGAAACTCACTAGCAGTATTTGCATCCATTTCTGTAAAGGATGTGTTTAGCTTTGGCGGCTTTTATATTAGAGAACAGCTATTTCGTAACTATTTCTAATAATTGTTGATTTACAAGAGAAGAATAACATAACAATATGATAAGAAGAAAATAAACAGATGAAAATATAAGAAGTTTGATAATAATCTTTTACGAACTATAGATTTTTGATTGAGACAAATTCTAAAAATTTGAAATACAATAAACAATGAAACAAAAAGATTTTTCAAGAGAACTACACAGTGAAAGAGTATAGGTTAAATGATGAACAAAATGTATTACTCACAGATGAGTAAGAGAGCGATTTCTGTTTGAGAGACGGAAAAGAAAATAGATAAAACATTTGGAGGTTTGGGATTTCAAAATATCGAAGTTTCTCATAAATTGTGATGTTCTTCAAAGAGACTCAGAGCATACAGTACCTGGGGGAAATGTTGATAATCACCTCTCCGACTATCATTTCTTTCAGATCCGATAAACACGATGTGTGCATTGGAAAACGTGAGAATGTCAAGTGAGGATTGTGAAATGTGGCAAGAAGAAGCAGCAATGATTGTGGATGTTCTATCGCATGAACATATCATAAATCATCCGTTTTTAGAGCCCTATGCATTTCTAATTGATGATTATAAAGTTGCTGCAAAAGTTTCGGAAGAGGATTTGATTCGAATGTATGATGAATCGACTATTTTGCAGATTCGATTGACAAAAGCAGCGAGAGTAAGGAGAAGGCATTTGATTTTCCAAACAAAAAAAAGAGATTCACGAGAATCATTGTACAACAAAAATTCAAAAAGTCAAAATTATGCCACGTTGATTTTTTAAAATGTAGATCAATATTTCGAAAAAAAAACGTTTTCCTGAAATTTTTTCGATAACATTTTGAAGTTAAAATTTTTCACTTCAAAATGAATTGCAACAACTTTGATACGTGGATTTCCTTTTTTTCTGAATCGAAAAGAACAAAACTTTTTTCTGACTTGAAAAAAACTCACGTGGATTTTCAATTTCCAGACAATAAATATTCGATGTTTTGTTCTTCAAATGCAAAATGTTTGGACAGAAATCGAAAGAAGAATTCGATCCTTCAGAAACTCTTTGAAAATGGCAATCCGTCGAAAATTCACAACAAATCTCAACAAACTTTTACACGATTTTCGAAAATATGATCGAGCTCTACAATATCGATCAATTGATCCATCAATGATGTTGAATAATAAATCACAAGTCGATTTTATGTTGGAAAATGAGATTTATTCAAGTGTTCAACAATTTGTTGAGATTTATGACAAGGTATTTGAGATAACTCAACATGTTTCATTGGATACAACTCAATTGGACACACTTTTGAATATTGCTTCGTTGAGATTGTCATTGGCTCAAAGTATTAATGATCATGCACATTTTTTTAATAAGAGGATTTCGACTTTTTTGCATTTTGTACAGGTTTGTGAGGTTTCAATAGTTTTGGAAAACTTAAAAAATAATGTTTCTTGAGAATTTTTCAGATATTATTAATTTTAAGAATTTTTTAGAAATGTACTGTACTGAACTACATTTCCCCCGTGTTTGAAGTTTTTTGTTAAGAAATTTTGCCACGTGTTTTATTTTTGGGACCGAAAATTCTGACTTTTCAATACTTCCGAAATTTGAAAAGTAATTTTTTTTTGACACGTGACCTTCTCGATTTTTTTTTGGAAAATTTCGAGAACTCGTCATTTTTTAATTTAGAAATGCTAGAAAAAAGTGAGTTGATTGTTGGTCCCAAAAATCCAAAAAAAAATTCTGCTTTGAATTCGATATTCATCAGTACAAATATTTTTTTTCAAATTTCGACAACTTCCAGAAAAAACAATCAAAAGTGATGGCAAATGTGCAAAAAGCGATGGAAAAACTAAAAATCGTTCAAACGATGGCAAATCCACAAGAAGTTTCGCAATATTTGGCTCAAATGGCAAAACTTCGACCAATGTTGGATAGTTTGATTCGAGAAATTGAGGATTTGAATAAATTTGAGAAAGCTGTTGATGCACAGATTTCAGATGTCACAAAAATGAAACAATTTGTGGGTGAAATTGAGAGTTTGGAAAGTTTGTTTGTGGCGACAAGTGGATATTATCAACATGTTAAGTGGGTTTGGGGAGCAGGAAAGGTTCGGGGGGTTTTTGAAAACTTAAATTTTATATCAGTGCAAAATTTGGAGCTGGACAATACCAAAAAGTTGTAAGTTTTCAGCTCAGAAATTAAAAAAAATTGATTGTCAGCAATATTTTCCTATTTACAATCATGAAAAATTGACTGTTTCAAAAACTTCAATTAACTTTTTTGAAACAGCTTTGGATATTGTTTGATAATATAATTTCAATTATATGCGCAGCACCTAACAAAAATATCTTCAAATTTAATATGTAAAAATTATCATTTTCTAAAAGTCTCTGAAAGTGAAAGAAGAAATCTCACTGTTTCAAAAAAAGTACTCTTGAAAAAATCAAGTTTAGGCTCGTTTAAATTTTATTGAAAATAATTACGCACAATTGCGATTGCGGACTTGCTATTTCACATAGAAGAACAACCTCTTATAAATGAATTTATTGATTTATCTTTGAAGGAACTTGAATTTAACAAGATCATATGTTTCCGGAATATTTTCTTTTTTCATTTGTTCCCCTTTGTTATCCAAGTTCAAATGATTGTACATTGTTACATTTTGATCAATTCTGCTATCAGCTTCTCCGATTTTCTCGAAGTAGTTCATCCAACCTTTATCCATTCGACAGTTATGAAATACTATAACTCTGATATCGTAAGTATTTGAGGCACCATCACCTTCTTGTTTTCCTTTGTATACAAATCTAACATTTTCTGCGGTGTATTCATTGATTTTATAGTCTTGCACAGGATCATTACTGCATCTGTAAAATTTTAATTTTTGTTTTGCATATGTTTTTTTTTAAATTAAATGCAGCTATTCAGATAAAAATGAGTTTTGAGATGCGCTCGCAATCAAATTTCTCGTTAGAACTTACATGAAATCATAATCGTAAAAGTAAACTCTTGCGGACCACTTCGAATTCAAACTGCATTGCCACGTGGTATTGAAAATAAACGTGGTAACAGGTCTGTCTTGATGTCCTTCCATTATATCTCGCAATCGTTTGTTTTGATCATCGGTTTGAACAATTCCAACCAACGTGAGGAATAAACAAATCAGAAACATCAATGTTTTTATGAAAAATTGATTTTGTGGTGGCTTTTTATTGAAATATTGTCGACGTGTATCCTAATAAATTTCTGTCTGCGAGCAATTTATTCTGTGAAATATATAATTCAAATTCAAAAGTTCAACAATTTCTGATGATTTCCAAAGGTTCGAATTTAAGAAAAAATTGACTGTTTCAAACAACTATGAAAAATAAATAAAATAAATTTAACGATTAGTTTGCATCTGATTATTGAATCTTCAAAATTTTCAGTCAATTCTTCGAATGTCGTCGAACATTAGTAAACATCGAAGCCAGTCGTATTTTCATCGAACAGTTCACTGTGCAATTATCGATTTTTGAAAGTTCCCTAACAACTCATCGTGCAGCTAAACATTTTATAGGTAAGTTTTTTTCTGAGTTTCAAGAAGTCTGCCAATAAGTTACTGTAGAATTCAAGAGTTTCCTATTTTCCAGCCTACGCAAGAAATGAGATGGACACATTCAAGAAAAATTTTGCTGTAGCTGAAGTAATGTCATGTCGACGACTTTTGGATGCACATTGGATTCGAATGTCGGAAATTGTTGGTTTTGATTTGACACCGTATGCAAATAGTTCGATTGCACAAATTTGTGAACTTGGTTTGGAGGCACATTTACAACAATTGAAACCAATTGCATTTAGTGCTGAAAGGGAAGCGACGTCGGCTGATCAATTACATGCAATTGTCACATTCTGGAGCCATGTAGGTTTTTTTGGTTTCAAGAGATCCCAATATTTTCAATAGCGACAACAAAACTCAAAAAAAAATTTTTTTAGGAACCCCTTGAAATGCGGTGCTATTCACAATGGAAATTATCATTAGCAGTTCATCTCAAAAATCTTTACATCAAAGTTCAAAGTGATAATGTTATGCTGAAACATATGACTAATGTGGAGCAAATTAGTGATGATTCTTTACCGTAAGTTGGAAATCGCTACGAGACCTGGGACCTATTTTCTTTTTTTTTCGGAAAACTCTCGTAGAACCATATATTCCACTCATAATCACTCATTTCAACGACCAAAAACGTCAAAAATCAATTCCAAACAACAAAAAAGTATATTTTTATTGAATACAGTCTTTAAAGGCACACAAACACATATGAGAAATATCTCGGCGCGCTGCCCGCGAATTTTTTTTTGTTTTCAAAAAATACAAAATTAACACACACGTTTGAAAAAGAAGAAAGTTGTGCAATTTTCATCGCGCATCCGACAAAAACGGTGCAACGCCTAGCGGTGTAATTACCCCCACTTCATCAAAAACAAAAAATATAGCGAAAATCAGCGTATCGAGATCTGTGCGAATGACTTTGTTTGGAATTTTTAGGGGTCCTGGGAAGAAAGTTAGCCTCCGCTGCGAGACCAATCGAAATTAAAAACACATGCGCCTTTGATACCGTACCTCTTTTTTTCAAAATGAAAAATAGAGAGCGCGGCAAACGAGAGAGTGCGAGAGATGTGTGAGAACAAAATGTGTGCAAACACATGTCCGCAAACACCGTTGTCACTGCTTACCATGACTCTTCATTGCATGGGAAAAACGTGTGTGTTAAAAGAGACTTTTTATAAAAACGAAAACTCTGTAATAGAGGCTCGGACAAAAAAAGTCATAGTCTCAGAATCAGCCCAATTTTTTTCAAGAGTTACCCCTATGGGTGGGGAACTTTTTCCGCCAGGTTAGAGATCATGATATCGTTTCACCATTTTGGTGGGATAGGGTGAAGAAATCGAAAATTTTTCGAAAATCGATCATAACTATGCTTAGAGTCCATATTTTTTTTTGATCAAAAAAGCATTTTGCTCGTCTTTGCACGCTCTACAAGCCTGAATTGATTATGAATCTTGAATTTTTTCGATTTCGATTCCTTTTTTTTCACCCCCTGTTTTCATCATCAAGGATACATTTGCGCACTTTTATATTGGTTTTAAAAGATTCCTCATGCCTTTTTACGTATTTTTGACCATTAACAAATAAAATCTGCGGTATCCTTCATACTAGAATATTCCCGTTTTTAAGTTCAACTCGGGTCGGCGCGCGCGCATTTCCACACACAAACACACAAAATGTGTGTGTGTGTGTGTGCGTGTACTTATTTACACGTGTGCATTTGTGTTTTTGTTTGTGTGTGCAATGTTTATGTTGAAAATTCTTTTCTTTTTTTTTTTGAAAAAAAAATATGAAATAGTCTGAATAATTTACAGTAGTTTCAAAATTGGAGTTGATTCATGTATTTTTGAGGTACGCGAGGCTATCAAAAGCATTTTTTATGTGCTACACTGCTCCAAAAAAAGATAACCTCACCCCGCATTTTTAAAAAAAAAAGCGAAAATTTGAAATTTTTGAAAAAAGTTTGTTTTTTGAAATTTCATCCCTGAAAACAAGCTCAGACAATAAATATGGACGACCAGGAGATTTTCCGGTGCCATAATTTCGCGGATCGTTAACATAATTATTGATAACTCGTGGACTAAATCTAAATCTAAATCTCTTGCGATTTGTCGATTTGAAATTCGTTGATCTTTTTTGGATGTGATTTGCCCTTTTTCAAAATCAGAAAGAGGCTTTCCTCGCGGCATTTCGGATGAAAATTTGATGTGGGATGTTAGAAAAGTATTGATCATTAGAAAACAATTTGAAAAACAAAAAAAAAAAGTAATTTTCAAAAGTTTACGTCGTGGTATATTCAATCGGCGCGAAATTCAAAATTCGCATCTCGATTGTTTTCTTCTTTTTTTTTCAATTTTTTTCCAATTTTTTAAACATAATGAGCATAAAACAGATCATTTGAATCGTCTTGAACGTCAAACATTGAAAGAAAAATGAAAAAATAGCAACATTTGTATAAAATGCTTGAAAAATGCTCTTTACATCGCAATGCTCCAAATCTGATGCTCACAACTTGTTGGAAACGTGGCACTGTGTTTTTTAAGATCAAAAACTCACCAACCATACATCAACACATTATGTGACTAACTCCGACTAAAAAGTCCGAATTCGTCAAAAAACATGGGGTAAGGTTATCATTATGTGGATTGGCAAATCGGCTTTTTTTGAAAATTCTCAATTTTTTTCAGCGCTTACCAAATCTGAAATTTGTTTTCAGGGATGAATTAGTATCCGACTTTGACATGTTTTTCAAAAAACAAACTTTTTTCAAAAATTTCAAATTTTCGCTTTTTTTTTTAAAAATGCGGGGTGAGGTTATCTTTTTTTGGAGCAGTGTAGCACATAAAAAATGCTTTTGATAGCCTCGCGTACCTCAAAAATACATGAATCAACTCCAATTTTGAAACTACTGTAAATTATTCAGACTATTTCATATTTTTTTTTTTCAAAAAAAAAAGAAAAGAATTTTCAACATAAACATTGCACACACAAACAAAAACACAAATGCACACGTGTAAATAAGTACACGCACACACACACACACACATTTTGTGTGTTTGTGTGTGGAAATGCGCGCGCGCCGACCCGAGTTGAACTTAAAAACGGGAATATTCTAGTATGAAGGATACCGCAGATTTTATTTGTTAATGGTCAAAAATACGTAAAAAGGCATGAGGAATCTTTTAAAACCAATATAAAAGTGCGCAAATGTATCCTTGATGATGAAAACAGGGGTGAAAAAAAGGAATCGAAATCGAAAAATTCAAGATTCATAATCAATTCAGGCTTGTAGAGCGTGCAAAGACGAGCAAAATGCTTTTTTGATCAAAAAAAAATATGGACTCTAAGCATAGTTATGATCGATTTTCGAAAAATTTTCGATTTCTTCACCCTATCCCACCAAAATGGTGAAACGATATCATGATCTCTAACCTGGCGGAAAAAGTTCCCCACCCATAGGGGTAACTCTTGAAAAAAATTGGGCTGATTCTGAGACTATGACTTTTTTTTTGTCCGGTGGGTTTTGCATTCTTATAAAAAGTGTCTTTTAATTTCCAACATTTTATTTTCTTCGCGTGAAATATGGCGAATCTTGTCATTTATTGTTATTTTTGGTGGAAAGTAGAAGCTTAAAGGTAAATTTGCCTTATCGAGTTTCGATTCTGTTTTATAAAGTTTAGAAATTTCAAAAAAAATAAATAAATTTCCCGAATTTCCAGCGTTTGGATTGAATGGACCACTCGAGCTGAGAAAATCTTGAAAGATTGGAGCGAAACTCAACTAAAATGGACAAGAGTTGCGAATATTTTCGTCACGTGCCGTCAAACTCTTCAAACCGAATATGAATTGTTGCGAGATTGCGCTAAATTTTGGCTCAAAATCGAAAAATCGGTGGCGAAAGATGCGGCGATTTTCCGCGTGTTGCAATTGCCGCATTTACCGTGTTGGATTGGAAGAATTGGGAGGAATGTGACGGTTATTATTGAGGTGGGTTCTAGGTGTTTAAATGGTTTCCCAGAAAAAATTAATATTTTTGCAGGGTGTTCGAAATCTTCTGAATGAAATGCGCCTCAACAATGCTCGTCTTTGCCTTTCTTCCGAATTACACCTTCTTTCACTTTTCTCAACAACTTCAATCGATTCGAAGCTTCGACTTTTGCTTAGGGAATGTTTTCCAACTCTCAAAAGACTGTGTTTCAATCGTCGAAATCAATTAGAACTTATCGATTTGAACAACGAAAAAATGTGTCTAGATCTTTCAAAAGATTCTATCGAAAAATTGGATCCTTGTGAACTCATAAAATCAATCGAACTTTCGTTTGCTTCAAAACTCACTGAAATCATCACTTGCGATCGACAACAACTTCAACAACAAGAACTTCGAACATCGAAAATTGCAAGTAAAATCGGATCGAATGTTGGTGAAATGATGGAAGTTAGAGTATCGATTGATCCGTTGTTTTTGGCGCGAATTGATAAATCATATTTTGTGCAACACAAAAGTATACAACGACAATCCGCATTGACGATGGATTTTGTATATTCGACCGAGTCGTTGAAGTTTATACCGTGAGTGGATTTTGATATAGGGGAATTTTTTGTGACCTACGTTTTTTTTTTGAATTTTAAAATTTATAATATTTAAAGAAATTGACAAAATTTTCAAAAAAAAATCATATTTGGTCCCAGAAATCTGAAAATTAGATGATGAAACTCTTGTCCCTCCTTCTTCCAAAATCCTCGATTTTCCAGCCGTTCTCTCGCTGATAATTGGTGTAATGGTCGAATAATCCTTCTTCAAGGTGAAATGTGTATAACTCGAAATTTCGCTCAAAAACTCGCCAGCTCTCTCAGTTCCAGTTTACGTCTTGTAAATTCGCACTCAAAAATCAGTCTTCAACTTTTCGAGCGACTTCTTCAAATTTCAACAATGAATAATTGGTTTGTTCTTCTGGAAAATGTGGATCTTTTGAGTTCCGAAGCGAAATTCCGATTTTTCAGTGAATTACTGAAAAATCAGGCGAATCAAGCATTTCCCAGATTATTTTTGAGTTGCACTGAGGAAATCAGAACTACTTTACCGAGAAATATTAATGTGGAAGTGCTCGTTGAAGTTAGCCAAACTCTACCGGTTTTGGATGAAAAATCAACAAGTTCCTATATTTTTGATGTCTCAACTACAACTCCAATCTCAACTTTTCGAACTGGAAGTATACCATCGGAAATTTCGAAACTTCCCAATCAAAAACAGCCAAGTTCACCGCATTCAACTCTTTTGGAAAAAATTGGAATGGAAATTCGAAATCGTGAAATATCTGGATGTATTGGACCGAATGCCAAAACTATTTTGAAAGAGGTTTTGGATTTGTTTGCCGAGAAAATTGTGTGGATTTATACCGATGTTTTTACACGAGATCAATTGATTTTTCCGAATTCGATGGCTGGATTTGCCGAAACTCCTGGTGGTTTGATCTTTGATTTGTTGATGATGGATTCGACGCCTGGAATTGGAGCTGATTCCGAGAGAAGCTATCATTCTACAGGTTCGGAAAAATAATTTTGGGAGAAATAAAATTGGAGCTGATTTTTTAGGACAAGGCTGAAAATTGAAATTGAAAAAAAAGTCTAGCGAATTTTTGAAATGTTTTAATTTTGCAAAATTATTTTCTCTGAAAAAAACTTCCACTTTTTTTCAAAGTCCCAATTTAAAATGAGTTGCAGTATCCACGTCATCAATCAATATTCAAAACATTGTGGTTTTCTATGGATTTTCCCAATTTTGGACAATTTTCCCATTTCTGAGTTCACTTTTCGGAAAAAAGAAGCTCGACTCGAATCTATTTTTGAATTCGGCATTTTTGACTTTGGATGATGGCTCGACTTTTTGGCCCTTTGAAAATGTTCAATTTTTGATTTGTGTTCCTGATGAAGAGGTGAGAAAAGGGAGGAAATATTGAAGGATTTTATACGTTTCGAATTTTTTTGAATTTCGAATGAAATAGAATTTTTTGATCAATTGATAAAGTGGATTTTTTACGTTTCACAGATTCTTGAATTCTGTAGAAATTATTGAATATTTTAATAACAGAAAGTTTTTTAATTTAAAAAATAATTACAATTCCAAAAAACATTGCAGGGCTACCATGTGAACACAATCAATAAATTCGACATTCCCTATCATACCGTATCCTCAAATATCCCTGGAAAAATCGAACAAGTATCTCGATGTTATCGAAAAGAATGGCAAAAAAAGTTCGCCGAACTCTTCAACAAAGTCTCATTGGTCGAAACAATGGATGAACTTATCGAAACTCTCGTCTCACCGATTTGCCAGAATTTCGCGCAAATTTCCAAACTTTTTCAAGTGATTTATCAGGATTTGACTGAAGTTTTACCAATGTCTCGAACTACTTCAGTCAATGATACATTGAGGATTACAGTAATCCTAGCGACGGCTAATTTTATGGCGATTTTTGCGAAAAATTTGGAGGATTTGAAGGTGCTTGAGAAGAAACTGCTGAAATTGATTGGACCACTCAAATCAAAGATCTCGATTCAGATTCCGGAAGATGTTTGTAGTTGGAAGATTAGTTATCAAGATGCAACTCGACTTGTTAAATGGGAAGATGAACCATTTTGTCAGGTAATTATGAGAGTTACATTTTCAACGTACCATTTTTCCCATTTTTGCAGTCTTCAATCGAAAAAGATGCGCCAATTGGTGAGATTATGATTGTGACACCGAATATCGATCGCCTCCTATTTTATACCACCCGACTTTTGCTAACTGGAAATAATATTTTGATTCATGGCGCTGCTTTTTCGAGAAAAACTATGTTCGTAAAAATGGTTGAAAAGTATTTTTTGGCGGATGAAAAACAATTTATTTGGTTGGATGGAAAAAGTCGAGTTGGAAATTTGGTGGCACAGAAAAAGTTTGCTGATGTGATTTTGGAGTGTGAGAAACAGCATGCCGGAAAACAGTTGGTGAGTTTGAAAATTTCTGAACCGGGCTAAGCCTATTCTAGATCTACATACAACAGTCCGGAAAATTTTAGCATTCTTGGTACTGTAGGTAAACATTTTGCACACATTTTTTCCAAACGTATAAACATTTTTATATGTAAAAAATTACACAAATACTCAATTTTTAAAGAAAAAATTTTGTAGAAGAAATTTTTATTTTCAGTTTGTGGTCATCGATCGTTTCTCATTCACTGAACCCCTTCTACCAATCATCGAATTCTTTGTGGATCACAAAACATTTTGGTCCGATGGTCAGCTTTGTACATCAGATGCTCAATTTCGAATGATAATTCTGACCGACGAAGAAGACTTTCATTGGCTCCAAAAAACACGGGCTCTTTCGAGCACATTTATCGGAATTGGTATGCCAGCTACCAATTTTCATGATCAGAAAATTCTTGTGCAACAAATTATATCGGCAAATTTCAGTGCGAAATCTTTCAGCTCTGAATATCATCATATTTTGGAAACATTTTCTGAATGTATTGTTGAGATTGTTACACAGAGTTATGTTAAATCTCTCTCACCAATGGCTCTTGCAACACGACTTGCCAAATCATTTTTCTTTGCATTTCCTGATAATTGTCCTGATCCGGATGCACTTCTTCGATTATTTATTCATGAATCTGCACGAGTTATTGGTGATGCGATTGATCCGATACACCGTGCACATTTCGCGCAGCAATTTGAGCAACTTGTTGATGCGAATTTTAGCTCGACGAATTTGCAGACTGTGTTGAAAAGTGTGATTTTGGTAGAAGATGCGGATTTGGATGAAGAGGAAAATGAGGTAGGTCAAAGATATTTTGAGGGAAAAATGTTTCACTGTTTCAAAAATATCGAATAATAAATAATAATATAATTCTTATCAGTCACAAAGCTCATTCATTTCTTGAACTCGCCATTTTTGTTTTTTGAGGGTCGTCTTCATTTCGTAGATTTTAGTTGGTGTAAGTTGAATATTAAATAAAATATAATCTAAAAGAAGATTGATTCTAATATCAGAAATTTTTGTGTCAAAACCTTTTGGAATACCAAGCAAGTCTTGCAAAGTATATTCATGAAGATCGTGCTGATTGCACTGTCTGTTGTCTACAATATCATAGAAGCAATCTCTTGCAGTTGTCAAATTTATATCCTTATTAGTCATACACGATGCTAATTTTTCGGTGATATTTCTTGCATAAGATTCGGTTGTAAATTCAAATACAAGTTCTTCATCTTCACATCGTTGAAATTCATTGACTAGTTTCCAGTGTTCACCAATTTTCCAGAAATCAAGTCTCATCCAATTTTTTGTATCATTTTTCTCCATTGACAAAGTTAAATTGTTCTCCTCATTCAAAATTCCACAATTCACATATTTTGCTTCGTTGAAATCTTTTCGAAGTAGTCTAAAGTGTTCCAAATATTGTTCAGATCGTAATCGCATTATTCTTCCATCACAAAACAAATAATGAAACTCGTCGTGATAACGATCCCAAATATCTTGCTCATTTTCATAATTTAGAAAATTTCTACAAAACTGTTCATCGTAATTATGATGATAAGAGTGGATTGGAATTTGTAGAAGTAAATAAGTGAGAAGTAGGAAAATCATACTTTTTCGGAAGGCAAAATTATAGATATGGTTGTTATGGTTTTATATTGTCTAGACCCGAGTTTGCACAATTTTTATCAACAAAAAAATATTGACTGGGATTTCTTTAAATCAAAATTGTTTCATGAAGTTTATCTCAAAAATGAGCGAAAAATTCACCGAAAAATATATGTTTCAAATTTTTTATAATTGGAACTATTGGAATTTTGACATAATGAATGAACTTTGATGTTTTCAAATTTTACTGTTTCAAAGAAAATAGTAAACTTGTGAAGTGTTTTAATTAATAACCCTGGGGAGCATACCGTATTTTTAACATTAACAAAATAAATTTCTAGCTATTTTTCCGTTTCTTAAAAATCTTTATTCACAGAATCAACCATCTCAAATATTCGACATGTTTGATCTAATATATTCCGAAGTCGATGCTCATGATGTTATGGATGGTTTATCATACGAACCAGTTGTGGATCGTATCCAATTCCAGCGAAGTATTGAGAACTTCCTCTTCGAACATCATCGAAATCATCCAAAAGATCGAATTCGATTATTTATTGATTGGGAATCGGCAACTTGGGTACAAAAAGTGATGCGAGTTATTCGACAAGCTTCTGAACATATGGTTCTTGCCGCTCTTCCGTCATCCGGTCGAACACAAATTGTGAAAGCGGCTTGTGTTGCGTGCAATGCAACACTGATGCATTTACAAGTTGACGCAAATTCGTATGATGCATTTATTAATCGATGGGATTATGCATTTCAAAGAGCTATTTCGATAATTGCCAATACTAATCAACATGTTGTGCTTTTGGTGCATTTGGATTTTTGTGTGGGTTTTTTTTTGAGGAATTGGGGGCATAAAAATGAACATACCGTACCTTTCAACTAGAAGATTATGAGACTTCGTGTGAAGAAAAAAATTACGTTTCAAAGTTTTTAGATTCATTCAAAAATATTTACTGACAAAATCGAAAAAACATTTCAAAAAGTTTTTACATAAAAATTTTGAAACAGTAATTTTTCGAAAATATGAAAAATTATATTTTTTCAATTTTCCAGTAATGAAAAACTCAAAAAATTGATTGGTGAAAATTCATGGTTTGAACTTCTCAAAACTCCAAAAAATTTTACAGTACGAAAAAGTGGAGCCTCGTTGGATGGAACAAGTTCGCCTTTGGATCGAATCTCCCAATACCCAATATATTATTTCGGATGAGCAATTACATAATATGGGAGAACAATTGATTGAATGCGAAAAGAATTTGGCGACTCAAATGCAAACTGTTGGACTTAGGCTTCCTGGGTAAGTATTCTAACTATAAATGTTTTTGAAATCATTTTTTAAGGCAGAGAATGTGCAAATATTTGCCGGTTGAAGTTTTGAAGGACCCAACAACTTTGAGAAATGTTCTGGAATCGAGAATTTTGGATGCCTTGCATGTTGTTTTCCTTGTCGATCCGCAATTTAAGAGTGATTTCTCGTGGTGCACAATCTTTCATCTGCCGGAAATTCACGAGAAATCAAAAATATTGGAAAAAATTGCGAAGATTATTGCGGATTGTAAAATTGAGGGAAATGTTGAGAATCTGATTTTCACAATTTTCGAGTTGGTCAAAGGATATTTGGCATCGATTGGATTGGGAATGAGTGGATTTGCGAGTTTTAGCAGAGTTTTTGAGGTGGCTGATTGTTTTCAAATTGTGTATGCGCAGCAAAAAAGGTAAGTTTAGTTGAAAAATCTTTATTTTTTGTACTACTAAAATCAGAGCACGGTGTGTGTTTACTTTCTTCTTGATCCATCTTCGAAGAAGACTCCACCATCGATGGCACAATATTTTGGACAGATTCCTTTTTCTCCAGAACCTCCTGGTTGTCCTGGTTGTCCTGGGGCTCCTGGATTTCCATCTGAACCTGGTTGTCCTGGTTGTCCTGATGGTCCCTTTGGTCCTGGAGCTCCTGGTTGTCCTTGTGCTCCTGGTTGTCCAGGTTGTCCATTTGGTCCCGGTGGTCCTTGTGGTCCAGCTGGTCCTGGTGCTCCTGGGGTTGATTCGGATTGAGCATCAGCTCCTGGTTGACCTGGTTGTCCGGCTTGTCCTGGTTGTCCTGGGGCTCCTGATGGTCCCTTTGGTCCAGCTGGTCCTGGGGCTCCTGGTCCTGATCCTTGTCCTGGTTGTCCTGGTGCTCCAGCATCTCCTTGTGGTCCTGGTGCTCCTGGAGCTCCAGCTGGTCCTTGTGGGCATGGTTTGCAAGGTGGTGGAGTGATTGGCTCACATGGTTGTGCTGGTGGTCGTCCTGGATTTCCTGGAAGTCCAGCTGCTCCTGGTCTTCCTGGTCTTCCAGGTTTTCCTGGAGTTCCAGCTGGTCCAGCTGGTCCTGGCAAGCAACAGTTATCACATGATCCTCCTTGTTGGTTAGATCCTCCAGTAACTCCCAAATCGGTATCATATCCAGCTTGACGAGCGTGTCTTGTTGCATTCTTTGGTGAAGTTCTGATGTGATTGACTTCAGCAAAGATATCACGAGCAGAATGTTTGCAGAATTTGATCTCGTGGTTCAAAGTTGTCTTGACATTGTCAACATAGTTGTAAACCATTGGCAATGTGACACAGAGCTAGAAAATATAGAATTTGAGATGAAAGAGGAATCTTCCTGAATGGAGCGAACTTAAGCCTTAGCTAAAGCTTCTTCCTAAGTAACCAATACTCACCGACAAAACAGCAACCACTGAGAAAGTGACAGCCGAATAGGCAACAAATCGGTAAGCGTGAAGTCTTTGCTTCTCCTCCATTTTGTTCTGTTCTTCCAAAAAGAAAAGATGCTATTTCCAGATAAGTGAAGCGCTTTTATAGTAGCTTGTTTGTTACTACACAGCGCTGCCAAAAAACTTCCGCAACACAAAAGGGGCAGGTGATAAACGGTTTTACAACATTGTGTTGTACTGATACCCATTTTTTTTGTCTTGCAAGGATTTGTTGGCAAAAGAATTGTTTGGCAACATTTTCTTTCAGGATTTTTATTAGGTGAAGAACGAATTAAGAATAAAATAGATTTACAAATCGAATATTTCGAATAAAAATATCTGTGAGTTGTTTTCCCTGAATATGATATTGTACTCATGTTTTCTGGTTACTATATTTCAAATTCTATCGCAATTTGTATATATTATTGAAAATTTTCAACGAATTCTCACACTATTTCTTGTTAGCTGCGAAGTTTTTTCCCTGCTTTGTTTTGAAAATTTTGGGATTTTGAATTTTCAGTATTTCATATCAGAGCTAAGATAAATCAGGAAAACTTGTTAGGTACATTTTCTAGACCTGTTTCAAGATTATATGTGTTTTCTAATAGTTCTTTGACGTCTAACAAACTTTGAGTTGTCTAAAGTCATTCTGAAAATTCTCTGAAATTTTTTATCGTCTAATAACTATGGTGATAGTTTTTGTTGCTTGAATTTCTGTTAAATTTTATGAAGTTTTCAAACTCGACAAGAAATAACTATAGAAAGCGTGATATTTTCTAAAAATTAACACAGAAATCGACTTCAAAAAAATTTATTTCACATTTACTGAAACAAAAAATATCAAAAAAGAAAAACGAAGTCCTATCACAAAAATATCTAGAAGATTTACTTTCTTCTTGATCCATCCTCGAAGAAGACTCCACCATCGATGGCACAGTATTTTGGACAGATTCCCTTTTCTCCAGAACCTCCTGGTTGTCCTGGTTGTCCTGGGGCTCCTGGATTTCCTGGAGATCCTGGTTGTCCATTTCCTCCCGATGGTCCCTTTGGTCCTGGCGCTCCTGGTGTTCCTTGTTGTCCTGGTCTTCCTGGTTGTCCGTTTGGTCCTGGTGGTCCACGTGGTCCAGCTGGTCCTGGTAATCCTGGGGTAGATTGCCCGAAAGCAGATTGTCCTGGTTGACCTGGTGGTCCTGGTCTTCCTGGTTGTCCTGGTTGTCCAGATGGTCCCTTGCGTCCAGGTTGTCCTGGTGCACCACCTCCGATTGGTCTTCCTGGTTGTCCTGGAGCTCCAGCATCTCCTTGTGGTCCTGGGGCTCCTGGAGCTCCTGGTGGTCCTTGTGGGCAAGGTTTGCAAGGTGGAATGGTTGTTGGGTGGCAGAGTTGTGCTGGTGGTCTTCCTGGATTTCCTGGAAGTCCAGATGCTCCTGGTCGTCCTGGTCTTCCGGGCTTTCCTGGAGCTCCTGATGGCCCAGCTGGTCCTGGCAAACAACAATTATTGCAAGATCCTCCTTGTTGAGCTTGTGGTTGGAATGATGTGGCTGATCCTCCGCTGATTCCGAAATCTGAGTCATATCCAGCTTGACGAGCGTGTCTTGAAGAGTTCTTTGGTGAAGCACGGATATGGTTGACTTCCGCGAAGATATCACGAGCAGAATGTTTGCAGTATCTGATCTCATGGTTTAAAGAAGCCTTGACATCATTGACGTAGTTGAAAACCATAGGGATGGTAACGCAGAGCTGGAAATGATAGATTTTTGAGTAATCTTTCGCAAAATGAGTTCATTTCACTTTTTTGTGAAGCCAAAATTCATTTTTGGGAACCTCACTTTAGCTAGATATATTTAATATCACCCCATAAAATAAAATAGTTATCCAAACTCACCGAAACCACAGCAACCACTGAAAAAGTGACAGCCGAATAGGCAACAAATCTATACGCCTGAAGTCGTTCCATGAGGACTGATAATACTTTCTCAACCCCATCTCCTTCCTTTTATATCATCCGGAAAACTGAAACTGCCTGGAATTTTTGGGCAAAAGGAAAAAAAGTCCCTCTCGATTTGATACCAGAAAGATCGAACATCGGTTGCTAACAAACAAAGCAAGGACATTTTTTCCTGTCGATGGCAATATTTTTTTCGGTCAAAATTGGTTTGTTGTAATAATAGTTTTCTTGAAGAGGAGATGATAAGGAAGCGGAAAAAACCATAATATAAAAAAAATGAAGTTACTATAAATTGAGATGGCAGAAAAGGGATAGAAAGTAAAATGATGAGAAGAGAAAAACGGTTCCGGGTGTAGTAATTGGACATTTTTGGAAAAATACGTTTCAATGAATTTTTGGAAATTATTAACTGGTAATAAATTTCTGCGTTCAAAATATAACAATTAGTCGTACGTAAAAGAAATCGGACACCTGGCATTAAAACTTTGATTAGCTAAAGCCAAACAGATATGGAAATCCTTAAAGATTGTGCATCGTAGCTTAAGAGTTTATTAAATGTTCTAAATTCAGGCGTATTTTTACAATGAACCTCTGAAAACACCCAAAAATTGGTTGAGCTTAGTTTTGGTTCAATTCAGACATAGATTTTCGAATATGATCAAAATATTGGCTAATCTTGCTTGAGCCTAGATTTTTTTCAAGCTCAGGCTCCGATTTTATAACATTTTCATAGTTTTGGCCAAGCCTAAAATTTTGGCTGGACTGGGGCTTAATTTTTTCGATTGAAGATTATTGAGGAGTGACCTAATTTTCTAATAAGGCTAGGATCACTTTTAGTTTTTATGCTCCGATTTTCAGCTTACTTTGCTAACATTGTAAACGTTACTCGATTTTTTTCCAATTTTTTTTCGAATTAAAACTGAAGAAAACTTGATAGATAATGGTTTGTGTATAGACAATTTATGTCTTCTAGTCTCATTTTTCATTTTCAAGTGAAACTTGTTGAAAAACCAATGACTAACATAGAAGTTAATTGATTTTGCCACGTCATAACCATTTTCGAAGAAAATAACCACTTCAAAGTCAAGGAAAAACATAAAAAGTAAATGCAAAATTTTTATTTGGGTAACACAAATAAATTTGTTTACTTTCTTCTTGATCCATCTTCGAAGAAGACTCCACCATCGATGGCACAATATTTTGGACAGATTCCCTTTTCTCCAGAACCTCCTGGTTGTCCTGGTTGTCCTGGGGCTCCTGGATTTCCATCTGAACCTGGTTGTCCTGGTTGTCCTGATGGTCCCTTTGGTCCTGGAGCTCCTGGTTGTCCTTGTGCTCCTGGTTGTCCTGGTTGTCCATTTGGTCCTGGTGGTCCTTGTGGTCCAGCTGGTCCTGGTGCTCCTGGGGTTGATTCGGATTGAGCATCAGCTCCTGGTTGACCTGGTTGTCCGGCTTGTCCTGGTTGTCCTGGGGCTCCTGATGGTCCCTTTGGTCCAGCTGGTCCTGGGGCGCCTGGTCCTGATCCTTGTCCTGGTTGTCCTGGTGCTCCAGCATCTCCTTGTGGTCCTGGTGCTCCTGGAGCTCCAGCTGGTCCTTGTGGGCATGGTTTGCAAGGTGGTGGAGTGATTGGCTCACATGGTTGTGCTGGTGGTCTTCCTGGATTTCCTGGAAGTCCAGCTGCTCCTGGTCTTCCTGGTCTTCCAGGTTTTCCTGGAGTTCCAGCTGGTCCAGCTGGTCCTGGCAAGCAACAGTTATCACATGATCCTCCTTGTTGGTTAGATCCTCCAGTAACTCCCAAATCGGTATCATATCCAGCTTGACGAGCATGTCTTGTTGCATTCTTTGGTGAAGTTCTGATGTGGTTAACTTCAGCAAAGATATCACGAGCAGAATGTTTGCAGAATCTGATCTCGTGATTCAAAGTTGTCTTGACATTGTCAACATAGTTGTAAACCATTGGCAATGTGACGCAGAGCTAGAAAATATAGAATTTGAGATGAAAGAGGAATCTTCCTGAATGGAGCGAACTTAAGCCTTAGCTAAAGCTTCTTCCTAAGTAACCAATACTCACCGACAAAACAGCAACCACTGAGAAAGTGACAGCCGAATAGGCAACAAATCGGTAAGCGTGAAGTCTTTGCTTCTCCTCCATCTTCAAACAAGATACCTATCCCAAACCAATCCAACCCTTTTATAGTCCTCATTTACCCGTAACCTTGAGTAAAATGGGCGGGGTTTATTTTTTACACATACAGAGATTTACACACTCACATACAAACAAAAAAAACAAAGACGATTTTTTTCAGAGAATTGGTTGCGGAGGGTGTTCGATTGAAAGAAGCATTACACACTTGTGAACAGATAGAAAATTTGGCGGAAATTGGAAAAAGTGTGGATATTGATGCAGTTCAGAAGCGGATTATTGAAAATGAAGAAGTTTTGTCGAAAATGTCGAAAGAGCGAAATGGAAAATTAGCGAAAATTGAGATGCTAGGCGAGCAAATTCGAGTGAAAACGAGGAATTTGGAGGCGTTGAGAAAAGAGGCGGAGATGTTGAAAGAGAAATGTGATGCGATTTTGAATGGTCCACAAGAAGAATGTCGAAAATGTGTGGAAGAGTTGTTGAAATTCTCGGCGGCTGATTTAAAAACGTTGACAAAAATACAGAAACCATCACTGGGAATTCGATTGTGTTGTGAGATGTTGAGGACGATTTTTGAAGCTGAATTTGTACCGAGTGAGATTTTAGAAAAAATATTTTATTTTAACAAGTTCCTCAAAATTTTGTGCCAAAACAGTTTCAAGTTGAGCATTTTTGTTCATCTCAAATTTTAATGAATATTTTGAAACAGTACATTTTTTATGAATTTCTTTTTCAAAAATTTAAAAGTTTCTATAAAGTCCTCAAATTCCCCTTTTTCTAGAAAAAAACGCAGCCGAAAATTGGCTTGATTCTCAAAAATTCTTGCTCGACAAAACATTTTTGATCAAATTGGCGACTTTGGATGCCGAAAAATTGACTGTAAATCAAATGAAAATGCTCAAAAAATATGTGGATCGAGTGGAATTTAATGCGAATCGAATTGAACATGAATCACTTGTTTGTGCGAGTTTGTGTCGATGGATTGGAGCATTTTTGGAGCTCGCTTGGTGAGTGAAGAAATATTTGTAAATTGAAATAAAAAGTGATGGATTTACACAAGGGACTTTATTTTAACATATTTCCAATTTTATATGAACATTTCTTGATTAAATATTTTTTGTGTCGATTTCAAAAATCGAGGGTGATTCTATCTTTTCTAAAACATTTCTAAAAATCCACGTGGCATAATTTTTTCTAATAATAGTCTTTTTCGAGTAAACAAAAACTGACTCGTGAATTAAAAAATCACACTTACTCCGTTTCATATGACACTTCTGAAACAGTGGATTTTTGTTAAAATATTTTCGATCAAAATACTAATTTTCTTTCATTACAAAAAAATCTAAAATCAAAAAATTGGATTTTCTCAATCCTTTTTTCCACTTCATAACTTATTTTTCTGCAAAAATCCTATATTTCCAGCACTCTCCGTTTAATGGAAGAACAAAACGATGAAGCCAAAGATTTGCGAGCTCAAATCTCAGAAATCGAAAAATCGCTCAATTCCGAAACCACCGAAAAATCACAACTCACAAAAGACGTCGATTTATTGAGCTCGAAAATTCGAGAAAATGAGCAAATTTTGACAAATGATCGAAGACTTTGTGATTATCGATTGAGAAGCGGAGATTTATTGATGGTTTTGGAACCATTTAAAATAAAATGGAGAAATTGTCAGAAAATGAATGAGAAATTGCAAAATGAAATGATTGGAAATACTGTGCTTTTTTCGATTTATCGAACAATGCTTTTGTCTTATGATCGATCTATTTCACAGGTATTTCGATAATTTTGATATATTTTTAGAAATAGAAAAAATGCGCTAACATTTTATATCCACGTAGATTTTCATTTTTGATTGAATTTTGAAGCTGAACGTTATGACGTGGCAATAATTAATTCACAAAACATCGAAATCTTTGTGTTTCGAATGGTGAGAAATGCTCAATTTTCCAGGTCGCTATCGGTCTTTGTACCGCGCATCTCACAAAATCCGAAATACCGTATGATTCATCTACAGTAACCCCATCGAATATAATTCAAAAAATTTGCAAAAATCTTCGAAATTCTCGCCGATTCTGCCTTTTTCTCAACGATCAAAACGACGTGATTTTGAATTTTCTCCGACAATTTTTGACATCACCAAATTGTATTGATTTGGGAAATATTGAGGGAAAATGGACGGATTTGGTGATAACACAGAATTTGCCGAAATATGTATATTCAGTGGTTCCGACGGTATGCGTTTTTGGGAGGGAGAAGGATTTTTCATTTTGTAAATCTGGAAAATTTTCTAGTTTTACGAAAATTCCCCCTAACAACATTTCTCATTTTTCAGATTTTCTACAATTTCGAAACTCTTCCACCGGCCGAAATGTTTGAAGTTTTGATGAAATCCGAAGAGAAGGAAATTTGTTATCGAGGAAAACCGTTGGAACTTCCCGAAGATATTCTATTCGTTTTTATCGCCAAACATTTGGATCTCGAAAAATATTCCGAATCAATTGAGAAAATTGGTGAGTTTTCATTTTTAGTTTTGAAGAGAGAAGAAAAATGCCCAATAATTTTGTAGCTCGAAATCATACTGGTTCCATCGAGTTTGGACAATTTGGATGGACAAATATCGCGCGTCGAATCGCAAAAATCAGAAAATTTGTTGTCAATTCTTGGCGAATTTACAGCCGCTGATATTTTGGAATCACGAGAATTGACCCGAAAAATTACGGCATTTTTGTGATATATTGTGAAATATTCTTTTTGTGTATTTTCCAAATAAATATTTTCGTATAGATATCCTAGTTATTGACTCTACAAAATAAATTATTTTTGTAACAGAAAAACATTTTCAAAAATTCACTGTTTCAATAGTTTCATATAAATTTTTGAAAAAATCAAAACTTTAATAATTTTTCCAATCTCTGCCTCAGGCATACTCATTGCTCGCAAAACTGTGAGGGGGAGATCATGACATTTGGAAAAATTTTTCGAGGGTGGGGATCATTTTGGAAATTTTGAATCCCCGCCCGAATCAAAATTTCGATTTGGGCGGGTAGCTAATGAAAATTCACGCCCGAACAGCATTTTGGGGAGGGGGAGAAGCAGGGTCTATTGGGCGAAGATGCCATGTATCGAAAATTCTATGCAAATTAAAAAAAACTTGAATTTTAATCCTGAAATCATTGTATGCAAAATACAAACTTTAAAATTTTTAAAAATTCCAAACATTAAACCATAACTGTTCCCCATTTTTTTTTAAATCTGGACCCATATAATATTTGGAGCGTATTTTTCAAGAGGAAATTCTTTGAAAACTGAGATATTCTGTAATTTAGGTGGTTTCGAATTATTTTTCTTTGAGCAAAAATAGATAATATCAGCTAAACATCAACAAAGAAAATGATGCAAAAAATCTTCATCCCGTCTCCAAAAAAATGCAATAAAATATTCACTAAAAATAATTTTCAAAAAACTACGCTATTTCCTCATTTTGGTGGTTCTAAATTAGGCTTCGGATCAGCAATTGGTGTAGATGTTGGTGTTTTCGAATCCTCTGCACTCTGGTTTGAAGCAGGAGCAGGTGATTTTGCTCGACTTCCAGCTGGAACAGGTGGAATAACATCTTCATCTTCAGTGAATCCAATAGCACCACCTTCTGAACTATCATCATAATAATCATAAAAATCAGTTCCAACATCTTCATCTAATAAGAAATGATCACCAGCTCGACCATTTGGATTTAAACTCATTGAATGTTTCAAAGTTGGTCGAACTACCGGTATTTTTGACATTGCAGCAGCTAAATCAGTGAATGAAACAGCACGAGAAACATCTGATTTTTTCTCGCGTCGACTTGTTTGACGCTTGAATTTTTTGATGTCTTTTTCTTCGCCCAAAATTCCAGCACGATCGTTGATTATTAATTCGTGCACAACTTCACGGCCATATTTTAGACCAAGGTCCTGCAAGAATTGAGAATTTTTGTAATTAAAAAAATTAGATGAAGCATATACAAAATGTTTCAAAAACTTTTGAGAATTTTTTGAAACAGCGGATTTTTAGTTTTTATTTGAAAAAAATTGATGGATTATTTAGCATCATTTTTTATATCGAAAATTCATAAAATAAAATTTTACTGTGGAGTTTTTCACTATTTCAAAATTTTATTTTGGGCATTTCACGGCAGAGTGAGCATTAAATTATTATTCACCAAAAAATTTCTAAATTTTTTGAAACAGTGAAATTTTTTATTTAGTTTTGATAATTTTCTGAAAAATTGTTCTTGTTAAAAATTCGAATTCATCGAAAGAGCTTCGAATTATAATTGTAAAATTTTAACTGAACTGAATTCGTTCAATGAATTATGTATACAACCTCAGTATCAGTCTTTTAATATAATTATTAAGCATTAATAAAAAATTTGAAACAGTAATTTTTTCGTCTTATAAAATTCTAGAAATTTCAAAACTTTAAAAACATTTTTCAATCCAAAATTTCAAGAAATTTGAGAATATTCGGATGAATTTATTGCTTGGATTTAAAATGTGTTTTCATCAAAAATTATTTTAATATTTTGAAACAGTGAAATTTTTTGGATCAGAAAAAACAATTATCACAAAAACTTGAAAAACCAAAAATTAAAACTTTTTTTGAAACATTGAAATTTCAAGAAATGCGAAATTATTTGAATGAATTTTCTGGTGGAAAAAATTTGGTTCGGATTAAAAATTATTTTTCATCAAATATTATTTGAATATTTTAAAACAGTGAAATTTTTTCAATCCCAAAATTTAAAACTCACCATAATCTCTCTAAATTTATGAAAATCCAATGTTTTATATGGTTCAATAGGCGGTCTCAAATATCTACAATACGATGCTTTTTTGACGACTTCAAGTTGTCGAACACAAGAAACATAGGCGAGGCGACTTTGAATCTCTTCCATGTTCAGAATTCGAATTGGTTCACCAAATGGATTGAGACGTTTGAGGAGAACCCAAACACCACTTAGAGAATCACCGTAATCATACAAATTGGTTTCTTCAATTGATCCGACATCGCAAGCAATTACGCAACGAGCACCGAGATTTCTGAAAAAATTATATTTTTAAAACAATGTTTTGGTGCTTCATTGGATTTTGCTCAAAAAAATGATCACATAATTGTATTAATTTTCTTTATTTTGTTGAAAGATTCACATTTAGATTTAAAAAAAAGTATCTTTGAGAATATTTCCCCTCCAAAAACCTTACCTCATAACATCAGCTGGCACATTATTAACATATCCTCCATCTAACAACAAATGTCCATCTTGTGGATCACAAAGTGGCGGTAAATATCCAGCCAAAGACATCGATGCTCGACAATATGCCCATAATGGTCCTGATCGATGAACTCGCATTTCCGATGTACTAATATCAGTAGATATGCAAAAATAGGAGATCCACAAATCTTCAATCAACCGATCCTCAAACAAACTTTTAATCGACCAATTGAATTGTGCTCCTGTGAACATTGCACTATGCGCATATGTCAAATCCCACAATTTTCGCCACAAACTCGACATTGGTCGGAACCATGAAAATGCACGTTCCTCAACAATTACATCGTCTGGAGTTTCGGCATAGATTCCACCAATCATTGAGCCGATAGAAGTTCCGCCAACTATATCAACAGGTATGCCTTCTTCTCGAAGAGCTCGCAAAATTCCAACGTGAGCTGCTCCGCGAGCACCGCCACCGCCGAGAACTAAACCGATTGCGTTTCCGGTCAAAATTCGAGCGAGGCGAGAGAAATCCGAGCGGGGATCGGTTGTCCAGAACACATTTTTCTCGTAGTACGCGATCACTTCATTTTCAATGTTCTGCAAAAAAAATAATAATTTAAGAATGCTGAAACCAATTTTTGACGTATTTTTAATTTGTTCACTATTTCAAAAATTGATAAAATCTAGGATTTTATTTAAATTTTATTTTACTGTTTGAATACACGGCGAAAAATGGAAAATTAATTTCGAGTAAATATTTCTGAAAATTACTAGTTCCAAAAGTGCTGAAACCCTTTATCATGAATTTTCAACCAAAAAAAATATTACTGCAAACAAAAATCGCACAAAAATAACTGTTTTAAAAAGAAATGGAATATAAAATTCATATTAAAGTTGTGGTTCTCTCTTTCTTGGATTAGCAAACTTTTTTGTGAAATTTTTCACTGTTCCTAAATTTAGTCAGATTTATGATTTCTGAAAAATTGCGTTGCATAGCTACATTTGAAAATAATTTCTATTTTTAGATGTTTGATGACTTAAAATATTTTTGAAACAGAAACATTTTTTAAACATTGTCTACATTTAATTTCCACAGGTTTTTGTTGATAAATTAGTAAATGATGGAATGATCGAGAATATAATTGATTATTGAAACAGTGAAAATTTCAAATTTCAGTAAATTAGTTTTTTGAAGCTATTGAATTCCGAACATCATTTTAAGATCTTAATTTTCACCCAATATTTTTACACCAAAAATTTCCCCAAAAACCCCCCGCTCTAACCTGTGGTGAATACGTTTCAATGTGGCTATTTTTTCGATGTTTTCGATTCCATTGCAACATTCTTCGCGGTGCTCGAATATGATGATGTCCGGAGAAAAATGAATTATTGAGCCAATCAATAGTTCCGGATGGTGTATGTGTACTTTCGGGCCATAATAATATTAATTCTTTGTTGGTTCGAACACCGTCTTGATTCATGTTCATCAAATCTCGCATCTAGAATTGAAATTTGGTGAGTTTTGGGTGGAGAAATTTAAGATTAGCTTTATTTTAAATATAATATTATCTGGATTTTTTTTCGTGATATTTAGCGTTTAGTTTCTTTGAGAATGAAAATCAACGAAAGCCCAAAAAAACCAAAATTCTTTTGTTTTGAAAAATGTGTCGTAATGAGAAAATAAGAAGTCCGAATATTTATTGAAACGGCAATTTTTTTATAATTAAAATTTATCTTTATTTCGGGATTTTTGCGTCAAAATTATGGATTTGCTGGTACCAATACTCATTAGAAAATTTAAAAATCCTCATCTTTGTAAACTTTGAGTACGAAATGGAAAATAAATCAAAACTAATATATTAAAATCGCGAACAAATAGAAAAACTTGAATCAAATAATCAAAAACCTTGTTGAGCTACATAAAATTTTTGAAACAGCAAATTTTTGTAGAAATGAAAAATGTGTGTTTTCAAGATTTTTGAGGCGAAGTTATAGGAAAAAGATATCGAATTTTTTGTCAAATTTTTGAAAATTAATCAAAAGGTCTAGAATCAGAAACTTTCACCCACCAAAGTCTGTTTTTCGGGCGATTTTCCACCAATTCCAACCACCAAAATCGCATCAGCTTGTCTCAAACATCTTCGTGTCCAATTTGTTGGAGTGAAATCGCATTCATAAATTACCAGTGGATAAGTGTCTTCTTGAACATTCAGCCAATGCATCAGGCGAAAATCGGCTTGTCTGGAAACAATTTGAAATTTTCAAGGGATTTCAGATAAATCTAGGTTTTTCTGGAAAAACTAAAATCTAAAAACGCCTGGACTTATGCTAATTCTAGAAACGTTACTCATACTGCTGAACTTTATCATCCAAAAACCTAGGCTTAGGCTTAACAGAAATAAGACCTAATTTTCATCTTAAGCCTCCCATTGTTAATCTAACTCCTAAGCACTAAAAAATCCCCCAAAGTATTAGACTAACTTCTCCAAAACACTCGGATCCAAACACTGTGCAACTTTTTGCGAACTCAATCTCAAAACTCTCAAATTCGCCGACAGTGCATGATATAATTCACAAGTGAATGAAACAAGTGGAACATCCAAAGAAGATGGAACAACTGCAATTGTATGTAGATTTTTGATATGACTCATTGGATCGTGTGCTCCAATTTCATTTGATCGCATTACGGTTGGTGGAACAAATGGTGTTCGACGATTCATTTGACTATAATATTGACCGAGAAGTTGAACCAAGCGAAAACCAACCTGAAATTAATTTTGGGGTTTTGAAATGATTGAACATTAATTGCTTGTCGTTTGAGAATTTTAATCATAAAACCTTTTTTGAATTTACTGTTTCAAAAATTTTAAGAAGAAGAATACTGACACAAATGGAAAACACTTGAAATCCGAAAAAATAAACGAATATTTTGAAACAGCAAAATTTTTGGGAAATTCAAAATTTTTGCCTCAAAAACATGAATACATGCATTTTAGGGTCTAAAACTCATAAAAAGCAGAAATTCAATTTATTCGCAATAGATTTCAGCAAAAAAAAAATGTTGGGTGTATTTTAAGGAACGATATCAAGACTGATCAAAATCCTAGTAAATAAAACATATTTTTGAAACAGTCAAATATTTTTATGATTGAATTTTCATCAATTTTAGTGCCAAACATCCACGTGGCTTAGCTACCAGCAATTTTGTTTTATTGAAAAATTTTGTTTAAGACCAGACGTTCACATCAAAAACATACAAAATCTCAAAAAATTAAAGAATTTTCTGAAACAGAAAGTTTTTGGTGAACATTTTTGAAACCGCACGCATTTTCTTCCAAAAATAAAAATAACCAACCTGCGGAAACTGCATCTTAATAAAATTCAACAATCCTTCGGGAACTCTTGCCAATTGCGAAAATCGAACCGCCAAAACCGTAGTCGATCTCGGTTTTTTCGTCAAAACCTCCATCATTCCCAAAACATCGCCTCGTCCAAATTCCTCAACAACCGTCTTTTTTTCAACCGATCGAAGTCGACCACTTAGAACAACATAAAGTGAATCAGCAATATCACCAGCTCGATAAACCGCGTGTCCAGAATCGACTAGAACCCAATCCAATGCAAAATCAACGCCTCGGAGAAATGGAGAAAGTCGACGGAGAACGGAATGAGCAACTGGCAGGTAGATTTCGGGATGCGATTCGAGAAAACTGCAAAAAAAAGATGTTGAAAGAGGTTAGAGAATAATTTAACTTGTTAGACATCAGTGCATCAATTTCTGATGAAGGAAATTTTGATGATAATTTTTTGAAACAGTAAATTATATTTTTGAAAATTTGTAGAATTTTTCGATTTTTCGAGGAAACTTGGAATTTTTTAAGCAATTAGTGTTTTTGTTTTGAAACAGTAAAATTTTCCTATTATTATAATAATGAAAAAAGAATCCAAGAAAACGGAAAAAATCCAAACATTTCTATACAAAATTTTTGAAACAGTAATTTTTCTAGAAAATTATTCACTCTATTTTTTCCAGATAAAAATTATACTTATTTAATTTTGAAAGCCTTTCACTTTCTGAAAAAACGGATTTTCCGAGTATTTTCGAGATATTTTTTTCAAGAAGAAATGAGATTTTCAACCAATTTCGAGGTAATCAAACATGAAAATTAAATTCAGCATTATTATTATTATAAAATATGTTGAAACAGTGAATTTTTCAATTTTCGAAAGCCCCCAAAAAGACCTACGCCGAAAAATCCTTCTTTTTCATGACAGCTACAGTAGTCGGTGTGACAGATCGAATTGTATAAAAACTTGGCTCATTTGTCAGAATTTGCAAGCCACCAACAAGTTCTTTGGGACCAATTCGAATTACGGCACTTTCCACATTTTCTTCACAACTTTCTTCGTCGAAAAGCGAATCCTAGAAAAAATAGGGGGAAATTTGGATTTTTAAAGGAAAAAAACTAGTTTCATATGGAATTAGTATGAAAAATTCAGAGAAAATTCAAAAGTCACACTGAAAAAAAGCCTGTTAGTTTTTTTTTTCAACAAAAAACCTCAAAACTTTGGACATACCCTGTCAAGTTGGGCTAAAAATGCAGAACCTTGCTGAAAATTTCAGATGAAAATACCCCCAAAAATAGCCCATTTTTCGGTTTTGCTCACCTGACTCAAAATTAAATTTCCAGACAAGACCAGAAGCAAAACCTCTTCTTCAGCTCCTTGTTCAATCAATGTTTGTTTTGGTTCAAATTTTGAGATGTGAATTTTGTTGCCAATTTGTTCGGCGATATTTTCATTTCCAGCCAAACCGAAAGCTTCAGCCATCCATTTTCGAGCACAAATTAATTGCTCTTCTTCGGCTGCAAAAATTGGGAGGATTTAGGAGCTCAAGGCTAATTTTAGAGTCAATCTAGGGCCTAATTCTGGGGCCAATTTTAATGAATTCTAAGTAAAATTTTGAGGAATAAACTCACAATCATTCACATTGAATATTTTAATATCCTTTCTTTTTATCGATTGTTGTGCTTGAAGTTTGCTCGAATTATTGCTCAGGTTTCGAAGACGATCTTCCTCGCGGCTCTGGAAAATTTTTGGGATAAAAACATTGTAAGATAGTTAATAAATAAAAATATTTAAATTTTGATCTTAAAATCCACGTGTTGACTTACCCCTTTCATCAGTTCCGAGCTCAATCCCATATATTGATGTAAAGTTGTCAATGTGACATGCAATAGTCGAGTTATAACAATTTGAATCGGTCGAATCCAGGCTTCGGGATTTTTCGAATAACTCGCACGAAATGATGTGATTGGGAATTTGGCAACTCGACACGGTTCGGCAGCTTTTAAAGCGACAGTTTTGAAGACCGATGGATAATCAATCAATATATCCAACATGGATAAAAGTGAGAAGAAACTGCCACCGGCTGGAATACGTTTCACCAGATATTCTTTGCCTTCCATGTGCTACAAATAATTTGATTTCAATCTTCAAGACATAAACTGAAATTGTTAGAGCTCCCGCTTTCTCTTCTGCCTAACATAAGAAAACTAAGCTTAAAATTTCACGAAATTAACTCTATATAATTTCTTATGAGCCTAGATGTTTCATCTAATCTTCTAGGTGTTTTGTGATCATCAACGAGAATTCGAATAAATATTGAAAAACCCAATTCTATTCAAAAAATTTTTGAAACAGTATTTTTTTAAAACATTTTTTTAAGGTTAGGTTTAAACTTTCATCCTAGCCTAAGTCTAAAATTCTGGCCAAGCCTAAACCTAGGCTTAAGAAAAGCCGAGTAAACCTAAAATGTATTTCAAGCCTACGCCTGATTTTGGCTAAACCTAAGCCTAAACCTAGCCCATCTCATCTCCACAATTTTCCTGTCATATTTCCCACAAAAAAAAATCGGCACTCACCCTAATATGAACCGTCAATTCACCATCAATCGATACATAAATCCCATCATCGGGTTCACCGGGTTTCACCACATATTCTCCAGCTTTATAGCTTTTGACAACAATTTCTCGCGGGTCCAATTTCCATTCCGACGGTAGTTCGAGCATTTTCAGATTGTGGAGAATGTAGAAAATTTCGGGCGGAAGATTTTGTGGGATTTCGGGAAGATCGGTTGGTTCGAAATATTCAGTGGGTGGGAGAAGACGGGTTTCTTTCATGTTTTCCGAACTTTGACGGAAATAGACACTGCTACCACGACGGAGAAGACTGGAAATGAAGAAATTTGGGTGGAAATCGGAGGGATTTTGGTGGGATTTGAAGGGTGAACAATTTATCAAAACATCAAACATTTCATGAAAAAAAATTAATTATATAAATTTTTTGAAACAGTAAATTTTTTCGAAAATAGGAAAAATCACTTTCTTGTAATTTTGGCGCCACAATTTTTTGGCACTAAAAATGCAAAACTTTTCGAATAAAAAACTTGGCAAGCATCGCAGAAATTCAGAATTTTTGTTAACATTCAAATTTTTACGTGTAATTGTTTGATACGATGTAAATAACACTCGAGATCGGAACTCATTCAGATTTCGAAAAATGAATAAATTTTTTGAAACAGTGAATTTTTTGCAAAAATAGAAAAAATCACTTTCCTGTAATTTTGGCCCCAAAATTAGCCAAGCGGTCCGAAATTGAGTTTTTTATTTTCAAAAATTAAAAAAATCTCTCTTCCCACCAAATCCCATCTCAAACCGTACTCTTTAGCCATTTGAAATGCAGTGCTTTGTCGTCTTCTCGCTGATGATTGTCGTCTTTTTGTTCGATTCAAATTCGAACCTCCCATCACAGTATTTGCTTCATCGGAAGAAGAAGAACCGCCAGATGGTGTATTTCGGGGTGAATCTTGCTGCAAAAATAGTGAAATTTTAGAAAGGGTGAGAGGGAAATTGAGGGGATTATTGATTTTTTCAGAAGACGTTAATTGGATAATATTAGATAAATTTAGAAATTTATCTCAAAAATTCAAGTTCTCAAAACACTCACGACCAAACTTTTATAAATTTTCTTTGCCCAATCTCGTTTCCTCATTCTTCTACTTCCTCCGTTTCCAGGCATCGAATCCGAATGTTGTAAATTCAAAAAACTCGGAGGTTTTCGTTTTTTCGGCTCTTTTCCTTCGGTAGAACCATTATCATCTTCATTGTCAGTTTCAAGAATTGTCGATACTTTTTTGACTAATTCTGGAAGAAAATTGGGGATTTGTGGGAGAAAAATTGGAAAACTTTATGGGGCTATTCAAGTATTTTCTCAACACGCTAAGAAAACACGCTAAGAAAAAAAACAGGAGAAATGCGGAGAAAATGCATTTTCTTCACTTTTTTCGTATTTTCTCAGCCTACCTGAATAGGTTTTCTTCGCATTTCTCCTGTTTTCTCAGCGTTGAGAAAAGAACTTGAATAGCCCCATTATAACAAAGTTCATATTTTTCCACGTGAACTTTGAGAATGAGTGAAATTTTTAACATTTTGGTAAAAAATATCTAATGTTGCTCATTTTTCACCAAAAATTCCGATTTTTGCTCCAAAAACTCGAACTCACTTAATGGCGAACCCGAAATCGATGGTGAAGCAGAAGAAGTGGCTGAAGAGGGTGTTGAGAAACCGAAAAAATAATAAGAGACGAAAAATGCAATGGCACCCGCTAGACAAATTGATAGAAATATGAGAAGAACCTGGAAAATTGAATGATTTTTTTGAAAATTGTGTGATTTTGCGCTTATTTTCAGTCTTTTTTTGCATAAAAACAGCTTGAAATCTCGAATTTGCATCATTTTTCACAATGTTTTGATCATTTTCAGCCGAAAATTATCAAATTTCCCCCCATTTTCAGCCCAAAAACTCACATGACTATAAATAAATGTGACAATGGATAGAATTGTTGAAAATATCGAAAATATCATCTTTCACGCATTTACGAATGAATAAAAATGTCTGAAATGATCGAAAACAGTTTTCGTGGTTTTTTCTCAAAAAAAAATAAATGACGTAGCAAAAAAAAATTGGGTCACGTGACGGGAAAAAAAAACCATTTTTGAGACAGACTAGAGTGTAGTTTTGAAGAAAAAAAACAGGGGAAGAGTGGAGGTCAAAATAAATGCAGCTGAGTTTTTGTGAGAATTTCGATGGCCTAGAAATCCAAAATTGGCCTAGGATATCAAATATGCGATTCTTCTGGTCGAAAAACTCAAAAATGAGCATCTGGTGGCCTAGAAATCCAAATGAAAAATTCTGATGACCTAGGAAGCCTCAAAAAACTAGTCCGCAGCCTGAGGAACTCACGCAAAACTATACGGTGACTTAGAATTCTAAAAAACCAAATATATAATTTCGGTGGCCTAGAATTTCGAAAAATGGCCTAGAAATCCAAATTTCACTCAAACTCCCGGGAAATGTTGCAAATTTCTCATAAAAACCTGCTATTAATCAGCTGTCTATCGCCAGCCGCAAAAATGTGAAATAAGATAAGAGAAAAAATATGTGTGTTTCAAAAATCGTATAGAAAATGATATTTTTATTCAAAGCCACGTGACGCTTTTCGTGTTCAAAATGACAAAAAAACGAGTGTGTAAAAACGATGTTTTTACACAAAAACTCAGATTTTTATGAAAAAATGCGAAATAATTATGGTCTAGAGATAAATAGAGCGTGAAAAACCAAGGTAGACAGGGAAGAAATGAAAAATTGGGGAAAAAGTGATGACAGAAACCCGATCCACGTGGTTTTTCAGGAAGAAAAACTGAAAAACATTTTATTTTTGGGGGAAAAAGTGAAAATGTGATAGAACAACTGGCTGGCTGGCTGGAAACAGATTAAAGACCGGTTTTGAAAAATGGCAGTGGTTTTCTAGGCCACGGACGAGATTTGGAAGGATTTCTAGACCCTGGAAGATGAAAAAACATTTTTTCTGCACTTTTCTGGGAATTTTCCCTCGCCCACAAATTATTTTAATTTGATTTTTGATTAGACAACAAAAATTCCGTTTTTTTTTGTTTCATGAAAATTTACTAAACAAATAATGCAAAAAGTGCAAGAAATTAGATATTTTCGAGGGAAAAATAGTTTTTTTTGTTGAGGGAATTTTTAAGCCAAAAAAATAATTTTAAAAAATGAATTTTTGGAGCTTCAAAAATCTGAAAATTGTATTTTTAAGACGAAAAAAATCTGAAAATTTGGAGTTTCAGAATACTGACAAACATTTTTTTTTTCATTTTCCCAAAAAACACTCAAAAAAATCTGCATAAATCGTATATTTCTCCAGATTTTTCTCGAATTTATTCACAAAAAAAATAAAATTCACAAGGATGCTAATCAAGTTCACATAGTAGCGCAGCAGAAAAAAACAGGAAAAAAGAGGTTTTTGAAAAACGAGGAGAGAGAGAATTGAGCAGAAGAGACGACAGAGAAAAAATGTGCTTGACTTTTTTCGAAGCGAAAAAAACGGAGAAGAAGATGAAGAAGAAGAACACCGCGAAAAATTAATGAGAATTTTTGACGAGAAAAAAGTGAATTTTCAAATTTTTCCTGGGAAACCAGCAGACAATGGTGAAAAATTGAGCTAGAAATATCCCTAAAGCTAGTCCGCGGCCTAGAAACCCGAATATAGGATTTTGGTGGCCTAGAAAATCTTCCAGGGCTTGAAATCCTCCTAGTCCGCGGCCTAGAAAATCTTCCAACCGTGTGAAAAACTAGTCCGCGGTCGAGAAAACCAAAAATCTCCATTCCTACATCAAAAAACATCATTTTCTTTCATAAATAATTGATTAATGAAAAAAACACATAGTATCCATCAAAAATTCACGATTTTCTCAAAAAATTTTCAAATATGTATTCGTTTTTAATTTTTTTCAAAAAAAAAACAACATCTCATGACATAGTTTTTCAGTTGTTATCTGATTGAAGGAAAAAAGTACTTTGATACAGGTTTTTGATAGTTTTCACGTGACCCAATTAATTTCTTTATTTATTTATTTATGAGTAACAGGAAAAAAAGAGAAAAAGAGACCATAGCCTAGAATTATTCAAAATCTAGTCCGTGACCTAGAAAACCAATTTTAATTCTAGGAAAGCTCTCAAATCCAGCCCATGGAGAAACAAAAATACTATAAAAAAATAATTTCGTAATTATCTTTGAGAATAGTATTTTTTCTATCAAAGAAGAGGAAAAAAGAAAAAAAAAAGAAGATAAGAAAAGTGTTTATTGATACTATGTTTTTTGGACTTGGAAACTGGAAATTGAAAAGCACTTAAAATATTTTTGAAACAGTGAACTTTTCAAATCAAAAAACGATAAATGTTTTCCATTTTATTTCAGTTCTGAATTTTAATTTTAAAAATTTTACTGTTTCAAAAGTAATATTTTGAAATTTCATGACTAGAAAAATTGTTTCACCGATTATTTCATTTAAAAAATGTCACTGTTTCAGAAAAATTTCGAAATAGTTTCTGATGTCAAAACAAATGTTTTGTAAGAGGAAAGCTTCTCAAAAAATCTTAAAATTCCGAATTCATATTTGAAAAACTCACTGTTTCAAAAACAATTCAGAATATTTTCTATCTCAAAAAATTTCAATACGGCTTTCCAAAAATTCGTAGGAAAATTAATTATTTTTAATTGGAAGAATTTCTTCAAAAACTCAAACTTCACTTATTTTTCAAATTTTTTCCACCTCGTTAAGCCAAATCCGAAAAATCCAAAACAAAAAGCCAGGCAATCAAGGAAAAAACGAAAGAAAAAAGAAGAAAGGAAGATTTTTTGGTGCTAAAATGTATGTTTTTGGATATTCGAGCTTTCTTTCTTTTTTTGAAAGAAAGAAAAAAGAAAGAGAAAAGGAAAATATTCCCAAAAGGCATTTTTTGGAGGACAAAAAATTTGGAGGGAAAAAAGTTTTTTGAGGTGGGAAAATTGTGAATGCTTGAACTTTTCTGGAAAAAATCGGAAATATACAGATTTTCTAACATAAATTTCAACAAATTAGAAAATTTGAATTGAAATACATAGAATTGCTACGTGGAACTTTGAATATGGTCCGAGATTCGAAAGAATTCCATGTGAACTTGAAATTTCTAAAATAAAATTTTAGGTCGAAAAATTCAGCGATGCTTTGAGAACCTTTTCAGAATTATCTAACAATGTTGGGATCTGGAAATTTTCAGAAAAAAATAGAGAACAAAAAATTACTGTTTCAACTTAATTTCATTATATTTTTGTTTTCAAAACACTTATTCAAAAATCAGCTAGGAATATTTTCATTAAAAAATCCACTGTTTCAAAAACTTTTAAATAAAAATTCCATTGTCAGTGGAAAACGTTAGTGATACGAAAACCTAACGATGGTTTAATAATTTTTTTATTATTGAAATTTAATTTGAAAATTGAAAAAAAACTTTAGCGATCAAAAATGAACTTCTTTCAAAAAAAAAAACTCAAATTAGTAATCTCGAAAAATCACTGTTTCAAAATGGTCTAATAAATTTTCAATGATAAATTCCAGTTATTATATCTATCAAATCCGGGAACCCATCAATTAATGAATAAAAATATATTCTCAACAAAAAAACCATTCAAATACAAAATTTCGCCGCCAACAAAGAAGACGGATAAGAAATTCAAAAAACCCAAAAATCTTCAGAAAAAATTTGTTCATTTCGATTTCAAGTAATAAAAGGGTCCCTAAACATTTACAAAAAATAGAAGAAGTTTGAATTTGTGACAAAAATATACATTAAAAATGAACTGGCATGAAATTTGGGGCCAGATATAATTTATATACAAAAAAAAAAAGAAGAAGAAGAAACGTGGGTATTCACAGGGCGGAGAAAAAAATCTACAAAAATGGAGAAAACGAAGTTAAGGCAAGTCTAGGAAAAAAACCGGGAGAACAATCAAAAATCATAATTTTTCGCGCAAAAATGGCAGTTTTGCGGGAGCAAATTCTAGGTTTGGGTTGGTCGATTTCCTTGTCCTGGAACATGGTGAGACCAATCGGCAACTTGTGGTCCCATTGTCAAATTTCGGCGAGATGAGGTACTGTAGATTGGCAATACTTCACTTGCTTCAACTGGGACAGCCTGAAAAATCGGGAAAATATAGGGAGTGTTTGGAGGCGGAAATACAATAATTTCTGTTTTCGGGAAAATTTTTCATATTCTTGCGCCAAAAATCAACTGTTTAAACCTAAAAAATTCACTGTTTCAAAACTAAACGAAAAAAATTAAAATTTTCAGGCTGAACATTTCACGGTGTTTGAAATAACAGACGACTATGTGTATTGAATTGTTTCTGTTCAAAGCACAATTTATTTTAAAAAATTTGAAACAGTAAATTTTCTGATTTTTGGGTCCAGATTTTTTTAGAAATATTAGAAGCTCATGATTTTGAAAATTGATTTTCGAATAGAAAAATCCGAAAATTATGAAAAATTTGAAACAGTAACTTTTGTTGAAATGTTCAATAGAAATATTGAATCGTTGCTAGATTTGATTATTTTTCGTATGAAAAATCCAGAATTTATAAAATTTTTGAAACAGTAATTTTTTTTAGCCGGAAAATTTTGAAAAATTTAATATTGAATAATTCAAAAAGTAATTTGATTATTGGAAAATTCCGAATTTTCGCATCCAGATTCCAAAAAAGCCCCACAAACCTTCAAATAAATACACGCATCAGTTCCATGTCCTTCCATCGAAACCAAAAACAAATCACCCAAAAAATACCGAGCATAAAGACGGGACAATGGTAAGCCGTATCCATAACCAGCTAATGGTGCTTGTGTTCCATCTCTTGGTGGAGGCGGAGCTGTTGAATACATATAATTATAGAGACGTTCGAGAATTGTGCGAGAAACACCGCCACCTCGGTCGCAGATCTGCAAACAGAAGCAAATTGGAGGGTGATTTTTAGAAGCGGCAACAAAAATACATTTTCGGGAACTTTCTGAGAAAATTTAGAATAGTTCAGAAGATTTTGATAATTTTCAGCCAAAAAATTAATAAAACAAAAAAATTTTCAGGAAAATTTGGAGAAATACAATTTAATGAAAAATTAAAGTGCTTTTTGAATTTTTTTTTTGCATATTTTTTCACTGTTTCAAAAATATGTGAAAAACTCGAAAATATTGGAATATGTGTTTCATAAAGATGGTATTCATCACAATCTAATAATCTCATCAAAAATTAAAGAAGCCCACGAACAATGATTTTGAAATTGAAGAAATATTTAAAAACTCCAAAATTGCTGTGATAACTTTTCTAGCTCAAAAATTCATCAAACATCCGCTGTTTTCAACAATTCTGCCTGAATTTCAAGTATTTTCTAACTTTAAAAATCTAACCTTAATCGATAAATCCTCATGTCCTTTGACAACAAACACTTTGATATCCGGTAAATCGTCGTCAACTCCATGAAATTCGACAGTAGCTCTCATGGCATTCTGCAAAAAAAATTGGATATTTTGATTGATTTTCGAAAGAAAATGAATTTTTATTCAATTTTCAAACTTATTTTCGTTAATCTTTAAAATTTGTAATAAAAAACAAGAGTTCTATTAGTTTTTTCGGCTCAAACTCCGTCTTTTCCCAATTTTCATCCCAAAAATTCCTCAATTTCCCCCAATTTTTTCGGCGAAAAATTTTTCCCTTGCAAAAAATAGTATAGTATTATAGGTACAAAGATCACCCACGTGTTTGATAACAATCTTTTTTGTTTGGAAAATAAAAATAGCGAGGTCGAAAAACAAGATAAAAATATTGATTTTTCGGATAAAAAATATGGGTTGTAAAAAAATATCACAATTATGCCCCAAAATCTTTGAAAAATCTCACTTTAAATAACTCAAACATCATATGATATAAATGACTTGGAACAGCAACAATTGAAATCGGTTTATCTTTTTCCACATGATTGTGCATTTCGAGTTTCATTGATGGACTTGTCAAATAATATCGATCGCATAAAAATCTGCAAATTTCGATTTTCGGGACCAAAAAAGTGCATTTTAGGTCCAAAAATAAAGGAGACCGACAGCTGTTAAACAAAAAAAGTACCTAGCATTTTCGAAAGCGTCATAAACCACGGATTCCACGTCACAAGCCGGATCAATACAACCAACATGACGTGGACTTTCGGGAAGAACATTGCCGAAAACGACCTGCAAACAAATTTTGATTTAACTTTTTTGATAACGTTGAAAAAGGAAAAATCAGAAATTTCGAATTAAATTGAAAATATAATGAAATTTTGAAACAGTCATTTTTTTGTAGAATAATAATTGATAAATTGAACGCAATAATATATCCCCAAATGTTTTTCAAGCTGGAAAACCTTCGAAAGTAGTGTTCATCCATTTCAAAAATTATTGAAACAGCAAAGTTTTTGCACACGTTTTAATAGCCAAAATTTTCCTCATGTTATTTTTTTCTGTTGTACTAGCATAAACAATTCAAATGTAATTTTTTTGAAACAGCAAATTTTTTACCCAAAAAAATTCAAACACCGGAACAAAATAAAAAACATTTGGAAAAATTCATGAAATTTTGAAACAGTAAATTTTTCATGTGTTTTTCAGATTGAATTTCGAAATAAAAATAGTAGAATTTTTGGAGAAACGAAAAAATTAAGAACATTTTTTGAAACAGTGAAATTTTAGAAATGTATAGAAACCCACTCTCAAAATATCACTGTTTCAAAAAATATCCTAATTTTTTTTGATTTGCTATTGTATCTATTATTCTCGATCTCGAAGAGAAATTATCCCGAAATATGAATAAAAAATCTTGAGCATTATTTGAAATAGTAGTTTCTCGTTGAATTGTTGCCTTAAAACTTAAGATTTATACTGATTCAGGGATCAAACGGTTCATCGAAAAACGTGGAAAATTTGTTAGATATCAGAAATTTTGAAACAGCAGATTATTTCATAAAATGTTCATTTTCAAATGATAAAAACTCACCAAATGTTGATTCTGCAACATTCTTATAGATATCCGATTAATATAAAACCGATCCAAAAAATACTGAATTCCTTTTTCACTTGCAATATCAACTCCATCCGATTCTCTCAATTCAATCAATCCTTCAGCCATCGTTTCAACAACATGTGCATGTCTTTTCAAAACCACAGTAAGTTGATCATTGAATCTCGAAACATGTTCTGGTGAAGCATCCGAATTTTCGAATAACAAAAGATCTTCGAAACTTTCCGCATACCAATTCGAAACCATTTTTGATGATGGCATTTGGAGCAATTTTGGTGGAAGAAGTGTGAATTCTTGCATAATATTGGCAAGTCGAACTAGCAATTCATTTTTTAGAAAAGAGTAGGAATTGGCGGCGGTTCCGATTCGACCGAAATCCAAATATTGTTGAATTGTTAGCGAAGATGGTTGAAATTGACTGTAGTAGTCGAGCTTTTTGGCTAGACTTCCCACAAATGGACCAAGTAATTTGCGAGAGAATCGCATCTGGAAAAAAAAAACTTTTCGTTGGTGAGGGTATAGAATGGAGAAAAATATAAGGAGAGAATTGAAAAAGTTAACTGGTCTTTTTTAGATTTCATCTAATTTCAGCCCATTTATTTTTACTTCAGCCAAATATAGCACTAAAACTGGAAATTTAGAACAAAAACACAAAATCAGAGCTCTATAAATATAAGCACTTTTTCTTTCCGATTTTTGAGCGAAAACAAATTTCGAAACAGAAAAGCGAGCTCAATCAGCAGTGAGAACAAAACAAAAGTTTAAAATGAGAAAAATAATAAATCGACAAAATGAAAGTACAAGTTCACTAAAAACACCGAGCACTTTCTCTTAACACAAAACAGAGAAAAAGAACGGCGGAAAATCGAAAACGCACGTTTTGACAAAAAAGACGCCAATACTCGGAGACTGGCGTTTTTTGTGTCTAAAAACACAGATTTGAATTTGAATTTTGCCGCCTTTTTGAGTGCTTTTTTGCGGGGAAAATCGGGGATTTTTGGGTTTTGAGGGACAATTGAGAGCTTTAGAGATTTTTAACGAGTTTGTCAAAGTAAAACTAAAATTTGCTGAAACTTTGAACATTCGCAATATTTTCGAAATGAATCGAAAATGATTTTCATGCGTGAAAATCCTTTACGTGACCCATTTCTTGAAATTAATTTTAAAAAATGCTCATTTTCACAGTTTTCATCATGAAAAGTGGCTCGTGGAAATTAAGGTTAGTCATATGAATGAATCTCAATATTTTTTGGCAGCTGAAATCTCTTGAAACCACCACAGGACTCCCAAAAACCCGCTAAAACCAAAAAATAATTATTATCTCGCGAGGAAGACGCGTTGGATTTATGCGCTGTTTGAGTCTCGCAGCGCGCGTAAGCCGCAGATGATAATTGCAAATTGGTCTCGAAAGTCTACCGTAGTTTCTTTAAAGGCGCATTTGTTTTTGAGCCCGCGAATGTTTGAATTCAAAAAAAGGAAAAACATTTTTTCTTTTTTTTTTGTTTTCGTGTTTCCAAGCTTTTTTCACCTCTCCAAGTCAAAATCTTAAATATTAATATTTTCAGCCATGGTTAACGCATCAGAATTGGAGTTAACATTGGATCGAGTGCCTGTAGAATATCCAGCACTCGTAAAAGAAGCAGTTTTGAAGATAAATCGTTCAGAAGTTCCGACAAATTGTGCAACCCTTAACGATTCCTATTGCTGGTTCTTATCTAAAGGCAAACTTCTGATCTGGGAAAGAATAATCAGAAATCGCAATTCAATTCCAATCGAGCTAACACTTCCACCATCAGGATTATTATTATCAACAAAATGTGTAGTGATTTATGAAGTTCCCTCTGCAAAATCCAGCAAAAATCCACCAGCAGTTCTTGCGATTTCCCCAGAAGGTGTTCTTCGTCACTGGCCATCAATAAAATCACAAACTTTCTCGGAGAAAATCTTGGATTTAGGAAGTGAAGTTGTTCTTCGTGTAGAACTTGTGGACCGCCCAACTTTTGAGAAAAACGCAAATTTCATACTTACCACAACTTCGGGGAGTGTCTATTTTATCAGTGGAGGAAATTTGGAAGCTCACAAAGTTGCTGGAAAAGAGGCACATGGTATAAAACGTCGAATTTCTTCAATAATCTTTGGCGGGCTATCAAAAGAAGTATCATTGGTCCGAAACAGTATTCTTATTCGAGAAAATAATCGGGATATAACTCCTCTAAGTATTTGTATTTCTCCTGATTATCTCACAGTTTATGATATCTCAACAGGAACTGAAGTTTGGACTCTAAAATCATCCGATTTTTTCCAAAACTTTGCGGTAAATTATATCGAATCTGATGGAAACACAGCTAGAAATGTTCGAACTCAATTAGTTGATGTGGCTGAATTTCGAAATGGTTTTGATGGTTTTAATAGCAGCAAGTCATGAAGATGCAAATACCTTCGGATTATATTTGATCTATATTTCTGGAAATTGGCGACAAGAAATACCATTAGATTCATCGTGGTCTTGTCGTGTTCCACTTCCAGAAGCTCGCGCATTGTTTTTGAAATCCAACGATTCAATTTTGTCCAATTTAACACTTTCGATTCCCGAAAGAACTGCTGAATCGAAAACTTCGGAAAGAACTGATGGAATTATGATAATTAATCCGTTTTTTGTGCAAACTATGTATGTTCCGGATGATTTGGAGAATTTAGAAGCTTGGAAATTGACATTGTGTAAATCGATTAGTTTACCGGCTAATGATCAATTAATTGGTGTTGGTGAGTGTTTTGGGGGCGAGGGTGAAATCAAAATCAAGTGAAAATCGTGATTTTCTGTCACTAAAATCCTTGCCTAGCTGAAAATTCACAAAAATTTTGATTTTTTTACTCAAAAAACCATTGTTGGGGTGTTAGTTTTTAATTTTCCACCTGAAAATCACTGGAAAATATTTATTCCTCATTTTTCAGCCACATGCAAACAATATTGCTACATTATGTTACTAAATTCGGGCGTTGCAACAATTCGTCTTCTTCCAAAAGGATTTAGCGGAACTCAATCTGATTTTACCACAACAACAACATCAACGAATCTCGAAAATCACCAAAGTTCTCCAAAAACTTCCGGACCCGAAGATTGGGGAATTCTATCGGAGATTTTATCAGAAATGGTTGCCACAGGTCTCCCAAAAACTGTCCAATTAAAAACTTTGAACAAAGCATTTGAGCTTTTCGGCGAAAAAGATATGGTGAAATCGAATTTGGAATTGACGAAAATGGTGGAAAAAGTGAGGAATAATGGAGAGTTTGCGGCGATTGTTGAACAATATTTGTATGCGATTATTGATTATACGGATGCAGCAAATACGGTTGAAACTGAATTGAATGCTAAACAGATTTTGACATCGAGAATGTTGCTGTTTTTGAAACATATGGGAGTTTTTGAGAGGGTTTTGACGGCGAAAATTATTGGTGAAGAAGGAGAAGAGAGAAATGGAGCAGCTGTTTTGGGAGAGGTAACAGAAGGTTTTGGGGTGGGAAATGCTGAAAATTATAAAACTGATTCACCAACAAAAAAAGATCAATTGACGAAAAGTCAAAATCTAGAAAATTTACTGTTTCAAAATTTCTTGAAATAAATAATCTTGAACATTTTCATTGATAAAATCTTTCAACCATCTGCAAAATGCACAAAATACCCTGAAATTAATTTCAGATAAATGAACGTGTCGCAGCTTCATCATCAATCTGGAAATGGAGAAATATCGATAATACAAATGCAAAATTATTCGATTTAATCATGGAAAAAGCGCTGAGAAGTGTTCCCGAATGCATCGAAATTGGCTTGTCAGATCGAGACTCGTTTTTCGGAAAATGTGCATTTGTTCACACAATTCCACAAGTTGCACTAAATCAGTTGACGGCAATTTTAGCGCGAGAAAATGGCGCCAAATTTGAGCATTTTAATGCGATTTGTGAACTGTTTATTGCGATTAAAGAAGGAATATTGGCGTGGAGAAGGTGAGGAGTTTTGGGGGTGAAAAATATGGGGAAAACAATTTATTGGCTGAAAAATCTTGAAGTTTTCCTCACAAAATATAAATTCAAATAATTTTTGTGTAAAAAAATCACGAATTTTTGAAAATTCCAATTTTTTAAAATAATTCAAAATTATCAAACAAATATCATTTTTCAGTCTAGATTTTCAACGTGAAAAAGTAGTAAAATTTATAACCTGAAAAATGCGGGAAAAAATACGTTTCAATATATTTTTATGAGTTTTGTAGCGAAGTCAAAAAATAGTGGTTGAATTTCCCTCTGAGCTCAAAAAATACTCGAAAATTTCTCACATTTGCTCTAAATTTCACCTTAACTTCCTCATTTTTTCAGATCCAAATGCTCAATTCCAAAATCGAAAAACTGGTGGACAATTCAATCAATTCTTCCAAGTTATCTCGAAATTTCGCAAAAACTTCGAGACGAATTAAAAGATGCAAAATGTTCGGAAAGTGAAAGATCTCGATTATATTCATATATTTTATCGATTTATGATTTTTATTTGGGAGAAATTGATTGGCAACCAAATGCTGATCAAATATTGATGGATATTATTTTATTGGGAAAAGTATCGGATGGATTGGCGTTGGCTGAAAAACACAAAGATTTTGGAGTGTTGGTGAAAATTACGTTGAAATCTGATCGAAATACGAGACAAGTTACGCTAAATCGATTGAAGAAGTTGTTTGAGTTGGATGATTTTGAAATGTATTTGTGTGAATATTTGAAAACTCATGGTTCGTTTTTTTGGGGTGGGGGTTTTTAAGAAAAATGTCTCCTAAAAATGTCTTCTGTTTCAAAAAATATTGAAACTGAAACGCTTTTTGTTGAAAGTAATGAAAGTTTTCATAACTTTTCAAAATTTCAAATTTACAGAAAGTAACCCATCTGATGAAAAATGTTGAACATTTTCATAAAATACAATATTTCCTTAATTTTTGAGCGGAAATTTGAGTTTCCAATCAAAAATTGACAACGAATTTTTGAAAGTTGACTATTTCAAAATTTTTAGAAATTTGGTGAAATTGAAAAAATTCTACCTGAACTTTGCAGGTCTAAATGATGTGCTCCTCGAACAACGTGGTGAACGTGTCGACGCATATCTCGACAATTTCAAAGAACTCCGATTTTCCCGTGAAATTTCGAATAAACAATATTCAAAAGCCGCTTATACATTAATGAGTTTGGCCGACAACGAAACTAAGTCTTTCAAAAAATTCACAGATTATTTGATGCGTGCCTATTTCTGTGCAAAAGCCGCGAATCCGGGAGATCAGGGTGTTCAAGAAGTTTTGCAGTTCTATAAAAAGCGGCTGCCCGAATTGAAACATCGAAAAACAATTCCGCCGAGTGTTTTTGCGGCGGCTCATGGAAATGATTATGATGTTATGATGTCGGTTGAGGAAATGTTGGAATGGAATATGACATTGCAAGATGATCAAATTGATGGATATATGAGAGCATTGCATTTGTTGGCGGATTTGATTGCGGTTGAAGAAACTGGAGAACAGGAAATGGTTTTGAGAGGTTAGAGAGGGAGATTTGAAACATTTCGAGACTAAATATGATTGGGTCTGAAAGATTATTCGCGCAGCGGCCACGTGGAATTATACGGAAGATTTGCCACCTCATAGAAATCCACAAAATTCTTCACGGAATTTCTTTTTAATAAAAATGGGGATTTTCAGACGAGCTCTTAGAAAAATTCAAAACTTTCTTCTCTCTGAAAACATGGAAAATGTGCATTTTCCCACCGGGAAGCCTCTATTTTTCTTTCAGAAATCACTGATTTTTAATCGCGGAAGTGATTTTTCATATAAAAACTGGTTTTTTTCGGTGAAAAAAGTTGCTGTTTCAAAATTATTTTCTGTGTTTATCAATCTAGATTCAATTTATTGGATTTGATACGGGTGTTTTAGAAAAATTTCAGTAATTTTTCAAAAATAGATCTTTTTGTAGAACGAGTTGATTCGATTTGGCAACAATTATTGGATTCAGAAGAATGGAATCGAGTTAAAATTCGAGAAGATATTGAAAATAAGACGAATTTCGGACAATTGTGCACAGCGCTGATATCGAGTTTTTCGCATGAAAGTGAGTTGGCACTAAGTTGAACTGGGAAATTTTGGGGATTTTTTGAACTAAAAAGTAGAGAAAACTTCGTAATAATCTAGTTTTCAGATAATTTTTTTGAAATTTATCATCTCCAGTTGAAAATATCTTCTAAAATCCCTTTTTTTGTTGCAGAAGGCAGCAGTTTTCCGAAATGGATGCCGAACGAGCGACTTACGATAATTCCTCGAAATTTTGATGATATTTTGGCGAAATGTGAATTTGATATGGATGGAAAACACGGTGCTTGGATTAAAGCGCACATGAAATTTGTTGGAGGAGAATTGAGAAAACAGGCCGATTTACCAGAGGTTTGTGTTGAGGGTTTTATGGGAAAGATTTATTTATTTTTGTAAAACTGATTTTTGAATACAAAATCCCTGAAAATGTTCCGTTTTGTTCTTGTTCATAATTTTTGTTCTTCAAAAAATTTCACTGTATCAAAAAAATTATGATTTTTGATTATTTTCAATTTTTTTGATTAATAATCGATTATTGATTTATATCAATCAAGCTTCTCAAATTTTCATGGAAATTTACCTCGAGCAATGTGAATTTTTAATTTCAAAATTTGATAACCATTCTTTTTCATATGAAAAAATCTCACTGTTTCAATTGAAATTGATGAAGTTTTGCAGGGTTTATCAGTTTGAAAAACTCATTTTGTTTTTTAATTGTGGACTTTTCAACTCTAGTTTTCACGTGAAAAAAGTTGCTTGACAGAAGTTTGGAATTTTTTAATTCTAGAAAATCTCACTGTTTCAGGAAGTTTTATAAGTGTTGAACATTTTTGATCAGTTGTTATCCAATTCAACTTTTCCTAATCCAAGAGTATCCAACTACAAACCACAATTTTTGCACAATAAACCGTTTCTAAAAAATTACTTTGCTTTTCGGAACCAAAACTCATGAAAATATAGTTTACGAAAATTATTATGAAAAATCTCACTGTTTCAAAAAATTTATGAGTTTTAATGTGTTTTTGAAATATGTTATCACGGGGCGAAGATTCACAACTTAATCAAAAATTATCAATTAATCTGAAAAAATCAATTTTTTATTTTCAGGAAGCATTTTATCATCCAGACAGTGTGAATACCGGGTCAACATCATCGGCTGTTTTGAATTGGTTCAAACCAATGATGGAATTGCGAGAACAAAGATGGGCGAATTCAATCGAAGCCTAATTTTCCTTCCTCTAATTTTTTAATTTTTTTGGTGGATGTTGGCGCCAAAATTGCCACTTTTTACCGGTATTTATTTGATCTGTTGAATAGATTTTATGATTTTATATTTGGAGTTTTCTTGTATTTTTCATTCGTTTTCAAGCGAGGTTTTCTATATTCGTTCTTTTCTGTTTTCATCACAACAAATTGCAGGTTTTTAGGATTTGAATCCGTTCTTGGAGCAGGTTTTGGTGAGTTTTTTTTGGGGAGAAATTTGAAAATTGTATACTCAAAAATATATATGAAATTATTTTTATATTTTAAAAAATTGTTCCGTAGTTTCGTTGGCATAGAAAAATCTGAAAAAACATCTGAAATTCCTAATTTATGCTGTGGAAATCAGAAATGTTTATGAAAAATTGAATAGTTTCAAAAATTTTCACTGTTTCAATTTTACCTATTATTTTTTTTTTTAACATTTTTACAACAGATCTTGGGAATTGCATTCACTAAAAATTTAAATCCCTTAAAATTCGGTTAAAATTTTGAGCCTAGAAATATATTTGATAGCAAATTGTTGCTAAAAATTTTGAGTTTCGTGAACTCAAAAAATGTACGTTTCAAAATTTCTAGAACATCTTAAATGTTTCCCAAAGTCGTTCCGCAGTGCAATAGACATTCTTTTAGAATAATTTAAATTTTCTTTCCCATGAGAAAATCTACTGTTTCAAACTTATGATATTAATTTTAATCCTACTGAAAATGCGAACAAATTTTGAGATAACTTTACACTGAAAAAACTTGTTACAAGAAAATTGAATAATTGTGATTCAAATTGAAAATAAGTACAAATTTTGCACCAAAAAAACGATTTTTCAAACCGTGAGACGGCATAAAAATGAACGTTTCTTTCTTTCAAAAAAAAACCACAAAAATTCACTGTTCCAACAAAAAAATAACAATAATAATTCATCTTCTAAATAACTTTCTCCCTTTTTTTCACCTTTTTTGTTATCTCAATATTTCTCGCCTATCTATTTTCTTTCTTTTTTTCTCTACGTGTTCACTTTCCTAACTAACTTATATTCTTTATTAATTAAATTAATATTTTCCACTAGAAAATGTGAAAAAATGTCATTTTCCAAGGGAATTTTGACGGTTTTCCCGATTTTTGTTGGCGAAAAATCGAACAAAAATGATGAGAATGTGAGAATTCAGGAGTCTTTAGACGATAACGATTTTTCTGGCCTAGAAAACTCCCAAAATCTCCAATTTTTCCAGATTTTCACACTGAATTTGAGTCATAAAATGGATGGAATTTTGAGTTACGAAAATCGACAATTGAAATTGGATAATGCACCAATTAGTAAGTTGTTTTTTATGTTTTGAAAATTTTTTTGCTGTAAAAAATCTTTAAATAACTCAGAAATACATTTAGAAATCCTGAAAAAGTTACCTGACATTCAGTATTTTTGACCTAGAATTAATTTTTTTGTGAATTTCAGTCGAAAAAGTGGCGCGGGAAATCGAGGCCTTCAAAAATCTGACAGTTTTGGAATTGAAAGGAAATACGCTTGGAGTAACTGCTGGAGAACGATTGGGACAAGCTTTGAAAAAACATCCAGAATTGCAGAGATGTTTGTGGAGTGATATGTTTACGGGAAGATTGAAAAATGAAATTCCGCCGATTTTGGTGAGTTTGCGAAAAGAAACGAAAAGAAAAACGAAAAGAAAATGCGAAAAGAAATTTTTGAAAAAGTAAAAAAAATTTGAAAATACAAAAAAAGAATTTTTATTTAATTTTTCAATGATCAAAATAAAAAACGCATCATATTTTTCCACAAAACAATTTAACATGAATATTTTGAAACAGTAAATTATTTTTGATAAACTTCCATAGATTTTTGAGACATTACAAGTTTTTGAGTACAAATAAATTGTATACATTTTTTACTGTTTCAAAAATTTATTTGAAAAATATTGATGTTGGGAAATTTTGATAGATAGTAAGATATCGAATAAAATTTTAGTTTGACTAAAAAATGATTAAAAATGTAGTTCAACCTCAAATTTTGCAGAAATCCCTTTGCTCAGCCATGATTCAAGTAAATTGTCATATAACAGAACTCGATTTATCAGATAATGCATTTGGACCAATTGGAGCTGATGGTAGGTTTATTTGGCTGCGTACTTGACTGAGTATCTAATGAAATTAATGTGAATATGATTGGATAGCGAACATTTCCTGGCTTTTTGGCGTCGAAAATTCTGCGGAAAATTGATGATTTTGATTTAACAAATAATTTGAAATTATGCATTTCAAAAGTTTTTCTCTGGAGAACCTAATTAAAAAATGAATAAATCTAGTAATTTCACTATCAGATTGATTTTCCCAGAAATAAATTTTTCATGAACTCATCTATAAATTATGAAAATCAATAAAATTTAAACCCTAAATAAATCCCATTTTTCTTTTCAGGAATTTCCGAATTTCTCACCTCTTCATCCGCCTTCACACTTCACACTCTTCGCTTAAATAACAATGGCTTGGGTGCAGGCGGTGTCAAAATTGCGCAATGTCTCATCAGATGTCACGAAAACGCTAAACTCGCTGGCACAAAATTCGAGCTCCGTCGATTTATTGCCGGAAGAAATCGCCTTGAAGATCCCGGTGCAAAAGCATTGAGTGAAGCATTTTCGAAACTCGGAACTTTGCAAGAAGTTCGAATTCCACAAAATGGTATTCGACCAAAAGGAATAAGTGCACTCGCTTTTGCTTTCGAAAAAAATCCGGATTTACAAATTATTGATATCAATGATAATACGTGTACTATAAATGGTGCTGAAAATATGGCGGAAATTTTGCCGAATTTGAAAAATTTGGTTGAATTAGATTTGGGCGATTGTTTGTGTCGAGATGTTGGAATTATGACAGTTTTGGCTGGATTGGATTGTAGACGAGATAAATTGCAGAAAGTTAATTTCAGTGGAAATGAAATAACACCGGCTGCAATTGATGAGCTTTTTGCGTTCTTCAACACACCTACAATGAGTCATGTTCGAGTCAATTTGAGCTTCAATAATTTTGGCGAAGAATTTGAGGAGATTCGAGAAAGAGTTGAGAAGGAAAAAGCGAATTTTGAGATGGGAGATGAAGAGTGAGTGGATTTTTGGATGGGAAGGGGAGAAGGATGAGAAAAGTTGACATGCAAATCAATTTTTTTAGAATAAAAAACAATTTCTCGATGTTTTGAAACAGTAGAAAAATTCGGAAATTTTGCATATTTCTTGAACAATCAAATTTCGCAAAGAAATTCTTCCGAATTTGGAAATTTTTTTCGTTCACAAAGTAGAAGAATTTGCAGAAAATAAATAGAAATTTATTTAAAACAGTGAAGTTTTTTTAATTTCGAAAATCTAAAAACTTTATATACTGAAATTTCCACTCAAAATTCGATCATTTTTCTCCCAATTTTCCTTTATTTTTGCAGTGATGATCAAGGTAGTCTTTCTGGCGGATCAGATGAAGAAAATGAAGATTATTTGGATGAAGAAGACGAAGAATATGAAGGTGAAAATGATGAATTTGGAGATGAAAGTGGCGATGGAAATACATCGAAAGAAACTGTTATAAACACATCGAAACGCGTGGAATCGATGTTGGATGAAATGTGCAGAAAAGGATTTGGATGTCTTCAAATTGACAATAATCAGAATGATAATCAACAGAAAAATGATGGAATTTTGTCGTTTTTGGATCAGAAATTGAAGTTGGACACGGCCGAAAGTGGTGGGTTTTAAGGGAGGAACATTTTTATAAATTTTATCTAGAATATGAGCCTTGATACAACTTTGAAATTATAACCTAAATCATTTTCCCAATATTTTTCAGCCGAACAAGTTGCTCAAAAAATCGAAAACACGAAAAATGTGCGAGTTTTGGAATTGAAAGGAAATACGATTGGAGTTGAAGCTGGCGAACGATTGGCGAAATCGCTCGAAAAACATCCAGAATTGCAGAGATGTTTGTGGAGTGATATGTTTACGGGAAGATTGAAAACTGAAATTCCACCGGTTTTGGTTAGTTTTTTGGGTTGAGGGAATTTGAGCTAGAAGTCATGGAAATCACACATTTTTTATTCAAAATTAATATTTAAAGTTTAGAAATCTAACAATATTTATCAAATTTGGCATAATCCCAAGTTGTAATAAACAAGGCATTTTTGAAACAGTCAATTTTTAATAAAATTTTCTCAATATATCAAATCTGTCAAATAAAATTTGCGAACATCTCAAGTTTTAAAGCTAGTGTAAATTACGAGAAATTTGTGAAACAGTACGTTTTTTTGCAAAAATAAACCCAAAATTTAGGTTTTATATTTTTTTTAATTTTCGCTGTTTCAAAAAGTTTATGATAATTCTGAATTTTTGTTTTTCTAATAAAAATCTCGATCAAAAGTTTAATTCAATTTGAAAATTGTTTTTTCCAGAAAAGTTTGGGTCGCTCAATGATCACTGCAAATTGCCACATCATCGAACTCGATTTATCTGACAACGCATTCGGACCAATCGGAGCAGAAGGAATCAAGGAATTTTTAGAATCACCAGCCGCATTTTCGCTCGAAACTCTTAAACTCAATAATAATGGCCTTGGAATTGGCGGAAAACAAATTGCTCAATCACTCGGCGAATGTCTCGAAAAATCGAAAAAAAGTGGAGGTGGCGAAAAATCGCGACTTCGATTGCGAACTTTTATCGCTGGTCGAAATCGGCTCGAAAATCCGGGAGCTAAAGCGATTTCTCAAGTTTTTCAAAAACTCGAAACATTGGAAAATATTCAAATTCCACAAAATGGAATAAATAAAGAGGGAATTGAAGCGATTGGAGAATTATTGAGATTCAATCGGAATTTGAGAGTTTTGAATTTGAATGATAATACGGCAACACAATTGGGAGCATATGCAATTGCTAAAAATTTACAACATGTTCCACATTTAGAAGTATTGGATTTGGGTGATTGTTTGTGTAGAGATCAAGGATGTCATGCGATTATTGATTCGTTGACACCGAATATTCATAGAAATTTGAGAGTGAGTTGGAATTTTGGGTTGTTTTGATACTAAATATGGGCAGAGGGAAATAGAGGTTTTTGGATTGCTCAAAACAAATGTTTTCCCGAAATTAATATTTGAATACGTGCTCAACAATTTGGCACAGTTTGATACTAAAAATGACTTCATTTCAATCCTAAATTAATTTTTGAAAATTGTCGAAAAAATTTAGAAATTTTTCGATAAAAAAAAACTTAATAATTTTTCTCACCCATAAAAATCACTGTTTCAAAATTTCTACAAGTTTTTTGGAGAATTTGTGAGTGCTTGATTACATTGAAATATTGTAAAAATAATTGACATTTGTTCTCTCTATAATCTATTGCTTCAAATTTTTTTTTGAATTACAAAAATTGTAATAAGTAGTTTTACAGTTTTCCATGTAAGTTTTAAATTTTTCCTGAAAATTCCAACGCGTTGTTTTCATCCAATATAAATCAATTTTCGAAAACTTGGAAAATTTGAATTTTGAAAAAAAAAAGTTTCGAAAAAATTCACTGTTTCAAAATTTTCACAAGTTTTTTGAAACTTTCGAAAATTCTGGTATTTCGTCGAATGCTTTTTCAACATATGGATTTGAAATTGTTGTGATTTATTTTTGAAAATTTCAATAATTAGTACAAATTTTCTGACCCCGAAATTATGCCTAATGATTATTTACACCGAAAATTCCCCTCAATTTGTTTGCAGGAAGTTAATCTTTCTGGCTCTGAATTATCACCGCAAGCCGCCCAAATCATCATCAACAAATGGCGAAAATTCGACAATTCTCGTCATAAACCAATTCTCAAAATCGGCTCGAACAATTTCGGTGAACTCTTCACACAAATTCGCAATTTCTCGAATGCGATGAAAAATATCGAGATTGGCGATTCGGATGATGATTGTGGAAGTTTGAGCAGCGAAGATGAAGAATATCAAAGTAATGATAGTGAAAATGAGGAAGAAAGTGAAGAAGAAGAAGAAGGAGATGGAGATGATGAAAAAGAAAATGATGGAGAAGAACAAAATGAAAAGGTTCAACGATTTTCGACAGTTATTGATCAATTGAAGGTTGGTTTGGAAGTTTGGTGTCTTTTGAGATCAAATATGCCTTGTGGCTTGAATTGCTGAGAAAAATGAGTTCAAACATGCTCATAACAAAATTATTTCGAAATATTAAGCTTCGCTAATTCTAAGAAAAAATGGGCGGAGCCTAATTTTTTGAGCACAAAGAGACCAAACAATTGAGACTCCGCTTATTTTTCTGTCTGGGCTTGTTTGATCTCATTCTCACTCAAATCTTTTTCAGGACGAATATGAGAGTCGAGTTCAAGACGAAACAGCCAAATATTTGTTGCGATTATTGATTCCTGTCCAACAGAGCAATTCGAATCCGCTGGTTTTTGAAAGAGCCCTCGAAGTTGCAGGTTTGTTCATTTTTTGCCACGTCATAACTCGATTTTCTTTTTTTTTTCAGAGGAAATTATTCGCCGAATTGCTGCGGTTCCACGAAATCCGATTCCGACAACAACTCAACTCATCAATCATTTTGTGGCACAAAGTCGGATTTTGGGGGTGAAGGTGAGGATTTTGGATGAGAATTGACTGAAAATGGGTTTTCAGCTTCATTTTTATGTGGAAATTTTGGCTTAAAGTTCATAAAAGCTGAAATTTTCAGCGAAAATACCGATTTCTAGCATTTTGCTAATAAGAAAATTTTATTTTAATTCTGAAATTTCAAAAAAATTGAAAATGGCCCTAACATTTGATTTTCAATATTTTTTCTCTGAAAATTTGAAATTTCACTGAAAACCTATAATTTTCAGCCCGAAGAAGACTGGAGAATTCAAGTTGACATCAAGATTCTTGGACAATTCTTGCGCCAACTTTTATCGCGTGGACATTTCGAACTCGAACGCCAACTCATTTTGCATTATTTTGCCTAACTTTATTTTTTTTTTTGGAAAACTTTGAATTTTAATTTAATTTTTACCCCCCGTTATTATTTTATTGTTCAATGAATTTTTGTTTCTTCTCACTGGAAAACTTTTTTAACTGAAAATCCGAAAATTTATCGACTTTTTTCGCCCTTCAAAACAAATATACACAAATTTCCACCTCTCTCATATCTTTTCAATTTCTCCCAGTTTTTGCGAAACGTTGTGTGGCCGAGTGGTTAGCGCTTTGGTCTTTCATTCGGAAGGAGGCAGGTTCGATTCCCGCCTGGAACTATGAGGAAAAATTACCCCTAATATTGGAAACGTCGTGATAACTGATTAGTCTTTCTGAGGTTCCTTTTTTTGAACTTGGACTTTATTTTAATTAAAAAAAGAAAAGAAGAAACCGGGAAATAAATAAATGAAAACATGCAAAAATTGTAGATTCTAAAATTGCCTAATTAAAAACATTGAATAATTAAAAGAAAACTTTGGTTTGAAGTGGACGAGGAAGTGATTTGCAAAAAATGGTTTATTTTGAACCGAAGAGCTGAAATAAGGATTATTCTCTGATTGAACCTTCTCATTTCTGGAAGTGTCTGAAATTTTAGCAGGGAAACTAATAAGAAATCAAACCTTTTTGGTGAAATTGCTGAAAACATTTTCGATTGTTGTTTTGACTTCGGCCATTGGTTTTGAGGCATCGACTTCGACATGAACACCGTGTTTTTTGTAGTAGTCGACTAATGGCATAGTCTGGAAAATATGAGAGGAGTTAGAGGAAGCTGGGAAGTTTTTTGGGAGATAGTTTCAATCTTTGACAAAGACACTGAAATTTCTTAAATTTCTAGAATTTTAAGGAAATAGTGAAGTTATTACGAAAATTCTTGTCTCGAGCTGAAAATTCAGAAGAATGAAAAACATGCTAGAAATTTCAGAAAAGATAATTTCCGTACGAGATATTCTGATTTTCACTAAAAAACATAGTTTTCAGAGTTTCAAATCAATCTTTATGAAAATTGAGCTGAAATCTGCAAACTTCAGAAATTTTTTTTTAATTTCCAGTTCAAAAATTTGCAATGTTCCGCCCATTCTTTCCCAAAAATCTCTTACCATTTGATGATATTGAACCAATCGTTTTCTCAATGTTTCTTCATTATCATCCGATCTTCTAATCAATGGTTCACCAGTTTCATCATCTTTCATTGGAACCTTTGGTGGTTTGAATTCCAAATGATAACTTCTTCCGGATGCAATATGGAAAAGTCGGCCAGTAATACGACGAACCAATAAATCATCGGCAATGTTGAATTCGATTACTGTGTCCAATGGAGTCTTTCTTTTTTCCAAAATTTGATCGAGCTGCAACAAAAATGTGGTTATGATTTGTGGAGTGAAAAGCGATATAGAAACCGATTTTCTGGTGGAAATAAAAACTTCATTTAAAAAAATTTGAATCCTGAACTTTTAAATTTCCAGAATTTTTGACACCTGTGACCAAAATCTAGCTAAATTACCGATTTTCAATGCTTAAAATTCCAAATGTTTTCTCAAAACTATGTCTCCTCACCTTCTCAGCTTGAACAGTTGTTCTTGGGAAACCATCCAAAATGAATCCATACTTGCATTCTGGTTTCTCCAATTTCATCTCAATCAATTTGCAAACAACATCATCTGATACCAATTTTCCAGCATCCATTGTCGCTTTCAATTGTTTTCCAAATTCGGAACCCGACGCAACTTCAGCTCTCAACAAATCTCCAGTCGCCAAATGGCATGAAAAATATTTGGAGGCGAATGCTGGAGCCTGAGTTCCTTTACCCGAACCGGGTGGTCCGACGAAAATCGCGCGAATTCCACGCGAAAGATTCGGCGAAGGACCATTGTTGTTTTTGTCGGCCATCTTGTTTCAAGCTAGAAAATCGAATGAAATGTGGTTCGATTCGCAGAAAAAATAAATTTGAAAAAGAGTGATAAGAGATTGATTTTTTTTGTTTCGTGTGTGAAAAAAAGAATTTTTTTGGAGGTCACGATTTTTGATAACAATGGAACACGTATTATTCTTTTTTTAGAGGATTAGTGAGTGGAAAATTATGGTTTTCGGTTGCCTAGGAAAATTTTGGCGATTTCCTATCAAAAACATTGAATTTTTGGGAGATAACTGAGGTTGAATAATTTTTAATGAAATATTGACAAAAAATCGATCTAACCTTGTAATTTCTGACAATTATTAGAGAAATAACAAGGTTTAGCCAATTTTCGACGAAAATTAGGTAATAATAATGTTTTTGAAATGGAAAATGTTAGTTTTAGAGCCATTTTGGGAAGTATTCAATCAGATCGTAGAAATCAGGCCAATTCCGATGAATCTGGCCCATTTTCAGGATGTCTACGGTCTGATTGACAACACACGTAAAATAGGGCTAAAACTAATACTATACATCTCAAAAACACTATTATCACCTAATTTTCACTCGAAATTCCATCGAAGATCAAGTTTTTACCAAAAAATCCAAGTTTTTGAGAAGAAAATGCTCGAAACTTTTCAAACAACCAATTTTCCCGCCAAAAAACACACACAAAACAAAAAAATCACTGATAATTCGAAAACCAAACAAACATCACAAAAAAAATGAAATTGGGGAAAAGCACACTGATTCCTGCCACGATTTTTTTGCCAGCTGGCAAAAAATGTGTGCGTGTAGTTCTCCCGGACAACGGAAGAAACGAAAAAAAAACGGGAGAAGAGGGTCAAGGTGAATTGGAAATTTGGAATGAGAAAGGAAATAGGAAGGGATGAAAAAGAACAATTTATATGTATTTAATTTCTGAGAAATGGTAGGAAAATGTGAGTTTTCTTAATTGAAAAAAAGAGAAAAATTCAATTTTTTCAGTGGATTTTGTGAAAAATTCGGCGAGAATCGCGATTTCGACAATTTTCGTGCATTTTTTCTCGAAATTCCTATTCTCACCACAAAGATTGACTGAATGTTTACACTTATTTTCCGCTTGGCCACTTTTACAAGTTCCTGGGCAAGCTGCTAAGGATTTAGCGAAATTGCAGAAAATGACGAGATTTTGGCCACCACATCAGGAGACTTTTTATGAATTTTCGTTGGCTTATACGATTTCGCTGATTTTATTGTTAAAGTGAGTTGAACTTATGATTTTTGGCTTGAAATAAAAAGTTTAAGTTAGTTTTGGTTAAAACAGACACTTTTCTTGGGACCCAAAATTTGGGTGAAACAGTCATCTTTCGTCAAAAAAAACCCCTAGGAAACCCTTAAAACTATAATAACATCTCAGAATTTGGGTTAGCCTAAGCCTAAAACATTATCTTTGTTAATCCTAAGCCTAAACAAGCACAAAAAACGAAAAATGAAAAAAAATTTGAGGACACGTCAAGCCGTCCAACACTGACGCGTTTTTTGTAGACGCCGCGCCAATTCAAAAAATAATTTTTCTCGATTTTCAGCGCAATTTCAATTGAAACCGTCTATCAATCATTATTCTCAACATCGCAAAAATTGGGAAATTTCACAAAATTTGTTTTTCAACCATTCTACGCGTCGATTATCGTTTTCATTTTTCTTCTCCCAATGCAACGCTTGGCTGAAATGCACATTTTGGTGTTAATTCTAAATTTTGCGCATATTTTGACAACTTCGTATGCCGTGTATTTTGTGTGGAATGCTTGGAGGAAGGAGGATTTGGGAGAAGAAGTGAAAGAGAAAACGGAGTGAATTTCTAATGAAAATGTACTTATTTTGATATATAAAAGGTCAGATACACGTCTAGATTATTCAAATTTCAAGTTGAAGCACAGAAAATGAGCAAAAACTCGCTGAAACTGTCCTGAAAGTCAAGCAGAAAACGCGCTCAAAAAAATCTGAAAAATGTTTCTGTGCATTTCGTCGTCATCGTGTTTGCAGACACCGTAGTAAAATTAAAGGTACACACGGTTTTCCTACAAATCGTGGCGAGACCTTGCCGCGTAAATCATTTTTTTTTCTGACACACCCGTTCAAGCCGCGCAATGAGTGTTTTTCTACTGTAAAACAAAACAAAAAACTGTGCAAACACTTTTGTCTAATTCTCTCTGTTCGCCGTTATATTTCGCACTACAGTATTAAAGGAACATAATAAATTTCATGCGTTGGGTCTTGTCGCGATTGCTAACTTTCTTCGCAGGACCTCAAAAAATAAGAAAAGTAGCAAGTCAGGTAGAACTCGAGGCGCTGATTTTCATGCTGTATTTAGTTTTTCATGAACCTTATCTAGGTTTTGAGCTACATGGCGCACCGTTTTAAACAGCATTTTGCTAATTTTTGTGTGGCTTGGGCGGGTGTGCTGAAAAAACTTTTTTTTTCATCTGGTTTTCTCGCGAAATCTCGAGTTTTCCAGCCAAAATGGTCATAGTTTATACCTCAAAGCATTTCCCATGGCAATATCTAGTGAACGAGACTCGCGCGGAAACCCCCCTGCTCAAAAATTCGTTCGAATCCGGCACAAAAGTCGCCTGTCCGATGAAAACCGGCCAATATTTTGTATTTATTCATGAGACATCATCAAGAGTTTTTGAGATTAATCGAAAATCGGTAAGTTTTTCTTGGTGATATAAAAGTTTTATCAGAAAATTTCAGATAGCCGAATTGACCTCAATCATGCAAGTTCACTGGCCGATAACAGTCATGGATAAATTGGACATTTTCAATATTCAAGATGTTCGAAGTGCTCAAGATTTATTGACCCTAAGGGTAAATAATTCAGGACGAATTAGTACATTTAAATGTATTTCTTTAGAAGCTCGGTTTCCAAACTCGCCTGGATTATGTGAGAAATGAAGCAGAATTTGATGAAGCCAAGACTGAAAGAGCCTATTTTTTCCCGGATGAAAATGGTGAATTTCGCTTGAAAATGATGGGAAAATTAGAAGAACCAGAGAAGTTTTCGGACGTTTTGCCGGCGGAAAGAAAGAAAAAACCTGAATCAAAATCGAAAACTTCAAATTTTATTGTTACAAAGAAAAATGGAGATGTTTTCTATAGATGTTTGGAGATCGATAAGGATTTGATTAAAAATATAAGAAATCAGAGAGATCAATGAATTTCATCTTCTGGATAATAAACATACTCCTCAATTTCGTCAGTGTTATCAAGTTGTTTTTCTTCAGATTCGATTTCTTCTCCAGAAATATCAGATTCATCTTCATCTTCTTCAGAGTTATCATAATCTTCTTCTACTTCTTCTTCAGATGGGAAAGGATCATCGATTAGTTCTTCTCCAGATCCTTCATATTCCTCTTCTTCATCTTCATATTCAACCTTAGGATTATCGATTTTTCGCAAGTTGTTCAAATTATTTTTGAGATTTTCAACGTCCTGTGCTTTAGGAGCATTGAAATCCACTTCAAATTGTTCAGGATTATCGATTTTATCGGGAGAAATGTTGATTTCTACCTGGATTTCTTGAGGATTATCGATTTTCTCAGAAGAAACGTGGATTATATCAGGATTATCGATTTTTTGAGTTTCGGCTTGAATTTTGGTTATTTTTTCAGGAGAAACATTGATTTCTACTTGAATTTCATTAGGAAAATCGATTTTTTCGGGAGAGGCGTGGATTTTTTGAGGATTATCGATTTGTTGGGTTTCGGCTTGAATATTATTGATTTTTTCAGGAGAAACATTAATTTCCACTTGAATTTCATCAGGGTACTCGATTTTTCGAAGATTATTGATTTTATCGAATTTTTCACGATAAATTTCGCCTTGAACACGTTTTCCACTATAATCCGACCTAAAATTCTTTCAATCTCAAGTTTTGTTCGGTTTCTTCAAAAAACTCACGAAAGTTTTGCCCAAAATCCGAATATCATGAAAACCGAGACGAGGAGAAGAATTAGGTGACGCATTTTTTTTGAGAAATGATAAAAATCAGAAAATTTTCACGTACACGTATAATTTATTTATTAAAAATATTAAAAAAAAAACAATTATCTTTTCCTTCGTCAAGATAATTACGATTTACGCTCAATTTACGAGAACGAATAAACAGATTGTCGTATAGGAATATTTATTGGATCAATTAATTATTTCTTTGAAAAAATCTAGCAAGTTGAAGTTGTCAGCGAGTGACATTGAACGGTGAAATCAGTTCGATCGCTGAAAAATCAATAATTTTAATGTAAAATTTTCACGCAAAAAACTGACTTATAAGTCCATTGATTATTCGAATTGCATTGCAGAAGATTGGCAATCGAATGAACTTCGGAACATCCGCTGGAAATTTGTGTGGATGTTCCATCGATGACAATATCAATTCGAACTGTGACAGTTGCACCATCTGCTGAGAGACAATTCACTTGAGCCGTATCGCACCTGGACAAATTATTGTTTTGGAATGTAGTGAGTTGGGTTTTGGTATTTTAAACTAGATTTCTGTACTGGAAGCAAGAAGCTTGAGAATTTCTAGTTAATATTTCAAAATGTTGGGTCTAGAAACTTTCAAGGTAAATTTGTATGACAAATACAGGGTTTTTTTCACAGTAACCTGGAAAACTGATACAAAATGTTAAAATTCAGCAGGAAAAAACCCAGAAAATCTAGATTCGAGAATTTCCAGATTTCGCGAAAAACTAGAAAATATGGCTTTTAAAATTTTTGAATGAAAATAAATTGGGCCCCAAATCTGTCACCCAATCTCTACAAGAACCCACCAATTCGTCGGATCAACACCTCTCAAAAAATAGGCGGTTCCCGGTGTATCCGAAGTGGTTGGTGTAAACGTGGAACCCGAAAGTGTAGATACATCGCAACTCGGACAATTCCGCAGTGATGGAGTTGCGGTGGAACTTTGCGTAGCTACGCAAGCGTAAGCGACGCAAGGAAATAGAATATACAATATTCCGGACATTATTATTATGAGAAGAAATTGAATAATGAAATGGAAATCGAAGTGAATCTGCAGCAGTTCATTATTGAGGTCATTTTTTGTGTTGATTATCATGGAACATATAATTATCTTGTTTTCTAATGACCCTTGGAGGAAAAAGAAAAAATATGATAAACTTTCATTTTTTCAAATTACAACAAACGCTTCGCCAAAACAACTGGTTTTGGAGTCGAAACTTCGACACTGAATCCAATGCGTCGCTGACTTCCAACAGCAGAATTTTGAAGATTTCCAGTTCCACCCAAACCTTCATCTCTCGAAGGTCCACCAAATCCAAATCCAAGATCAGGAATCACATTGACTTTTGATGGATTAAGTGGAGAATCAGGTTTTCGAAGTTGTTCGGGGGTATTTTCGATGGCGACATCTTCAGTGTTTTCCGCGGGGTTCAATTGAAGTTCTGGGGCACCGCCTGTGTTTGGTTCGAATGGGGTGGATGGATTACGGAGAGGATCTAGAATAGGTTGAAAAGTTGTTTATTGTTAATGCGAAAATATAAGAGTCGTCCCTAGAGTATCATCCGTTTAGCAAACAGAAATTCTCAATTTTTATGTATCAGAATTTTGAAACTTATTACACTTTGGACTTTGGATAAATTGAATTTTGTAGGTCTTGAACTCAGTAGACCCGGAAAATTGTGAATCATTTAGGGTTTCACTTTGCCCAGGCACATTATATAAAAAAAAGTGTGTCAGGTTTGCAAAAAGTTATTCCTACGGTATTTAGCTTGCAAGGTACGTAATACGAAGAGTTATTTGTAGTTCTCTCGGAGTTCTCACCTGTTGTGGTCGAAGCTGTGGTGGGTTTTGGTGTAGTCGTAGTTGGCAGTTCAGTTCTGGTGGTCGTGGGACAAGCTGTGGTTGTGGTTGTAGTTGTTGTTGTGCTGGGAGTAGTGGTGCTAGGTTTTGGTGTGGTCAATTCAGTTGTTGTCGTAGGTTTTGGTGTCGTCTTGGTCGTGCTTGGCTTCCGAGTTCTCTTAGGCTTATCTGTTCTCGGTTTCTTGGTGCTCTTTACTTCCTCCTCACATTCTCCATTTCCTCTAACTTCTTCTTTTTCTTCACTACAACTTTGACTTTCTTCTATCTTTCGAACATTACGAGGATGCGATTTACCTTTAGAATAAATTTCTAGTGTTTTTCAAAATTCCGAAAAACATTTCAACTCACGAACAAATCCGAAGGATGAAACTACAGTAATGAAAAGAAAAATCGGAAGAATTTTCATGATTTTTTGAAGAAAATTAGGGAATTTTGGCTTTTATGTTGGGCGAATTGTTATGGTTTGTCGTAAAATGTGTTAATTTTTATTTTCACGGTCTATACAAAAATAATAATTGTTATGATTGTTTTGTTTTTTGATTAGGGAAAAATTTCGAGAAAATTCACTGTTTCAAAAAATTAATATATTTTTGAATGAAATATTTGTTAACAATACTCCAAACATTTTAGTTTCCCAAAAAATTTAAGCAATATTTTGAAAAAAATTACTGCTTCAAAAAATAATTTATTTTTGTGAAAAAAATTGAAAATTTTAACCTCCTTTGATAGCGAATTTTAACTTTTAAAATTTCACGCAAGAATTTATGTTGAATTTATCTGATTCTGCATAATCGCTTAAAAATTCACATAAAATTTCCGAAAACAATTTAACAACAAAAATCTGAAATTAAAACATATTTTTTAAAAAATCACTGTTTCAAATAATCCTAATATTTTTCTTTGGAAAACGGTATTCTGTTCCATAGATCATCCAATTGCGTGGTTAAAAAATGAATTTCCAATTTCTTAAGAAGTTTTTTTTTAAATATTTTAAAAAATTCACTGTTTCAAAAAATATATATAATTTTCACTGAAAACATTGTGGAGAGATTGTCAAAGTTCTAAAAGTAGTACTAAAAATCAATCTAGAAATTTAAAAAATAATTACATCACGAAAACCACTCACAAACAATCCAAAAAATTCACTGTTTCGAAAAATCCTAATACTTTTCAAAATAATTGATATTCTGTTTGGAATTCTATAAGAGGGATTGAACAATTGATATCCAATTTCCGAAGAAGTTTTGGTCGCCAAAAAATGTTTTTTAAAAATTCACTGTTTCAGAAATCTCATTTATTTTTTCAGAACATTTTGAGAAAAATACATTCGATAGCATTTTTTCAACTGTATGTAAAAATATTTTGGAGACAAAAAACTGTGCCACGTCACATTATTTTCCGTTCTCATAACCTACATACTTTACAGTACTCCACCCATATCACCTGAAAAATGATAAAAACCCGCTAAAAATAGCACATTTTCTCCTTCTTTCCTCAACCCACAGATAACCTAATCCTCTTTTTTCTGACAGAATGAAAAACGCCTCAAAAACAAAGTTAGAAAAGTTCATTTTTTTGAATTTTAAATAATAGTACTGTAGAGTGGTACTGTATATTAAATTATTGATTTTTTGATCTTCTCAAAAAATTTTTTTTTTGAAAAATTAAATTTCCCGCCCACAGGGAAGCTGATAACAATTATTATTTTTTGTTTGATTTTATTTTTATCATTATTTTTCAGCAGCTCAAAAAAGAGCCGGAAAAATATGAGCTCAGAAAATGAGCCACCGAAAACTGTGATTTTCGAGCAAAAACCACCGCCACCCAAGCATTTCAGCTTTTCTGATTGGCCTTTTCCACTTCCAGATGTTTTTAAGGTAACCATTTTTCTCAACCTGATTTGTGAAATTAAAACCAGATTTTTTCAGCGTAAATTATTAAGCTATAATTATAATTATGATTTGGCGACTTCGAAAAGTGCTGTGGTTTTCAAGTTGTTGTTCAAATGGCGTGGTTCACTTTGGCAGGCGATTTATTGGTGAGTATTTGATATTTTTGGGTTGAAAATTGGGAAAATCATGGTTTTTGAGTCTAGAAGCCTGAAATTTGGCTTAGAAACTTTCAATATGACCTAGAAACCCAAATTACATCATTTTTTTGACCTACGGTCCCAATTTTTCACGTCATGTTAATTTCAAAAATTGTTTTCTAATGATGCAAAATTAATCTTGATAATTTTTCGATTTTTCAAACAAAAACAAGATGTTTGTATTTTTGGGCTCATAATTTTTAATAGGATTAAATTTTGTTTTAATGAATCCTGAATCAAAAATGTTACTGTTTCACAAAACAAACCAAACAGATCAACCCAAACATCATTCTCAAAAAAAAAACAATAAAAAATTTAAATTTTAATGACCAATATTTTTTTCGATAAAAATCACATTAACATTAAATAATTTTATCATTAAAACAATAATGATAAAATTTTACAACTGGAAAAACATATAGTGCAAAAATCAACAGAAAACATCGCTGGGAAACGTGATTTTGATGACCTAGAAATCGAAAAACAATATATTTCCAGGGATCTAATAATCTGGATCACCGCCTATTCAATTGTCTCAATTTTATATCGATTTGCATTATCGAAAAATCAAAAAGAGTAGGTTTTTTTTCAGATAAAAATTCTGAAAATTCTGAAAATATTTCCAGTCTTTTCGAGAGATTTGGTGAATATTGCGATGCTCGAATGGGATATTTGCCACTCAATTTTGTGCTCGGATTTTTCTGCAATATAATTATTCGAAGATGGCTGAAATTATTCACGAGTTTGGGAAATATTGATAAGTAAGTGCTTGAGAATTTGAGCTTTGAAATTTTGAAATTTCTAATTTCAGTATCGCACTTTTTGTGTCGGCATATGTGAGAGGAGATAGTGATAGAGCCAGGCAAATTCGGAGAAATATTATTAGGTGAGTTTGGAGAAAAAAATTCGCTGTTTCAAAATTTTTCATATGTTGGCTTTAGCTCACAATATATTTGTTGAAACGGTTGTTGAAAACTAAGTTGAAAAAAAAAATTAATTAATTTTCTAAAGGACAAGAAATAAAAATTTTTAATACTATTCTTTAAACAGTAATTTACTGTTTCAAAAGTATCAAATATTGGGAGAAAGATTTTAGACTACAATAAATATTCAATTCCCTTCTTCATCTCAAAAATTCGGTTTTCAATGTTTGAAAAAAATTTAATTAATTAATTTTTAATGAAAAATTTGCCACGTGGAATTTTGAAGTTTGCAGTGAAAGATCATTCCTGACAAATAAATCATAGAAAAAATATTTAAAATTATTTTTCTTCAAAAAAAAAAGTTTACTGTTTCAAAACTTGTATATTGAGAAAATTATAAAAATTGATTGATTAATTTTCTAATTAAAATTTTGCCACGTGGTATTTGTAAGTTCCAGAAAAAAAGAAAATAACTTTTTATAATTATTTATATTCGAAAAATAATTCACTGTTTCAAAAAATACTTTTTTAAAATTAATTTTTGTTACAATCGTTATTAGCCTTTCATACGTCGGTGCATCTCGCTCTATCGAACAAACACGCTCCGCATCGCACGCGACGCACCAAAAAAAGCGCACGAGTTCAAACTCGAATTATTTTTCTTTTTTTTTAATTTTCAAAAAAAGGTGTCAAGAGTGAATTCGCTAGATTTTTCCTTAGAAATTCACTGAAATTTGTTCAAATGAAAGAAAAATACAAAGAGAAATATTATTTTATTCAACAATTCCCGTAAAAAAAACCGATTTCAACGACTCACCTGGAGAATCTGGAAAGAAAAACACATGATTTTGAAAATCTCACAATCAGAGCTTTATACATAAAAAATTAGAGAAAACACGAGACAAAAAGCGAAACTTCTGTATTTTTTAATCAATTTCAAACAGAAAATTATACAAAAACGACGTTTTCGAACCAAAATTCCACCACCTCGACAGAAAAATAGCAAATCATTCATATGGTCTTCTCAAATGTCATCATCATAATGTCGGAGCTTTTGCAATTGCATGCAATCGAATATTATCTTCTCGCAGCCTCATTCTCATTGTCAGCTCATTGTCGCAACTTTCTTTTATTTCTTCCCAATTCTCTTCGCTTTTCATCTTCCATCAAATTCATCTCAACTTCGCTTATTTATTTGCTTCCTATCTTCTCGAATCACTTCATCCACCAATGATGAACATCATCCACCAATATTAACAACTGAAATTCGAATTTTCGTTTTTCAATCGATCATTCCAGTCCAAACGCCAGATCTGTTCCTTGTTCTCACAATTCCTTGCGAATTTGCTTTTCAATTGCCATTATTTTCCTTCTTTTGTGCAATCCTCCCATTCCTTTTATCCACCAATCAAACATATCAATTGAAATTCATCCAATTGTTGCTAAAAACTCGCGAAATCGGCAAAAATCTTCGAATTTCTTTTTTCCGTCGAAAATGGCCGAATTCCTGGAAAAAACCAACTAAAATTTATAGAAAAACTTAGTCTTACCTTCAAATATCACTTTCCAGCCAAATATCAACATTTTGGAGCTTGATTCAATGCAAACTCGTTCAGAAACAAACGAAAAACGTTTCGAAAAAAAGAAAAACAAAAAAGATGGCCGAGTGTGTCGGCTCCTAGGACGCGAAAAAAAACTTTTCTCTTCCATGGCGAGTGCGATAGAGCGAGGTGCACCGATTGGTAAAAGGCTAATATGATCATTTCTTCGGGAAGTGTTTGAAACAGTGAATTTTTTAGAATGGGAAGAACAATGATTTGTGATTTAGCAGGACTTGGAATGTTTTAAAATAAAATTTTGAAACAGTGTATTTTCCCCAATTTCACCTAACCTCTCCAAAAAATAATTGCAGATACTGTGTAGTGTCTCAATGTCTAGTTTTCCGTGATATCCACGTCGGAGTTCGCCGCCGTTTTCCAACCCTCGAATCGATTGCTCATGCCGGAATCCTTCTTCCCCACGAACTCGAAAAATTCACCGAAATCAAATCGCGCTATCAAAAATACTGGGTCAGTTTCAATTGGGCTTTGGAACTTCTCAATGTGGCAAAAACCGAAAAAATGATTGATGGAGATAATGCGAGAAATGCAGTGGCACAAGAGATCAGCAAATTTCGACTTGCTCTAACTACAGTATCAATGTATGATTGGGTTCCGATTCCATTGATGTATCCACAATTGGTCAATATGGCTGTGTATACATATTTTTTCTTGTGCATTTTTACGCGACAATTTTTTATCAGCACGGATGCACATAATAAAACTGAAGTGGATTTGGTGGTGCCGTTTATGACTATTATTGAATTCATTTTTTATATGGGATGGTTGAAGGTTGGTTATCAGAATTTTGAAACAGTGAAATTTTTGGGATTTTCTTTTGGAATCTAAATATTTTTGTAAATTGTATTAACAATTCGAAAAAACTGCAAGAAGTTCTCGTGAAAAATTATGTGAAAATTAAGAAACAGTAAATTTTTTCGCGGTTTTTTTCGAATCTAAAAAATCTGATTCAATTGTTATTAATAGTTCGACAACACCAATTACTAGAAACCTATTATTTCCGAAGTGTTCCTTTTTTCGAGTCTAACAAAGTCTTGGTAATTTTTATTAGTAACATATAAATATCTACTAGATAAAAATTTAGGTGAAAAATTATATGATCATTTTGAAACGTATATTTTTCCGGGATTTTTTGTGTTCAAAATCTTTGTGAGCGAATAACAAATATCGTCAAAATTTATATCATCATCTTGAAACATGCATTTTTGTGTTTACAAAATCTACCAGAATTTTTTTTTGCCAGGTCGCCATGGAACTTCTCAATCCATTCGGTGAAGACGCAGATGATTTCGATTGCAATCTTCTAATCGATCGAAATTTAGCAATTGGTCTAACTTCAGTCGATGAAGCTTATGATACTTTACCCGAAGTTAAACCCGATGTTTTTGCTGGCAGAACTGTGAAACCGTTGGATTCGGAAGATACTAGAAGTTTGAAATATCATTTGGGTAGTGTTGCTATGTTAGTAGACTGGGTAGAAGAAGCTAGATATTTTGAGGGATTGGGAAGAATAGATTTTGTTAACTTGCCGAACTCTGAAAATGAGCTATGACGTAGCAAAGTTTTAGCCTATATTCACCTGTGTTTTGCCACGTCATAACTTATATTCAGAGTTGTGCTAAGTAGATCTACATAAGTAATTTCACATTTCAAAAATCGAATTTTTTCAGGATGGAAGAGATATCGTTTTTGAAAAAAGAAGAAAAGAAAATGATTGATGCTGGCAAAAAACCGAATAAATTCAAACTTTGGATGAAAAGTGTGAAAAGAAAACGATTTGAAACGAGTGCAACAATGTGTAATAGTGTTTCGTATCCTGATATATAGAGATCTTAGAATGAGTTTTGTGGATTGGAATTTTTGATATTTCTACGGGTTTTTTATTGGTTTGTAATTTTTGAGAATAAAATTGGAAATACAACATTTTGCAGAATTTTTTGCTCCAAACTTGAGTTTTCGCCTAGCAATTTTCATAAAAATGGTTTTCATAAACTAAACATTTGAAACAGCAAATTTTCAACAACAAAAAAACTCTTGACGTTTTGGATTTTTTTTTCTGATCAGATCAAAACTTAATTTTCGAAAAAAGCTACGTGGAAGTGACTGACAAGGATTATTCGAACACAGAAAAAAATCACTGTTTCAAAAAATTACAAACTGAAAACTGTTTTAGTTTATCGTTGTTCGCAAATTATATCTTGAAATTTTTTTTTTTGAAAAAAACCACTGTTTCAAGAATTTGTGAAATTTTCTCCTGTTTCTAATTTTTCGATGTCTGACAATATTCACCTCGAAATAAAGAAAAATTAGAATTTTGTTGGAAAAAATTACTGTTTCAAAAATTGTACGTATTGATGCCTGAAAAAACAAAGTTCAACAAAAATTTAAAATTATTGGCGCAAGTTTTGAAATTCAGAATTATTCCACGTGGATCTTCCCATTTTCATCCAATCAAAAGTTCATCTCAAGAACTACAACATCCAAATTTCATCCCAAGCAGAAAAAACTTTGATATCAATAACAATAAATATAATTTCTCATCTCTGCGCAATCTTATCATTTTTTGTCATCTTTTTTCGGATCAGCCTCCAAAAAAAGTTGCCAAAAACCACAGGTAAAATGTTTTTGAAGATCCTTGTATTTTTATCGATTTTTTGCGGGTTTTTGGAGGCCCTTCGAATTCTACAAATTGTACCTGGATTTACGAACTCGCATGTTTTGTTTAATTATCGATTGGCTGAAACTTTGAGGTGGGTTTTGAGATGAAATTTTTGAAATTCAAAAAAAAACTCTGAATTAAATTAAGGTTTCTGGGACACGATGTGAAAATGTGGACACAAATGGAAATGGCAATGTTGGACACGGGAAATAATAAATTGCCTCAAGGAGTTACCGAATATCGAATTCCTATTCATTTTAAGGACACTTTGAAAACTGAAGGATTGAAAGTGAGTTGGAATATTTTGAACTGGAATTAATTTTGGGATTTTGTTTTTTTTTCATGAAGATGCTTACGATTCTACTGTATAAAAATATTCGAAAAATGATGTAACATTCTGAAAAATGCAACCCAAAAATATACATTTCAAAAGTTCTTCCAACTTTTGAGATAATTTTGCAGGTATTCCAATCGATGATGTTTTCCTCCGGCGATGCTTACGATCTTTGGTGGACAGGTCAAGAATTCAAAGATATGCGAGTCGAAGCTTGCGAACAAATGCTTCTCCACGATCAAAAAATCTACGACGATTTCCAAAAAGACGGTTTCGATGTTGCCATCGCCCATTTCCACGATCTTTGTCCTCTTGCAATCGCAAAAAAGATGGGTGTCAAAAAAGTGATCTGGATCACTCATGGAACATCAATCTATGATTTCGCCGCTGTTCAATTAGGCCTTCGAACTATTCCCTCAACTATTCCACATCCTTTAAGTTCATCCGGATTTTCGCAAAACTTTTTTGATCGTGTTAAAAATCTTTTATGGCACCTAACTTTGCTAGATTTCGTGAATCTCCCCCAAAATTTGCTGGCTGATGAAAACAAATTCTATCAAGATAATTTTGGAGGAGATCTTTGGGATCTGGCACAATCAACAGTTCCAGCATTGTTAATAAATGGAGATCGAATGCTAGATTTCCCTCGTCCTCTTCCAATTCATATTGCATTTTCTGGAGAGTTGGGAGTTAGTAAAAGTCAAAAAACTGGAGTGAAATTTGATGGATGGCTTGAGGAAATTATTGAGAAACCATCGAAAGGTTTGATTGTTTTTTCGTTGGGAACTGTTTCGAATACAACAAATATGCCTAAACAAATGATTGTGAGTTTTTTTGCAGGGAAAAATTGGAATTTTCAAATTTAAACTCACCCCAGAAAATTATAAAAGGAAAATTGTTATTCCCAAAAAACTCACTGTTTCAAAAATCCTATAATTTTTTAGCAAAAAAATGTTTTTCGTTATTTCATATATTGTTAATGCATATTGTGAAAAATGTTCAATTTAAAACAATCCTTCCACGTGGAATTTTTTGCAGGACTCATTTCTTGGCGCATTCGCAAAACTGGACGATTATACGATTTTGTGGCGAATGGAGAAAAATGTGGCGGGTGTTGAGAAATTGAAAAATGTGCATTTGGTGAAATGGTTGCCACAAAAAGATATTATGAGTAGGTTGCGAAGAGAAAACACGCTTTTTCCATCAAAATTCCCATTTCTCTTCAGGACACCCAAAAATGCGTCTAATGATTGCTCACGGTGGCTATAATTCATTTCTCGAAGCAGCTCAAGCCGGAATTCCCGCAGTTCTAATGCCATTGTTTGCCGATCAAAAAATCAATGCAAAACGTGCCCAAAGATACGGTATGGCTACAGTACTCGATAAATTGGATCTGAGCGTCGAAAAAGTTTACACGGCATGTCAAACTGCACTGAATGATGGAAATTATTTGGAAAATGCGCGGAAATTATCGAAAATGTTGGCGGAAAAAGTTGTACCCGAGAAGAAATTCGGAGCTCTCGAATATTCTTTGAAATTGGCGACGACTGCTCAGAAAACGGAGCTTTTTAGTTTGCAAGCTGCACAAAATTTGACATTTTTTGAATTTTGGAATGTTGATTTGCTTGTTTTAGCCGGGTTTTTCGTTGTCTTTTGTTATTTTTAATTAATTTTTGGCTGGTTTGATATAAGAAGTTATGAAAATAGAAAAATATGAACAATTTTAATTTTTTTTTTTGAAATACTTATTGCAAACACTGATCAAAAAATTTCTGATTTCCCAAAAAACTTCAAAATTTTTTGAAACAGTGAATTATTTTATGTCTCAAAAAGGCCGAAAAAATCAATAAAAACACAGGTTCATATAAAAATAAGTGACTAGCCCTAAAATAAAGGATGCGTATAAATAAATTATGAGATTTGAAAAAATAAAATAAAAAATGAGAAAATACACAAAATTTACATTTTTCCACCAGGAAGCTGACAAATCTATTGAGATTCTTCTTCCTGGAAAAAATCCGATTTTCAGACATTTTTGTGGAGAAAAATTTGGGTTAAAGTGCGTTTTTGGACAAGGAAAAATGGTGACATTAGGGATGATTTTAGTGACGTGGAAAAAAACATTTTTAAATTAAAAAAAAGAAAACATACTTTTTTGTTTGTTGCATAGGGGTTTTAATTCTGAATTTAAATTTTAGTTTTTTTTTCTAGATTTTTATCAGAAATTCGAAAACAGGTCATTTCGACTCAAAATTTTCCAAATTTTCAAGCCCAAGTCCCAAAAAAACCCACCTTATTAGCCACCAATTGTGCCATATGATAATGTTGTTTTCTCAATGCCGCCAATTTCGCTCGTTCATTATTCAATTCTTGTTCCAATTCCAGCATTCGAACTTGCGATTCCATTTCCTCTTTTTTCGCTTCGTGAAGTGTTAAATAGGAGAAATCGAGCGAATCTGAAGAAAATTATCGATTTTTCAGTGGAATTTCGAAATCTTTGATACCAAACAAGGATTGGGTTACTGTAGACTCAAGGTCTCGAATAGAAAAGCAGTAACCTCAAATTTTTCACAGAGAAAAAAGATTATCGATTTTTTGATAGCAAACAAGGATTGGGTTAGAAGCTACAGTAATTCTGAATTAAAACACAATCTTTCAGAAAATTTCAGATGATTACTGTAGATTTCGAGTCTACAGTAATCCTCTGACGAGGGAAGTGTGTTATGAGTCCCCGGAGATTTTCAATGAGACCTATGTTTTTTAGGTCAGTTTTTCACGCTGATAAAGCTCCTGTTTTCAGTTTTTGCTGAACGACTCTCTGAAGAGCCCAAAAATGAGCCAAAAGTTGAGAATTTCCTGAAAATCGCGTTTTTGGGAGCCCATAACTCATGTTAGAAATTGTTTTTACGGAAAACTGAATGCATCACGTTGTTCAGGAGGGTCGATTTACCGAAGTCACAAATTTTTGATTAGTAAGTCCATACTTTTTCAGAAAAAAATTTTGTGGCTCAGAAAAATAGGCTCAGGTCATGGAACGAAACATTTTTGTGAAACAGTTTCACTTGGTTTTAGCAGAACATTTTACGACATTTTAATGTTTTCGCATTCTATCCGAGTCACTTTTTGTTTTTTCAACGAGTGTCATGATTAAAAAAGATCAGAAAATGAAAAAGATCGAATTAGAAAAATATTAAAAACGTGACACGGTGTAGGTGTGACGTGTTTTCGATGCAAAACATTTTCAAAAAATGAAATGCTTCACGTGTTTTTTCATAACACATTTAAATTTTTGAAATGTGTCAAACCAAAAAAGAGTGACACAAAAAAATGTTTCACGTTTTGAAAAAAATAATTGTGTCACACATTAAAATGTGTCACACAATTTTTGTATGACACATTCAATTTTTAAAAATGTTTCATTGGTTTTCAATGAAACAAAAATGATCAGCTGTTTTGTTTCGCCACATTTTACCATTTTCTCTATTAGAGAATTTGATAGAAAAAGCGACCTGGAAGTGAATTTGAACATATTTTGAAAGGATTAGTTTGTGAAGATACTATTTCACTTTTGAGAACTTATGAAATAGACCCGAAAAGTCGGACCAAGGCAGATTTTTTGAAAAAAAACTGACAAGGAAACCTTTCGGAACCGCCAAAAAATTGATAAGTTTATCCAGAAATCTAAAGTCCTCCACAAAATTAGCCTCACCGCCAAAATTTTCAAAAATTCGGAAACTTGATTTTTCTGAAAAAGTTGGTATAGCCAAAATGTGTCAAAAGGTGATACATAAATTTGCCCTACTTCAAATTTCAGATGAAAATGAGGCTGAAATGAAAACTTGATTTTTTTTTTGAAAAATAGGTGTTCTTATTTTCCACATAGAATCAAATTTCCAAATTTTTGAAAATTTTGGCGGTGAGGCTAAATTTTGTGGAGGACTTTAGGTTTCTGGAAAAACAAACCTCACCCAAGAACCTGGAGCAGTAGCTGAAAAATTGCCCACCTGGGTTCATTTTTCAAAATTACCCACCTAGTGAAAATGTTTTTCTCGACTGAGGCTGGCCTTGAAAGCCTTTAAATTTTTTGCCCACTTACAAGGTTAGGTTTTAGAAGAAAAAAATTGCCCATATGGAATATCAGGTATTGGGTGAGGTTTTTTTTTCAAAAAATCTGCCTTGGTCCGACTTTTCGGGTCTATTTCATAAGTTCTCAAAAGTGAAATGGTATCTTCACAAACTAATCCTTTCAAAATATGTTCAAATTCACTTCCAGGTCGCTTTTTCTATCAAATTCTCTAATAGAGAAAATGGTAAAATGTGGCGAAACAAAACAGCTGATCATTTTTGTTTCATTGAAAACCAATGAAACATTTTTAAAAATTGAATGTGTCATACAAAAATTGTGTGACACATTTTAATGTGTGACACAATTATTTTTTTCAAAACGTGAAACATTTTTTTGTGTCACTCTTTTTTGGTGTGACACATTTCGAGAAATTAAATGTGTTATGAAAAAACACGTGAAGCATTTCATTTTTTGAAAATGTTTTGCATCGAAAACACGTGAAGCATTTCATTTTTTGAAAATGTTTTGCATCGAAAACACGTCACACCTACACCGTGTCACGTTTTTAATATTTTTCTAATTCGATCTTTTTCATTTTCTGATCATTTTTTATTTGTGAAGTGTTGTGATTTTTTTTTGAGTGGTGCTATTTTTGTTTCGAAATTCATTAAAATCAGTGACACTTACAAGAAAACTCAGTTTCATGTTTCGCCTTGTTTCGGAACAAAACAAAATCTTGCGGTACTCTGGATTGCACATTTGAAAATTTTTGGAAAATTTTGTCAAAACTTGTGACTTTGGTAAATCGACCCTCCTGAACAACGTGATGCATTCAGTTTCCCATAAAAATAATTTCTAACATGAGTTATGGGCTCCCAAAAACGCGATTTTCAGGAAATTCTCAACTTTTGGCTCATTTTTGGGCTCTTCAGAGAGTCGTTCAGCAAAAACTGAAAACAGGAGCTTTATCAGCGTGAAAAACTGACCTAAAAAACATAGGTCTCATTGAAAATCTCCGGGGACTCATAACACACTTCCCTCGTCAGAGAAATTAGTGTTTTTAGAGACCATACCATAGTAATTGTTATGATTGAGAAGCGTTTCGTATCTGGACCCAAAATCTACAGTACCCAAATCATATTTAGTATCAAAATTCATCAGAAATCAACTCACCCTCATCATTTAGCGTAGTTTTTCCACTTTTGACAGCAGCCACAACTTGCGCAGTATTTTGATTCACCGCTTTACTCGCAATCGATAAAGCTTGTAATTTTGCCGAATCCTTGTCCGCTTTTACACGACTTGACACAAATAATTGAGCAGTTGATGCAGCAATTTCTTGTGCCGCCACAATTAAATGCTCAAATTTGCCTTTTCCAGTCACAACTCCATCAGCACTTTCAACCAAAACTCGCGCAGCAACTCCGACAGCTTTTGCAGCAGATAACAATCCTTCAGTCCATTGATGATTTCTCTTATAAAATTCAGCTGGTGAATTTCCAGCTTTTCCGGCAGCCACAATTTCAGTTTGTAATTCTCTTGAGGCAATTACTAATTGCATAATTACACTCATTAATTGTTGGCAATTTGCCAAAATCGATTCATTGACTTCTAATCGAATTCCATCCGAATTTTCGCGAGCTTTTCGTTGGATATTTTCAATTTCTTGAACAGCGCGACGAATTGCTTCGTCCATTCGACGCATTTCTTGTTCGAGTTCAGTGCCAACAGCGTCCTGAAATTAATTTTTGATTTAGGCTTAGGCTTGTAGATAGGTGTAAGGTTTTTTGTGGGAGTTTAACGGTAACTTTGACATTAAAGAAGACTGGGTTACTGTAATTATTGTAATTTTAGGGTCTCGCCACGAAAAAATTTGAAAATACTGGGTACTGTAACATAGGTCCGTTGGAATACCGGGGAATTCAGTAATTTTAAATAAATTCGGGGTGAGACCCAAAAGCCACAGTAATCTAGGAATTTTTGATGTCAAAAAATCCTATATTACTGTATTTTCGTGGCGAGACCTGAGATCCACAGTAACCCAGACATATTTGGTCTCAAAAAACCCAGAATTTTCCCGCCAAAAATATTACCTTATCAATATCAGTCTGCAACGGCAAACCAATCAATAATCCATTCAATTTCCCACAATCCGCTCTCAAATTCTCCAAATTTCTCGCTCTTTTTTCCGCATTCTCTTCCGCAAATGTCAATTTTGCAATTTGAATAATCTGCTTGCATTTTTCATTTACTTCTTCATAATTTTGAATATTTGCAGTATATGCGGCAGAAGCGGAAGCCGAAAGAATTTGTGCCAAACAGTGACCGCTTGTCACATTTTCTTTGATCGATTGAATTTTGGCCAATTTTTCGGAGCTCAATAATTCGAGCACATTGGACATCGCAGATTGCGCCAGATCTGAAGAATAAAACAATTGTTGGCTCCAAAAATCAATGCTAAAACTCACGTGGCGGATAAGTGATCGACGTGGCATTTTGCAAATCTTCTTCACAATTTTCGAACATTTTCACAATTCCGTCAGCAGAAGATTCTGGAAAAAGTTGATTATACAAACTTTTCTCAAAAATATAGTCGCTGATTAAATAATTGGTCAGAAACACAACATTTTTAACCTAAAAATAGTTCCAGAGTTCAAAATTTGAAACATTAGTTGGGGTTTTTTATTCAAAAAAAATTGTTTGCTTGATGAAAATGATAAAAATACGTGAAAATTGTTTATGATTGGAAAAAAAACTACTTTAGAAACTTCACAAAAAATTTATGGTATTTTTGAAACAGTGAATTTTTTTGCAAAATTATCAATAAAAGTTGAAACAGAGAACTTTTTCTGATCATAACAATTTCGGAAAATATACAAAAATGTATGTCGAATTTTTGAAACAGTGTAATTTTTTCCCGATGAAAATTTTCATTAGCTACCCGCCCAAATCAAAATTTTGATTCGGCCGTGAATTCAAAATTTCCAAAATGATCCCCTCTCGAAAAATTTTTCCAAATGTCATGATCTACCCTCACAGTTTTAGGAGCAGTGCATTATATATGAAACGAATAACTATTTTAGAAAGTTGACAAAAAAATTTTCAGGTATTTTTGAAACGGTGAATTTTTTTTGTAAAAAAAATCAATAAAACAAGGAACTTCTTTTGAAATTATTTTTTCACAAACTTTGTAGCAGCAAGGCGTTGGAACAACTTCGGAAAAATATAAACATATATATTGAGTTTTTGAAACAGTGGATTTTTGTTATGGGGTGATTCAATTCGTTTTTTTTACGATTAATTGACAGAAAATCCGAGTCTTTTTTGTGTGATTTTGTCACGTTTTTGTCGATTAATTCCATATTTTTTTGCAATTAATTGCATTCAAAAATGAGGAATGGCAACATGAAATAGAATTTATTTGACCTTTTTTTCGAAACGTGTTCTAACAAGGAAACCTTTTTTACTCAACACTTCAAATCATGATGAAATTTGGTCCATCGACAGCTTTTGGGACCATAAGAACACCCTAAAAATTTTAGTCTCCCAATGGACCTCTGAGCCAAGTTCTGGGCTCTCAAAAAGTTCAAAAATTGCCGAAATTGGCTCATAAAACACGTCATAACTCAATTTTCGATAATTTTTATCAAAAACTGAGTAGCAGATGATGATCAGCGTGGTCGATTTACCCAAAAAGCATCAATAAATCGAATTTTCAGAAAAATTTTTGATTTTGAAAAAAAGAATGAGCAGGGGCACATATGAATTTTCATGAATTTTCAGCTCAAAAATAAAAAACTTCAAAATTTTTCGAAATAAAGTTTTTTATTAATGTACTTTTAGGTAATCGACTATGCTGATCAATATCTGAAACTTCATTTCTCCCAAAAAATTTTTGAAATGGAGCTATGATGACTTTTATGACCATTTTTAGGCCTTTTTTGTACTTTTGAGAGCCCAGAACTTGGCTCAGAGGTCCATTGGGAGACTAAAATTTTTAGGGTGATCTTATGGTCCCAAAAGCTGTCCATGGACCAAATTTCATCAAGATTTGAAGTGTTTAGTAAAAAAGGTTCCCTTGTAAAAGACTCGGATTTTTTGTCAATTAATTGACAAATTCACGTCGATTAATTCGACTGAATCACCCCATTAGAAAAAAACAAAGAAAATATCAGGAATTCAGAATTTTGGCTAGTTTTTCATTGAAAAAATCATGCAAAAGTTATCATAAATTTGCCTTCCCCCAAAAAACTCACTAGAAACTGTCAATTCCACCGCAAATCTCTCCTTTTCCACATTTTCTCCATTTTGCACCAATTGTCGTTCATTTTGCTCTCTCAAATGCTCCAAACTTCTTCTCAAATCCTCCAATTCCACATCAGATTTTGCCAATTGTGTTCTCATTTCATCAACTTGTCCCGAATTCTCTTCGCCTTGTGCCAAAACTCGTGCCATTTCCCTCTGCGATTCTTCCAATTTTCGATTTTGTGCCAATAATTCGGCTTCTTTGTCGAGTTTCAATTTTTCGCTCGTTTCGAGATCTTTTTTGAAGATTGGCTAATTTGGTGAGTGCTTGAACGTGTTCGCTTCGGAATTTTTCGTAGACTCCTTTCATTTTCAAGAATCGTTCTTCGGCTGAATTCGCTTTTAACTCGGCTTCTTTGACACGCGAATCGTCGCTTTGAATTCGAGATGCATCGCGAAGAGCAAGTTCGTCTGAAGAAAAATATGATTGAAGTTTTTAAATATTCTTGAAACAGTATAAAATTTGCGCTTTTTAACAATAAGAATGAATTAATTTCGAAATTTCATTTTTATTTTTTTGAAAAAAATCCACTGTTTCAAAAATCGTGAGTATAGTTTTGTCGAGTTTTTGTAAAACTGAATGATTTCCTCTGTGAAAAATGAAAATACTAGAGAATTGCGATTTTTATTCAACTTTGGGGCGCAAAAATTGAAATTTGATTATTTCAAATAAATTCACTGTTTGAAAAATCCCACATATTTTTTGTGAATATTTTAGAAATCAATAAACGACGGAATAGCTTGTGTTTCAAAACTTTCAATTTTCTCAAATTTTCAAAAGTAAAACTTTTTTTGAAATTCAGAAAAACCTCGGAAATTCACTGTTTCAAAAATTTGAATTTCTCGAATAATAACATTTCTGTGTTTTTTCAAAAAAAAAAAAACATTTTATACTAGTAAAATTACAAGATCTTCTCAAAAAATTCACTGTTTCAAAAATTCCACATATTTTTTGTGGATATTTTTGGAATTATGAGTGCTTGTAATCATCTCAATATCCCATAACATACATCAGTATCCCCGGATTTTCGTCCGGAGGGGGTCTGGCTAATTTTGGAAAAAAGGCGTGGGGACCGGCTAACTTTTTGAAAAAATAACAATTTACAGCCCAAAAACCAAGTTTTTTCTCTTTTTTTTGAGGGGGTCTGGCTAATTTTTGAATTTTCACATTACGGGGGTGGCTAATTTTGAGGCCCTGACCGGGAGAAACTGATGTATGTCCCATAACTTCCCCCAAAAAAACAACCAACTTTTCAATCTTGTCAATTCTTCTTTATTCTCTTCATTTTCTCGTTTCGAATGATCAAATTCTCCTTGCATTTGTATCAATCGATTCTCATATTGTTCAATTCGACTTCTCGCTTCTTGAATTAATCTTTCTTTTGCAAATCGTTCATCTTCGACAGCTCTTTGAAGTGCAATTAATTGTTCTTCTCTGGAAAAAGGCGGAATTTTGAAACTTTATAATTAAAACAAGAAATATTGAATCGGATCCCATAATATTGAAAAAAAAAACATTTTTTTCTTTGAAAATGAAATCTTGAAACAGTAAAATTTTGGGGTGATTTTTGAAACAGAAAAGTCTTTGATTTTTTTATTTTCCACGCGTTTTGAAAATTTTAAAGAGAATTTCAGATTTTTAAACAGCATTCGTAGTCACATCTAAATGAAAATGGATTTCAGACATTTTGGCACAATTTTAAGGTCAGTTTTCTTGAAAAAAACACAATTTTCAGACAAAAAGTGAAATTTCAAGAGTTGACAACAATATTTCCCATTTTTAGCTTAATTTTTACCGCAAAATCTCCCCACCTTTGATCAATTTGCTGAACCGGACTCGGCTGTTGTTGAACCGGCACCTCATCTTCCAAATTCAACAATTCGCCTTCTTGTTCATCCGAACCTTCAGATCTCAAATAAGCGTGAGGAGTACGGTAGCTTTCCAAATCACTTTGTTGTAAGAAATTGGGAGGACTTGATGGCAAATTCGGAATTGATACGAGAAATTTAAAATATTGCATATTTCCAGCTTCTTCCAAGAATTTCTTAGTTCTTCTGAAGATTTCATAGAATCTTGATCTATGACCTTCTAAAGCATCCGGTGGAACTTGGCTGTGCAATTTGAAGATCATTTTGACGAGATAATCGTAGAATTTCGAGGCGTCGAGAATTATGAGAATAAGAGGGGCTAACATACATTGACCTTGTGGAACCATTGAATTCCAGCGAAGAAAATGAAGCATTTCGAAGACTGGAAAATATAAAGGGATTTTTGGAAGAGAAATTGATTCTGGGGGGAAAATTCTGAATTTCTTTAACATAAAAAACATTCAACATCCAAATTTTGTGCTTATTTTTAGGCGAACCCAACATTTTCTGCATTTCAGATTTTTTTGTTGGAATTTCACTCCAAAAATCCCGAAATTTTCCCTCAATTTCCCCTAAAAAATAAACACACCTTTATCCTGCAAAGTCATCAAATTCTCCATTTGATCCAACATATCAATTGTCATCTCAAATAAATTGTCCAAATCTCCTTCTAATGTTTTGAGTTGCGATTCGTTGAGCTCCAATTTTCCCGGCACAACTGGGTACTGTAATTAATTAGGATGAGGCTTGGGAGACTGAATTTTTGAAAACTGAAAATAGAATAAAAAATAAAAACAATTCAATTTAAAAAAAGGTCACGTTTGGATTTGAAAATAATAATTTTTTTTCAAGAAAAAAATATAATTTCATTTGAAATTTTTGATGAAAATACAAGAAAAACCATCAAAATTTGAGCATTCTCAGTCAGAATTAGTAAATTTTTAGTAAAACCACTAAATTCCGGCCCAAATTCCCTAACCTTATTATGAAAAACAACACGATCCTGTAGTAATTTACAATAAGTCTCAATACACGGTCCATATCCACTCGTATTCAAATGTTTCCAAAACTGTGCCAATTGTTGAAACCGTCCCGCAAATTTATAAGTTTCTTCCGGAACTTTTCGATATCCATCTCTCAACAATTTATGAACCATATGACAGAATTTCCACGTCAAAACTGGATGTTTTTCGAGTTGAACACGACCAATTGTATGCCAGAAAATACCCGATGATTTCTCTTTGTGAGTTCCGACGATAATTGTACGAGAATGTTTGGGTTTTAGAGGAGCCTCGATTTTATTGATCGCTTTTTGGATGGCTTCGATTTGTTGGCGCATGAATGCTTCGCGGATTTGTGCACGATCCATTTTTGCTGGAAAAAATTGGAGAGTTTTAGAGTGGAGAAATTTGATTTTTTGAAGAGAATGAAGAAATTGAGAAATTTCAATTTACAATAAAAATCCGAGTTTTTTAAATCATAATTTGAAGAAAATCAAGAATTTTTCTTAAAAATTCATAGGATTTTGGGAAGGAAATAGGGCAGTAAATAGTAATTTACCTAATTATTTGTCATGTTGAAAAATTTGAATTTTTGAAGATTAAAGTGTCTGGGTAAAAAGATGCTCAGCTTAAAAATCAAAATTCTGGCTGAAATTTCAGCCAGATGTTTACAAATCTATTTTTTAATCATTAATTTTGTCCCCCAAAACATGTTTGCTCTGAAAATCGATAAATTTTCATTAAAACTTCTGAAAATTCACGATTAATAGCCAACATTTCAGGAGAAAAAAGAAAAGTTTTTCGAAAGTTTTAAAGAACCAATACACGAAATTTTTCAGTCAAAAACCATGAATTTTGCTTGAAAATTAGGAATTTTGACAAAAATTAGAAATTTTCAGTCAAAAATCCAATTTCCTCACAACAAATAAATTTCGCAATGTTTTTTTCTTCACTAGAAAAAATCTGGTTTTTTGATGAATCACTAGCTAAACAGAAAGAAAAATGAGATTTTGTGGTTTTTCTGAACAAAAAAAAACTATTTCTATGCGAAAAACGAAAAGTGATAAGAGCAAAAATGAAACTTTTTCCAAGCATAAACAGAAAACATAGGAAAAGAGTATAAAATAAAATAAAAATGTGGGGAGAAATGCAAATATTTGCAAGTGTAGTGCGTGTAATTCGAGGACAAAAAATATATTTTTCATCGTTTTTCAACGAACTTGGAAAAAATTAAGGAAATTAAAAAGAAAAACAGAACAGTTTATAACAAGATACTTTCTCTAAAACTATACTATAGTTAAAAAAATAATTAAGTTGTTCGCAACATTTTCGCAGCTTTTTTATCAGCCAAATCCTTGAGTTGAGCTTCAACTTTTTGCTTTCTTTCCGCTAGAAAAACTTTCAATTCATCCACATTCAAATCCTCATTTTGCACCTCAATCCCAATTGTTCGACAAGTTTTCACAAGATTTTGACAAATTTCCTGCAACGGGACACCTTGCAACGCTTTATCTCGTGATTTGACTCGAGCAATTTCATATAAATGTTTGACTGATAATTTGCCAACAATTTCATCTCGACTCGCTTTTCCTCTTCCTATTCCAGCTGCTTGTTTTAATAACCAAGTTGTTGTTGGTGTACAAATCTCTAAATCATAAGTTCTATCCGGTTTTACACTGATTCTTGTTGGAAGTGGAATTCCTTGCTTGAAATGACCAGTTTCTTTGTTGAATTCTTTGCAAAAATTCGCCACATTCAAACCTCTTTGACCTAATTGTGGTCCCAATGGTGGAGCAGCCGATGCCATTTGCGCCCTGAACATTTTTTTTGGTTTTTGCAAACAATTTCTTGAACTCACTTGATATTAGTTTTTAGAAGTGCACCATGCACAACTTTGATGATCTCCTTCTTTCTAACACGCGCAGCAGCCTTACTCGCCATACTTCACTCTGAAAATCGTATTTTTCCTTTCAAAAAACCCGGAACACAAAAAAATGAAAAATGAAAAAAAACTGCAAACACACCAACCTTTGAACACTGGCGCATTTCATGTGACGCTGACGCAATCGCGGTAAATTTTTCGAATTTTTATTTTTCCCTGTTTTTGCGCTTTTTCCCACAAAAAACTCTGAATCTTCACAGATAAAAATGTCGCTGGCCACAAAATTGCGACGAGTTCGAAAATCGCCACCAGAAGGATGGGATTTGATCGAACCGACACTCGAACAATTCGAGGCAAAAATGCGAGAAGCCGAGACGGAACCGCATGAAGGAAAACGAAAGACTGAGATTAATTGGCCGATTTTTAGGTTAGTCGGGAAAAACTTTTAATGTTGTCTGGTGCTACTGGATTTTGTGTAGAAAAACTTACAAGATATATTCTTGATTTTTTTAAAATGAAAAATGAGTTTGTTCTATCGGAAAATTCTAAAAATGAGTAGAAATTATGTTTTTTTTTGTTAAAAAAAATAATAAAACGTGATGACCCAGAAATAACCGAGCGATCCCAAAAACATCATTTCTAGTAGATTTTGTTCCACGCCATGACTCACTTCACTAAGAAATCCACATTTCCTTGCAGAATTCACCACCAACGTTCTCGCTACATCTACGACCTCTACTACAAACAAGAAACCATCTCACGTGAACTCTACGACTTTTGTCTTCTCGCAAAATTAGCCGACGCCAATCTCATCGCCAAATGGAAAAAGCAGGGCTACGAGAATCTGTGCTGCTTGCGTTGTGTTCAAACGCGCGACTCGAATTTCGGCACAAATTGTGTGTGTCGCGTGCCGAAAAGTAAATTGGACGCGGAAAAAGTCATCGAATGTATACATTGTGGATGTCGCGGGTGTTCCGGATAATTTTTTTCGTGATTTTTTGTGTAATTTATTCAATTTTTGTGAAATCACCCCATAAAATGGTCAAAAATACGGAATTTTCTGATGTTTCTTCGGTTTTTCATTTCCTATTTTATCTTCTTTATTTTGGGATTTATCCAAACTTCAATATTTTTAAGATGCTCAAAACTAGCAATCCAAAGTTCCCCGAATTCTGCGCTGGTGTTACAGTAGCCTATAATGAGATTAAAGGGAGGCATGTTGTAGCCACTCAAGATCTCCCACCAGGAACCGTAGTTTGTGTAGAAACCGGGATTACTGTCAATATTTCAAAGGCGCATTGTTATCGATGTCTTGGAGATATTACTGTAGATGGAGAGGTATACTGTAGTTCGTGTGAGAAATTCGAAAATGAACCGGAAGAATTGGCGAATGGCGAATTTGATGAATTGGGATTGTTCAAATTGGCTGCACATATCATTTTTAGCTATGATTTTGGAGAAATTATGGAGGTTTTGAGAGCACCGGATCCTGGTGAGTAAATATTTTCATTTTTTGGCGTTAAACAGTTCGGTGATCAAAATACCACATGGAATTTTCAATTCATGATCTCGGAAAAAATTTACAATTACAATTAATAGTAATTAATTTATTTATTTATAAAAAAATAGATTAGATAATTCAAAGTTTTGATAATATTCAGTTTGAGAAAAATTCCATGTTGAAAAATGTGTGTTCTAAATTTTCCACTGTTTCAAGAATTTCTTAAAATCTGAAATTTTTATTTTTTTTCAATTCTGCATAAAATTTCATGTCACAAAATGTTTCTTCAAAACATTCTTCATTTTCAACGTGGAAAAAAAGTCGACATTTTTTTCACTGTTTCAAAATTTTCACAAAATTTAGAGAAACCTCGAAATTTTGATATATTGACATAAGGCAAAGTTCCTCTACAGCTGTATATTTAATTGTTGTGCTTCAAAATCTCGAAAAATAAATTCATGCGCCACTGTTTTGAAAATTTCTTATTTTTTTGATTTGATAATGGAAATTTTCTTAATAATGGAAATAGTTGCGAATCCACAAATGTTCAATTTTTCTCACAAAATACGCCGTAATTTTTTAAGCCCAAACCATTTCCACGTTTAATTTTTATTCGAAAAAATTTATATAAAAAATTTCAACTTAATTTTTCTCACTGTTTCAAAGTTTTAATAACATTTTGAAAGTTCTAGAATTTGCGATAACAAAAAAAAATCCCCGACAAAATGAACAATTTTTACAGTTGTTCCAAACGAAGCTCCAACTCAACTCTCCACATCAAATTTCTCATCAATAATGCAACTTCGTCCACTTCCAACAATTGGCGACGCTTTTCAAAATGAGCATATTCAAAAAAATATTCAAAAAATGGTGAAATTGCTCGAGAAAAATGCGAATTGGGGAAAAATCGATCAGGATATGAGATATATTTTCTTTTCGAGAGCTTTGAGATTGGTTGCTGAAAGATTGGCCAAAAATTCACATGTGGTTTTTAGTATTGAACAAACTTCTAGAAAGTTAGTTTTTAGGGAAGAATTTGGGATTTAAGGGAAATTTTCAGTGATTCTTGCGCACTTTCATCAAAAGTTGCAAAAATATTCTAAATTTCAAAAAATTTTGAAACAGTGAATTTTTTGAACATAAAATTTCAAAAATATTTTGAATTGTTGTCCTAAAACTAGGATCACAGATATGAACCAGTTCTGACATCTTCTCAAAATAATTTTTCTCACATTTCCAGCTCATCAGAAGAACCACTAGGCACTGGAATTTTCCCGATCTCCTCAATTTTCAATCATTCTTGCACTCCCAACATTTTCGGTTTTTTCCTCAAAAATCGCTTCATTTTCATCAGTCGCGGTGTGAAAAATGGGGAAGAATTGGTGGATAATTATGGTGTAACACATTATCAAAATAGTTTGACAAAAAGAAAAGAGTTTTTGGCACAAGTTTCCGGATTCAAATGTTTTTGCGAGAAATGCGTGAAAAATGATCGAAGTTTGAACGATTTGTTGGTGTCGAATTTGAAAAATGTGGAAGAAATTGTGGAAAATGGAATTGGAGATATTGATGATTTTTTGGAATATATTCCGCCGGGAAATAAGGATTGCGAAGTTATTATTCAACATTTCACACGAAAAAATCCACAAAATCCCAAAAAAAATCGACAACTTTGGATGAGATTCATTGAAAATGCGAAAATTCGAGGAATTGAATTTGATGAATATTTAGGTGAGCTTTTTTGGCAATTAAAATTGTAAATTTTCTTGAAAAACTTTTATTTCACCTGATTTTTTTTAGAACTCACTAAATTTTAATGGTAAAATTTTGGCGCCAAAATTTGAGCTATAAAAATTGTTGTGATTTTCGAACTCATTTCACCACGTGCACACCTGACGAGACGTGTCCAAAATGGACACTGTACAAAATTTTCAAAAGCCACACTGTATATTTTTCACGGAAAAGTGCAGTTTTCATTGATTTGTGCGGATTTGTATTTCACGATTTTCCAAATCTAGCTCATTTTTATGGATAAAAATGAGCTAGATTTGGAAAATCGTCAAATGGAAGTAACTCCGAAACCACGATTTATAATTTTTATCCATAAAAATGAGCTAGATTTGGAAAATCGTCAAATGGAAGTAACTCCCAAACCACGATTTATAATTTTTATCCATAAAAATGAGCTAGATTTGGAAAATCGTCAAATGGAAGTAACTCCCAAACCACGATTTATAATTTTTATCCATAAAAATGAGCTAGATTTGGAAAATCGTCAAATGGAAGTAACTCCGAAACCACGATTTATAATTTTTATCCATAAAAATGAGCTAGATTTGGAAAATCGTCAAATGGAAGTAACTCCGAAACCACGATTTATAATTTTTATCCATAAAAATGAGCTAGATTTGGAAAATCGTCAAATGGAAGTAACTCCGAAACCACGATTTATAATTTTTATCCATAAAAATGAGCTAGATTTGGAAAATCGTCAAATGGAAGTAACTCCCAAACCACGATTTATAATTTTTATCCATAAAAATGAGCTAGATTTGGAAAATCGTCAAATGGAAGTAACTCCCAAACCACGATTTATAATTTTTATCCATAAAAATGAGCTAGGTTTGGAAAATCGTCAAATGGAAGTAACTCCCAAACCACGATTTATAATTTTTATCCATAAAAATGAGCTAGATTTGGAAAATCGTCAAATGGAAGTAACTCCGAAACCACGATTTATAATTTTTATCCATAAAAATGAGCTAGATTTGGAAAATCGTCAAATGGAAGTAACTCCCAAACCACGATTTATAATTTTTATCCATAAAAATGAGCTAGATTTGGAAAATCGTCAAATGGAAGTAACTCCCAAACCACGATTTATAATTTTTATCCATAAAAATGAGCTAGATTTGGAAAATCGTCAAATGGAAGTAACTCCGAAACCACGATTTATAATTTTTATCCATAAAAATGAGCTAGATTTGGAAAATCGTCAAATGGAAGTAACTCCCAAACCACGATTTATAATTTTTATCCATAAAAATGAGCTAGATTTGGAAAATCGTCAAATGGAAGTAACTCCGAAACCACGATTTATAATTTTTATCCATAAAAATGAGCTAGATTTGGAAAATCGTCAAATGGAAGTAACTCCCAAACCACGATTTATAATTTTTATCCATAAAAATGAGCTAGATTTGGAAAATCGTCAAATGGAAGTAACTCCGAAACCACGATTTATAATTTTTATCCATAAAAATGAGCTAGATTTGGAAAATCGTCAAATGGAAGTAACTCCGAAACCACGATTTATAATTTTTATCCATAAAAATGAGCTAGATTTGGAAAATCGTCAAATGGAAGTAACTCCCAAACCACGATTTATAATTTTTATCCATAAAAATGAGCTAGATTTGGAAAATCGTCAAATGGAAGTAACTCCGAAACCACGATTTATAATTTTTATCCATAAAAATGAGCTAGATTTGGAAAATCGTCAAATGGAAGTAACTCCGAAACCACGATTTATAATTTTTATCCATAAAAATGAGCTAGATTTGGAAAATCGTCAAATGGAAGTAACTCCGAAACCACGATTTATAATTTTTATCCATAAAAATGAGCTAGATTTGGAAAATCGTCAAATGGAAGTAACTCCCAAACCACGATTTATAATTTTTATCCATAAAAATGAGCTAGATTTGGAAAATCGTCAAATGGAAGTAACTCCGAAACCACGATTTATAATTTTTATCCATAAAAATGAGCTAGATTTGGAAAATCGTCAAATGGAAGTAACTCCGAAACCACGATTTATAATTTTTATCCATAAAAATGAGCTAGATTTGGAAAATCGTCAAATGGAAGTAACTCCGAAACCACGATTTATAATTTTTATCCATAAAAATGAGCTAGATTTGGAAAATCGTCAAATGGAAGTAACTCCCAAACCACGATTTATAATTTTTATCCATAAAAATGAGCTAGATTTGGAAAATCGTCAAATGGAAGTAACTCCCAAACCACGATTTATAATTTTTATCCATAAAAATGAGCTAGATTTGGAAAATCGTCAAATGGAAGTAACTCCCAAACCACGATTTATAATTTTTATCCATAAAAATGAGCTAGATTTGGAAAATCGTCAAATGGAAGTAACTCCCAAACCACGATTTATAATTTTTATCCATAAAAATGAGCTAGATTTGGAAAATCGTCAAATGGAAGTAACTCCCAAACCACGATTTATAATTTTTATCCATAAAAATGAGCTAGATTTGGAAAATCGTCAAATGGAAGTAACTCCCAAACCACGATTTATAATTTTTATCCATAAAAATGAGCTAGATTTGGAAAATCGTCAAATGGAAGTAACTCCCAAACCACGATTTATAATTTTTATCCATAAAAATGAGCTAGGTTTGGAAAATCGTCAAATGGAAGTAACTCCGAAACCACGATTTATAATTTTTATCCATAAAAATGAGCTAGATTTGGAAAATCGTCAAATGGAAGTAACTCCGAAACCACGATTTATAATTTTTATCCATAAAAATGAGCTAGATTTGGAAAATCGTCAAATGGAAGTAACTCCCAAACCACGATTTATAATTTTTATCCATAAAAATGAGCTAGATTTGGAAAATCGTCAAATGGAAGTAACTCCCAAACCACGATTTATAATTTTTATCCATAAAAATGAGCTAGATTTGGAAAATCGTCAAATGGAAGTAACTCCCAAACCACGATTTATAATTTTTATCCATAAAAATGAGCTAGGTTTGGAAAATCGTCAAATGGAAGTAACTCCCAAACCACGATTTATAATTTTTATCCATAAAAATGAGCTAGATTTGGAAAATCGTCAAATGGAAGTAACTCCCAAACCACGATTTATAATTTTTATCCATAAAAATGAGCTAGGTTTGGAAAATCGTCAAATGGAAGTAACTCCCAAACCACGATTTATAATTTTTATCCATAAAAATGAGCTAGATTTGGAAAATCGTCAAATGGAAGTAACTCCCAAACCACGATTTATAATTTTTATCCATAAAAATGAGCTAGATTTGGAAAATCGTCAAATGGAAGTAACTCCCAAACCACGATTTATAATTTTTATCCATAAAAATGAGCTAGATTTGGAAAATCGTCAAATGGAAGTAACTCCCAAACCACGATTTATAATTTTTATCCATAAAAATGAGCTAGATTTGGAAAATCGTCAAATGGAAGTAACTCCGAAACCACGATTTATAATTTTTATCCATAAAAATGAGCTAGATTTGGAAAATCGTCAAATGGAAGTAACTCCCAAACCACGATTTATAATTTTTATCCATAAAAATGAGCTAGATTTGGAAAATCGTCAAATGGAAGTAACTCCGAAACCACGATTTATAATTTTTATCCATAAAAATGAGCTAGATTTGGAAAATCGTCAAATGGAAGTAACTCCCAAACCACGATTTATAATTTTTATCCATAAAAATGAGCTAGATTTGGAAAATCGTCAAATGGAAGTAACTCCCAAACCACGATTTATAATTTTTATCCATAAAAATGAGCTAGATTTGGAAAATCGTCAAATGGAAGTAACTCCCAAACCACGATTTATAATTTTTATCCATAAAAATGAGCTAGATTTGGAAAATCGTCAAATGGAAGTAACTCCCAAACCACGATTTATAATTTTTATCCATAAAAATGAGCTAGATTTGGAAAATCGTCAAATGGAAGTAACTCCCAAACCACGATTTATAATTTTTATCCATAAAAATGAGCTAGATTTGGAAAATCGTCAAATGGAAGTAACTCCCAAACCACGATTTATAATTTTTATCCATAAAAATGAGCTAGATTTGGAAAATCGTCAAATGGAAGTAACTCCCAAACCACGATTTATAATTTTTATCCATAAAAATGAGCTAGATTTGGAAAATCGTCAAATGGAAGTAACTCCGAAACCACGATTTATAATTTTTATCCATAAAAATGAGCTAGATTTGGAAAATCGTCAAATGGAAGTAACTCCCAAACCACGATTTATAATTTTTATCCATAAAAATGAGCTAGATTTGGAAAATCGTCAAATGGAAGTAACTCCGAAACCACGATTTATAATTTTTATCCATAAAAATGAGCTAGATTTGGAAAATCGTCAAATGGAAGTAACTCCGAAACCACGATTTATAATTTTTATCCATAAAAATGAGCTAGATTTGGAAAATCGTCAAATGGAAGTAACTCCGAAACCACGATTTATAATTTTTATCCATAAAAATGAGCTAGATTTGGAAAATCGTCAAATGGAAGTAACTCCCAAACCACGATTTATAATTTTTATCCATAAAAATGAGCTAGATTTGGAAAATCGTCAAATGGAAGTAACTCCGAAACCACGATTTATAATTTTTATCCATAAAAATGAGCTAGATTTGGAAAATCGTCAAATGGAAGTAACTCCCAAACCACGATTTATAATTTTTATTCATAAAAATGAGCTAGATTTGGAAAATCGTCAAATGGAAGTAACTCCGAAACCACGATTTATAATTTTTATCCATAAAAATGAGCTAGATTTGGAAAATCGTCAAATGGAAGTAACTCCCAAACCACGATTTATAATTTTTATTCATAAAAATGAGCTAGATTTGGAAAATCGTCAAATGGAAGTAACTCCGAAACCACGATTTATAATTTTTATCCATAAAAATGAGCTAGATTTGGAAAATCGTCAAATGGAAGTAACTCCCAAACCACGATTTATAATTTTTATCCATATGATATTTTAAAAATTCCCATTCCTATTTTTGGCTCCAAAAAAATTAAATTTTCTTTGCAGTTCGACCGTACCTCGAAGCCCTAATCCTATCCAACGAAAATTCAACAAATCCCACAAAAAATGATCTAATTTTCACGGTCTACCAAATTCTTCACGTTTTATATGCTGATTTACATCCTGCTTCTGGAATTATTGCAAAAATGTTGGAGGAAAATAGTGTGGAGAATTGGGAGACGCAGAGAAATGAGCTGGAGGTTTCGGTGAGAAATATTTGGACATAATTATTGATGAGTTTTTGAATTTTGATAGATTTTTAGGGAAATTTTATTGCACTTTATGAATTTTCAAGGGTTACTGTAATTAATTGACCTACTTCTGAATTCACGGGTTTTCCAAATTTTCGATTTTTTTCTCGAAAAAATCAGATCTAGAAAAGAATTCGTGACTTTGCCGAAAAAAACATCTGAAAATTTCAGACAAATTTGATTTTTCTTGCCTCCGCGCCCGCCACACAAACCACAATTTTCACTCTGATCTTTTCATTTTTCCTCTGTCTGGCTATCAAAAAATAGAAAACTCTTCTAGACATTCATAAATCAAACACTCGTCATGTCTAGAAAACGTTTTGCATATGCTGGCCAAAAATGAAAAAAAAAATGCGGGAACCAGAAATTGAACTTTGATGTCTAGATTCGTACCAAAAATACTTTTCGTATTTTTTTCACACGTTGAATTTGCCACGTGGCATCTTTCAATAAAAAATTGATTTGAATCTGAATTTTCACTGTTTCAAAAATTTTTTGTTATAAAGAAATTCTCTCTGAAAATTTAAACGATGCTCCGATTTTATAACATTAAAAATTTTCACGAAAACTTTTATTTTTGATTATTTGAGAAAGACAATTTCGAATAATTGAATAAAGGAAATGACAAGCAAGATTCAGATTAGATTCGATTTCATAAATTAATGATTACCACGTAAAGACGGACTATTCTACATTGATTAAAATCGGTGCATAATTGGAATGAGCTGCGTTGACTGAGCCAAAAAATGAGATAATTAATTAATTAGTTAATTAGCATGATGATGATGTGGAATTTGATGAGGTGGATTCTTCATAACCGTAGTTATCCCAATGTGTGTGAATTCCACGATTCAATAGTTCCCAAGCATAATCATTTAGGTTAACTGAATGTTCTTCTTCTCTCACAATTCTTGTTCTTTTCACAATATTTTCTTTTTCCTGATTTTCTTCCTGATTTACTTCGACAACAGTCTCCTTAATTTTTCGCCATCTTGTGAAACCATCGATTGGCTTATAACAATATGAACAGAAGATTTGTTGTTGTTCTGGATAACCGGCGGATTTTAGCATCTCGTAGGCGCAATATTTACAGACGCGGCCATGAGTGCAAGGATCGCAGCGGATTGAGGCGTAGCGGCGAAAGCATATCACACACGGATCGCGGTTTTCCGCACCAGCTTTTGTAGAGTCGAGAGTGTCGCGGGTGAAACAGTGCTTCTGTAAGAAAAATACATTTTGAATTTGAATTTTCTATTAAAGTTCAGATTTCACAATTTACTCTTCATGTAAAGTTTCACATTCATAATTTTTTGAAGAAAAAAGTATCCAAGGAAACCCCAGACAGCTTCGAAACAGCTGAAATTTTTCAGAAAAAATATCTTGAAAATAAAGTTTATGAGATCATCTAACTCAAATTGATGTTGTAAACGATGTTCCGCTTCTGGGGGTAATTTATTATTTTTCCCCTAGAAAATCTCCAAACGATGCTCCGCTTTAACACCATTATTTCTGGCCTCCTACAAAAATCTCCCATCCTCATAAAAAATGCTAGACACATACTAAAACGTGCTGATGGCTGCTCAGGCCATTAGCTTTTTCTTCGCTCTGCTCTGCTCCGAAAATAATGAGATTTTGTCTTGTCTTGTGCTGTGCTCTGCTTTCCTCAACAGAATCAAAAACCACAAAAGCTAGACTAGAAACATGAGAAATCACGTTTCAAAAAACACCTTTTTGTTCTAATAGAAACAACAAAAAACTGTCTGAGATTGTAAGTGTAGAAACAGTGTGACCGAATTATTATTACACTGTGTAGAAATAATTTCCGAAAAAAAAACACATCAAACATCATTGGTGTTATTTTTCCAGAAGTTAGTTAGCAAAACAGGCACTTTTTGCTGTCTAGACACATCACATGTTTTTATTTGCGCTCGCGTTTTTTTTCTTTTGAGGGGGTTCGACCGAAAAAAAAATTGTGTGTAAACATTTGATAAGACTAGAGATTTTGGACTCGTTGAGCTTAAAATTAGCTCATAATTATAATGTTTTTATTATTTTCTAGGATGTCTTTGGAGTTCTTCGGGCCTTTTGAGTCTCTTAGAGTCATGTAGAACTACTAAGGCTCACTGAGAGCCTCCTAAGATAATAAGCCTAAGATTCAAGGATCTAAGTCTAAGCCCCACCCTTTTCACTTACCATCCTCAATTTCAACATATACTGAACGAATCGTGAATTTCTCTTCGTCATTGTATCATCCACCAAGTCTCGTGAATATCCTTGTGATTTTGAGCGAGGTTTTATTGTTGTTGTCTGCTGTGGTGTTTCGACTGATGTTGATTGTTGCGGCGTCACTTCGTGATCCGATTTTTTGGAATGATGGAATATTCGCGCTATTGTTTTGGACATTTTGTTGGGGTGAGCTGGAAATGAGAATGAATTGCGGAGGGAACGATGCTCCGCGTTTACGAGTGAAAGAGTAATGAGAGAGATGGGGAAGGGTTAAACGATGCTCCGGGGTGCCACTGTCTAGGATACTTCGGGTACTACGTAAGATAGGTTTGAAATTCAAAATGCAACGATGCTCCAGAGTTACAGCAGTAGAAGATCACAAGTTATGATATCAAAGTTCAAAACGGGACAACGATGCTCCGCAAATACAATAGTAGAAAATGGACGCTAAAAAGGTGTCAGAAGAAGAAGAAGAATGTGTTGTTCATTATTCGAGAAAATGAGAGAGTGATATTATTATTTATTTCATGTCTTAAATCTGAGACGAAGAATAAAAATAAGACGGCGAAGAAATGGAAAAACATATAGAAAAAAGAGAGCGAGGAGCGACCGAAAGGCGGAGTCGAACACACATACACACACACACAACCAGATAGATAGGTCTAGACATTTTTTTCGCCTCTATTCTGCGTCTCACATTTTTCACGAGGATGTTTGAGACATCAACCTACATACTTCTTCTTCTTCTTTTTGCATGAAGGAAGGAGAGGCAAAAAACTAACTATGTTTGTTCGAATGAATGGACGAAAAAATGTTGCGAAGGGTTCGTTCGACACAAAAAAATGAAGTTTCTCTTTTTTTGCGGAACAAGAAATGATGTTGAAGTTGTTGGTTGGGGGGACGTGAGAAATGAATGATCAGAAAAAGAAGAGATGATATTTTTATCAGGTTTTTTTTGAACACTTATGACATTTACGTAAATACGTATGATGATTAATTAACTTATAAATTACAGCCAAAAAGTTCAGCGCTTGAAATTGCTTACATTTTATTGGTACACTGAAATTAATTTCAGGCAATTTGATGATTCTGAACATCCTTGGGAACCTTAGACTAATTGTTCAAAATGGTTTCAGAGGCCTATAAGGTGTTTGAAGATCTTGATCATCAACAGATCCTTAGGTCCATTATAACGACTCTAAGACCTTTTTTTTACAAGTTATTATTAGAACTGTGAATCTTGAATATATAACAAACCTTAAACACCTTAAGGCATCCAAAATACTTTCCCAGGCATACCAAAAAAACACCTATTCCCGAAAAAAAACGCAAAATTTGTAGTCAGCACGACGAAACGAAAAAGTGTTCTGTTCTGTTCTGATAATCTATCTCTGTCTAGCCAAGATAAACTTTTGAGCGGAGAAAAAAAATATGTAGAACACCTTTTTGCTTCTACGAGAATAAAATATGATTTTGATTTCGATTTTTATCACGAATTCTTTATGAGCCAAAATGGTTTATTGGTTCTTCTTCTTTTTCTTTTTCTTCTTCCAAAACACAACACATAGCAAAAAAATTGGCGGTGAGAAGACATTTGATGGAAAATCGATTAGGACATTTTGTTCAAGTTACGAAATATATATGAAATGTTCCAAACTACAAATTATACAAACTTATTCTGATCAAAAGATTCTAGGCGTTGTTCTCTCTTTTTTCTAGTCATGCGCTTATCAAAGTTCACTCAAAACTTGTTTTCAATTTTTTTTGCAAAAAAATGTGAAAAAAAAACCACGCGGCACAGACTTCTCATAAGTCAAATTTTTCTACTTCAAAAGACGATGCATTTTCATGGTTATAAATGCAACGTGGCAATTTGAAAAAAAAAAAGTTTTTTTTCATTTTTAGTGCCTTCACATTAGTTTTGGATAAAGCCACGTGACATTGGAAATGATTACTTGAGGTTCCCTGAGATTCTAAAAATTCCCAAGGTCCTATGACCCACACTCTCTCTTGGCCGTTTCAGACTTCAAAAGATCTTTACCAATTTGTCTAATCTCATCAGATCTTCATTTCAGACAGCTCCAATTATTTTGATCTAGATCTTTTCTAATCCTCGAGATTATTATCAAAAACAATTTTGAAAAACACGTATCTTTCTTGTTTTCTCGCGAATTATTCAAAAGGCTATAGCTATGTAGCTCATGAATTTTTCAGCCAAACAACTTCTTATTATAGTTTTTGATCATGATACTATTTTTAATCGAACTGAAGTGCCGTGAACTTTAAGGACTCGAGACTTCACTAAAACAAAAGGAAATTGATTGTCTGATAAATTAATTATTATTTTTACTAAAAACTGTCTGTAGAAGAAGAAGAAAGAATTTATGAGGGAAAAAAGACAAAAAAAACTATACACTTTTTCGTCGAAAAAACAAGCGAAAAGGAAAAAAGGCAGTCAGTCTAGACACACGAAGACCATAAACAACAAAACTTGTACCTTTCATTTCCTTCTTCTTCTTTTTTTTTTGCATGTGTTTACAAAAAAAGAATGTGGGAAAGGGCATTTTTTGTAAAAAAAAAAAAGAATAAGAAAATGTTTGATTAGAAAAGAAACAATGAATTGTTGTTTGTGGTTTAATTTTTCAGTTTGCGGACTAACTTTCAAGATTTCTAGTCCGCGAAAATGTATCAACTTGAGTTTCTAGGTCACGCACTAACTTTCCAGGGTTTCTAGGCCATGTCATATAAATTGTGATGTTTACTGCTCAAAAAAGGAAAAACAATAAAATATGGGATGCTAATGTATTTCATTTGATTTTTTTTTTGAGAAAATGGAAAGAGAAAGAAAATGGAGGATTAATGGGTTTTTGAGGGGTCAAAATGAGCAAGCAAAAAATCTGTGATTTTAACGAACGCAGAGGGACTATTTTTTTGATTCTCGACCACCATTTTCATTGTTCTCTGGAGTTTCTAGGCCACCAAAACCACTTCCTAAATTTTCGCCTCAAAGTTGATCTTTTGATCTCCACGCTTCAATAAATTCATATTTCGTGCATTTTTGATGTGAAACGTATAGAAACTATAGTCTAGTTTATGTAGGTTCTTTGCTGTTGGAACAAATAATCCTTTTTTGTACATACATAAAAAATACGAAAAAAAAGATATTTTTTCTGGTATGAAAAGAAGTCATAAATTTTTGTCTGTCTCATAAATAGAATAATTTTCATAATCAAATAAAATCGAATCATCGATGATGAGAAAAAATGGGCATAAACTGAAAGGGATCACTGGGAAAGGAAACACATTTTTTTGTTTTGAATAGGACGACCTCAGCTTGAAAGTGGTCCTTAATAAAAAAATCGGATGAGATTTTTTTTCAGAATTTTACTCTCATTAGCTCAACCGAATTATGAGCAAAAATAATGAGGGAACTACGATTTTCGGTATGAATTTTTCATCTTTCTCATGTTTTGAGACAAAACATGCATTTTTTCTCAGAAAATTGAGTATATTTCATCTAAAAATCCACGTGTAATTTTTTTTTGGAAAAAAAGATTTTCCCGCCAAAATCTTCTTTTGTTTTTGCTCATCTAATCTTGTTTTTTGAGCCTTTTCAAAGTGAGCACAAAATAAAAGAAAAAAAGAAAATGTGTGTCTAGACACTCAAAATATGGGCTCTTTTTCTGTGTTTTGTTGAGACACACGGATTTTTCGACGCCAAAATTTGAATTTCAACATATATTGATTGACACGTGGATTTCCTGGTGCGCGAAAAACTGTGACGTTTTGAATAATGTCATCGGCTTATTTTTTGAGCTGCTTATTTTGAGATAAAAAAATTGGGGACAAAATGAGAAGGGCACTTTTGGAAGCCAAGTTTTTAAAATTTTAAAATTGCTCAAAATTTCAGCGCGAAAAACGGAAAACCATGAGAAAAACAACAGGAAAAAACAAACAGAAAATAATTGTTCATTTTTTCATTTTCTCAAACAATAAAGAAAAAATTGATTAGAAATAACAAAAGATGGAAAAAAAACCAAAAAAAATTGAACCGCAAAAAAATACGTTTCAAAAATGTTGAATTTCAATTGCTAGGCAATTTGATAATTGAGAACCAATTTCAGGTTACTGTAGGCTTATTTGATATCAAAATGATTCACATTTCAAAAAATTCTAATAAACATCTTCAACAAAACATTTATTATGTTCGAATCTGTGCTCTGGCTTTATCCATAATTTCTTTTTTAATTTTCGGATAATTTGGTTCCTTTTCCAAAACTCGATGACAAATCTCAATACACGAGAAGAATTTCTTGCATTTCAGATAATTCCAGGCTAATTTATAGCCGATTGCAGAATTTGTTTGTCGCGAAATCATCCAGGCTTTTTCGTAGAATTTGTAAGCTTCTGCGAATTTTTGATCTTTTTCTTTGAGATGCGCAAAGAATTCGAAGGCTTTCAGCGAACTCGCATTGTGCTGAAACAATAAACTTGGATTTGATTTGAAAAATTAAAAAATTCTAATATTGGTGCCACGTGGCAAATTTACCTGCAAAATCGACTCCAAAGCTTTCGCCGCTTGTTCGTGTTTGTTTTGCGAAATGTACAAATCGGCCAAAAGGAGACGACATTTTTCCAGATATTCTGCATCGTCCAAACTCCACGGGTGATTTATGATTCGCTGCAAAAAAGTTTCGAAATTGAATTTGGGTTACTGTAGAAAATTCGCTGGGTCTTGTAGATCACAAGGTACTGTACTCTAGAATTAAAAAGGGACTTGTGTGGAGTGTTGATCTACACTCGCTCACTCGGGATACTGTAGATTCTGGATTTTTCCACGAATTTTTCAAATTCTAAACCTACAGTAGTTTTGGCTGGAAAAAAACGTGAACAGCACAGTAACCTAGAATTTTTCCGAACGAAGCCAGTTTAGGTCGAAATTCCGCAAATGGACACGAGCGCTGTGTGCGAGTCTATGTCCCTTCAAATTCTAAATTACTTTTATCATGTCTACAGTGACCCAATCTTGTTTGATATCAAAATGACCTAAATTCTAATCTACAACTCACTTTCAACATAGTTTTTGCTTTCTGTGGTTGTTTCAATAAAATAAACGCCCTTGCTGCACCATAAACTGCACCAACACTTTGAACTGGATCAGTTTCACCAGCCAAAGAAATGAAAACATTGAGAGCTTGATTGATATTCGATTTATTTCCGGTATGAATTAAAATGAAATTTTCCATCAAACCATATCGACTATCAACATTTGGTTTGTATTTCAGCTCTTCCAAGAATTTCTCGGCGGTTTTTGTGCCCATTGCACGATCTGAGCTGGAATCGAGCAAATCTGAAAGTTTTTGAATGGGAAAATTATTTGTTTGAAAATGAAGTAATTTTGAAACAGTCAATTTTTTATAGTATTTTTTGAAAAGATTTCTAAAGCAAAAACTTTCCGGATTATTTATGGTTCAAGTTAACGAAACATTGAAGTTTTGAAAATGAGAAAATTTTGAAACAGTCCATTTTTGTTGCACATTTTTTTCCAAATCAAAAAAAATTGTTCAAAAAGTTTTTTTTCCGTCCAGATTCTGCTCATTGAATGATTTCCCAAGTCTTCGAAAAATGAAGAAAATTTTGAAACAGTGAAAAAAAACTAAATAGCCCAAAGAATTCAGAACCCAGAAAAATATGCCGATATCTCCAAAAATTCGCACTCACCATTATCCACACCCTCTTCAACACCAATAAACAAATTATCCGGATTCAAGCAAATATCAATCATATTATAGATAGCTTTTTCGCGCCATTCCGAATCTCGTTTTGCTCGATTAAAACATTGTAATGCCGTGTTCCAATCACCACAATATCTTTCATGAATTCCTTTACAATAATTATATCCGGCGTGTGTTGTGGCACGTGGATTTGATTCCAAAGCGGCACTGAAAAAGAAAAACGGGTGGTCTGATAATACAAACGAATTGTAACCGTTTTTGTATTCTTCCGAAAAATTTAATACATTTTTGAAACAGTGATTTTTTTTTGAATTTATTGAATTTGAAAATTATTTGCCAAAAACTAACCTAAAATATTCATCAACTTGTGTTTGATTTCCAGTTCTCCACGCATTTTCGATAACTCTTTCCATTGCATGATAATGATTCGGATTTCGACCCAATAAATATTGAAAATGAATTGCCGATTGTTCGGCGTCGTTTTTCAGATGCAATAAATCGCCCATCATCTGCGAAAAAAAAATATTATTTCTCAAAAAAAAACTTTACTGTTTCAAATTTTTAACAAATTCCAATTTATGGAATATTTATTTGATTTTGCTACCCATTTAAATTTTATATAAAAAAAAACAAAATTGAATTTTTATCTCAAAAATTTGAAACAGTAAATTTTTTTCTTAATTTTTCTGGAGTCTGAAATTATCACTGTTTCAAAAAATCAATAAAACAATATTGGATTTTTCTGCAATTATTTTTGTAAAATTTCTACATAATTAAAAATCTGCCATCGATGCAAGAAAGATGCAGATTTGACACGTGGTTTATTACGTTGTACGTGGTTTATTTATTACGCCAAAAAATTGTAAAGTTTCCCATCTTTTTTTCCACCCCCAAAAATCCTCTACTGAAATTCACTCACCAGTGTCGCCTCATCATTATCTCGATTTAATTGCAATACCGTATCACACATCTGTGTGCATAATTGCAATTTATTTTGTTGCTTATAGATTTGTGCCAACGCCAAAAAACTTCGAATATCTTGATCGTTTAGACTTATCGCATCTTTATATTCATTTATCGCTTTTTGTGTGTCACGTCGTCGCATTGCCAAATCTGCTGTGAGATAGTGAATTCTGGAAGAAATTTTGTGAGAAATTAGATAAAAATCGGTTATTTTCGGTGAAAAACTCACTTTCCAGCTTCTCGCTTCACTAAATTCGTCAATTGTGCATCGGTTTTGCTCTGCAATCGAAGCAGCAGATTTTTAGCTCTGAAAAAATTCGAATTGTGTTATTTCAGCTTCAATAAAGATAGTCGAACTTCCCAAGTTTGAAAAAATTTTGAAACAGTTAATTTTTGTGTAGGAAATTCTATATAAATTTTTTTATCACCTACTTCGTAAAACAATCAAAAGCCTCATCCCACTGTTCTTTTTGTTGATATAATTGTGCCAATTGCGTCAAAAATTGAACCTGTGTCTGTGTCTCCTCCAAATCCAACGTGGCATTCGAATCTTTTTCCAGCGGTTGTCGCAAAACCCGCTCGCATTTTTCGAAATTCCGCAATCTCAGCAACAAATCCGCCAGTTTCAGTCGCATATTTTTATCCTTATAGATGTTCATGGCGGATTCGTAGAAGTTGACAGCTTTTGCATAGAGATGTGCCATCACATAAGCTTCACCAATTTTTTCAGCCAATAATGCGTCCTTGTTTTGCATTTTTAGAGCAGTTTCGTAGCATTTTATGGCTTGTTCGGGTTCTTGAATTGACATGAAAGCATCTCCCAATGTTGAATAGGCTGATGATGAAACATCTGCCTCGATTATTTCACTGCAAATAATAGATGGTATTTATTTATTGGAGAAATCTGAAGATTTCTAGCTGAAAGATTTCATTTCAAAAATTCCATATTTATACTGCTCAGAAGAGCAGATCACTACAACTCCAAAAATGAATTCAGAATTGCGCGGTCATCAAGCCATAAAGGCTAGTTCACGCTCGCAATCTGCCCGTCTCCCTTTCATCGCAGTTGGCATCATTACCAGAATAAAGGGAATTACGAGATACATACTGCAGAAATGATTCTGTATAGTATGGTCTCAAAAATATCTTCTTTTCGTTTCGAGGTATATGAGAGAGGCGACCGACGTTTGCCTGGTTTAGAGAAGAGAGGGGAAATGTGTGAGAAAAAGCTCCGCCCCTTTTTCTTTTATTTTTTTCGAATGGAGAACGCGTTTTTGTTGTTTTTTTTTAAGTTTTGGTCGCGATTTTTAGCCTAAAAAGTTGAACCCAAATGAAATTTGAAAAACTAACTTATAACAAGCAGCAAACATTCGTTTATCCTTCTTTTCGTTCAAATAAATTTCAGCCATTTTAATGCGCGAAATTTGAAAATTCGATTGTCCCGGTTTGATTTGCTGCAAAATAGCTAGTGCTTTATCTGCATGTCCCTTTGAAACGTATAATTGCGCGTGTGAGATGATTAATTGATCTTGTTCCGGTTTTCCGGACCATTCGGATAACGCGGATGACATTTCCGATTCGGCTTCCGCCTGCAAAAAATGAGAGTTTGGGGGGGGGGAATTTGAAAATTAGTCACACAATTTCCCGCCAAAAATTCAAATTTCAAAAACCCACCGTTCTTCTCATCAACTGCAACGTTTCAATCAATTCCAATTGCACCGATATTTTGTGCGTATCAGCGGCTTCTTTCGGCAACAACAAATTCAGACTCGCCTCCTTTTTGGGTAATTTGAGAGCAGCTCTCAAAACCTTCACAGCTTCTTCATTTTCTCCTTTTCTCTTCAATGTTTTCGCCTTAATCAAGTGATATAAACTGGTTTCCCTCAACGAGAAATTGAAATTCATTCCGGTGTTCAGAGCCAGTTCGGCATCTTGAATTTTTCCGCCTCGATCCAGAATAATTTGAGATTTTAGGATGTAGGCATCTGTTAGCGTCTCATTTTTTTCTAGTGATATTTTGACCATTTGCTCGGCTCCTGAAAAATTGGAACATTTTGAAACAGTTAAATTTTTGCATTTTTATTCTCACCGAATTCAGTAAAAATCCCATATTTTTCTCAGTTTTATTTACATGTAAATTTTGAAACAGTTAATTATTTTTTGAAATTTTTTTCAGGATTATTACATATATTTTCAAAATTCCATCTGTCTAAATTTTTTGCAGAAAAAAATACGAGAAAAATTAGAAATCCCTGGTTTTTTAAATTTTTAATTTCATGAAAGTTTTGAAACAGTGAATTTTATTGAATTTCTCAAATTATTTGTATGACCCCAAAAAACAACCAACCTGAATAATTGGATCCCAAATATTTGCACTTTCCCAATTGATATGTCAAATGACTCAAAGCTCCCAAATTATCACTCAAAAGCGTCAAAATCTTGTCGCTAATCTTCAAAACTTCGTCAGGATTTTTGATAGGAATCAAGGGAGCAAAATCAAAGATTTGTTCGAGCAAAGTGAATAAAATATCAGATTCAAAATTTTGAAAATACTCCAAAGAGAATGGATGGAATTCGGATATTTGTTTTCGATGATTTTCGAGTGCTTGATCAATATTTTGACGAATTGATTCGAAATTGTTGGTCGTGTTTTTGGTGATTATTGCAGAGATTATATGATAAATCTGGAAACAAAAACAAGGTTTTAAAAAAGCATGCAACGTGGATTTTCGGGATCAAAATTATATTTTCAAAATTTTTAATTTATCTTCAACTCACCACACTCTGTTCCAATTTCGGATGTGCTGCCAACAAAATTTCAAACTGCGCTTTCGCATCTTTCAATCGATTCGTCATCAAAAGTCCCAACAAATTCGACAGAATCGCATAAGAATCTTCACAATCGGTTGTTGTCAATTCTTTCGAAATCGACAAAACCTCTCGATGTTCAGCCAAATGTGTCGCAATTCTCAACGCAACTGCCAAATATTCAGGGCGTCGCGAAATTTGTAATGATTTTGATATCAAACTTTTCGCCGAAATTAGAATTGTGCGATCTTTTGCACTCATTGAGGCTAATAAAATCGCGATTTTTGAGTAAATTTTGTGATTTTGTGATTCGGCATCTTCCAATGATTTTTGTAATAACATTAGGGAATTTGTGAGACCACCATTGAAACCCGAAAAACAGATTGAATGAATTGTTCGTAAAATTTCGAGACATGGATTTGTCGCATCTGGGATGTTGGAATTTTGAATTGAATCCAGCGCGTTTTGCCATTCTGAAAAATTTTTTTTAGAAGGCTCAAAAATCCACGTGAAAAACACAAAATTTTCAAAGGTTACTGTAGATGAAGGTAATTTTCAAACTTCTAACTTTTGGCGCCAAAATTCAGGTTTTTTGAAAACAATTTAAATTTCAGTACTTGCGGCGTCAGAAATCTGAAAATTGCAACGTTGATTTTTTGCTCCAAAATTTTTTCGAATTTCAAGAAAAATTTACGTTTCAAAATTTGATTATCAGAAATCTCAAAATGAGTGAACTTGTTATTTCAAGTGTATTTGGATGAAAGAAATTTTTTTTTTATATGTGCATACACCAAACACTATGCGCAAAAACCTACAGTACTTATCGAGTACGAGAACCCCGGGGACTTTTGATGGAAAATCCGAGATTTCTCCACATGTGATCACTATAGAAATTCCAAAAAATATTCTAAATTTCCTAACCTTTCAACATCAAGCAAGATTTTGCTTTCTCCACGTGTCCCGGCACAAAATTATACATTGAAATGGTCATTTCTTTGGCCACCGTTTTCATTTCATTTGCTGAATGATGTCCAGCCAAAATTCGACATCTTCCAATATATCCATCCGGAAATCCTTGTCCCGCACATTTTTCGAATAACTCCAGCGTTGATTTTTGATTTTTTCCTGGAAAATTCACGTTGGAAACTTTTCGGGCCCTCGTTCCTGCAGGTGGCGGCGAGTTCAATACCGCAACCAACGCTGGATTTTTTGTTTCTTGCTCACCTAAAGCCAATTCGATCCACGCGAGAAGACAAACTTCTTCCACATATTTTTCCGCCGATTTTCTTGCGATTCTCTCCAAAAGTTGTTTGGCTTTTTGAAATTCGCCGGAGAAATAAAGCACTTCGGCGGCTGAGATGAAAGAAGTTGCGGGACATTTTTCGTCGCGTGTTTTTTCCGATATTTCCGTTTCGATTTCCATTATTGATTTGTTGTCTGGAAAAATGTTGTTGTGCTAAAGATTGAAACATTCAGAACAAATTTCAAATGTGCTCTTACCCGGAATATACGCCGACAAATGTGCCCATTTCAATGCATACAGTACTCCTAGTGCCACATCATCCGATGTCTTATTATTGATCGATTCCAAATGTCGTGTAGCTTCAGGTATTTTACCCAAAAGAGTTAGACAAACTCCTTTGAGCACTGAAATTTTTGGCGTCTGTTTGGTGCAATTTTGAAGTGCCAAACCGTAGAATTGTTCTCTAAAAATTTGAATTTTTCTGGAATTTGCAGAAGAATTGGTGACTTACCTCAAGTAATAATGAATTGTCGATACAATACGCCATTCTTCCTCATCTCGATGAGCCCATTTTCTACCATCTTCTTCCATTTTTTATTCTGTAAGAAAATTGGGGAAATTTTGTTTATAAATAAGTGGAGAAAGCTGGTTGTCATGGAAACCTTTTCGCGCGCAAATGAATTTTCCCATATTTCCAGAATTTCTACAGAATCCCACCCAAAATACAATTTACTCACCTCATTTCAGCATTTTAAAATTGAGAAATGCTTCTTCGGTCAGCCTGAAATCGCATTTCCACGTTTATTTTTCACGTGAAGAATAATAAAATTTTTTTTTTGAAAATAAAAAAAATTGAAGAAAAAAATTATTTTTGCGCGCGCGTCAGACCCAATGATGGTTTGTTGTGGTTCTCATTTTTTTCGGTTCAAGAATATAAAAAATTAGTATTTATTAAAAAAAACGGAAAACTAAGACTTGTCCAAACTCGAAGCCAGCACTTTTTCCAAAATCTCCGCGGTCGAATTCATATTTCCTCCATCTTCATCGCGATCCGCTTTCAAACTTTTAAACTCCTGCAAATATCCCCAAGCATCTTGCATTCTTCCTTGATGATATTCAAAAATCGCAAAATTCATCAAAACCGCTCGCGTTTTCTTGGTCTCCAGCGACTTTTGATATGAGCGTCGCGCGTTTTTCGCATCTTTCAGTTTGGAAAGAATTACGGCAAGTGCACCGATTGCTTTCGCGTTTTTTGGCGCTAAATCTACGGTTTGTTTCATGTAGTGAAGGGCGGAAGCGTAGAGTTGCATTTTGTCGTGGAGAACTGCGAGGTTGTAGCTGATTCTGGAAAAATATTGCATTTCTAGGCCACAAAATGGTATTTTTTGGTTTCTAGGCCACTGAAAATTGTGATTCGGGTTTCTAGTCCATCTTGTATTTTTTTTCCAAAAAAAATCATTTTAAAAATTTTCAGTGACTTTTGAGATAGTTCAGAATTTCCAAATCATTTTGAAAACATTTTAAAACTCTTATTTAACAAAATTTGTTTTACTTTCTTTAAACCAATAAAAATCAATCTCGAAATTTCTGAAAAAAACCCACTTATAATTGAGCGGATTGATAAATGCAGCTTTTTTGAGTGCCGAATGTGCAGCTGCCATTTTTTCGCGAGCCATCAATCCAACTCCAATATTATTCCATAAATGTCCATTATAATCACAAACATCCGAAGCAACACGGTATTTATTCAATGCCACGTCATGATCACCGTGTTTTTGCATTATTGAACCGATTGCAAGAATTGCATCGGTGTTTGTTGGATCGTAAGCTGAAAATTTGAAATTGCAGTTTCAGAGTTAGTTAAAAAATATTTTTTCTGAAATTTTTTATCTAAAAAAAATCACGATTTTCCTAATAATATTGTTTTTTGAATTTTTATGTTTAAAATAAAATTCACTGTTTCAACGAATTTTTATCTTGAGAAGAATTGTTTGAAAACTAATTCCATCTCAATTTCGTTTTCCTAAACTGAAACAAAACTGGCCGAAAAATCCATTTTCTCAAAAAATTACTGTTTCAAAAAATTTTCATCAGAAATTTCGCTCGAAAACTTCAATGTTCTTCGAAAATCTCTAAAATTTTGCACAATTCTAACATGTTTTTAAAGAAAACATCTACTGTTTTAATATTTCTTATACAAAAAATTTCATCGAGAAATACGATTTTGCAATGTCAAACAATTCAGAAAAATAAAAAAACCAAATTTTTGAACTTATAACCAAATTTTAGGATGAAAATTCGTACTCCAAAAGTCTCATTGTTCAAACAGAAATTTCATCTTTCAAAAAATTAACTTTCCCTAGTTTTCCCAAGAATATTTCTCACCCAGACACTGTCCCAACATTGTAAAACCATCATCAACATTCGAATTTCTCAAATACAATAATCCAAGTCTTATCATCATTTCAGTATTATCTGGTTGTAATTCGATTCCTTTTTTATAAGCAGCAACAGCTCCTCCAAAATCATTCAATTCTTCCAATAATTTTCCCAAAAATCCAACAAGTTGAACATCGGAAGAAAGTGCGGGAGATGTTTTGAGAACTTCAGCCGCCATTTGTACTGGATTTATGGTTTTGTCCTTGATTTTTGTTGGTGGCAAATGATAAATTGCGCGAGCTAACCAGTAGATCACTTTCTGAAAATTATTAGTTGATATTTGGCGATGTTTTTGTGGTTGAATTTTAGTAGGGTACTGTAATCAAATTATGAATTGAAGCAAGTTTTTTTGTGAAAAATTGAATTTTTAGGGACTCTGTAGCTACAGCTTTACATTCTAAAAATACAGTAACCCAACATTTCAGAATTATGAAATTTCTTGGAATTTTGCCTTGCTTTTTCTTGCTTTTTATTATTGTCATTAATTTAAAATAAACATTAAAATATTATCAAACAGTTCTGAAACAGTGAATTTTTTTGTTGAAAAAATTTTAGTTTACTTTTATTTCAGAGTTCTAAAAATTCGTAGAATTTTACCACGTCATCAGTTTTTTCTTTAAAGTGAAGAGAATGAATCCAACAATTTCCAAAACAAATACCAAAATTTTCAAAGAAATTTTGAAAGAGTGAATTTTTAAAAAATTCAAAATTCCTGCCAACACTTCTACAGTATCCCAAATCCTCTTTGATTTCCTCACCGAATTATGTTTCATAGCCTTTGCTGCTTTTTCCAATTGTTCAACAGCAATCGAATGTCTTCCCAACAAAAAGTTGACTCTTCCCAACTCATAAAAATATCGATGATTTTTTCCAGATTGTTCATATGCTTGTGTGAACCAATCAAGAGCTTCATCGAGTTCTCCTTCGATTCTCGCAATACATCCGCGAAGATTTAGAGCAAATTCGTTGCGACCAGCATATTTTGAGAGAACTTCCTGGAAATTGGGAAAGGAAATGTTTTGGGCTGGATTTTGAGCTTATTTTCCAGCCAGATAATTTTTTAGATAACATAACATTTAGACTTCGACCTCAAAACAAATTTAGATTTACAATTAGATTAAAAAAAATTAATTTTTGATCTAGAATTTAAAAAAAAATTCTAGCCAAAACCTACCCCAATCAAAGATTTACATTCCGCATATTCTTCTTGACTAAAATAATGATACATGAGAGCATTTAGCGAATTACAATCCAACAATTCGATTCTTCGCGGAGCTGATGAAACTCGATCATGAGAAGCTGATGCTGAACTTGAATTCAAATTGTCAGCCGAATCTTCCGGTTTTTGCTGGAATTCAAAAATATTTGCTGTTTTTTAAACTAAAAAAAATTAATTCGGTAAAAAAACCAACCTCTTGATTTATATCGGCACTCTCCTCATTCTCCACACTATTTACACCAATTATCTCATCCTCATTACTAGCTTCCATTTTTTGCTCAAAAAAAATAATAAATGAAAAATTTTTCCTGTCTCCTCAAAACTCTCAAAAATAACCATGGCAACCGAAAAATGCTTAATTTTTATATTTGACAAAAAAGGTGGGAAATTCAAAAAATAAAAAAAAAGAGTTAGGATACAATTGCCAACTCGACAAATTTCTCAAAATTTTTCACGTATGGTGCCAAAATGCCGTGTTTGTAGGCCAGAATTTGGTGATTTTCCTGATCGTCTTGATTAGTTTCCATTCGAGACTCGTTGATGACGTGGCTGCAACAAAAACATGATTATTTTTTGGATGGGGAATGTAGATTTCTTTGTCGCGATTTGATTGTTTGATGCTTGAAAATCATAATGTACCTACAGTAGTCCAAATCATAACCAGGTTCAAAATTTGAAAACCCTATGATTTTTTGATGTCAAAAAATCCGCATTGTTTCAGAGCTACAGTACCCAGGTCATATTTGGTCTCAAAAAAATTACAAATTTCAAAACTCACTCAATTCTTGGACAATTCTCGACATCAAACTGTTCAATAGTCTCAACATCCAAAGGAACCGCAATATTTCCAGTCTTTGGATGAACACAAAATGGTGATTTCAACAAATGATTAGTTCCCGTCGAAACATTCACATCCAAACGTGGATAAACCCTTTTCAACACAAAATATTTCATAAAATATCGATCTCTTCCTTGAGCTGGTTTCGGCACTTTTTCGCCTTGTTCCTCTAATTTTTCACGGGTTTCTGGATCGAATATTTTTCGGATCAGATTCCAGCGTTCTTGCGGAGTGTTGTAGGCTTCTTGATTTTCTTGCATTATCGATTTTGTCCATTCTGACATGTAGGGAAATTCGAAAAGTGGAGCGGAAGTTTCCAACCATTTTTGATCCTGAAAATGGGGGACTTTGGAACCTTTTTAAGTTCTGAAACAATGGATATTTGAGCAGAAATTCCGAATTTCATGGTTTTCAGACATAAAATCATGATTTTGAAATTAAAAACGCTCCAAAAGTGCAATTTTCCAATATTTTAAAGTAAAAAATCATACAAACCTGCAACATTTCCTCAAAAATCGTTCCCTCCATCGCAGTTTTATAGCTTCTTTTTACCACCGGCGGAACACACGTCATTTTTCTTCGATTATCTGTCACCTCAAATGTGTTGTCTTTCTTAAATCTATTCAAAAACGTGGCAATTGCAGCTCTTCCCGAATTATTCAATTTTCTAGCTTTTTCATCGCCAATCCAACAATGAACACCTCTTCGGCCTGAAAATACCCACATTCGAGCTTTGAAATCGAACATTTCCGACAGAAGATTGTCGAGAATTTTGACGGCCATTACTACGAATTTCCAACATTTGGGGCAGACTTTTGCGTCTCTGCAAAATAATTTTGTCATGGCTTTCAGCGAAATCCCAGCTCAAAAACTTACTGGCAACACGTCCGGACAGTATCATAATCCGTCAAATCAATATCAAAAACCAGCTCTCTCTCCACAGCCGAAAAATCCGAATGTTTCTTATTCTCACTCGGCATATAGTTATAAATCGCTCCCAAATCCAATTTATGTGGATTTGTCGAGCAAAGCGCCTTCTGAAAAGCCAACACATCTTTGAACGATTTATAACGCAAATGAACATCGTCGGCAAGAATAAAGGCGAATTCACGACGACAGAAATATTCAGAAGGTTCTGAAAAAAATCGGCGTTTTTTGAGGGTAAACACATAATAATGTTTTGAAGAAAACTCACTTTTTCCGTATTGCATCCATTTTACAAAGGGCTTGAATGGGAAATATGATTTGTAATATGCTTGCAAATCAAAGTCAAACCTCGATGTATTGTAGATTCCCTGAGAAGCCATCTGAAATCGATATTTTATGCAAAAAATCTGCCAGAAATGCGGGAAAACAAGTATTTCAAAACAAACATCTGATTTTCGCGCCCTGCAAAAACGAATTCGCTGGAGCGCACTTGTGTGTTTTAGTCTGTTTTTATTTTATTTTTTTTTGAGTTCTTGAAAAATGCTTCGGATTTATGAGGAAAACGGGAATTTCGGTGAGTTTTTGGAAGAAATTTTGAAGAAAAACTATGATTTTTTAGGGAACGAGGATTTCGCGTTCGATTTAGCTACAACTTCGGAATTACACGGGTTCTTGGAGGAGAGAGATTTGTTCAAGAAAATCAGGGATTTTTATAATGTGAAGGATGGGAAGGTGAGCAAAATGGTATATTTCGATACTTTATGTCACCAGAAAAAATTCCAGCGAATTCGTATCCATCTCAAACTCCATCGAATCACCCAAAACCTAGACATGTCCTGGGAACGAAAAAATGCGCGAACTCTACCAAACCAATCTTAATCTCGAAAAACTAATGTGGAATCTGGCGACATTGGGCGGTGCCTACTCAGCGATGGGTGATTTCGATTGGCGATACGCTGAAACAGCTGCCAAAATCACTGAACAACAAATGCTATTGGCACGAAAATATGGTGACCCTTCAATTTTAGCGCGATGCTATTTGTATTCGGCGTTGGCGGATGCACAATTGGGTGAAATGGCGAGAGCTGAGCGAATGGTGCGAGCGATTTATTATTGGGCCACTCAGGTTTCGCCGTGTTTTTTGGTGGAGAAATGTGCACAAGGAACATTTAAGAAATTGGTGGCGATGAAAAAATTTGGTGTGAAAAATGGCATTTCTGGTGATGATGAGAAATAAATTTTTCTATATAAAAACTAGTGGAATTATTTGCGTGTTCCCAAAAAAAGAATTTGCCTAAAATTTAGAAATTTTTTAAAAACGTGAACTTTAAAATGCGTGGCATAATTGACAACACGAAAATAAAAAAAATCGAAAAAAACAGATGAGCGGTGCGGTATTACGAGGCTTGCTAAGCATTGAAACCAGCGAATTCGGAGCAAAATGAGTCATACCGATATGGTCGTCATTCCAAATACTCCAACTCTGGTAGCCGAGGAGAATGTCGAGAAGATTCGAGCTGCAGCCGAATTAGCGGCAAAAGAAGCTGCTCGAATTCATCGTGTATCGTTGAGAGAGAAAAAAGAGGAGAAAAAGGATCGACTTCCGGTTCAGGGTGAAATGTTCGAAACCGACAAAGGTGAACAAATCATCCTCAAACAGAAGTTGGGAGATGGTGCGATGGGCCACGTGTTTTTGATATCCAAGGATGGAAGGTATGATAATCTGGATTAGAATTAGAGTTCTAAGCAATTGATTTTTAGAGCGATGGCGGTGAAAACCGAAAAATTCTCAACTGGAATGTTGCCGATGGAAATCAAGGTGCTTCTTTCGACAATGCGCGAGAAATGCAAACATTTTTGCAGAATCCACGATTATGTTAGTCAAGTTTTACTTCTTTTTCCCAATCTCTGATTCATTTCCATCTTATTTCAGGGAACAATTCGTCGTGAGTATAACTACATGATTATAAGTTTATTGGGAAGAGATCTCTATCGTCTGCGTTCCGAAATGCCAACTCGATCTTTCTCAATCAGCACAACAACAAAAATCGCGCTCGAAACCTTGGAATCGATTGAAGAACTTCATAGCGTCGGATATCTCAGTCGTGACGTCAAACCAAGCAATTTCGCGCCAGGATTGCGCGATTTCAAAGAACACAAGACGATTTTCATGTTTGATTTTGGGTTAGCCAAAAAATATGTTGATCGAGAACATCGCAAATTGAAATCGCGTGGAGAAGTTGGATGGAGAGGAACTGTGAGATATGGAAGTCTAAACGCGCATAAAAGATTGGACCTTGGAAGACGTGATGACTTGGAATGCTGGTTTTACATGCTTGTTGAAATGCATGTTGGCGAACTTCCTTGGCGTTTTTTGACGGATCGGACTGCTGTTGGTAAAGCGAAAATCCACGCAAGAGAAGAAGGACGTCCAAACTTCTTTTTCAAATTACCACAACAATTCGAGACAATTCTCAAAATGATTGACGGTTATGCTTTCGAAACTCGTCCTGAATATCGGCAAATGAAAAAGTTGATCAATGAGATTCGTGTCGAGAATCAATGCTCAGATCGTATCAAATGGGATTGGCAAACTGACGAATCGCAATATTCAGAACTCACTGAAGCGGTTTCAGTTATGTCTGATATGGCAATTCTAGCCGAACAAGGCGCAACCAATGTTACCGATCGTAAGTTTTCAGCCACCGTTTAACCCTAAAAAATCCAACCTTTTTTGCAGGTAACCAAGGTTAAAACACCGATATTCCATGCCATTTTTGTTCAACCAATGTATTGTAACAAAATTTTCAAAAAATATACCACTCTTTCAACTCTTCAACTACTAGTCTTCTATTTCGAAATGTCGTAAATGTAAAAATCCATCGCTTTATTTTTCTGTAAATAAAACATTTTTCGTGGGGTTTTTTGTTTTAATTTACTTCCTGAACATTTTTATTTAGGTAAAATTCAGCTGAAAATCCATCTTACTTTACTGTTCACCAGCAAAATAGGAAAAATCAAAATTCCGAACAAAACTCGCAAAAATCTTATTTTTGTACCAAATTCGCAACACACACAAAAATTCAAATTCAAACCTGCCGCGCTGCCAAACAATTTCGCTGCGAGATATCACACAGAGAAAAAAGCGTGTGCCTTTACCGTCACGTTTTTTCATTTTTCGAATTTTTCCACTTTTTAACCCTCTTTCACGATCAAAAACCCGTCAATTTTCAGTGGTAATGGAACAATCGTCGTTGTTGTTGAAGAAGCAACTCGCAGGTAAACCAGAAATTATCGATTTCCCCCCAAAAAACCCTATTTTTTGCAGAACTTCGACGGGTACCTGTTGACGGGTTTTCCGCCGGTTTGGCCGACGATAATGATATTTATAAGTGGGAGGTTTTGGTGATAGGACCACCAGATACCCTTTAGTGAGTTGTGTTTATATTTGATGTTAGAATTAAAACATGTTTTCAGCGAGGGTGGATTCTTCAAAGCGATTCTCGATTTTCCAAGAGATTACCCTCAAAAACCACCGAAAATGAAGTTCACTTCAGAAATTTGGCATCCAAATAGTGAGTTTCTTGAGCAAAACAAAACAATAAAGGAAAAATATCGATTTTTCAGTTGATAAAGAGGGCAATGTTTGCATTTCAATTCTTCACGATCCAGGAGATGATAAATGGGGCTACGAGCGACCGGAAGAACGTTGGTTGCCAGTTCACACGGTCGAGACAATTCTCCTCTCCGTCATCTCAATGCTCACCGATCCAAACTTCGAATCGCCGGCCAACGTCGACGCAGCAAAAATGCAACGTGAAAATTATACGGATTTCAAGAAAAAAGTGGCGCAATGTGTTCGCAAAAGTCAAGAGGAATAAATAAATGAAGTGAATTTACGGCATATTTTTGTAAAACTCGTCAAATCTTAAACTTTTCTTTTTCTTTTCCCAAAAAACGTGTTTTTCTCGTAGTTTTTCTCATAAATCCAATGTTTTTGTCGAATTATTGATTTTTTATTTGGTGAAATTTACCATTTTCTATCTATCACTGGTTTTCGAAAATTTGAAAATAAGATCAGGATTTTGTTGAAGAATGCCAAAGAAAAGTAAAGTTTCCGAAACACAAAAAGAAGAACTAATGGAAGAAGCTGAAATCGCTGAAATTCCAGTCAAAAACGAAGAACCCGAAGATGTAAAGGAAATATTAGAAGAAGATGAAGATGAGGATGATAGTGTGCCGAAGAAAAAGAAAATGGAGATCGTAGGGATTATTTTCTGCAAAAATTATTTTTTTTTATTCGAAATTTTCAGCTCGATCCAGTCTCGTTTCAACAAGATCCGACGAATTTGACGCTGATTTTGTACGAGGAAGATCATACGATTGGAAATTCGGTGAAGCATTTGTTGACGAGAATGTGAGCATGGTTTTGTGGGGGGAAAATTAGGGCTATTATGAAAAATATAGCATTTTCTTGAAAATTACCCCAATTTCATATAAAATTCTTACAAAAAAAAATTTCCACAAAAAAATGTTTTTTTTTAAGTTTTTTCTTCAAATGAGTAAATCAAAATGAATTGTTTCGATATGAAAGGATTTACAAAATTCCACGTCATAACTATCCAATTTGTTTAAAAAATATTCACAAATTTAATTCGGAACTAGTCAAAAGTCAGATCACCTTTAAAAAAGTTGTTCATATGAAAATTTTGAAACAGTGAGAAAAATTAAAAATAAAATTTACACTCAAAACAAATAAGAGATTGAAGAAATACTGTATTTGAGATAAAATTTCAGCTTCTATTTCGAAACCAGTGAAAAACTTTATTTTTGACCTCAAATTGAAATTTTCAATCGAAAATTCATTTTCTGTCTCAAAATTCAACAAATACTTTGATCTTTAGCAATAAAATAAATTAGCTGAAAACTTTAATTTTTCGCTCTGAAATTCAAATTTCTCACCAAAACTCCATTTTCTTTTCAGGGACGACGTCGAATTCTGCGGCTACAATGTACCACATCCACTCGAGGACAAAATTCTGCTCCGAGTTCAAACTAAACACGGTGTGAATGCTCTTCAAGTTCTAATGAAAGCTTTGGAAGATTTGGAGTCGGTTTTTCAGACAATCGAGGGCAAATTTCAGCAGGCTCATGCAACTTTTGCTTAGATCATTTTTGTTATATTTTTTGTTTGTTGATTTTTATTTGTTATGTTATAAACTTGAACCTCCTCAAAATTTTCTGAGAATTTCACATTTTTTGTTGAATTTCAAAACCTTATCTTACCTGATATCGATTTTTCCAGATTTTCAGGATTTTAGCTTAGATTTTCAGATGTCTGGCTCAGGCTCATTGATGACTGTCCATGTTGGACAATGCGGAAATCAATTGGCACAGGCTTTTTGGAAATCAATGGTTGAAGAGCACGGAATTAATGAGTGAGTTTTTTGTTTGGGGAGTGGTAAAAACTGGGTTTCGGGCTACAATGTTTATTCAAAATTTCAAGCAAAATTCAGGTTTTTGGCTGCGAAAATCAATATTTCTACATTTTTTTCAATTTTCCCACATGAAAAAAACTTCATTTTCCACACAAGTATATCTATATCACAAAACTTCTTTTTCTCTTTAAAAAAAGAAAAATTCAACTTTTCATCAATGAAATCATCGATTTTAAGCCACAATCAGTTGTGGCCAAAATTTCAGCCATTTTTTCGTGATGTTTTGCAGCATCTTCGGCGAATTTCAGCAAACATTCAGCGTGTTTTGGACGTTGTTCATCCCAAAGTTTTGAAAGGTTTTCGGAAAGCTAAAAATGTGAGAAAAATTGGATTTCGTGTGAAAAACTTAAGAATTAGTCTCACCAATGCTAAAAACGGGATTTTTCTTATTGTTAGCGTAGAAAACACTCTTGAATGAAATACGGATTGAAAAAATTGAAAATTCCCAGAGACAGAGGTGCTTGTCAGAATTTGACCACCTAATCCCACTCACCTTTGCCTTATTCTCATCCCGATTTTTCGTTGCACTTGTCAAATCCATCTCGCCACTTTTTCCTCGATTCTGAGCATTTTGTGCATTTTCATACGCATCCAAACTCTCAAAATAAGCATTTCTCAATTTAGCATGTTCCCAATATTCCTGTCCAATAAACGAAATAAGTGGCTTCAAATTTTCCAGCTGTTTTTTGACATATTCATCATTCTCATTTGACAATTCCTTCAAAGCTTCAGTCGATTTATCCATCCCAAGATATTTACCTTTTCTCGATTTTTTCGTGCATTTTTCAAAAGTTCCCAAATAATCACCAATTGCTTTGTATGGTCTATCCATTTGAATTGATTTTGGAATATCTGTCGATTTATAAAAGATTTTGGCATACTTGTAATTCTCGAAAAGCTGGTAGATCAAAGCTTTGTGCATTTTATCAGCGGATGATTTATATGCATCTAGTTGTTGAATACTTTGATTGATTTCATCGGGAATTTTTCGAGATTTTCGCTTTGTTCGACGAAGTGAAGTCAGAAGTCCGGGTTTTTTGTTGGCTTCGCCGACGATTCCGTGGAATTTGGTGGCATTTTGCGATGAATATGTTGATTCTTCGAGTTTTGACTGAAATATTTTCGGAATATTTGGTACAAAATATGATGTGTTTCGGATTTTTTTTTAGAATCCTTAACATAGGGTTTAGAGTTAAAATTTTAAATGCATTTTTCATCGTTTTGACACCAAACTTGATAGTTTTAGTGGCAAAATTAAGCGGTGCTCGATTTCAAACTTTTTCCATATTTTTCCAAAATTCTATTTCTCTAAATAAATCCATTCAGAACCAATTCTGGTGCCCAATAAATGCTCAAACTCACACGAATTGAACCTCCTCCTCTTTGCGATGATTCCATTTTCTATTGAGATTCGATTAAATTTTTGTTGAAACCAATCGCCGGGGCTGACTCAAACCAAATTATTAGAAATCTAAAAATAGCTAGATTGCTGACTGCTTTTTGAATTGACCTTGTTTTTTTTTTTCGGAAGGGAAATTGGGTCACGTTTTGAATTTCAGGATTTGGAAAATATTTTTTTAAATTCGAATTTTTTTTTTAGAATTAGAAATTCCGAGAATTTATGAAAAATGAAATGAAAAGGAAAATCTGGAATTTCCAGCCAAAAATGTTTCAGAAAGTAGAGAAAAAATAGAAAACAACATTTCTTGAGATTTTACCATTCAGAAAATCTGAAAATTTTGAGTTTTCTACCGAAATTTCATCTAAATACGCTAATTTCTGACCAAAAATCAATTAAAAACCCGAAAATCTCGACAGAAATCCATTGAAATTCATGATTTCAAACCAAGAATCTCATTTTTTTTTTCCAGACGCGGTCAAATGTCACACGAACACGATGTCAATGACAACAAAGATGTTTTATTCTATCAAGCCGATGATGATCATTATGTTCCACGTGCGGTTTTAGTCGATTTAGAGCCACGTGTCATCGGCGGAATGATGCAAAGTCCGAATTTTTCGAATCTCTTCAATACAGATAACATATTTTTGTCGGATCACGGAGGAGGTGCTGGAAATAATTGGGCAAGTGGATATTGTCAAGGAAGAGAAGTTCAAGAGAAAATTGTGGATATTATTGTGCGAGAAGCTGAGAATACGGAAAATTTGGAGGGTATTTTGTTGACACATAGTGTTTCTGGAGGAACTGGAAGTGGAACAGGATCGTTGTTGTTGGAAAGATTGAGAGAAATGTGAGCGATTTTTTTTATACAGATGATTAAACATAAATTCAGTGAAATCCGAGTTATTAAAATTTTTCTGAAACGTAAAAAATCCATTTTTTCCTGTCTAAGAAAAAAAAATTGAGCATTTGATATACAGTAGCCCAGAAATCATTTGAAAAATCCACGTGGTATTTTTAGCGCCAAAATTTGAATTTAAATAAATCATATTTTTATTTAGTGATTGTGAAAATTGTAATAACACTTTCTTAATGTAATTTTACAAAAGAATCGTCATATTCAATTTTTTTTGAAACGTAAAAAATCCACTTTCGATTTTTTCAACATTTATCCAAAAATTCGAAGTCCTAATTTTTTCCCGTTTCAGATTCCCGAAAAAAGTCATCCAAACGTATAGTGTTTTTGCAAATACCGAAGGAAATTCATCGACTGATGTAGTTGTTCATCCATATAATTGGGTTTTGTCGATGCAAAGATTGATTGAAAATCCAGGTTTGTTTGCCTGTTTTTTGAGCTGAGAAATTGTCTCTAAAAAATCCACCCTATTTCTCTCTTTCAGACCATGTCGTCGTTCTCGATAACGCGGCTCTTCATCGCCTCGCCGCCGGCAAATTCAAAACTGACACTCCAACATTTGACCACATTAATTCGCTCGTCGGCCGAATTATGTCAACTTCCACCTCAATGTATCGATTCAACTCTTCAATTTTGCCAAGTATTCGATATTTGGATATTGCTCCATTTCCACCAATGCATTTCATTCAATCCGGAATTTCGCCAGTCGTTGATCCTAGCGAGAATTTCACGCGAAAAACATCGGTGGCTGATGTCACTCGATTTTTGCTCAAACCAACTTCGATGATGGTTTCAACGGCGGCTGGAGTTCGACCAAATGATTGTATGCTCTCGTCTTATATGTTTTTGCAAGGACAAATTGAACCGCATAATATTTTGGCAGCTGAACAGAATGTTGATGTGAGTAACGGGGATTTGTGGGGAGAAATTTGATGAAAATTGTGAATTCTTATCAGAAATTTGAGGAAAAGCTGAATTTTGAACATAAAATTGAGATAGATTCAAAAATCAGAAATTCGTAGTGACTCCGAAACGAGGATTCTTTCCTCAAAACAGGATATTTTAGAAATCGTCTGAAAATTGAAAAATAGATGACGTAGAAGTTTTTTCTGAAAATTCAAAATTCTTGCCCAAAAATTATAGAACACCCAAAAACAGTTTTTTTACACGAATAAAATCCCCAACCTTTTCCCCTTCCAATCTCCATTTTTTACAGTTCGCCATTCGTCGCACACCATTTTATATGACAAAACCTCTCAAAATGATGCATGCTCCATTATCCCCATACGTCAAACCACAATACAAAGTATCCGGATTATTGTTGAACAATTCGACGAGTGTTGCACCGCTTTTTGATTCGCTTTTGGCAAAATATGACAAATTACGATCGAAACGAGCGTTTGTGGATAAATTTGAGAAAATTGTGAGTTTTTTAAGGGATCAAATGCATATTTTTGAAAAATTCTTGATTTTGGAGAGTGTTCAGCTTTTTTGGTTCACTAGAAATAGGTTATTAAAAAATATGTTTTTTGCTGCAAATTTTCAATATCCAGGGCTTTGAACAAGTAATATTCGATTCAATAAATCTCTAATTTTTCCAGGACAATTTCTCATTGGATATGATGGATGAAGCTGTTCATTCAGTTCAAGATTTATTGGACGAATATCGAGCTGTTGTTCAAAAAGATTATCTAACTCGAGGACTTTGAATCCTCGCTTTTTTATTTATTTTCAAAATTCTGGTATATTTTTTTCGATTTCACTTAAGCTCTGATGATTTTTTTTGTTGAAAATTTAATGAGATGATCTCATTTAATTATGTTTCTATTTCTTGTAAAATAAAGGGTTTTATTGATTTTCGAGGGTTACTGTAGATTTTTGAGCAACATTTTCAAATAGTTATTTCTATGATATATCAGTTTTTAGCCCAAACAAATCATTCAATCGATATCGTTTTAAAAATTATTATTTTTTTGTTCAAAAACTTTTGAAACAGTAGCTTTTGGAATTTTTTTAAAATAAATTTGCAGAAAGCAAATGTTTTGCTTGTGAAAATTTTGAAACAGTAATTTTTTTTTTTGAAAAAAAATTGCTCCTAATCAGACAGAATTTTCTAGCAGAAAAATGTTCCGTAAAGTTTTGGTTAAGCCTGAATTCTTGACTAATCCTTAGTTCTTTCTTTAAAGCCTAATTCGAAACTCGGTTTCAATATTTTCGAGTCCCTCTAAAAATACAACAACACGAAATAAATAGTATTAGTAGTTGTCGAAAAAAGAACACTATAACCTTGCGAATTTTTTTTACACACACCACACACAATATTATTTCGATGTTGGTTACACTCATCATTTCCATCATCATCCGATTTTCTCCCATCAATGCCATATATAATACGAGATCGCATCGAGACCCTCGACAGTCTGCGTCTCCACAAATCGTCTCTCTCTCTCTCGTTCGCTCCCAAGTCGCGGCGCCTATCTGTTTCTCTATAGACCCTCTCTCTGTGTGTGTTCGCTTTTTTTGGTTGGTTGACTGGCTGACTGGCTGACTGGGGTGTGTGTAGATAGATGAAGAAGAAAAAAAAGATGCAAAAAATGTCGACATGCACACACACTCACACACACTTTTTTATCGGCTGATTTTTCTTCTTTTTTTTTCACCATGATGTTCTTTTTGCGACCCTCGGTCCAGATGATTTTTTCTCACTCGAGAAGAGAAGTTTTGGCGCCTCATGGGTTTTTTTTAGGCCGAAGCTTAATTTTGGGCTTCAAGATCAAGCCTTAGATAGCTTAGATCGATCTAAATATTTTGACAAGCCTGATCGTGAGCCTAAGCCTTAAAGTTTGGTTAAGCCTAAGCCCCTTGATTTTAGATGACCCTAAATTTTGGTCAAGTCTAAGTTGAAGCCTAAGAGTTGGTGTTAGCCTAAGCCTAAGAAAGAGTTTGGCTAAGCCTAAGCCCAACATTTTGCCTTAAGTTTTTGATGAGCCTAAATTTTGGTCCTGAGAGTTAAGCCTATTTTTTTTGACTAGCCTCAGGCTCGGTTTTTAAAGAGAAATTTTCACACGGATGTTTTATTGCTTGAAATTTTCCGAAATTGTGCCACGTGGATTTTTCAGCTTTGGAAGTCAAAAAAAAAATTTTTTTTAATTGTTGTACTTTTCGTCCCCACAAAATCTTATCAAAAATATTTTTGTTGATATTTCCTGACACGCTTTTTATTTTTTTTTTTTGCTGTAACAAAAAATTTTTTTTTCAAATGTTCAAATTGCAATTTGAAAAGTGCAATTTATCAAATCGAAAAAAAGAAAAAAGTTTTCTGTCCGAGAACAATTCGGTCTAATTAGATCAAATTTGCACCTGCTCCTAAATGTGCAACTTTTTTCTGTTTCAAATAAAATTGACATTATAAAATATGTTCTCCTCGATTTTCTGATCTCTCTGTATTTATTTTCTATTTTCATTCATCCAAATTTTTTGTCTTTCTGATCTGAACTGCGAAAAACCCAAGTGTGACCTTGTGCTCTCTCGTATTTATAAAAAAAGACGAAAAAAAAGAGAAGATCGAAAAAAGGAGAAAAGCAAACCGGACAGTCGATTTGTGAACAGAGACAAAACCGAGAGACAGCACAGCACACGCGACAGAAAAAAAATTGTCGAATCAATCGATTTTTTTTGTCAAAGGGTTTTCTCAACTTTTTGCACTTTTACTAAATTGTTCTGGGATTTTTTGTAAGACTTTGAAAATCCAGTTGGTTTCCTAAGAACCTGGTCTATAAATCGCTTCGTCTTATGAGATACGATTCCACTGGAACACTCTAAACTTGGCCTAGAGTAACCTGAAAACTTGTCCGTAATCTCTCTGGAAGCCGAAAAATCTTGAATTCGTTTTCAAAAATTGACAAAACCTTGATTTTTTCCAAGAATTAAAAAACCTGAAAAAATACGTTTCAAGATTTCCATGAAATTAGAATTTCAATATTTTTTATCAATGTGATGGCGGTAGCAAAAAAATATTATTGAAAAAATAGTCCATGGTCTAGAATTTGAACAAGCTCTAGAAATCCTTGAAAACTAGTCCGTGGCCTAGAAATCTCATCATCTTCACAATCATTTTATCTCAAAAATCATCAGCATTTTTTTCTTATTTCTTTCTCCTTATTTCTTGTGTGTCCATGATTGATTTTCTCCTTTTTTTCTCGTTTCATTTTTCTCTCCCTTATTTTTTGCCCCCTGTTCCTTTAGTCTTCTTCTTCTTTTTCTTCTTCGTTGTTGTTTCCCCCAACTGTTTGCAGTCTTTTTCCGAGAGACACATACAAACTCTCTCTCTCTCTCTTTCTCTCTCGTTTTTCAACAGCTGCGAACCCTTTTTCGTTTGGCCTCAGGTCACACACAAACAGAATCAGATGATTTTTCTCGTTTTTCTTCCCCCTTCGCCTTCGCGACGTTTTTGTTGTTGTTGATTTCCGGAAGTTAAAATTTTTGGATAAGCCTAAGCCTTGATTAGGCTTATATTTTTGGTTAGTCCTAGGAATCTTCTTAAACCTAAGGTTTTCGCTAAGCCTAATACTTTTTTTTGATAAGCTATAATTTTTTCGATGAGCATAAGTCTAACTTTACGCCTAAGCTGAAATTCTCTGGATTTTTTTTTGAAAATTTCTTAACTTATAGAATTTTCTTTCTGTAAAATTGTGCCACGTACATTTTATCAGACTAATTTTATCTCTGACCTGAAAAAAATTTTTCGGATTCGAAATTTGTTTTAAAAATATTTGATGTTTCTCCGAATTTTTTGGCAAAGTTAAACCTGAGCAATGTGTTGTGTTTTCAGATCCCCGAAATCTTATCAATATATTTTTGTTTTGATTTTGTTTTTTTCGTTCAAAAATGTGTTGCTGATTTTTCTCTGATTGATTGATATAATACGATTTTCCCATGTATATTTTTTCCAAAAAAATTTCTAAAACAATTTTGGGCGTAATTTGCAGCCTAACCCTAGACCAAAATTATCTCCAAACAAAAACTAAAAGCTTGCAAATTTCTTCGACTTTGTTCGTATATTTTTTCCTTTCACAGAGAGTTCATTTCTTATCTTATCAGCTGTCTCTAATTTTTCTATGAATTCTCGCGCCATTTTCAAATTTTTTTGATGCTCCAAAAAATGTGGCAGAAACATCTGGAGCCAGTCATTTTCTGTCAGCTGTTCCGAAACAATTTTTTTGAGAATACTCTTTGAAACAAAGAATTTAAAAAAAATGTTTTTACAATTTTTTAGATTACGTTAAATTTTCAAACACCTGACCCCTCATCTCATTTTTTCCTTCTCATGACATAAACACAAAAAAAGTTGGGAGGATATATCCTAACTCATGTAATTTTCATGATGATCTCATCTCATCTCTTTTTTCTCTCATTTTTTTTCTCTTTTTTTCGACCCCTCATAATCTTTGTTCATAGTTTGCTCACATGTTTCGGTTTTTCACAAAAAAAAATCGATTTTTTTTCAAAATTTTTGAATTTTCAGGTAATCCCGCCCGACGGCTCCCATCGCCCTTCCACCGTAGTCAACGTAGAACTTAAAGTTAGTTTTTTGGGGCCTAGAAACCAAAACGTGGCCTGGAGATCCAGCAAAATATACGTTTCAAATATTTCACAAAACAAAATATTTTTGTGTTAGATTCTGGTCCATTCATTCAAAACATTAAAAAAATAAAAACAAATTTTATGGCCTAGAAAATACCATCAAAAATTCAATCTGCAGCCTAGAATTCCAAAAATGAGAAATTCCAGAATTGATGACTTCCAAAAAACTATTCTGCGGTCTAGAAAATCTCCTATGAACCTTCAAAATTGTTCCAATTTTTCCAGGTAGCCTAGAACAAAAATGGTCCGATCAGATAGCGCAGACGAGGAGCAACAAATACTCGCCGAGGACTATGATTTAATGATGGAAGAGGATGAGGATATGAACACGGGTGGCGCACTGCCCGTCATCATTCCCGAATGGAACACCAATACCATTCGTGGCGCGGCCAACCAAGGGCAACACAACAACACCACATTTCACCAATCACACCATCATCAATTATTGGCGACGAATGTTGCGGCGGCAGTTGCGGCAGCCGCGGCGAATGTTGCTGCGTCGCAACAAAACGGCGTCAAAATTGGTGGGGGAGGTGTTGGTGGACATGCACCATTGTTAACTAATCGGTAAGTTGCTCATATTTCATATTATTTGGAAAAAAAGAGCATTGCTCATGTTTATCCAACAAAGTTTTCAAAAAAAAAAAGATTGCTCAGATTAGTGTGTTTTTTTTTGCAGATCGATCTCACAACCAGCACCACTTTCACCAGCTTCAATTGATCCGGATAAGAGGTTGGTGAACATTTAGGCTTGTGTAAAATAAGGTTATGACGTGGCTAATAGTACAAACTGACTTATGATTTTTCAACAGAAGATTTGAAACAGTGAAAATTTCTATTGGAAAATTCAAAAAAATTTGACGTGAAAAGAAGTTCTCTACTAAACTATTAAATTAATTATTATTGAGAGCTTTGAAACAGTGAATTTATTTGAACTGGAAAATTTGAATTCAAAATTTTCGGCTCGAATTATTTCACTGTTTTGAAAAAATTTCATAATATTTCAGTTCTGAAAATCATTGAAATGTTGAAACAGTGAATTTTTTCTATTCGAAAGTTTCAAATATTTAAATTCTTGCTCAATTATTTATTATCTTCAAAAATATCTCAAATCCTATATTTTTAAATTTGTTTTTATCTCGGTGATTTTTATAACATATAAATTAAAATTCGAATCCACTTTTTTGTTTGAGGAAACCCTGAAACAGTGATTTTTTGAAGGTGTCAACATAAAAATATTTATATTTAAACTTCAGTTTTTTTTACTTTTTCTGACTTTGAAATAGTGAATTTTAATCGGAAGCATCAAATTTGCTACGAAAAAAAATTTCAAAAAAAAAATCCAAACATTTCCAGTTTCCGAATTCGCCGTCAAATCGCGAATTGCAACGAACGTCGTCGGATGCAAAGCATCAATGCGGGTTTCATGTCGCTTCGCGCACTTTTACCGCGAAAAGAAGGCGAAAAACTATCAAAAGCGGCGATTCTTCAACAAACCGCTGATATGGTTCATCAACTTCTCGCTGAAAAATCGATGCGACTCGGTGGCGACGCGACAATCGCATCGCTTCCCCAAAAGAAACCCAAACTCGAAGAGGATAATATCGAGATGGAGCAACGCGCGACAATTCGCAAATTGCAAGCGAGTTTGGAGAATGAGCGAAATTCGCGGCGACTTTTGGAACAACAAGTCGCGCAACTTCGCGAAATGTTGCAGGCGCCTTCTTCGTCGTCGCCAATTATGATCGCAACAACTTCATTTACATCAAAAGAGCAACGAAAACCGTCGATTGCTGAAACAACAGCTTTGTTGAGTTTGAATGGTGGTTCACCGTGTAGTAGTTTAACTTTTTGTGGTGGTGTTGAGAATGGAAATACGACACCAACTGTGATTCGACCCACGCCTTTGGCACCAATTAGTGGTAAGTTATAAAGTGAAAACATGTTTTGGATTTGAATTATGAAACAAAGTTGAATTAACTATTTTGTTAATTTTTTTCAATTCATAGAGATTCCGAAACAGTGAAATATTTTTTTGATAAAAATTTGTATTCATTTCGTCCCGAAAATGATGATGATATCAATATTTCTCAAATTCACTTTTTTGATTCATGAAAATTTTGAAACAGTGATTTTTTTTAGATTAAAAAATTGTTGTGGAATCAAAATATTATCTGTTATGGAAATTTTTGGAAAAAGTGAATAAAATTTTGAGAAAAAATGTATTTTTCTCAAAAAAAAATCACTGTTTCAAAAATTCGGTAAATTCGAAAAACTGGATTTTAAAATGTTGGGAGATTAATAAAGAAATCAATTAAATTAATTCCGAATATTCAGATTTTTTCGGTTTAATAAAATGACCAATCTTAATTTTCAGTCGAAGTCTCATCGCCATCTCTCTCAACACCATCTCCTCTTACAATCGCTCCACCCAATATCATCTATCATCAAACTGCAGCTGCAACTCAAAATATACCGCCACCAACAACAATCGCAGCTCAACAACAACAATTGTTAAATGCTGTCAAAGCTGTCGTTTCGTCTTCTTTGTCAAATACAGGCGCTTCGACACCAGTTGGATGCTTGCCGACAATTTCCGGGTTACACCAACAACCTTCGGCGTTTGTGTGAGTTTGACTAGTCGGGAAACACATTTTGGTACATATGATTGAACGTGACCTGAAAATGATAAGCTAGAAGTACTGTAATCTCAAAGCTCTCTGACGCTACGAGAAATCCCGAACTACAAAAATTACTGTATCTTATTCCAACTGCAAGGATCCAAACTAGTTCAAAAACAAACTGTACCACAAAGCTTTTCAGGATTAATAGATTACTGTAGTTCAAAAAATCCCTGTATTTTTTTGCAGAAGCACTCAACCATCTCATTCTCAACGTTCTCTTCAAACAATTCTCGATGCAATTCGTCATCTCGAAGGCAGCGCTTTTCTTCCACCATCTCCACCGCCAAATTCAACTGCATCCACCACTCAAACCTCACTTGTTCGCTGATTCTTCCTGAAATTCGATTTTAGGCACCAGAAAAATTCATTTTTTTTAGTTTTTGTTATATCATATTTATCTTTTTTTTTCTATCATATGATTTATTGATTTTTTCAGGTTGATCCTGTAATTTTTACACCAAATTCTTTTTTTTTCCTTCACATTTTCATTTTCTATGCAAAAATTGTTGTTTTCATTTTCTAGGCACCCGGTTAAAGTCTTCCCCGTTGTTTTCTTTTCATTTTTCTTCGTGTGTGGTCTTCTTGTCAGTTTTTGTACGGTCTTCCCCCACTTTTCTCCTCTGAAACTGCCTGTCCCCCCGATTTTTTTCGAATTTCCCGGTGTTTTTTATCCCGATTTTGATTGAAAAAAGTACAAAAAAAATTTTGAAAAACACCTGATTTGATGAGTTTTTTTCTCTAGAAATAATAAGATTTTTAATAAATGTTTGTTGGAATAAAATCAGATGGACTCTCGAAAAAATTCACTGTTTCAAAAATTCGGCAAATTCAAACACCGGATTTTGGAGTATTCAGAGTTTCCAGCGTTGCCTGAAACATCAAAAATTTCCCAAACAATATTTTCAATATTTATTTCATTCAATTTTGCGGCGCATTTTCACCCAAAACATAACAAAATTGTTTTCTCGATTGAACCATTCGACTATTTTTCGAGCAATTGAACACTTTTTCAAATTCAGGACTTTGAATAACTCCAGCATTTATTCGAGCATTTGCGGCTCCATGTGTGTCGCTGGATGAATAACTGTCTTCTCTCTGGAAATTTTTAGATATATATGTTTTTCGTAGTATAGGCTCAACTATTGGAGTGAAAATAGAAATTACTCAAATTTCACATTCACATTTTGAACATAGCTACAGTAATGTAAAAGAACATACACTGACGCCTTAGGCTCTCGAAGTACTGTACATCCTTCGAGCGCCCCTGGCGCGAGTGTAGATCAAGAATCTGCGCACGCGGCTTGAGGGGGCGAGTGTATGCTCCTTTAAATTACTGTAGCTTTTTTCAAAGGAGCATACAGTAAAGCTTTGAAGGGACATATACTCTCAAAATTTTCATAAAAACCTCGTAATTTTTATTTTAAAAAGTAGTGCCTCATGAACTCACTGAACAAAATCCATTGGAAACCGCGTAAAAATACGCTTGTGCATGAGTCAACCCCCGTCTAGATCCCGGAAGTTTTTCCTGCAAAAAAATTATAATTTAATTAATATCATCTAGATTTCTCACATATATCCGATTTCCCAAATGTTGTTTCAATCGATCGAATGCAAAAGGAAATCCAAAAATATCGGCTCCATTTTCATCGAATTGATCATCTCGAACATCGCATGATTCTTCTTTAAAACTTCGACAAGTCGAATTAAATTGGTTCTGAATACAATTTTGAACATCTTTCGAAAAATACGGGAAAAATCCGTCTTCCAAACCAAGTGGAATAATTGTATGACCCATTTCATGTCCAATAGTAGTTGCACCAACATATCCATACTGAATATGTTGATTAAAACATTAAATAATTATATTGATTACTTACCTTAAGAGCTAATGGTATGTTAGGTAACATTAGAGCAGTTATCGGGTTTAAAATTTGAATTTCAGGATGTCCATTAAACGCATTAATCTCAAATAACTCGATTTCTCTGATCTCTGGTAGATTTTTTATCACACAAAAATCAAAAGAAAGTTGACCAAGTGTTGCATATTTATATGTACAGTTATCATAATTTTTTTGAAATTTCAGAGAATCTTCAATAACTGTTTTAACTTCGCTCTCCATAAAATCCAAATACATTATACTGGTGATATTTTTGAATATTTCCATGGTTTTCGAGTTTTTCAACCAGGGAGTTGTCTCCATCGATAATAACATTTCATTTTTTGAAAAATTCGAACATTTTTCGCAATTCGGATTTTTCCGCAGGATGATCGAAAAGCCATAGAGTTGATAGTGCATTATTATAAGCTTTGGTGAAATTTCCAAGCTTAAAATCATTAATTCTAAATACATCCTTAACATTCGCAACAACTACTTTGTATAATGTTTCAGCAGCTCGAGAACAATTTGAATCCATTGCCAAATTTGAAAAACAATTATACAAAGTACATGGTTCATTTTCCTCAAGATAGAAAAGTGATTGCAAATTTTTCAAGAACTTCAAGGCTTCTGCTTTGTTGCTTTCACATTTCTGAATATACAGACTTTTCAATTGTCTTTCATAAAGTTTTGTGGAGTTTTCTTTCAAATATTGCAAGTTTTGTGCAATAGCCAAGGAATATTGAATACTATTCGGTATATATTTTTGATTAATATTTTTCAAATCGCTAGAATATCCAGTTTCCATATATTCTTCCATTGTTGGAGAATATGTTTTTTTTGCACAACTGTGCCGATAAAAGTCATCACATGCGTCAATTTTATCATCGATATTACTGAAAAAAAATGTACTGTAGCATTGGTTTTCTAAGCCATTTCGGTTCGCTTCCAAGCTTCTTATTTTTTCGAATTGACAATAAACTCACTTTTCCAAAACCTCTAAAATACTTTCATATTCAAAACCATTTACAGTTTCTGAGAAGAGAGAAAAAAATAGGAGACAACTAATATGAAACATTTTTCAGTATTATTGTTTTTTACTTGTCTCTTCTCTTTTATATTGTCATTTTTCTATGGAACACAAATATTGGAATTTGAATTCATTTTTCAAAAATTCTTAAAACAATTTTCTTGACCTTTTGGAAAACAAATATAAAAAACAATAGGAAAGTTTTAAAACAATAATTTTATTGTTTAAATATTTCAAATTGTATTTCTCAAAAAATCACACTAGTTAGTTAGCATAACTGAGCTGCTCTGCAAACAGCTCCTCTCAAATTCGGTTCCCAATCGTATTGTTTTTCTGCCGCTTGAGTTCTTTCTGGAATTGAATTCCAACACAATTGTTTCTCAGCTCCAAATGCTGCTTCACAATTCTAAAAAAAATTATCTTCTAGTTATTCAGCCCTACTTAATCACCTCATAAAGCACATCAATAAGCCCTTGCATTCCTTCGCGCATCAATTTTTCTTGACATCTTTCACAAAATCCACGTGGGAAATAGCTAAATGACACTACCACGTAAAATGATATTAGACAATATATGAGAAGAAATTTTGAAAACATTTTTGATCATTTTTGGGGGGAACTAGAAGGGGTTTTATTGAAATTTGCAAAGTGATTTGATTATTTTTGCAGATTTCTTGTTTCGTACAAAACATTTTCCACGTGGCTTTTTTTCCAATTTTCTGCAAACCCTCCTGCAAAAATAATCAAATCACCGTACAAATCAATATATAAATGACTCCTCCACAATCTCTGTTCAAGAAAATGTCCTCAAAATTATTCCTTGTAGTTTTTCTAATCCTTCTCTCTTTCCACGTGGCAAATGCTCAAAAAAAGAAAAACTGTAAAAGATGTTTGGATATTTTGAGAAAACAAGGAATTGAGGGAGTTGTCAGCATGTTGAATCAGGTGGGGTTTTAGGGTAATTAGGGATGTTAATTATGTTAATTAGGGTAATTAACACTTCAAGTTTATTTATTCAATTAATTAGGGTTGTAATGTTTATTTTTTTCAAAATCAGAAATTCAAATTTTTATTCAGAAACAATGAGCTATCTAATTGAATATTGAATTAGCTTACTTCTAAAATTTTTAGTCATGCGCTGGTTTGAATGGAGCTGAGAAACATTTCTGTGAACAATCAGTGAAAAGAAGAATCCCATCGACTCAAGCACAATTTCAGTATAATCCAAATGATCATGGAACAATTTGCAAAAAAGCCGAGTTTTGTTAATTTTTCGGAATTTTTTAAATATATATTATTAATTTTCATTCAGATTTAAAATGAAGTTTTGGGACCAAAATATTATTTTAATATAAAATTTTCAGAAAATTCAGGTTTATTAATGTTGCAAATAATTAGGTGCAATAATTAGAGTTATACAAACTGCCATGTAGAAAAATGCCAAAACCAAAGAAATCCAAAATGAAACAGTGAATAAACGAGAGGATTTCGGATGTTTTAGTAGGATAAATGTGAAGAATATGCCAGCGAAAAGGCCACCAATTGGACCGTAGAATGATACCTGGAATTATGAATTGGGTGAAGGAAAATGTGAACACCATCTTTTTCGGTTCGTTTTTCTCAAAAAAATTCGCTGTTTCAAAAGTTAATTAATTTTTTTCAAGACTCACATACTTTATTAGTGAAATTGGAACAGTCAAAGTTACTTTTTGTCAAAAAAACATTTCTGTAAGCACAAAAATTTACTGATTCAAAAAGTTCATATGAATTTTCGAAGAAAATTTGAAGTTTGATAATAGAAGAGATGATGTGTGAATTGAATTGGAATAATTTTAATTGGAATAATATTCTAGAAATATTCACCGTTTAAACTGTCTCATATGAAATTTTTTGAAAATTAGAAATTTTATGGAATATTGATGACTCAATATAAATGGAAAAAATAACTGTTTCAAAATTTTCATATAATTTTTTATTGAAACATTGCAATTCGGTTGTTCAAGGTGGAAAATGAACAGAGTGTACACAATTTCCAAAAAATCATTTGGTCATTCCACGTGACATTCCACGTGACATAATTTTTTCATATCGGAAAATTATTATAAAATTTACTGAAATATTTTTTGATTCCGACGACGAACCATCAAAATCAAAAATTTCACGGAAAGTTATTTGGAAATTTTGAAACAGTGAAATTTTATAATTTCAAAAAAATTTTATAAGGAAAAAAATGAACTTTTGAAGGATTTTTCAGTCAAACATGATATTTTTGAATAAAAGAACAACAATTTTTATGAAACAGCAAAAATTTTGCAAAATTTGGCTGCTTAAAAATGTCCATAAATCTTTTACTATTTTTAAAACTACAATATTAACTAGATTTTTGCAGTCAAAAATATTTTCTTGTTTCTCACCTTATCCACCCGATAACTCATATAAAACCTCTGATAAATTGCCAACATCAAATCCATGGCTCCAAAAATCGCAAATCCCACAACTCTCTTCAATGCTCCTTCCATCTCCCCCAAATTCATCGTCAATATCACCAAATGCGATGCAAGAATCGCAAAACTTCCAGCCGCACCGCCCATCAAAAACACTCCAGGATCCATAGCCAAATGCATCATTGCACCAAATATCACACCAAATAAGTAGATCAAAAATACGCGGGAAAATCCGTGGCAAATTTCCATAGGGATCCCGATAAATATTTGGATAAAAATATTGAAAATCACGTGGAAAATTCCGATGTTAATCAAAGGATATGTGAAAAATCGCCAAAATTCAGCAAAGCTGAAATGCCTTGGATTTAGGATAAGTTCGGAAATCGTTGGAATTGGTCCGTTCGACCAAACACCTTCTTTTGAATCGATCACATAATAAATATAGAAAATTAATTGAATTATGCTAACTAAAAGCATAAAAATTGGTGGAGGAAGACATTTGTAGCGCTGTAATTTGCTGAAAACAACAATTCGCTGAGGTTTTGGTGTGATTGACATTGCTGCAGTGAAAAGGAATTCACGAAGTTTGTAGCCTTTGCATTTGCTCATCTGGAATTTGCTGCGTACATTTTCTTGACTGAGTATCAAACGTACCAAATAACAAAAATCAGTAAAATCGATCGGTTTCCCTTCGCGCATCTCAAGAAACAATGACATTTTTTGAAGCTGCAAAAAATAATTGGTAAATCAAAATTATTGTCACGTGGCAAAAATACCGTACCTCATAGTGATCAAAACCAAAAGAATATGTTGAATCTCGAATTACTTGTTGCATATCTTTACACTGGATAAAACCATCATGATCTACATCAAAAGCGCGAAAAATTCGAATCCACGAAGAATTTTCGATATTATTGATTGGTGCTGATTCACGCCATTTATCATCCATGTTTTCGAAATTTGAATCTGTAGCTGAATGCTCTTTGAAGGTCCCGACGCGAATTATATGAATATAATCCGAATTCTCTTCACCTGCTTGCAATTTTATTGAATTTTGCTGCTGAAACATTTTTTTGAAAAAATAAAAATAAAAAGGGAAAAGTGCATAGATACCTCCGGTATTTTATTTTATTAAAAACTAGAAAAAAAACTATTTTTTGTCAATAAAAATTGAGAGAAAAATTGGAGATAATTGGAGGATTAGCCCTGGTTTTTGGTACATTATTTGATTTTAATCCCATTTCCCATAACTCATAATTTTCAATAATAAAAAATAATAATAAAGTCTACACAATTTCATAAATATCTCAAACTCACCATTTTTCAAACAAATTAAAATATTTTGAAAAAATGTAAATAAAAAAATTAAGGATTTTTTTGTTGATAAAAGTATTAATTGTAATTTTTGAACCGTTGAAAAACAACAACAAAAAAAATAAAAATAGCCTGAAAATACCATGGAAACTTGGGAAAAACAAGGAATTTTTAATTTTTTCAGAAAAAAAATTATGAAATTTTGGAACAGTTTCAAAAAATCAATTTCCACTTCGAGCAAAAATATTTATGAAAATTTTGAAACAGTAAATTTTTTCTATTCACTTTTTTCTCTCCTATGTGTGATTTTGGTGGGTTCCAGTCGAAGCTATTTTTTTCAATTTGAGCAACACCCAATTTTTATTCAAATTTTTATTCCGCCAGAGAAACATTCTCTAAAATTCAAAAAAAAAAAAACAAACAAAAATACAGTACACACACGCAAAAATACAAAAATTCAATCAATTCATATCAAAAAAATGGCTCTCCTAGCAAAAAAAAATCCCCTGAGCAATGAAAAAAACAATGAAAATTTTCAAAAAAAGGAATGTTTTCCTATTATTAAAATTATTAAATTATTGCAAAATTTACAAACAAGAGGTATAGAAATCGTGGGGAAAAAAGGAAAAAATAGTAGTTTCCTAGAAAAATTTTTGAAAATATTGCGGCAAAAAATTGTTGAAAGACAGTGTAAAACCCAAAAAATTTGAAAAATAATGGAAAAAAAAACAAAAATAGATCATCACCGTGTGAGAGAAATTATTATCTATTTGCAAAAAAAAGTTATTAAAAAATTAATTTTTTGAATCAGAAATCATTATTCTTGATCACTTAATTGTGAGGCTAAAATTTCAGCGTCTGGGATTTCATATTCTGGAGCCAAGGTGTGAATGAACTCTCGGAAGTGGATATTTGTGAGAAGGGTTTCGTTGTCGGACCAAAGTCTGAAAGAAAATATTAGATTAATATGAGTAATGATATAATTTTGTAGGGGAAAATATGCGGCCAATATGAGCAATTTCTTATTTCAGGAAACCCTTGAAAAAATACGTTTCAGAATTTGGATAACATAAAATTTGACAAGCACTTTTATTAAATAGTAACCTAGTCTAGCCTTAACATGAGCAATGCATCAAAATGGTTCAAAAAAAATCTGTAGAGCCTCAGTCTAGTTTCAACATTATCATAGCTTTTTTGAAGCCTAATCTGAGCAATCTGCTACACCTATTTTCCCCTTAAGAAATTCTAGATTTTTTCAAAAATATCATGTTTGCTCAGAGAAAGTATGGCTTGAACGGCGCGGTCCGCGGACGATTTTTCACCGATTTTTGGGTGAAAATCATTACGCGGATTCCGCGAAAAAAATTTCGCGGACAGCGAAACTTCAGCCAATGAGAGTCTAATTTCGCGCATTCCGCGAAATTTTTTGACTCGGAAATTTGATTTTTTGCGTTTTTCGCGGATTCGCGGATGGACTCGAGAGGGAGGGTATGAAAAGGATAAATTGTATCGCGTACGCGACAACGAGGATAGCGCAGCAAGGAAGATGGATGACTACAAAACGACAGGATCGGGATCGAGGCCGGGTTGGAACTACAAGTCAATACTAACTTCTGATAATTATCAGGGGTAGCGAAGCATTTTTATATTTCGAGAGTGCATTGCGCGGACGTTTCGCTAACAGCGGAGTATAATTTCGCGGACGTTTCGCTAAAGTTCTTGTGTCAGCCGCGGATTGGCAGATTTTTGGGTTTCGCGAACCGCGCCGTTCCAGCCAGACCTTCTCTGAGTGGTGTTGAAATGAAAGACCTTTGTTTTCGAGAAAAAAGTTTAGCATGAGCAACCCCTCAACCAACCTTGCCAAAGCCTTATCTCTTTCCTGCTTCCTCTCGATTTCCACATCATTTGATGTCGATGAAGAGCACGTGGATTTGGTCTCCGATGCAATAATACTTCCATTCAAATCTACGGATGGTGTGACAATTTGAGGTGGAGCAGGGGCCAATAATCCACCAAAATTGTTTGCGGCGAAAAGTCGTTCGGCAGCTTGGCGAAGTTCTTCAAAACTCGCTGGAGCTCCAGAAGTTTCTGATGATTTCTCACCAATTCCCACCAATGCCGCCAATTTATCCGTGGTCGACATTCCACTATACGAATCCTCATCGCTCAATTCCTTTTTATTATTCACCAATAATTTCTGACTAATAATTTGTTGCACCAATGGAGACGCTTTTGGTGCAACGCCAGAAGAATTTGTGACACCAGATGAGCCGAATTGTGGTGTTGGTGTTGGTGTGGAAGCATTTCCCCCGCCACGAATATAATCGATTAATTCGGATTTGAATTTATTCGCTGGACCGAGACAACCTTCTTCAAGTCGCATTTCTTCTTCCAATTGAAGTACACGCTCATAATCGTCTTTGTGGTGAGCTTTTAGATGCATTTTGAGATTTGTGGAGAAGGCGGAACCGGTTCGGAATTCGCAGTTGATACAACCAACCATCTGAAAGAATGTGTTTTAGATTTTTCGCAAAATTTCACTGTTTCAGAAATTCATTTAATTTTTTATCGAATTTTTGAGGTTAATAAACACTTCTTCGATATCGAAAAAATCCAGGTTTTTCAAACTTTAAAAATTTACAGAACAAATTTAAAGTTTTTTTTTTAATTTTTGAAACAAAGATTTTTGAGCTAAAAGTTTCTAGGTTCAAAATACTTGAATTTCCCATTCCCTGCCCTCAAAAACCAACCCGATCCTCCAAATCCCTGAAAAACATCCAAACAGGATGTCGTCGAAGTCTTCGCCGTTTTGGCTGTGGAACACCATTTGCATCTGTTCCGTGTGGAGCATTCAAGATTTCCTGTTTGATGTGAGCTGGAAAATTCAGCTGATTTATGATGTGATCTTGACTGACTGTGGTCGCCGATGTTGTGGTTGTGGAGGCTAGAAAATGCGGAATTTTCTTGGATATAAAATTAGTCAGAAATTGAATTGTTTTTATCTTAATTTTTTTCAAGGTTAATATGAGCAATGACTTGAAAAAAAATAAAAATCTAATCTGAATCGATAGTAATTCATTTGAGATTAACATAAACTCACGTGGTGTCTGCACTTGATTCCTAGCCAACTGATTCAATGCTGCCAAATTCGCCGCATTCAAAGTGAACTGTGGAATCTGCTGTTGTTGCTGCTGCTGCTGAGCCTGCACTTGAGCTTGCTGCTTTTGCGCCGCTGCAACTTGCGCAGCCTGTAGTTGACTCTGAACTTGCTGCAAATGTTGCTGCAATCCGTTATTTGCCAGCGTTTGACGTAACACTGCATTCAACGGATTCTCCTCGCCGTTTTGTTGTTGATTTGCCACTGAAAAATAAGAATTGATGGAAAATGTGGAATCTTAACTTAGGATAACTCTTACATTTATTGATCGTCATTAAAATACTACTCGTCATTGGTGGCATTCTTTTGCGATTTGCGTCAACGTTGAATAATTTTGAAGTATTTCCACTTAACAGCAACGCATTCAAATTCAGCGCATCTTCCGCCAATATCACTTTTTCATAATCCGCTCGATGATGTGATCGTAAATGCACTTTTAAATTGGTGCTGAACACACTTTTTGTGCTATACAGACATTGTTTGCATCTGGCTGTTCCATCGACAACATCGAAATATGGCCAGACTGGATTCCGACGTTGACGTTTTCGTTTTGTTGGGGTCGATTCGACGATTGGTGTTGGACATGGTGAAGGAGTGATAGAGAGGGCAGCGGGTAGAGAGACTGGTAGCTGAACATTTGAGAATTGGATACAATTAGGGTATAACGTTAGGGTATTAAAAATTTAATCTGCATTTTTTAAACTCAAACTATTAACATAGGCTTGTAAAGTTTGTAGAAATATTGTAAGTTAGGTTTGACAATCAAAATACACCCTTCATAAGAGGTAAGAAATTTGAGACTAACATGAGCAATCTTATCATATTTTTTTCTTAAAAACACTAAATTACATTACTTTATTATCTGATTCAGAAATATACTTGGAGAAATAATTAGTATGAGCAATGCTATTTTCTACTAAAAACTGTACCCAAACCCTAATATGAGCAATCCCAAGAACCAACCTGTGGTGTAATTCCACTGCCAAAAGTCGACTTGAAAAGTTGCTGATTAAAAGCTGACATCATATTCAGTGCCGCACTATTGTGATTACTTTCCATCATTGAATCTTTGAATTCTTGTTGAAACCGTAGAAGTTCTAAATAAAAACAAATATATTATCTTCGGAATTTCTAAACCCCTTCTCCCTAATCAAAATTAACTTACGTCTCTGTAATTCTTCATTCAAATTTGCAGGCAATGTCCCACCGGTGCTTTTCTCAAAATCATTATTAATTGATAAATTATCGGGGGAAGCGTGATCCCTTTCGCTACTCTCGAAACTTGTCGCCACATTTTCGGGTGAATACGATAGTAAAAGTGGATTTGGTGTTGGTGTTCGAGCATCTGTGGTTGGTGAAGGATGTTCGGATGAACTGTAGGGAGGACTTGAGTCCGAATTTGAGGAATTTGAATTTGTGAATGAGGAAACATCTACAAAATGATCGTCTGCTGGAGAAGAGCCATTATTATTTGATGATGAGGATGATAACTGTGGAGCCAAGTCTGTCATCTGTCTGCAAAAAAATTAAATTATTGAAAAATTTGAGATTACTGTATAAAAAAGAGTAGATCAAAAAGAAATTGGAAAAAGTTTGCGATTACTGTAGACAAAGAAGAGTTCACGGTCAGAAGAGCTTCTAGAACAAGAAAAAGTTGTAGATCGAAAATTATTTGTGGTTACTGTAGGAAGACTCCAAAAAACATGTAGATCAAAGAAGTTTGGGGTTACTGTAGATAACCTCGATAAAAAATTAGATCAGAAAATTTAATTGTAAAAAGCTGCCAGATGGCATTTTAAAAAATGTTTTTAATTAAAAAAGTTATCATCTAAAACTGCCACGTGACAAATTCTCCAAAAAAAAAATCTGAAAATCCCAGAACGCCGTGACCTCCAACCCCGAAACCAAACACCACAAACCGAAACTAATTCGCGTTCCGGAAAAAGTGTATGCTTGCGGTTGAGCGCGTGCGCTGTCATTCCGCAAGCCGCCGCGCGGACACCTGTCAACTGATATCAAAATGTACTAACAAAATAATAAGAATAATAATGTGATTTTTTCTTTGTTTTTCAAAGGCTCGCGCGCAACGAAACGAACAAATCAAACAAGAAAGTTCCAAAAATAGTAAAAATTTTCTGAAGTTTTGTGATAATGAGTGAAAATGTGGGACTCTTTCTATTGTTCTCTTCCAAAATTGATAACACTTCGGTTTTACTCTTTTTACTCTTTTCGTTTTCTTATCAGGGTTTTGTGAAACAATTTTTTGATGTGTCAAATAGCAATAACGATACATAGTAACAGAACAAAAATTGAGAGTCATGTGGACACTTTTGGCTGGGAATTGAAAAATGAAGAGTGTGGAGAGAAAATATTGGGCTCAGGTTTAACGGTTAAAAGGTTTTCATAAAGATTGGAATAGGACATTTTATTTTGGCAAAAAAAATTAAAAAATAAAGAGTAAAGGCTTTTGAGTAACCTTCTGAAGAATATTAGCTTTCGAAAAAAAAAATAAACTACAAGTTCAAGATAAATCAAATAAAAACTTTGGTAGATAAATTTAGACTCAGGCTTCACCTAAAAGTATACACCGTCATCCAAGTTTTCCAAAAAAAAGTTCTAATAATAACCCCAACCAAATCGCCCTTCAAAAAAAAACACTGGTAACCCGTTTTCAAGTGACTAAACCAATATACAACAATATTCCAAACAACAAAAAGTCTGGCTCCGCCCACTTTTCGTTCAGCCAAAAAGTGATTGACCAGTACTTTTCGGAGCAAACAAAACTGGACTAAAAATAGAACAGAAATTTCAAAAGTCACGAACTTTTTTTTGCTGCGCTAACTATTTTTGGGGGAAACAATATCAAGTGAACTTGGAATCGGAATCAGGAGGAAAAAAGTTTCAAAAATGTTGAATGATAAAAAAAACTAGACATTTGGTAGATAAGAAAATTAGAAAAAATAATTCAGAACAAAGAGAAGTGCAACCAAAAAAATATAAAATCCAAATACAAGTTTAGGGTTTGGAAATGAGAAAGAAGCTACCTGAAGCTGAAGAAAAAGATGATGATAAAAATGAGATTAGGCGACGACAAAATTCAGGTATTTCCAGGTCTGTCTCTACTGCGAACCGGTTTCATTTGGTCATTTTAATCTAATAAGTTCAACTAAATAAGAAATGAGAGAATGGGAAGAGAGAAGCGCGCGCGGAAAATGCCGCGCGAGCGGACCGCGGTAAATCTAATTATCGCCCGGCGCGCTGTAAGAGAGAAAGGACAAAACAATGCAAAACGCTATCGAGAACATGATACAAGTTGAGATTGGGAAGAGATTACTGTAGGGATTGGAAGAGGGGGAGGGGTACCGTATTTTTTTCAAGACTTAGAACTTTCTGGTATTCAAGAGTTACTGTAATTTAGAAAATATAGGCTTGAGATCTAGGAAGTTACTGTAAGTAGTTATTTAGTGGTAGATAATTAAAAAATGTTTGATCTACAAAAACTTTGGAGAACATTTTCTGAAATACAGTACAGTAATTCAAATTAAACACACATTTTAGAAAAACCTGGATAACTTGAAAAATAAGAACTACAGTAAACTTCCACAGAAATAATGCAACATTCAGAAAAAAGCACAGTAATCCAACAGTTTTGATCTACAGTAAGCTTTCCAAAAAAAAAAGTGACCCCCAAAAGTTCTCCCTGATCTACAGTATCTAAATACCTACTCCAGAAAAAAGTCACGAAAAAATGTGTGTGTGTGTGTGTTTCATTAGCTGGAGAGAGAGCTTGAGTGTCCAAAAATAGTACTACAATAAAAAGAGTTTTGGTCATTTCTCTCCCGTCCACACAAAAACGCCCCAAGGAGCAAACAACGAGTTTCAAAAGTTTTTGGAGCACACACACACAGCAAGAAGAAGCAGCAGCAGCAACCAAGCAGGAGCACAGTGTGTCTGGTTTAGGGGGGTCAAGTCACGATCTTCTTTTTGCGCGCGAGGCGAGCGCTCGCCTGTCAAAAGTCAAATATTATGTATTTATAAATATACATCATACACATATACTACTTTTTCTTCTTCTTCTTCTTCTTCTTCTCCTATTTTTGTCTCGCTGGTTCGGCGTATCAAAATTTTGGAAACGATGATGAAGAAAAAGAAGAAGATGAAGGAATAAACAAACAATAATAATAATCAAAATATGAGGAATTATGTATGAAACTAACTAAAGTTAAAAGTTTGAGTTAGGATTTTGAAAACTTGGGAAACTTTCCTGGTAGCCCAGGACTTTGGAAAATTCTTTAGATTTTTCTAAAAACCCAGGCTTAGGCTTACGGTTAGACTCAACAATTTTGAGAATATCAGGAGATTTGCAGGCTCAAAGTTAGGAAAATTGAGGATTCAGAATTTTTAAAAAATCTTTCTGAAGTTTTCTGATAACCTAGATTTTGGTTGGGTTTTGAAAAAAATATGTTTCAAGGCTTATAGGCTCACAATATTTAGAGTCTAGGCTCGAATTCCACGTGTCGAAATTCCGCAATTCAAGACCGAGAGCTTGAAAATCCACGTGGTAAAAGTCTATTTTTAAGCTTGAAATCCACGTCACGAAATTCCGAAATATCAAAACAATCCTTGTGGCAAAATTGAAAATTTTAAGCGCTTAAAAATCCAGAGCAAAATTCTCAAATTCAAAACTTATAGTGTGAAATCCACGTGGCTACGATAAGAATTCAGAAAATATCCAAATATCTACTGTAGTTCCACAACCACCAAATTAATTGTGTAAGCCGGGAAAAGAAACAAGCGCGAGAGAGATACAAAAACTTTCTAACAAACATTATAAAATACAGAAACAGAAGCAAAAAAAAGGCGAATCCAATAAGAGAAGAAGAAAAAGAAAAACAGTCGAGTGTATCATTGACCATACAAATTCATGTGTATGTATGTACTAAATCTAATTAGTTCGAGAAAATCACAAAAAAGAAAGAAGAAGAGAAAAGAAAAGGACATACCAAATCCAAATCCAAATCCTGTTTGAACTTTTTGACGAAATGAAAAAGTATATGTTCAAGTGGACAGGAATCAAGAGTACTGTAGGGAATGCAGTTTTGTAGTAGATCAGAAGTTTACTGGATACTGTAGGCAGATCAAATGTTGCGACTCCTAGATATTTTCCTTACATAACTTTTCTTTGTTTATTTAATTTTCCAAAAGAAAAACTTTTTCTGGGAGAGCTTTCTATCTATATTTGTACATGTCGTTGAGTTGAGTTTATATTTGTTTTAAATATATTATTATTATTTAATTTTTGGAACGGGGAGCTTCTTTTTCGACAAAAAAGTTACACGGAAAAAAGTTTGGATTTACTGTAAGTTCCAAAAAACGTGTAGATCAAAATATTTAGGCTGACAATTGTAAAAAAAAACACTACTGTTTTTTTTACAAATTTTTGTGGATCAATAATTTAAACATTTTTTTTTCCTTAAACCCCAAGGTTGAAAATTTTCCGATTTCACTTTAGTCTAGGCTTAAACTTAGACTGTTAGTGGAAAATAGTAAGCTTAACTAACTAAACACCTTAATTAGCCTTTAAAACAGCCGAAGTTAAAAGCATTAAAGTCAGATGAAGCCTGAAGAGTTCTAGATACTATAAAAGGGCAAACCAAAATTCGAGTCCTATTTTTCAAGTCAAACTTAACTTAACTTTTTGGCCTAAGTTCATCTCCTACCCAAACCCAACCCGAATCAAAAAAGTTGCCTAAAATAGTGCAATTTAAAAGGTTAGCATAAGGGTAAGACCGAAAAAATAAGCAAAGCCTAAGAGTTATCCTAAGCCTAAGCCTATCTTCAATCCAAACCCAACCTGAATTGCTAAAAGTGCAAATGTGCAATAATATCTATCGCAATAAATAAATGACAAAGCAAAAGTGATCAAGAAAAAGGTTTGTCAAGTGTATCAAGATTTCGAAAAGAGTACAACATTGCTTCGGGGTCCTTTCCCTGTTGGAGTTTTTGTGTTGTAACTTTACACACATACACTTTTTCATTTTATCTATATATATTTATGTAATCCCTTGCCTTCTCATCTTTTTTCGAAAAACTCTGTGTTAAAAGTTGGGAGATTTCTGGAAGAAGAAGAAGAAGAAGAAGAAGATAGCCAGAAGCCTGAGCCATTACATAATTATTATTTGAGAAGAAGAAGAAGAAGAAGATATTCTGAAGAAGAAGAAAAGAAAAGATGTTGCGAAAAAAGTACAAACATCTGAAGAAGAAATTGATAGACGTGGGAAAACGCGAATTTTGCGACAAAAAGTCTACTCGACATTGCAGGTCCCCAGGTAAAAATGTAAATATTGCACAAGAAATTTGAAAGAGTAGATGTTTTAGAGTTAGGCTAACTAGAGGGAGAGTTTTGAGAAAATTGATGGACTTTCGAAATATCTGAAACTAATGTGACACGTGGAAGAATATTCAGATATGGAAAGGTTTGAGCTTGAAAATCCATGTGGCTTGGAAACTT